GGAAAGACCGACCCTTGCGCGTGTCGTCGGTCGCCGCTGTAGGCGTGTTGTACCCGCTAGCGTTTGGGGTTGTGCTCCCAAAGGCTGGCTGAGAACCTTGCACATGCGAGGCCTTTGGCGTCGTAGAGTCGTCGGGTACGGGAGATGATTCGCGTGAAGGTGTTGTTAAACCTGATACGGACGAGATGGGAGAGTTCGGTATTCGCGAAGGTTGCAACCTGCATTCTCGTCAGTTCGTCACTGAGACACGCTAAAGGCGCACATACGAAGGTTTAGCATTAATGTCGTGAGTTAGCGTAAGTAGAAGATTCTTGAGATTAGGAAGTGTATGCCGCATATCTAACGCTCGCAAATCGCGGTCGGCCATAAGCTGCAGAGTCAGGTAAATTGCAGAGCAGGATTACAGTTCGATGTATTTACCATTTCAATATCTTTATTCAATAGGAACACTCCATACTCGAATCGGTAGGTATCAACGCCTTTCGAGAATAAAGGAAACCTGCAGGCTGTTCGTTGAGCGACAGATTAATGAGACGCACAAAACTCACATCCGAGGTCCGACCATGGCAGAAATGCCGTCTCTTATTAGACTGCGACTCCCAATGCAAGTCACGGGGTAGACCAGATTCTTCTCCAGGTATCCTGCGAGAATTTGCAGGATTTGGGCCACATATCCAAGAGCGGTCGCCACTGCATCCTCTGTGACGTCCTTGTGGTCTGGTAAACTCAAAGGGGGTCCTGGATCGTTGGAGGATAACGGAATAGGTAAGGGAACGTCCAATATCGTGAAGAGTAGATCGGGGGGCGAATAGAGTTCGATGGGAAAGATTGTAGCGAGTGTCGATAGAAGGGATGTTTGTGCGGAGTGGATGTCTTCTCGAAGGGTTGTCAGACGATTCCTTGGGCCATGTTAGCTCAAGGCCATCATGAAGCTCGAAATGAAAATGTACCTTTCATGGGAGATAGTAGGGCCATCGTCTGTGTGCAACACAAAGGAATCTCTGGCAATGGAAAGCAATTCAGCCCGCTCCTTGAGCTTCTGCGCGCGACTGTCCAAGGCGCGTTTCCCTGCAACAGGAATGAGCCCGAGAAGAAGGAACGTACGCGAAAGACTCACGCTCAGCGACTTCATCAACGACCGCGACGTGACTACGCCGCAGTTCCTGGATGCGAGCTTCCCGTTCGGAAATTTCGCGGCGCTTCGAACGGCGCAGATGAGTTTTTGTTTTTTGTTTTTTTTTTGAGAAGACAGATAGTGCTTACTAAGGGAAAAACTTCGTCCTTCTCCAAAAGACCATCTATCTTCCTGGTTACCTCGTCCACGGAAGACTCATTGTCCAAGATGCAAGATTGAAGCGTGACAAGTCTGAGAGTTTTCGGTTAAACCGATCGAAACTCGCACTGTCAGACATACCTGAACAGCTCTTGCCAGCTAAGAGTCTTTGCAGTGTCTCTAAAATCAAGGGTATCGCTATGGCCTTTATGTCGCCGCCGACGTGACAAAGGGGCAATCTCTGCACGCTGGATAACATCGGAAGGCGCATCAGGCCGTTTCCTGTCCTGCTTGACTTTGCGGATTTCGGTCTCAGGATCAGATGTATACCCAGCCGAAGGACTTGACGAACGCGAAACAGTCTTTGAGGCAGAAGGGAGGTAGAATGCGCGACCAGGTGGTGTCAGTGTGATCACGATGGTGTTGAAGGGTAGTTGGGAGGGGTTCATGTCTAACTAGAGTTTTAATGAATGAGAACCCTAGTGAGCGAGCTGAAGAACACGTACATCGTCGGGTAGAGCGATCAACTTATTCAGGTCGATCTCCCATTCACCCAGCAGTTTCCAGTCCGGCGCGCTATCGCCTGAGATGAATTCCTTCGAGTGAGACCGTTTCTCTTCCTCGTCTCCTCTTCGCGGAAGTGATGTTCTAACCCATGCCTCAACCTTGAATATCTGGCCGCTAACGTTGCACCGTGAGGGAATATCGCGCCCTGAGCGCGGGTCAAGGGGAAAGAAAGGGTTGGTAGACGGTCGGTGTATGGGAGAGAAGTAGACGGGAAGATGCGAAGATGGTTTCGTTCGCTCTCCCGTCTCGATTGGCAGAGATGATACTGACTTTCCCTTGCCATGAGACGATGCAAACCCATTTCCATTGACAATCACCGTCTTTCCTGGCATTTCACCTTTCTTCTTCGTCTCCGACGGACTGAATGTTGTTCTCGATGCTGGCGCTGACCCAGGAGGAGTGGATCGACTTTTGAGGTGCAGACTGGATTCCTTCAAGGCTTTATTCACTGTCTTTCGGGTGGGAGGACTGGCTGGAGATGTTGATTTCAGCAGTGGCGCAGAGCGTAGAGGTGCGGCCAATTGAGGAGGGTTTGCCCCTGACCCAGAGTCGACATCCGGCTTTTCTGGGATGGAAACAACGATGAAGGTTTCGACCAATCTGGAGCCAATAATACGTTCCAGCGCGGACTGAGAGTTCCCTGGAGAGAAGGGATGGGTCGACAGCGTAGATGAGGATCCCAACGGCACGGTGCTGCCTGCCAGATGGCTGCTGCTCGAAGACGTCATAGAGTTCGTCCGAGCGCGTTGACTTCGCATAGAGTGACTGGACCTTGAAGTTGTGAAGGAGTGCGGTTTACTGGGGCTCGTGGACACATTTCGAACATCCGCAAACGTGATCTTGGTCCCAGATGACGCCCTTCCTCGCGTTTCTGGTGAAGCAACCTTGTCCTGCTCGACAATTACATCGTCCCATTTAAGACTCCGTCGTGTCGCAGTAGAATTGGTGGAGACCCTCCTCGTGCGCTTCCTCGAAAGTATAGCCCCAAGATCATCTGTGGCACCAGTTGCGCTGAAGTGGGACGGTTCCGCTGGTTGGGCTAATGCCGAGGTAAATGCGTCGCGAACAGGAAACGGGGTCAAGTTGCGAATTTGGACGCCAGTAACATGGCGTATTCGTCGCTGAGGGTTGCTGAGAAAGTTTCTTCGGTGTGTGCTGTAAGATGAGGACCTACCGGAGTTAGGTGGTCGCCTTCAACGGCGGGTTGGACGGCAGACGTTGCACTCGGAAGCATCGAGCGCTGACCAGGCTTGCATATGGATCAATACGCGACCCTGGGCATGGAATCTAACAATATACCAAGCCAGGTCAACGAGAACAACGCTGGAGGAGAGTGGGGAGCAGTGAAGGGGATGATGCTGAAGCTAGACTTGTACACCCAGATATGTCACTCCCTGATTAGGAAAGCCACACCTTCTCACTTCCGTCCATCATGTCCGCCGAACAGGACTCGAAGGCCATGCCTCCGCCCCCGCCTCCGCCCCCGCCGCCCGCTGAAGTAGCGAAACCCAAGATCCTGGAGCCGGAATTCAATGCTCTTTCACGCTGCCTCCAGGTATGGACGATGTCACGTCGCCTGTAGCGCATGTCTCACAGACATCGCGCAGGATGCTATGGTCAAGGCTGGACAGATTTATGGGTTCTACGCGGACGCACGTCGACTGTAAGTGCTCATTACTGCTATACTCAACAAAGTTGACATTTCCGAACGTGCAGTGGTGTCGAAAAGCACATATCGAATCCACCCCGTTCCCTAACAGCTGGTCTCGGACGCGATATCGAGAGATATGACCAGCTTTGCGACACCATCGAAGCTCATCTTGCAAGTCACAACATTTTATTACACGAGAATACACGTACTTAAGCCATGTTTCCCGTTAGCTTCGCGCCATTAGCGTCCTGAAAAGAGACTTGCGTCGAGAAGAACAGCGTATTGCAGAAGAAGAAAAACGGAAGATCGCTGAAGCTATGATGCTTCCTCCTCCAGTTCCAGACACCACAAACAAGGATGTGTCAGACGCCTCCAGCACAAATCCGCGGAATTCGCCTGTTGTCAATCCAATACCAAGCAGAAGGGCGTCGGTCATCTCAATTTCATCCCTCCATCGGCCACAATTCCCGCTCAAACTCGATCTCTCCTCCTCGTCGCTGCGAATTTCAGAAGAGGAAGCTGCGATGTTCTCCAAAGGACTTGGGTCGCCAGTTACACTTGCACCGAAATCCGCTCGTCCCATGGGTTCCAACGAATTCCCTCCAGACCTCATAGCTGCCTTCAATTCCTCCGTTCCACCCGACAACGTTCACGGCCATACCATTGACCTCACTCTCCCGAGTCCCATGGCTCAACAACCCACAATGCCCTTAGGCGTCGGCCTCGGCGACTCCTCCGACAAGCCCATCGAACTTGATTTGGACTCCATGGACATCGAAATGAATAGCCTATTTGGAGGTGAGCATGTGCCGACAGCCGTTGCGAATACCGCACGCGACGGCCTTTTCTCACCTGCGCTCGTCGAAGGCGGGGGCCAGATCCAACCAGGAGACGAAAACAACGACTTCGACATGAACGCAGATGACGACCTTTTCGGAGATTTCACTCCAGATGATATGCCTCCAGAAGCTGCTATTGGAGGTGCTACGGTGTTGCCCCAATCGACCTCAGTTTCTTCACCAGGCAGTTTGTTGGCCCAATTCTCGTCCACGTCACACCTTATGAACGCCCAACCATCGTCGAATCCGGCTTTACCTGATGGCACGGAAGGCTTCGACATTAATTCCCTCGACCTCACTCACCTTGAGCCTACGTTCTTTGACAACCCACAAGATCACGGCATGAGCTTCCCCATGGACATGGACACCTTTTTGAACATGGGTTCGGGCGGTGGCGAAGAGAAGACAGATATAAATCTGCCTGGCGCTCAAAACCCCACATAGCAGGAGAATTCGTGATTCTTCACAGTTTTTGATTCACCTATTGGGATATTTTTCTGCTTTGTACGCTTTGAATTTGCTATCGTGTAATATTTACTTGTTCCTTCTCATAGACCCACACAACTTGGACGTTCGCGGCGCGCGCTCCTTGACGGTTATATCATATCGTCCACTCAGACTTGAATGCCGACTTTCGCGAACTTCAATATTGTGACGGAGCTGTGATGCGTAAACAGAGGCTAAACATCAATTTCGGGGGTATTTTTGCACAAGCGTTTATCTAGCCATGTGGTTCGCACTTCTGAATCTTCAACGCCATCTTGTAGCGTCTTGTGGTCGATAACCATGCAGTTGACCGGATAAGGGTTCCCGGAAGGCGCTTCTCCGAGAGGTTGACAAGATGAGCCTCTGCTCTGCAACACGTTCACCACTTGACCTGACAGTCTGTTGGATAATGCTCACCTTGAAAGTATCTGAATAAATTTGCTATCACCTCCCAACCTACACCGAGCATCACCCGCGCCAAATATAGGTCCCCGATTATCTTTCTTCGCCTCCTTCCACGCGTGCGATTCGACGGCTTTCGACGGTGCACCGCAACTCGTCCTTGTGAACTTGGCCACCCCACACAAGCACGCGCATTGTGCACATGCTATCAACTATCGTAACTTTGATATATAAGACGCTTTTATCTTGCGCGGTCGACGTTCAGGTTTCCTCCTGCCTCGTAAGGCTCTCTAGGTAACGACCCCAGTCAAGATGAAAGTCGAGCTCGTCGCGTTGGGAGTTGTGTCTATTGCCTCTGGTGTCTATGGTTGGGGTGCAAGCGGGCATCAGACCGTCGGGTGAGTCGACTTCGAATGCATCTCATTCCCCTCGTTCTCAACGACCAAATATCCACGTCTTCAGTTATGTCGCGATGCAGGTACCTCTTGGACCTCCGTGAAATGATCGACGACGACGCTCAAGAGATCCGCGCTATTTTTAGTTCCTCTCTCCAAAAGCTCTAGAGTTCGTGCAGACGTCGTTGGGGTCGACGTACTCGCATTCTCTTGGGCCTGCTGCAACTGTACGCTTCTTTCTTCTGCTTCCTTTGTAACGGCACAAGCTCACGGTTTATGGTATAGTGGGCGGACGAGGTCAGATCACAAGCCGCATATACATGGTGAAGCGCTCGCCTTCAAGCCTTCCATCGTCCCTTGACCGTTTCTTCAAGGTCCTCCGTCCTTCATTACGTCGACGCCGAAGACGACGCGCCCGACTCCTGCTCCGTCGACGAGTCGAGAGATTGTGCTGACGGCAGATGCATTCGTGCGTCGCGACTATACGCTGTCTTGTCTTTTCGCTGACCATCCCTACGTTTTCTTCCGTAGTAACCGCCATCGCGAATTACACCTCTCGCGTCGTCGATACTTCTCTCTCAGATACCGAGCGCCAAGAGGCGCTCAAGTTCTTAGGTGGGTTTATTTTATTTCTTCATTGGATCGTCAAATATTGATTGAGGATGCACAGATCATGTAAGTCAACTTTGAAGCGCAAAGCACAAACAGACCAAGGACGCTATTCTGAATCACGTTACGACGTTCTCAGTTTGTTGGCGACATTGGACAACCTCTCCACGTCGAAGCGCGCGCCGTGGGCGGAAACACGATCAGCGTGCAGTGCAACGGCGCTACCACCAATCTTCACGCGCTTTGGGGTAATTAAATCACCACTCTGCTCGCTCATAAGCTGAACGTCCCTGGTACCAGACTCGGGCATGATCAACAGGCTCCTCCCAGGAACTTATAACAGCTCAGCGACCAACTGGGCCAACACTTTGGTGAACCGCATCAAGGTATTTCTGTCGATGGCATGTACGGAATGGAACGCTGACGAGAGTGTTCCTAAGTCTGGATCATACTCGTCCCTTGCGGAGTCTTGGATCTCCTGTTCCTCCACGACGGAGCCTGCCAGGCGAAGCGTTGAGGGCGATATCCTCGCGCTGCTGCATCCTCGTGCAGATGGCACGCTTGTGTGCCCGCTCGTCTGGGCTAGAGACTCGAATTCATTGGATTGCGTGCGTCTATGTCTATTCTCCTGAAATGCGTTCGCTCAACCCATGTATATCTTCTAGTCCACTGTCTTCGATTACACTATTGGCGAAGACCTCTGCACTTCGAGTTACTACACCAGGAACATCCCTCTTGTCAGTCGCGTGTTTTTCGGTCTTCTCAAATTCCTAACTTTCACGTCAAACTAGATTGAAACCCAGATCGCCAAACAGGGCTTCAGGCTGGCAGCATGGCTGAACGTCTTGTTCGACGGGGCGACCAATCTCCCCTAAGACAACACTGGAGCATTCGTATAGTGTACAAGTGGAGAGGAAGAGTCCCAGTGTTAGTGCATGATGAATGAGTGGGTGCTACTTTAGCGAGTACAAGTGGATGAGCGTCTATGATACAACTATCGATGAGGATATCGGAGCACCAGCGTCTGGTGTCGTTGCAGGCGGTGGTGAAGGAGCAGATGCGACATATTTATCAAGCCTTTTGCGCAGTAGGTGATCGCTGCGAATGCCAACTACCTGCAACATCTTTGCAAGGCCTGCAGCCAGCCGCAGTCTCTCTTCCTCATCGACTGCGTCGGTCTCTAGGAGTTCTTTGACTGCACGGGCTAGCCGACCTTTTGGGCGGGTGGGATTCGGACCTGGAGAGGCTTTAGGGATTTTATGCTTTGCTTTCGAGTTCCCCTTGATTTTGGGAGTGGCAAGTAGGGGCTCCATGACTTCTGTTCTGAAGCGACGGTGAGCGAGAGAGGCAATAGGAACGACACGGTCTGGGGGACTGGCCGCTTCGGCACAAGACTCAGCGAAAGCCGCTTGCTCGAGCGACCCGTCGTCGGGGTAGCCCCACTTCTTGAGCTCCTCGAGCTTCTTCTCGCGTAGGACACGAGAGATGGCCTCTCGCGAGTCCTCGAAGGATGTGTTCTTCGCCACAGTCTCGATCACGTCTGTGAGGCGGAACCAGCCTCTGTCCTCGTCGACGGCGCGCTTGACATAGTGGCGATTGACGTAGTTGAGCAGGCGGTTGGCGGACTGGGCACCGGCGTTGTAGCGATTGAAGGACGGGACGAGATACTGAACAAGGGCAATGTCGTCAATTGGGGCAGCAAGACTGAGCTCGCGAGCCGCCTCTGCAAAGTACTTGTCGAGCTGGTCGTAGATGTCTGGTCCGGAGCGCGTGTCGGGAGGCGGGCGTGCGAGGGGGATTGCGTGTGCCTCTCCCTGTGCGGTGAAGCTGATGGGTGGTCAGTGGGGGACATTAGGTGTACACTAGAGATGCAGTTCACTAGTTGTAGCAGGCGGAGTGGATGCCGGCGTAGAGGCCAAAGTCGAGGGCGGGTGCCTTTCCGTTTGGATCGGTGGCAGGGGCCTTTATGATGTGGTCGAGTGCGGGGTGGAGATAGGCCCAGAGGGCGGAGAGGGAGGTCGCTGGGTTTGCGCTGCCGGATGCATGGTTGAGGATGGGCATGATGACGGGAGTCGCCAAGTGTGATCTGTGATTATAACGAGGGTACGCACTCGGCCCGCCCCGTGATCGTCCCTATTCTCAAAGACGCCTCTCATCCTATAAGTATCTCCACCGCCATGGCCAGTCCCTCTTTCCAACCATGGACAACTTCACAAAGGGTATGCACTATGTATATGGTCAGTCTTTTTCTTCCTTCTCTTTCTTTCCATCACTCACCACCCTCTTTCTCCCAGACGCGGCAAACAACTCGTTCGTCCCGGCACCGTCGTCGCCGGTCGACCCATCCTCCAACACCATGAAAGAAATCGACGCGTCGTCCTTTGTCTCGAATGACCAAGACACTTCAGAGGGCCAGTACTCCTCACCAAAGGACCCCTCCGACGAGCCGCGTCGTAGTAGGCACCCCGATCGCATTCCACGGCCCCGCAATGCTTTCATGATCTTCCGCTCCGAGTTCTCCACCGGGGCTAAAATCAAGCGCGACGTCGAGCACGACAATCGCCAGATCAGCAGGATTGCCGGGCATTGCTGGAACCAAATGTCAGAGGCAGACAAAGAACCCTGGCGCCTCAAAGCCGAGCAGGAGAAGCTCGAGCATATGCGCAAGTACCCAGACTACAGGTTCACTCCTTTGGTCCGGGAGAAAAGACCACTTAAGCGCAACACAAAGAGGAATGGCGAAGATGACAAAGAGCGCTGCAGACGCGTCGCAGACCTGTTGCTTTCTGGGAAAGAGGGCGACGAGCTCGCCATTGCCATCAACAGCCCTACTACGGAGGACGAGGGCTTTCCCAACCCTTCCGGCTCTCCTCCTACCCCAGAGGCGAACTACATCCCTCCATTTCGCAGTCCGCTTCTCCTGCCGACCCAGGCTACTCACCACCCACTTTCCGCTTTGAATACCCCAACAGTACGTTCCACATATGGTTTCTGCACTTGCGTCCATTTATCATTTTCTTTTCAGGGCCAGTCTTTACACTACAATGCGTATTATCACGCACAGCAGCACACTACTGTCTTTCCATCACACTACGCGTCTGTGAAGACTGAAAGCGCCTTCGCATATTCCAGCCGCCCACCGTACCCGGAAACGCCACACTACGCACGCTCACCGTATTCCCTTTCACCCGCGGAATATTCTCATTCCCCGACTGCATATCCTCCGTCTTCGCAGTACGCACCCAATCTTCCTGTCCCGCCCCAACCACCGCGCTATCCCGAGTCCCCAACCTACTACCAATCGGCGTCCTATCCTGCTTCACCGACCGGCACCTCGCCCACGACATATTATAACAGCCAATCGGTACAGATGGCGTCGAGCTCAACTGTGAATGTTTCCCAGCCGTACACCCTCCAGTCTACCCCCAATGTGACTGACGACCAGAGGTCTTCCCATATCGTCTTCAGCAACCCGTTCGAACCTCAGCAGCATACTCCTCGACCACGACCTCGTCTTAATTTGGCGATCAGTCCTCTTGATCCTCTTCACCTTGATTTACCCATGTATTACTCGAACTACTAAATGTCTTTGTTTCGAAGTGTCTACCGTTCATGTACACAATCCTACAATTCGTTCTTTTCCCTTTGGGTATCCACTCGTGTCCATATGCACCATATATACCTACTATAAATATTTTACGATAGTCCCAAATCAATCCTTTCCTAGTATCTCAAACGCACGCACGCCTTCCTTTCCGAACAGTGTGGCGCACGCGATCACATCAGCACCCGCCTTCCTCATCCGTTCAGCCGCCTCCTTGGACGTCACACCTCCCACGCCAATGATTTTGATATCACTTAGGCCCGTCTCCTTGCTCTCCTCCGAAAGCATCTGGCGAAACCTGTACACGTTCCCGAGTGCGAGTGGGTGGAGACCATCACCAGCGAGGCCGCCCAGGACGGGCGGGACAGCGAATTGGCTTGTTTTCGCTTTCGCCTTCGTGTCGTCCTTCTCTTTCTCGGCATCCTTACCCTCATTCTTATCACCCGTTTCCTTGGGTACCGTCTGCTCGGAGAACAGGAGCGAGTTTCCCAACGTATTCGTGCACGTCAGAAACGCAAACGGGTTCGTCTTTTCCCTTCCTGGCGGGGTGACCGCAAGCGAGCGCAAACCCGCCATGACCTCCATATACTGGTCCATATGCGTGTACGGCGGGAGCTTCATCCCAAGCGTCAGTGTTGGGTCCTGCGCGAACGCGTCGCCCAGCACGATCACGAGCGGCCAGAGTGACTTGAACGAGTACCCCGACGGTGACGCGTACGAGATGTTCGGACACGATGTGTTCAGCTCGACCCCGATCCGTGTCTTTCCCGACGGGCGCTGGTTGTCGAGCAGCTTCGTGCGCAGCTCCTGGATCGCGTCGACCATTTGCGCGATCTCGCCCGCGGTGGAGGCGGTGATGCTGATGATGATGGCTTTGTTGAAGGAGGCGTGAGTGGTGAGAATTTCTTCGACCCAGGTGAGGTATTGCGAGAGGGGGTGCGGTGAATAGCCGTAGGAGTTGATGGTTGTCGTGCCTGATGTGGTGAAGGCTACCTAGACCAGAGAGAAGACGGGTTTGCTGGGAATTGCGAGGCTGGGAATAGAGTGCGAGTACGTACTGTGTGTTTCTCATCTTCTTCGAAGCCCTTCAGAGTCGCGGTGCGAGTCGTGATTGCCCCTGTGTATTCAGACTCGTACAGCTCTGTAAGTTGCTTGAGATCGGAGGACCACGCGCAGGAGGAGTTGAGGAGGGGAGGAGAGATATCGATGGTGTTGATGAGGACCATGGTGGTGGTGATAGTAAGAAAGAAAGAGTGTGTCTGGGCTGTGTCAATTAACGTCGAGAGCTAAGTAGGCGTGCGTTCATCGTATCAGGTCAAGAAAGATGAAAATCAGCTGACGCCATAAGAGCGCTATAGATAACACATTGACAAATGCATGATCGACGCGGAACATGAACGAGGCAGAAGTTGGACCCCGGATATCGATACGTAGCACAATTGCGTGAAAGAGAGGGATATAATAACAGTTGATACATACAGAGGGAAAACGAGGAGGAGTGTATATGCGGTCACTTCAACAGCTCTTCACGGTCTAGTACTGACTTCTCCAACTTGATTAAGATCGTTGTTCGGTTGGGAAATTGTGGATTTGGTGTATTGTGAGCCGTCACTCGCGCGGGCTGGAAAAAACCATAAGAAGAAAGAAGGAAAGAGAATAAACCAACGTACGAATGATAGCCCATCAAGAACAGCCTCTACGATCCCTGCGGTAAACGATGAACAGCTCAACTGGCTCATATCTCGAGGAACGGAAATGTGTCTCTCAATGGGCGGGTCGTTGTCAATGATCATATCTACTAGAATCAAATCCTGCTAGCGCAAAGAGAAAAAGAGCCTACTTACATTCATCCGGATTTTCCACACTCCTCTCGATCGCGTCTGCAGGCTTGCCAAACACCGCTTTCCAGACTTGCGTATGGACCATCATGAGCACGGAAATGAGCTTGATTTCGCGTTTTGGAGTCTTGGAGGATCCCTCTGCGCGCCAGACCATGAGCTCGATGACGCGGGTGCCGATTCGGTAGCCCAGGGTGTTCAGCCTGCCTTCGGTCCAGTCGACGAAATCAAGGAAGGGTGCATGTAACTCACTGACGTTCCAGGTCGTTGATCCCGCTCACTCTCTTCTGCGTGTACTGCACGATCTCGGAGAATAGAAACGCAAAGGCTGCCCCAGAGACCTCTGCTCCACGGGTCTTGTTCAGGTTCCTCTCGTAGATGTTGGGGCGGTTAGGCCCCGCCTTGACGATACTGGCGGCTCCATGTAGTGAGGGTGCCGAGGGGAGCGAGAAGCGTGTGGACGATGTGGTAGGAGAGAGGTGGTCGACAGAGGAGAGAGACGAGTTTGAGACGACAGAGAGACGAGGATGTGGTTGAGCGTACGCCATGGTTGCCGCCTAACTGGGACACCTCCAATATCGACGCGGTCCTGGGGTCCCCGTGCTATATAATCACGGGCCCCTGCGCTCCGTCATGAAGTTGATGCACTCCCCTGGTCCCTCCCCGTCCGACATTCAGTCCCACCTCTACACCTCCTTCATCCAGGCCAGTACTTACGATGTCGCAATTCGCGTCTCGGGTACGTGGAACGCGGTCTACAGGCTCCATCGAGTGGTCTTGATTCAATCGGTAAGCCGACTCCCAGTACTCAAGAAATGTCATTGACCCTGCTCCGTTTGTAGGAGTTCTTTCGCTCCCTCTTCACTGCTGGCTTCTCAGAGTCCTCGAACAAGCACAGTATTCATCGCAATGGAGCGGATGAAATCAGTGTGATTTTCGACGACTTCAATATTACTAGACCAGGTGAGGATGCATCTTGTCGCGTGGTATGCCTGTTCTAACATTTGCCTGTCAGCCTTTGAGTAAGAACGTCTAAATTGTTTTGTTCGTATTCTTATGACTCCCTCCAGGGTTTGCATCTCGTGTCTTTACGGTGGAGGGCCCATCTTGCATGTTTCCCCAAACCTAATCGCAACCACCAATCATCCCTTGACGCCTCCATTCTCTGGCGTCTCCCTGTCAGCGGATGTGCCCACAGGCCATCATTTTGCTACACCTCGTTTCTTATTGTCTTTACTCGCGACAGCCATCTATCTGTCCATGCCGTCTGTCGCTTCCCAGGCGCTAGCGTTAATTCTCAAGACTGTGGGGCCGACGACAGTCCTCCCATACCTCAATTTCGCATGTGGAATGTCGCTCACATATTGCCACGTCATGCCGGAAGATACTCAACCTGCAGTTGGCCTCGAAAGTGTAGCCGTCATTTTGGACGATGAGATACCAATGGCGGCGACTACTCGAGCAATCGAAGGACTCAAGATCGAGCCATCGTCCGCGCCGAAAGCTTCTATGGATGGTGCTGCGTCCAGGCCACGCAGTGAAGGAGGTTCTTCAGAATCAGACGGTGAATTCGAAGATCTTGCCGACAGCGGTCCTTCTTACCACTACGGGGCGGTCTCTGACAAGATCGGCGAGGCCTGTGCCTGCTGGCTTGCCCGGTGGGCGACCGATATGTTGCAATTGGAAGATCGTGACGCGAATTGCGCCAACTCTGACCTCCCCGACTCGCGAACGCGTTCGAAGAGTCTTTCTAGTGTGGGGACGGTCGATACCACACCTCTGCCGAGCATCTTGGTCAATCCGCCAGTCATATGGGGTGTTGGAGGCTTGAAAGCAGAATGGGTCGCTGCTCTTGTCTCTGCGGATACGTTATTCGTCAAGAACGAGTGGGAACGGTACAACTTTGCTCGTGCCGTTGTTGAGCTGAGGCGGAGAAACGGGATTATCAAGCAAGAGGAGCGGGTGTGGAACAGGATGTTCGAATACGGAATCTGTTACATGAACATGGTGAGTTCTACCTTTCCCGACTGCCGATCGCGACTGACTCTACCAACACAAGACGTTCGAGGATATCCTCTTCATCTCACAGGATATCTCTCCGACCACCAAACGGCTCTATGTGCCGCTATCTGTAATGCAGGCATCGCACTGGGCCCAATCGGTCTTGCGAAACCAAATCACTTCTCGCCCAAGCCAATCTATTTACAACCCTTCCGGGTGCACGACTGGAACTACCTCGCCGCCACCGCGGGACAAGGAGCTTGGGATAACTTGGACGACTGCTGACATCCTATCGAAGCTCTCCGAGGTGGAACGGAATGTGATTGCCTTCGATAAGAACAAGTCGTACTTCCCGGTGTCGTGTGACCAGTCACTCCGGATTGGAGATAATGGAAGCAATCCAACTGGGACTGGGACACAGTTGTCCATGGAAGAGCTGTTCAGCTCTTCTCATCAGCCTTCACCAAGGCAGCCACAAGCTACCGGCCATGACAGCTCGAGCAAGATTTCAACGACTGAGGCGAATTTCTTCGGGATATTGACGCTACGCCATGTTGCACACACCTGCGTGGATTTGGACCCGGCTGGAAAGCTTCGCTGGACACCGTATCCGCCTTACAGATTTTCTGTTGAGTTCTGGGACGTTGACCTCTTGAAGGAGAAGTCGCGTCTTCACTCACAGACTATTTGGCATGCGGGCAGCCTCTTCAACATCTACGTCCAGCTTGTTCGCAAGAAAGGGCAAGCCCAACTAGGGATCTATCTGCATCGTCAATCCTCAGTTGATCCAATCCCAACGCCAAGTTCTCCGTCCACGCCCAACTTCAGCATCTCAGCCAGCGATCGGCAGCTCCATCATCGGAAGCCCTCATTGCCTTCTCTCCTCAGCCAAGCAACACCCAGCAGTCCAACCCACTACTCGCCCTCCATACACCCGCCGTCAAGGAGCAGCACACCAAGGATAAACAACTCCTCTCCTTCTCCCCCCTCTTCCCCACCAGCCGTTTCTCCTGTAGGCTATGGCCCAATTCCAGCGTCAATCCAAGTGTTAACTCCCACTTCAGCCCCCCAGCAACCTTACCGCGACCCTCGCTCCTCGATCTCAGCGTACTTCGCCATAAGCTGCGCGAGTGCGACGGGCTCGTCGCAGACGCGGTTCAGCAGCGCGCCGGACACGTTTTCGGTCAGTCAGAGCTGGGGGTGGAAGTCGAGCTCCTTGAGGACGGAGGAGTTCTTGGAGGTGGGAACACAGGCTCTACCGAGTAGTGTTTCGAGAGGGAAGGAGGTGAGTTTGCGGGCAACGGTGGTGTTGGGTTTGGTTTGATTAGTGTAGTGCAGTGGATCATGTATGCTATGGTGGATTGCTCTGTTGTTTTGCTATGCGAATTTAGGTTTTTCTCTACTCGTCTGAAGTTGCGAATTCTGTCAAGCCTCTGAGTTCCAAGCTTTGAAGGTGGTGGCTGTGCTCAGTGATTGCCTCCGAAAGTACGTTCCCTGAAATTCATCAAGTCCTCCTTGCCTCAAACGGCCACCCTAGTCCACGCTATCCTCTCCCACCACACACGGCGTACGATGTCGGCCGTTCGCAAACAAGCTCCACGTCTAGCACGACCAGCTGCGCGCTACTGGAAAGGCAAGGCACCCAAAGGCGTCACCGAAGTCGACTCGGATTCCGATGCTGAGGACGCCGGCTTGCAGGAAGAGTTTCCTCCAGAGCAGGATGAGTCGGAGGAGGAGATTGGCGAGTTTGGGATCAAGCAGGAGGAGGTGGTGGTGGTGAAGCCGAAAGTGCTGAATATCGCATTGAAGGATGTTAGTGTGTCGAAGGACGGCAAGGTTATTGTGGCTGGACGAGAGGAGTCTGGGCGGACGGCGATGGAGCAGGAGGACGAAGGCTTGTTTATCTCATTTACGTGTGGCTGCGATGCTTATTCTCTTGTTGGCGAACAGAAACGTCGGAGGAAGAGGAGGAATCAGAAGAAGAGACTAAGCCCAAGATTGCTGGCGCTGTCAAGGAAGAAGAGGAGGTCAATTCTTCTTTTCTCTGTTGGACTTGATCTTAACTCAGGTTCCTTCAGTCTAGCGAATACGAATCTGATTCTGAGGAGGAAGAGAAGGTGGAATTCCGGCCCGTGTTTGTACCAAAGTGAGTGCTATATGTACTATACTAGTGTTCGTGTTCTTGACTACGAAATAGGCGTGCACGCGTAACGATAGCTGAGAAGGAGGCTATTGCTCAGGACACGGAAGAGGCTCTGCGGAAGAAAGAGCTGGAAGCTGAAGAGCGGAAAAGGCAAAGCCACGACCTGGTTGCTGAAACAATCCGCAGAGAATTGGCAGAGAGTGGGTAGCGGCTCTTTATATGTTATTACTTTGCTCACACTGCTTGCCCATTTGCAGGGGAGAAGGAAGAGGAGATTCCAGACGTTGACGATACAGATGGGTTGGATCCTGCTGGCGAGTTTGAGGCATGGCGGTTACGAGAGCTCGGACGAATAAAGAAGGAGAAGGAAGAGCAGCTGGCACGCGAGAAGGAAAGAGAGGAGATCGAGCGACGAAGAGCCTTGCCGGAGGAGCAGCGCCTGAAGGAGGACTTGGAGCGTGCGCAGAAACTTAGGGAAGAGAAACCCAAGGGCCAACAGAAGTTCCTGCAAAAGTACTGGCACAAAGGAGCATTCCATCAGGTTCGTACTTCTCTTTCACGTTTGAACTTGCATCCTTATCCGTTTGCAGGACGAGGAAATCCTCAAGCGGCACGATTTCACGGAAGCCACAGAATCTACATTGGACGTTTCGTCGCTTCCAAAGGTCATGCAAGTGAAAAACTTTGGAAAACGGAGTCGAACAAAGTACACGCATTTGGTAGACCAAGACACGACAAGCGGGACGGGTGGGTTTGGCGGTGTCGCGCCTGTTCGTTCGGGAGGAACTGGGTTGGAAGCAGGGGGTTGCTTCCTATGTGGTGGGCCTCATCTCAAGAAAGGTAACGCTCTCGAGGCCTGTCGCTTCCCTTGTGATTCCTGATTTCCTGCAAAGATTGTCCGCAGAACAACGACTCTGGAAGACCAACCGGGGCGAATGCAATGCAGTCAATGAACCGACGGCATGACCCTGGCAAGGGCCGGGAAGGACCGTCATGGAGAGATCGAGATGATTCCAGAGGCAGCAGTTGGAAGGATGACCGCGACGGAGAAGATTGGAAGCGGGAGCGATATGATGCTCGGGACAGGGACGAGTTCTCGAGATCGGGGCGCTATCATGATGATTCGAGGATTCGTCGGGATGGTGACGACGAGCGCTATAAGTCGCGCCGACGGTCGAGAGAGAGAACGCCAGAGAGGCAGCGAGACAAACGCAGACGACTTGATTAATATTTACGTTAGTCGGAGACACTCGCGGGGGCCTCGGCTATCTCGGGAAATTGACTTCCCGGTTGGAGAAGTTAATGATCTCGATCACATGTGCCTTTACTGCTCGCTCGTCGCCATGATTTTCCTAAAAAATGATGTCACGTCCCCAACCATTGGAACCTTGTGGGCTGGTCTATTACTAATTTTTTTGCTTGTTCGCGTACCACCACCTACCGCTGAATAGCATTGCTAAGTGCTATCGCTCGACGTGGATTATTTATACCCAACAAACCTCTCCCAAGCTTGGCAACGTCTGAACATGCCCCGAACCGTCAAGGTTGCTGTCGTCGGGAGCGGTCTTGCAGGACTCACTGCAGCGTATCTTCTCAAGAAGCCATTACAAGAGGCGGATGTCGACTTCGAGGTGCATGTGTTCGAGAAGGTGCGCCATTCTGCGATTGCGCTTCGAGCTTGGCTTAACGCGTGTTGGTGAAAGGCCTCGTCTATAGGCATGGACTCTGCTTCAATATCTGTTCCAATGTCTGGCGACCAAGAATGGCGTGTCGATGTACCTATGAGATCCTTTCAAGGAGGTGCGTATCTTTCTCATTTCATTTGCATTCCAATCTTAACCCCTTCAAGGGTACTACACCCAGCTTATTGCCCTCTATCGCAGTCTGGGCGTCGACTTTCGACAAAAGAATTTCTCATACTCCTTCTCCGACCTATCTCCTGAGCGTAAAGTGCACCAGCGCTCAATAACGACATCGTTCATATACAACGGTGCCTCTGGGCGCGCGGGGATCAGTAAACCGTCAAGCCTCAGCCCGAGCCCACTTCAGAAGGATCCCAGCACCCTCCTACGACATGCATGGGACATATGGACGTGGCTCCTATATCTAGGAACGGCGCTGCAGGTTGTGTTCTGCTATCTCATCACTCTATATCATGCCCTTCCCTTCTGGAGACCAAGAAATATCCCAGACCTGACTTTCAGAGATTGGACGTCTCGAGCGGCGCCGACGAGTTTTATAGCGAAATCGGTAGGCATGGACACTGCCTGGCAAGACTATATCGAAATGATATTGATTCCTCTTGTGTCCGCCGTGTGCACCTCACCAGAGGATGTTGTGATGGATCATCCAGTCGAGGAAATCCTGGGTAAGCGGCTTGTTACGGAATGGTGTAGTCATCCTCACATGCTTTATAGATTATGTCTGGCTTACTCTCGGGACAAACCACTATGTAGTGGTAGATGGTGTCTGCGACGTTGTCGCTCGTCTGACTGCAGACCTCCACCATATCCATTTGGCTTCACCTATTTTGTCAATAAAGCCTGATCCCCGCGACCCTGGATGCGCCACAATTTCATGTTCCACGGATGGTGAACTCAAAGAATATGGAGGTTTTCGCCACATCGTTTTCGCGACTCAGGCTTCCGGGGCTGTGCCCATTCTATCAAGTTATTCACAATCCTTGGACAGTGACCGAGAAAGCCGCAAACAGATGATTGCAAAGCAAATCGAATGCCTGAAATCATTCCCATATCGTAAATCCATCGTCATCAATCATTTCGACGACACACTTCTGCCTGACAATGCTCAAGACGTGCGGGATCTCAATCTTCTTAATCTCCTGAAGGGCGCTGCCCTCTCTAGTCCTTCGGATTTGCAGCCATCTTTGCCCAAATTTCCGAACCTCTGCGTATCTCCTACACACACAATGGCGACCCACGTTTTGCCTCGTCCGAAAGGCTTTGACGGCAAGAAACCCAGACTTTTTCAAACTACTAATCCCATCATCCCGCCCAAGATGGACACCATCCTGAGCGTCGCGACTTTAGAACGAGCAGTTGTTAACACGGAGAGCAAGAAAGCCCTTCGGTTGCTTTGTGTGGCCCAAAGGCCCAAGTGGTATCAATGCTCATATCAAGCAAAAACACAACTTGGGGAGCTGCAAGGGGGAAAAACAGATTCAGACGGTAGTGAGGCACCAGGTATCTGGTTCTGTGGCTCGTATGCACATCTAGGAATTCCATTACTCGAGGGCTGTGTTATCAGCGCTCGGACGGTGGTGGAAGAAGGGATATTAAGGGGCGAGTGTGTGCGATGGAAAGAGGAGCCATGGACAACATAGGATACATCAGGTCGGGGCTCGGAATACGGCTATACATTGCTAGAACTGCTTCATGTACGGACTTTCTTCTGGATTTCCTTGTGGATGTCGAAGCTCGGACCAGTCTCCAAGCCTAGACAAACGGCATTAGAAATTTACAACACAAAGGAATTTGGACGAACCCATGAACACGTCCGAAGGGTCAATCGTCTCGTCGCGGCCCATGAGGATGTCAAGATGGAGGTTGTTGTGAGGTCCCGCGAGCGTATGCGGCGTCTAGTGGCTACATTAGGTCTGAAGAAAGAAAGTGAAGTAATATCTTCGTTACATTTGAAACAATCTTGCGCTCCATCAGGCGACGCAGAGGAGCGTGCATTCCATAGAGGTTGCGTTCCAAGGTCAGTTTCAGATTATCTTGTGTAGCCTCCCACTATTTATCGAGATGTGAGATTATGCGCCTGGAGGGACAAGGTGTACACACGTTCTCTAGGCGTTCCTTGAGACCACTTTGCGACTTGGTTTCAGCTGCAAGACTGCGAGGGCCATATTGAAGGGTGTCGTGAAGTCCCAAGGAGTTCGTGGTATCCTTGATCGAGGCAGACTTGGAGCCAGTGGCTGGGACGATTCTGAGGGATGGTTCCTACATCTGCAGCTGAGTAGCCTATCGACAGCGACGATGAGCTACGTACCATTGATATGACGCGGTGGTGAAGGACAAGTTGTGAATCTGGACGACGCGTAAGACGCCTTCAATGAGAGTGCACGTGATCCCCCCAGGTCCGATTGCCCCTCTGCTCAGCATCCTGATTACTCCCACTAGTCTGTCGACTGCTCAGCGATGAATTCTCGGCCGTCAAGATCGTCGAGCATTCCCATACCGAGGAGCGCCTCAGCCTCGTCATCTGCGCGCAACATCGAGTCCCTTATATCCATCCCCTTTGTATCCCCCGGAAGCAGGCGCCAACCCCCTTCCCCTGGTCCGGCCAGACAGATGGGTGAACCCCGACGTGTCGGCGTCTCCGATGTATCCAGGTCGTCGTCGAGTACTACTGGTGGCATCTCTATCTCCCCTGCCAGGTCAAGTGTAAGGTCGACATCCATGGTTGGGAGTGTAGGCGGTCGTACGTCTTCCCGTCCCGCATTTGAGCCCAGAGTCGTCCGTGGAACGGCCACAGAGGCCACTCCAGTTGAAGTGGAATGTCCCCCTCAACCCTCTACTTCCCCGTCGCACTTCCGTCGCACGAGCATGGCTAGTGTGAGAGGCCCACCCAAGCCCATCGTACCGCAGCATGTCGTTCGCACAACGCCTGCTGCTTTCCCAAGACCCGCTTACCTCGACCACTCTGCGTTACGACACTTGTTGCAGGTCGAAGGACCCGAGCCTCCTATACCCAGCCGAAGGGCCGATGCCTCTGCGAGCACGACGAGTGCGAGGAATCAAGCGTATGCCAATGCTTTGTCTGTTTCGTCTGACAACGACGACACCCGCAGTGCCTCCTCCTCACCCGTCCCTACGCCACTCCCTCGTGTGGATCAGCCCCTCAAACTACCTACTCGATGGAGCGAACAAGATCGACACACTGGCCTCAGTGTTTCCTCTGACGGACGTGAACTAATATTCAATGGTCCGTTCTTTAATCATTTTCGCGGAGTAGCTGTCCTTATTCACACGGGATTGTAGGACCATCCTGCAGCGCTGAGAAGGAGGCTGCCTCTGCGCGTACAATTTACCCCATCCCTCGAGCGTGTGGTATTTTTTACTACGAAGTCGAGATTCTGGGAAAGGACCAAAAAGCGTAAGTCGCAAGCTGCCCTACGTATTATCTAATTGAAGACCTCTGATAATGCTTCTTAGTCACATCAGCATTGGGTAGGTGTCGGTATATGACCCGCTTTCCTTGTTCTTACTCTATTACAGTTTCGCCAGCAAGTCGGGGAAATTTGTCAGGTTGCCAGGGTGGGATGCGAATTCTTGGGGTTATTATGGCGACGATGGGTGCGCATTATCCCCTGAAAGAAGCGGATTCCAATACGGCCAACCATTTGGCAGTAAGTGAATAAATCTTTATCAGTGTCTTGTGCTTAATTCCATTAGCTGGCGATTTCATTGGATGTGGTATTGACTTCTCCACGTACAAGGCATTTTATACCAAGAACGGAATCCTAATAGGTGCTGCAATAGCTTCGGGCTTTGGCTTTGTGGCGCTGATTCAAGTTTCTCCCTTAGGTCCAGTGTTCGATAATGTTGGCAAAAATGGTGACCTCTTCCCTTCAGTTGGGATCCAGCATACGGGCGAATCAGTTCGCGCCAATTTCGGTCAGGACCCATTCAAATACGATATCGACGATCACGTCCAACAACAACGTAACGTGACTTGGAATAAAATTCTAAGCACATCCCTCAATCGCAGCGTATTGCACGGACGCTACCGCAGGACTGGAGTTGGTTCGATTGCGTCCATTACCAATGACACAGGAGTCCAGCAGTCTCTGACTGAAGAGGAGTCGAAACAGGTCCTTAACCAACTAGTGATGACATACCTTGTTCATCACGGATACGCCAAAACGGCGCATGCGTTTGGAAGGCAGTACGAGGGACGTGATAAAGACCCGTCGAAGGACGCCTCAAACACAAGTGGACACGGTCCCGACGTCGAAATGAAAGCATCATCAAGCACCTCCGAATCTGTGGAAATTGACATTCAATCTCGCACAAACGTCGTGAACTCCGTCCTTGCAGGAGACTTAGATTCAGCAATTGGAACCCTTCAGAAAAGGTATCCAACGGTTTTGGAGGCCGATGACCATATGTTGCTATTCAAGTTGCGATGCCGGAAATTTGTGGAGCTGTTCCTCGAGACAACGGAAATGAAAAAGAGGATGAAGGCAATAAAAGAGAGGGAGCTTGCGAAGAGTAAGGCGCCAGAACTACCTCTGCAGGATACCTGGATGGATGAAGAGATGAGTATGGACATTGATGAAGAACCATCCGTTCCACACCACCGCAGGCCATCGATTGCCCCCTCCCCAATGGACCATACCGAAGAACTCAATGGCAAGGAACTGTGGTCGCCTGACACCATTTCTGCCCAATACGAGTCTGCGTTAAATGCTGCTCTTGCCTATGGCCAAACGTTAACCAACGACCATCAGTCCGACAACAGGCTGGAGGTGCAACAATTGTTCAAGAAAACCTTTGGGATTGTTGCTTTCGAGGATCCGCTCGATCCGAGTTGTCCAGTGGTGGATGTTGCTTCGCACGATTCGAGAGTGGCTCTTGCGCATGACGTCAACCAGGCAATCCTCAGTAAGCACGTCTTGCTTTTCCTCATCGCTCGCGGATGTTGACCAATTCTCCGCCCTTGCAGAATCACAAGGACGTCCAGCACAACCTGCTCTGGAAACTCTGTACCGTCACACCGCCACCGCCATAACCCAACTCGGCTTGTCTGGCGTCGGAGCTGCCGCATTTGCAGACATGTCGAAGGAGTTCCTGCAACCGTAATTTATCCTTGTAACAACTTTTTTCACGACTATCCACGTTCTCTGCCTTTCACACTGACATTTTCCAGAATTCCGTAATACTTTTTGCCCTTTTCACCTTCCCTCCTTGTCTCTGCTTTGAAGTGTTTTCAATTCTTTTGTATCTACAATTATTTGAGCGTGTAACATAATGCGTCTGCTGTACATCCCTTTCAACTCCCTTCTCAGAGGTTATAAATTGGTAGTAATTTATCCAAGGAGAGCGACTGTCGGCACAGCGGACATTCAGCCTGATCGCTGTGTCAGTGAAGGTATTTGATGAATATGGAACAAGTTTACCTTCTCCCTGCCCCATCCCACGATGCAATTCCAACAAAAGAGATGCCCACATTCTGTCGCGCAGCTGTCCGTTCTCTCCTCAAGGCATAGCGTACAGTTCCTCGATTCTCGCAGAACGTCCGGGATGATAGCCACATCCAAAGCCGTTCTTTCGTCTTCTTCCGCTGGCTTCGCGGGCTCACTTTCAGGATTACTGTCCAGCAAAGTAGATATTGGTCTATCGTCGATGTACATTTCGCGAGGTGCAATCGTTCGAACTCGCTGCGTTCCCTGACTGACAGCGGAGGACTCCGACTGGTATTCACGGAGAAACACATGCAAGCGGTGGAGAAGACGGACGGCAATCATGATTCCGAGCAATGAGTATGAAGGAGGTCGTGTATGAGGGTCTTCAGGAACAGAAGATAGCTGGAGGATACTGAGCTCTGTACGAAGAGAAAGCAGCCCGGTACGACGTACATGTTGGATTCCCATTAGCCGTTTGACAAGGTCATAATATGTCCCTCGCAAATAAAATACAGCCAAGTTAACTTCTGTCACGATTGAAAGAGCCGTCGGTAATCTTCTAAACCATTTTGCAACCTCCGGATGTCTGTGGTTTAGTGTTGCACTCTGGCCCCACCTGCCGAGCAAGTAGGGTGGGGCAAACGACATAAATATGAGGATGGCTCGTGATGTTGCAGAGGGAGGCGCTGATCTAGCCCATGAAGAATACTGCCATGTGTCCGTGTATTCTTCTCCGAGTGTCTGAGTAGCTGTAAGATCGGCAAATATAAGAAAGTGAATGGATTTGAGATAAGGCGTTCAGCAGACGTACCTCTACCTGTTGTGAGCCCGTAATAAAGCAGCTTGACCACCAGGTCCAATTCCCTATCCCATCGCATTAGCCATCGAGTCCCTTCAACGTTGGTGAGCTTGTTGAACATATAAGTCATCCAAAACCAACCTAGCCATGCGCGTAAGACGCTCTCGGCTTGATCTTTCAACGAAGAGACGTGATACAAGTCCCTTTGGTTCGCGCGGACTAAAAGGGTCAGCCTTTATGCAAAGGAACGGATTTTCGACGCACTTATTTGAGCTTGCCGGGCACGAGGAAAAACGAGAGTGGACGACGTCGACACGCTCATGGTGGGCCAGTAAGGCAACCCTGTTGACGCCGGTTTGGGCCACAAAAGTTCCGGAACGTTAGCAGCCGCGGCCGTCACTTCAACGTCAACAACGACCTCTCCGACATCGAAAAATCAAGAACTCGATGCCGCCTCCACCAGCTCACTATGGAGAAGGGCCATCTATTTGGCAGAAGAGTATGTTTTGTTGTGATCTCATGGGTCATGCTCTTACGTGTAATGTTATTCTATTTTAGTGAAGTAAGGCGCACAAGTCTGACCAATGCGGAAGATGCTCACGTTCGTTTCCTCAAGGATGGGTGCCATCATGGGTGGTGGTGTTGGTCTCACTATCGGATTTATCTTTGGGTCATGGAGCATTCTGAGGTACGTGGCGAATTGGTCGGTTTGACCGATTGATTAACATTGCAACGCCAGACAAGGAGCAGGCCCTCGCGGATTGCTGGCTACGCTTTCTCAGTACATGCTCAGTAGTGCTGCTACGTTCTCTTTTTTCCTTGCCATTGGTTCGGTACGCGCCAACACCACACCTCCATGTATCGGCTCCTCACAAATCACCTAGGTCATTCGGAGTGATGGTCTTCCTCCACATCTTCAAGCCGCGCAGATGCAGTTCCTTGCTCCTGCATTGTCCGTTCGTTCAAAAGCTGAAGGGGCACAGCTCATGAAAGCGCGATGGGAAGTTGAACGTAGACGGCTTGCTGCATCTAAGGAGTGACCACCGAAATCCCTATGCTGTCGTCTGATAATGCTAATAAACTCATTGGTAGCTAAAAGCAAGGTTATGACCGCGGAATTCTGTCCTCACATGTATCGGTGTGCGTCTACTGGATGACCACTGTTTCTGTCCTACCTTAACATTCTCGTGTAATGACATCCCTGCTCTTCCTTGTTTCATTTTGACATCTCAGCGTGTCAGTTTGTTTTGGATCTTTTCACGACTCCAGAAAAGGGTGATGAAGAACGAAGGAATGGATTGTGCAGAGCAAGCCAACATGCACGGTGGTGTTACATCAAAACATACTACACTACTGTCGAAGTCAAACGGTGAACGCGTCTATGGAAGCGTTTTCCTTGTTGTCTTCCAGCCTGCTAAATTGTTCTTTAGTGAGTACTGCTACCTCTCCATAGACAGGCGGCTAATCACCTTCTTGCCAGCTGTGCCAGCTTGAACGCCTCCTGCAGCCCCGGTCTAGGATTTCTTTGTCAACAACAGCGACTGCTGCTGGCACTTCCTGCGCTCACCTTGGCTCCACCTTTCCCGGCGGCACCAGCTGCTGCTCCAGTAGCAGCATACGTAGCGGTACCAGCTACAGCACCTGTCGCGGCGCCTTGTCCAGCAGCTCCTACTCCTGCTGCAGGGGGCCCTGCAGCACCAGCCTAACATTCATGGTGTCAGTGTGCATGAATTCGATGCAGTCTGCAATGCACGGCACTCACATTGGCTCCTGCAGCTGCTTGCCCGTCAACGGTGACAGTGAACTACAAAATACCAAAACTAAATCAGTAAGGAATGTGGCACTCAGAAGACATTTCGCTCACATAGGCGACATCATCGAGGGAGCCGTGCTGGGCGACAGGCACCAGTACGGGTTGATGATTTGCAGCGGTGTTGATGGACGAGACCTTGTATACGCCGGCAGGAAGACCTCCAGTCACTTCAGCAGTGAGGACACCATTGGAAGCGGCAGCGTTGAGACCCTTGAAGAAAATGAAGTTCTTGGGGTCTGTAGGCGTGGTTTGATCGAGTGCGGAGAGCTGCTCGACGACGACATGTGAGTGGCCGATGATTTGTCCTTGGGCGTTCAGTTGCTGTGGCGCTGCGAAGTAGTTCTCCTGAGCATTCACGAAGGCACCGGTTTGCATGCCTTGGATGGCCATTGTAATGGTGAAGTCTGTGTTAGCCTTGAGGGTATCACCGTTCTTGGGGATCTGGAACTTCGCTGACGGCATGTTATCGTTTGAAGGGATGGCCCCCATGGGTGCAGGATTGCAAGATCCGGTCGTGATCTGTTTTCCATTGGTAATTGGAAGATTTGGGACGGTCAAACAAAAGTTGATGAAGTTATTTGTCGACGTTAGTGAAGCAACTTGACCTGTTCGTATGCCAGTCAGAGAGCGCCTTCTATCTCCAAAGGGAGATTGTTACCTGCTTCAGGAACATCTTGAAAAAGGCAAGTCAGTTGGCCATGATTTTGACGTGTTACCACATACCTTGACCATTGTTTGCAAAGCCGCTGGCAATGACTTTCGGATCGAGAGCTGATCGTTCTTGTTAATTTCACGGGGGTCTACTATGAAGACTTTGACCTACTCAAGGATGTTTGTAGGTCTCCCGTGTTGGCGCTGCCTGCTGTGGCACTAGCAGCAGTGTTGTTATTGCCGTTACCTGTTGCAACACCGGCGGCGGCGCCTCCTGCAGCACCAGCCGCAGCACCAGCACCAATGGCTCCCTAATTTGAGAATGAGGTCAGCAACGACCCTGGGGATAGTGAGAAACTACTCACCACAGCTTTGGGAGTGTTCTTGCTGTTGTTGTTCGCGTTCGCGTTGGTGTTGGTGTTGCCAGCATTCGCGTTCTTGCCAGTATTCGTGCCGGCGTTATTGTTCTTTTGCCCATTCTTCCCGCCGAATCCACCTGAAGATTGGCCAAGAAAACCCCTGTTGTTTCCGAAAATTTTGCCGTTGTTCTGTGCAGCGGCAGCGGCAGACATTGCCAGAGAAATGGCTACCAAAATAGTGGAAGTCTTCATGGTGAAGGGAGTGGAAAATAAAAGAAAGAAGGCAACACCAGGAAAGCAGGACTAGCTGCGATAACGATACCTGATCGCGAAAGTGGAAAGGCAAAGGAAGGAAACGACCTAATAGTAACAAGGGAGGAAACAATGAGAGGAAGTGCCCCCAGGCCATTTTTATACTCGAAATGCCTTGCTCACGATCTCTAATTATAGCCTCTATATAAATAGCATTTGTACGCGACCTTTTTGGCCAGCATCAACCCAGTTTGGTTTTCTCGCTTATGTGTGCCCTTCTTCCACCACGACCGTAATGCCTATTGAGCCATACACCTCAACTTCAGCCTTGCCAAAGATTGCATCACTTCACCCCCTCTGCGCCGGCAAGGCTGGCAAACCAGCGTAAGTCCTATTCTTATCTCATGCCTTCACAACGAGCTATTCTTATACAAATACACCTCAGGCATGTTTATGTAAATGATGCTCCCAATTTTCACCACTCATGTTTCTTGATTTTCAGGGATGATTAAGTGCCCTGTCGCTGCAATTGCTTCGCGCACTCTGGAACACAGAGCAATCCGATAATTTTGACTCAAGTCCAGGATGTCGGGACTCGTTGGGCATTGGTTAGACTGTAAGCACGTCCATTATACCAGCCGAAGTCCTCACCGTCTCAACTTCCAGTGGTGGGACCGGGGATCCGGGGTAAGACGAGGTTGAAAATGCGGGCCTCTGGTTTCCTTGGCGATTCTTGGCATACCCTTCGACGGCGTACCATTTCGCGGGTCCAACAAGATCCAACACCAAAGTACAGCATACCAGAAGAGCCGTTCCTTTGGCGTTGCTAGACGCGTATTTTTAGAACAAGTTGAGGCGCATACTGGCACGTGGAATGTCCTCATCGCCCACCAATGAGAACCATGCGATTGATTGACGTTCCTTGATATAACACACCGCCTACGAGCTGATCCAGAGCCGCGACACCCATACCGCTGATGCCACCATGGCTACGACCACCATCACTGTTGATGCTGTATGTCTCTAAATTCGCTTCCCAACTCGATGTTCTGTTCAACGCTGACTTGACACATAACGTCCTTGCACAGGTCTTGTTCGACATGGACGGGTAACTTGCCACTGGTGCGGACTAGAACGGTCTTGTCTCCTTCCTAGCCCATGCTCACCGTTTCCCCTCTCCAGTAACACGATTTCCTCACACCCTGAAAGGAGTCTTAATGGTACAGCACTCTAATCGACTCCACTCCGGGCGTCTTGAAGGCCTGGGAAACCTTCAGCATCGATTATAACCTCGGCGATTCCATTGCGATAGCGCATGCAACACACGGGCGTCGTCTTTATGATACATTGAAGGAGTACTGTGGAATCATTGATGAAAACCGTCTGTTGGTTCGTTGTTTACCTTCGTATTCAGCCCAAGAGGATCCGCCTGAATGGTAGCCCTCTTCACAGGAAGAAGTCGATCGTTTCGAAGACGAAGTCATCAAAGGAGGCCCGACAGCTCTACCAGGTGCCGTTGACCTGTTGGCGAAGGCAGGGGTTTCGAAAGGATTTCGTTTGACGTCACTTTTCTCATTCCGAATAGTTATCATCACACCCAACGAGTAGTCCCAAATGGACAATCGTGACGTCTGGTGCGCCCATTTCTGTTCGTGATCATAAAATTTCATTGACTTGCCACAGCTTCAAACAAATACGCGCCGAGGGCTTTAGAGCGCTCCGGGGTAACCCTTCCTTCCTGTCAAGTGATTACATCCAACGACGTTGCGCACGGAAAACCGCATCCCGCCCCGTACTTGGCGGGTGCCACGGCGTGTTTAGCTGATCCCACAAGTTGTGAGGCATTAAAATTTCACTCTAGCTCGCTCTCCACTAATTCTCTACAGGCTTAGTTATCGAGGATGCAATCTCAGGCTTGAAATCAGGTTGTGCAGCTGGGTCTCGCACGCTAGCTGTATGTACGTCCACGAAGCGGACGACTCTGCTGGAAGGCGCAAAACCAGATTTTATCGTCGACGATCTTACGAAGTAGGTGCTACATCTGTGTGCCATCTCCTCCCGAAAGATGTCGTTTATTGATGCATTCCCTTCAAGGGTCACTGTGGATGTAGTCGATGATAAGATCCAAGTGACCATCCACCACTCTTGATTCTGCGAGATTAATTGCATCTGGGTTCACGAAAACCACTGTATCACAACATCCACCAAATATCAAGTTGAACGCCAACAACACCGTTGTGTACGGCCATACTGTACATCAGGTCGTCTAATTCGAGACCCAGAATGGGGGATCATCGATCATATTTACACGATCGAGTGGGCGCTAAAAACGACGCCACTCCATTCTCTTTTGAGGCAGAAAACAAAGAAAACAAATATTTCCGTCCATTATCCCCCAGGATTCAAAGAATTCTACATGCAAGCCTCAAACATGTCAGGGAGCGCCGTCGCCACAAAGGAACATCCGATTGGTTGTGCACCGCTCGGCGTCATTTCCATGATCCGTTCTTTCAGGTCTGTCGTGATGCCTTGGTGATGCCGACTGATGCCCCTCCTTCGCGCTGATTCTGTTGAAACATTCATCCGGTACGGCATTTGATCTCGGCATCAGGGTCGCCAGATGGCATATAAAGGCCGCTCAGTGGGTTTATCGAACCCTGCCTTTTGTCACTGGCCCCGGATCGTGGTAGTACCTCCTTCCCTCTCTCATTACTGAGCCTCTCGACGACCTGGTGTCGATCAGCCCATCTCTAGCCCACTAATCTCTAACTGTTCACGTCATCCACCTCACGATGAAGTTCACGTTTGGATTTGTCACCTTGGCTCTTGCGCTGAGCGCTTCAGCTCTTCCAGTTAGAATTACCAGGAGGGCACAAGACCTACAGAATGGCCCGGATGCCATCGCTCAACTGTATGTTCCTTGCCATTTTAGGCCGATTTGTGCTCATTATGCCCACTGTAGTGAAAAACTAAAGTCAATCACGGCGGATGTGTGTGGCGAGCGGCATTGCTCTGATAAGTTGAACGCTGCTGTAGGTTTTACTTCATAATTTCGACAATCAACATTCTGAATTGTTTTGTGTAGCCCGTTGAACCTCGTCAAAACCGTGGTCAGGTAAGTCAAAAAGACTTAGGATTGATCTTATGGCCAATGTTTGCGTAGGGTGGCCGAGGACAAGGGCGCGGACGCGGACGCGGCGGGCAGAGGAACGGTAACAACAACGGCGGCAACAATGGTGGCGCTGCCGCTGGTGCAGGTGCAGGTGGTGCTGGCGGTGCTGCTGGTGCTGGTGCTGGTGCTGCTGCAGGCGGTGCTGGTGCTGCTGGTGCAGGTGCAGGTGCTGGCGGTGCTGATGCTGGTGCTGGCGGTGCTGCTGGTGCTGGTGCTGATGGAGCTGCGGGTGCGGGTGCTGCTGCTGGAGCTGGTGCAGGCGGCGCTACTGGAGCTGGTGCAGGCGGCGCTACTGGAGCTGATGCTGGCAACAACAATGGCGCTAACGCTGGAAATAACGGCGGCGCTGACAATGGTGCTGCTGCTGGCGCTGGCAACAACGGTGGCAATGGCGGCGCGAACAACGGCGGTGCGAACGCTGGCGGCGATCCCCAAACATCGTTGAGTAAGTTAAATAAATTGTAATTGCTTTGGATGTTTGTCTTACTTTTACATTTTTCTAGCCCTGGACCCGGCTGTTATCGCTCAAGGCTTTGCCAACGATGGACAAGACCAACCCGCTGATGGTTCGTGTTCTTTGCCCCTTGGGCGACAATAATATTTTAACTGTAATCTCTTTCTACCGTAGGTCAAGTTGCATCTTTGACTTCGACCAACAACTTCATCAACTTTTGCTTGACTGTCAACCAACCCCTGACCAATGGTGCCCAAGTGGCTGGTGGGTCTTGCAACCCAGCACCAATGGGGTCAATCCCGTCCAAGGAAAAGATGCCATCGTCGAAGTTCGTCTTCCCCAAGAACCTTGCGACCGTTCCGGCGAACCAGAAGTTCACAATCCAGATGGCTATCAAGAATCTCGAGACCGGAAACTTTGTTAACGCTCAGCAAAACTATTTCTCTGCCCCTCAACAACTCAATGCGCAGGGCCTCATCCGCGGCCACTCCCATGTCGTCATCGAGCAGCTCGAGTCTTTGGAACAGACCACCCCAACCAACCCCGAGGCCTTTGCTTTCTTCAAGGGATTGAATGCTGCTGCTCAAGGCGGTATTCTCACTGCCGATGTCGATGCTGGGCTCCCTGCCGGTGTTTACAAGCTTTCTTCTATCAACACCGCTTCCAACCACCAGCCCGTCCTCGTTCCGGTTGCCCAGCACGGTTCCTTGGATGACGCTATCTATGTGAGTATTCTCCTTCGCGTTCGATTTCGGCTTAGTCTAACGCTTTACCAACCTAGTTCACTGTTGCATAATTGGTTCGTTAGAGCATTAGTGATACCCTGCATAATTTAGTTACCCGGAATTTGTTTGCGAGTTCATCACAATTCAAGGCTTCGTGTTATTATAAATGAGATGTGGGATTTGAGAAGAAGCGCTTGCGCATTATGGATGTCCGATGGGCTGGTGTCCCAGTTGTCGTTTTATTGCAAGGTTATAGATAGCATCTACGCAATGCGCCGAAAAAAAGCAGGTTCAAGAACATGGTCAGAATGCAGGATCTATTTAGCAGGCTCAGCATCTTCAAGAGGCGGGGGACCATCATCGTCCGAGTCGTCGTCGTCGTCATCTGCAGGAGCAGATGATCCCGACGGTCCTGCGCCCAGGTCGCCGAAACCACCTCCTGCGCCACCAGCACCCATCTGGGCCATCATCTACAACACGATGTCAATATAATCCGCGTGGCAAGTTTTCAGCTATACTCACTTTCTCGAAGTCCATCCCTCCACCCATACCACCCATACCACCCATGCCTCCCATGCCTCCCATAGCACTCATGGGGTCCATATCATCAGGAATATCATCCTTCGCACCATCCTGCTCATCTTCATCGACCCATTTGCTGAAGTCGGTCTTGAGGAAAGCATTTTTTACCTTCTCTTTTGTGAGCCTTGGCCAGTATTCAAGCTTCTGCTCTTTCTTGCGAATGATGAGGTTGAAAGATCGAGAGTTGAGTTTTTTCACAGATTTCTGAGGAATGAGAAATGGAAACGTGTAAGTCGTGTGAAAAGATAGAAACCGTTTATTGGACGAACCTCTGGGACGACCTCGCTGAAGAACTCGAGGTCAAAGGCATACTCTTTTGGTTGGCTGTGGGAGATGTGTAAGATAGGCGCCGATGAAGACCAAGGAGCCTTACTCGAGACCAGCCTTGGCCTTGAAAGAGATGGTGGTCGGGGTCAGGTTGTACTCGAGAGAGTTTTCGACGACGTCTGGCAGATTAATGGTGATAAAGAGAATGTTCTGCGGGGCGCGACAAAGGTAGACGCGTCAACAACTGATGATCGCGATAGATGTAACGAACGAACCTTCTCTTCGTCGGTTTCAGAGCTTCGTTGAGCCCAGAGGACTTCGGGGTGTTGGACCATCGCGTCTGTGGCGTGTAAGAGGGGCGAAGAGAGGTTTAAGAGCACACCGTCTGTGGAACCCTCCAGAATCTTCCCCGCATCTCCGCCGGCAAACGGCGTTCCCCTGCCGGCCGGCATGTCCGTCATATGCCCGAGTCCGTCATGCCCTTGACTTGAACAACGATGTGGTATGAGTCTGCTCAGCGTCGTAGTTGTGCTCTGCTCACTCTCTGCTAGGTGCACACGATGGTTTCTACCGCTTCTTCTTCTGCCTTTGCCAACAGCTCCGCCTTATTTCCTAATTCTGTTCCTCCTCTCACTTACTATGCATGCAAAGCCTTGGTGAGCCATCATTCTCCACTCTCTTTGGCCTGGCTAATCATACTCCAGTTTTTATTGCATAGTTCTGCTCACCACTCTTTTCATCTCTTCGTGCTACTGGCAGCCGTTCCCTATCGACAGCCCGCTTACCACTCCTTGGGCAGATAACATCACCACTTTCTCCGATGCTCTCAATGCAACACTCTCCTCAAACTACACCAAGCCTCTACCCCCCGTCATGCGTGCTGCTGACCGTTGCTGGTGTGATTTCTCTGGCGGTGGCTTATTTGAACCGTTCAATGTCTCGCGTTGGGAGTATAACAGCGTCCGGCGACTAAGTCGTGAACTTATTCGCCAGGCCAAGGCTGTCGAAAAAGCGAACCAGGACACACAACAAGAGTCTCCCCAATCCAGCATCTCAACCGAAATTCCTACGCCTACACCTACGCGAGCTACCCTCAATCCAGAGAACGTTTGGTGGCGCTTGTTTCACAGGCCAACACCCTCCACGAGTTCCGCAGACCCGACCATCAACCACCCGGTAACTGCAATGAGCACTCAGCAGCCAGCGACTATGACGGAGCAACGAACTCAGGTTGTTTCGACTCCAGAGTCGACCACCCAACTCCCCCTTCTTCGGAAACAATATGACCTACGGCGGTATGGAGTCGGGTTGATTATCGATTGGAGTTGGTCAACGTAGTCGAGCGGTTGGCGCGGAGACGCAGGATGTATTGCACGCCCATAGAGGCTTCTTGGTATTGGTCTGGAGCAGGTAGTTCATGTATATTGTAGCCCTAGCAATCAGTTTTTCATGAACAAGCGAGCATCAACGCGACAGGCTGCAGAGCGTGGGAACGCAGTCCAAAAGAAGGGTGGCTCCGACTGTGAATTGGACCGCGACCACCATCGACGTCAGAAACCGGCTTCAACAAATTTCTCTCCTTTAACCTCCTCCTCCGCAGTTGCTGTCCGGATTTCTACCTCAGCATGGGGTCAGAGTCTAGGGGACGCTCAACCGAACAGCGCCGCCAGAAAGCGTGGGTTGGCGCAGACCGTCCGACCCCCGAAGGAGCCTCAACGTCCTCAAGCGGTCTCAGCAAGCTTGAAATTGTCCAGAAGACGCTGATGGCTCCTTTTACACACAAGAAGGCAGACTCTACTCGTATTCTATCAGACCGTACGTTGTCAGATTTCATATACCTTCGCAATATTTGTTTCCTCACACCGAATCCTGTCTCTTTAGTCGCCCCCGTGATAATGACCCCTCGCATGATGAACTCTGCAGCAACTGTGTCGTCCAAACCCCGCGCTTCGGTTGGAGGCTCATCCATGTCTAGCGCAAGACTAGACTTTGCCACTCTCGGACGTGCTCCACTACGATTAGGACTGGGCTCAAAGCGCATCACATCGGGTGATCTCCAAATATTCGAGGCAGCTGAAGAACTACTGGAGGCAGAAATCCCGGAGCCCACCGAAGCTGCGTCAAATTTTAGTTTGCTACGAGGTTTCAACGCGACTATTCCGAGCTCCGAGCAGAGCAAGACGAGGAGACGACAAATGCGGAATGTTGACACACCGCGCCTTGGCTTAAAGAAGCTCGGTATGACTGCACGAGGACTACTTGCAGATGACGAGGATGAAGGACAGAGTGTGGCCAGTGAAGATGACGTTGTGGTGGTCCGGAACACGCTGCCCGGACAGAAGAAAAAAGGGAGGGAAAGCCTAAGCGCCGCGAAGACGCTCGGAGTAGAAGAGCTGACGCGACAAACGCAAGAGATTATGCGGGACAAGGAAAATATCCACGTCAGGAAGGTATGAGATCGCGTCTCTAAAGGTTCTGTCGCCGTGTCTCATCCGACGAGCAGAGCTTGGTTAATAGCGAAGTCGAGGAAATTACGCATAAAATCCATGCTCTTGACGGGATCAGAGCAAAACTTGAACAGGATCTGCTCAAGCTACAGGAGGACGAGCTGGAACTGGATGACGAACGTACGTGAAGCAGCTCTTCTCCTCGGACTAGCTTTGCTCATCTCCCTCCTAGTGGAAGGTGTGAAGGAGAGGATGAAGTTCGAGCAACTGTCTGGTCGCCCGGCTGATCCTTCGGTGCAGAATCTACACCTGCCTCAAAGCTCCCGTCGTCGTAAAGGTCAGCATTCAATGTAAGTATTCTCTTGTTAATTTCTCACAATCAACATCCGATAGGTCCAGCATTCCTCCCTTCCGAACACGACGAGCTCCCTCCTGGTGTCGCGTTCATGGTACTTTTTGCCAGCACCATTGTAATTCTTCTACTTATCCATCTTTAGACTCTGGATAGTCATACCACGCCTATCATTGCTCTGGACTTCTCAGAGCCTTATGGCACTCTTGTCAGTGCCTCCCAAGAAGACGCGCAACCTCGTGTCTGGGACCTCCTTTCTGGTGGGGAAATTGGCAGACTACGCGGCCATATCGGCGCTGTTCACTGCTTGCAAGTCGAGGATCATGTGTGTCTGACAGGTGGTGCGGATGGGAACGTCAGGTTGTGGGATCTCAGACGTGTTGATGACGATGATGGCTGGGGCGAGGGCATGGTACATCTGAGCGATGTACAGGAGGAAGACGAGGACGGCGATGAATCTCAGCCACCCAATGGCATCCGGTCATCGTCGGAACAGGCTCCTGCCGAGAGCGCGTGTGCTAGGCTTCTGGAGGGGCACACGCAGGTTGTGACGGCGCTATATTTCGAAGACGAATGCCTAGTAAGAAGGGGGTTGCTTTTATTGCTCAGTAGGACTGACGCTCTTTACAGGTGACTGGCGCGTCAGACAAGACCCTGCGACAGTGGGACCTTACGACAGGGCAATGCGTCATGACCATGGACATCCTCTGGGCCATATCACATCCGCCAACAGGAAATCTGTCTGCCTCACTTGCTACTCAGTCTTTCCCTGGCAGCTTTGCTGTTCAAACACCGCCGTATGCTGATGGAACGAGAGAGATCTACGAGGACTTCGTAGGCGGTGTCCAGTTCTGGGGCTATGGGCTCGTCAGTGGAAGCGGAGATGGTGCTGTCAGAATGTGGGACAGTAAGTCGACTCATTAGGAATCACGGACCTACATTGTTGATACTGTGATATAGTGCGGACTGGTCAAGCTCACAGAACGTTATTGGGTCATACTGGCCCGGTAACTTGTCTACAGTTTGACGAAATCCACATTGCCAGCGGCAGTCTGGACAAGACATTAAAGGTACATGGTTGTTTTTATTCTCTTTCTGTGCTCATCGCTCGATTTTCTTGCAGGTCTGGGATCTTCGGACTGGCGGTATCTTCGAAACCATTCAATTTGAGCACGCAGTCACTGGACTGCAATTCGACACTCGCAAGATCATTGCCGCGACTGGTGAGAATGGCGTTAAGGTATATTCATTCCACTTGCCACTTCATCTCTTATATCGACCAACTATTTATCCTAGATCTACAATCGTACAAGCTCACAAAAGTCCACCCTTCTCACCAATGGCCATACAAGACCCGTTGAACGACTCCGGTATATGGACCGCTATCTCGTGACGGGTGGCCGAGATGCAAAAGTTAAAATATGGTCGTTATAGTATATAGAGTGCCAATATTAAATCACTAAATAACAGGCTGCGTCATCTACAGATGCAAGATTGAAACGACAGATCGATTCTGATAGACGGGCCAGATATGCCAGGGAGAAGAGAACGGTCACCTGATCAGGCCCCAGGGTCGCGTCGTTCGTGTTCTCCAACTACCTAAATTGGTTATTGGCTTTTGCTGCTCCCCACCACCTCAACTGGTACACTCTATCCCCTTCTGCTCGAACTTCACGCCTATTGCAACATCCGCCTCTGACAAGAAAGTGAATGATAACCAACAACTCCAAGAAAACTCCTGTACAGCTTGATTCACCACGTCGAGTAGAACCTCGGCATGTTGAAGTCATTCCAGACAGCGAAGAGGAGCGTCGGGAGTGAGTAAAGCATCTTCATACTCCCACTCTGGCTTATTTCGATCATCGATAGACGTGCTTCCTCGACAAAGAAACACGGTGAAGTAATTGAAATATCCTCTGATTCTGACGAAAGGTGTGCTGGAAAGGTCTTATTTTGTTGTCCTTTGTTTTTAAACAGCCTGCCAGTGATGAGGACTATCGTGGAATGAATGGAATCTCAAGGTGTTTCTCACATACCCTTTACTGAAAGGATCGTCACTAACAGCAGCCTAGCAGCATGGGAGGCACTGTCCAGACACCCAGGAGGCCACTTTATTCAATCCGTCGAATAATCGAGAGTTCTGGCGAAGAGGATAGCTCTGAAGTTGACGTTATTGAGCTCACAGATGATTCAGATGAGGAAGTTGTTGTTCAGCTCCACCTTCCCGACCCTGGGTCTAATGCCACAGTTCCACAAGAGCGGTCACAAACTCCTCCACATCCATATATGCCGAGAGTCAATGACGGTGTCATCGTGTTGTGCGTTCCTTGCTCTACATATTTCATAATACCTGATAACATCATAGTGATGAACCGAGAAATGCGAAGACACCACTGCGAACCTCCATAAAGAAGAAACAGGCTTTCGTGAATACTCCCACCAAAGGCACTAAAGTACCTTTGAATGGCGATGAAGACGGACCCAACATTCCGAACAAAAATGTAGCCACCCGCATTACTGGACCTCCAGCTTCAGGAGCAAGATTGACTCCTGCCACCCAACGTCAAGCTGCAAATGTCACTCCTCGAACCCCCCGTACTACTACCAAGAAGGCCCAGAAGCTTGCAGAGCAACAGCGACTCCGTGACTATGCTCAACATCTCTTCACTGAACTCAACGAAACTGTCTTTGATCAAGGACTGCCCGGCGATACGAAACTCAATTGGAGTAAGAGATTGTTGACAACTGCTGGAAGAGCCAGGTTTCATCGGTCAGGCTAAATGCATGTGCTGAGAAATATGTTCTCCTGAAGTCTTTCTCAGGTCGAAAGAAGGGGTGCAGAGCACGGAAATAGAGCTGGCGGAGAAGATTCTTGACTGTGACGGTGGGTCCTCATTACCTGGTCGTTGAACTCCTCTCAATCCTCTATATCCCATAGAACGGATCAGGAACACACTATCGCATGAAATGTGCCATTTGGCCACATGGGTTATCGATGATAACTTCAAAGAGCACCATGGCAAGGTATTCAAGAAATGGTCAGTTTTAATCACCTTCTGTCGACCTTGACCTTGGAATGTTTTCCCTAGGGCGGGCATGGTCATGAAAGAACACCCTCATATCCATGTCTCGGTGAGTAGCTCATCTTCATAGGAGCAACATGCATGAATTCATTCTTTGATAGATCAAACACGACTATGAGATTTCGTATCCCTTCGAATGGAGTTCGTTCTGCTTCTTCCGAATATCTCTTCCCCTCTGACTGGCCTCCCTAGAATGCGAGAAGTGCGCCAAGGTGTAGGTGATAAAGCCAAGTTTGCGGCGGGATTTCTAACAAGCTTTCTTCTCTAGTTATGGTCGCTTCACGAAGTCCATCCGTCCAGATGAATGCGGTATGGATTTTCGTCCCCGATTCTGCTTAGGACGTATGGTAACTTTGGTTAACTTACAGTCTGCGGCGCTTGTAAAGAAGGGAGGCTAATCCCGCAATTCACGACCAGGAGCGTGAAAAACACTCCAAAAGTGAGTCGGTTGGCAGCGGCGAAACCACAGGGTGAGTTTGATTTCTTGCAAGTTCTACCTTGTTCGCTAAAATAAGACCAGATTCACCCCGTGCTGTACAAGACAAGGAACGTGCCGGAGCGGCAGCAGACTCGGATTCAGAGGATTTGGTGATCGAAATTCTGACGAAGACTTTGGCTTCTACATCTCTCGTTTTATAAACTGTCATTTATGCAACAGTTTTTGGATATACACAATAGTGAAGGGTGTATCAGGATACCCAAGATACTACAGTATATACAATTACAGCAGGTTATAAAGTTATAGATACATAATATAAACACTCTCCAGGAAACCACGGGTATATCAGTTGGCACGACGAACGAAAATAGGCAACCTGGTGCCTACACTCCACTCCCCGGAGACATAGGGCCGCGTCAGAATGGAATTAAACTTGCTGATCTTGACATCCTCAGCAGGGCTGAATTCGTAGCTGGCGATGAGCACCACCAGGAAAATCTTCATCTCCGCAATACTGAACCTATGTCCCAAGCAAGAGTGAGGTCCGTAGCCAAAGGTCATCAGGTTATTGAGACCTGGCTTAGAGGGATCCCACTCTTGCACATCCTTCCATCGATCGGGGCTAAAGAAATCGTCAGTGGATTGGGGTCATGAATCAAACAGCAACTCACTTAAATTGAAGAGCATCTTCGCCCCATACACTCTCACTGTAGTTGAACCCTTCAATGGGGATATGCACATAGCTGCCTTTCCGGATTTTGACGTACGATTGCTGTTCGCCTTCAGCTGCAGTCTTGCCATTCGCCAACGTAACGGGATGAGAAACGGGGATGTAATCATCCTGGACGGCAACACGAATCGTGGCATGCACAGGAGGGCAGAATCGCAACGTTTCGCGCACGACCGCGTCGAGATAATACAACCCTTCAATGGTCTCCAAACGGCCTTTGGGAGGACAGGCACAGAGGGTTGCCCAATCGTTGGGTCTATGAGGGCGTGGGTTGCAGGTGGTGCACTCATGGAAGCCTGAGTCTGCGGACGCATCCGAGAGATATCCATCATCGGCATTGTATATAGACCGTATCTCTCGTCTCAACCGGGTTTGAACGACGGGATACAGGGAAAGGAAGTGAATACACCATGAGAGAGCCATTGACACAGTGTCCGAACCGGCGAGCAGAAAGGTTGAACATTGGTCGAGGAGTTCTTGATCAGTCAAACGCTTGGAAGAGTCTTCCGAAAGATTTGATTTTACTGGTGGTCATCAGTACCATCCGGTAGAGAGTGTCCTGAAAGCACGTACTGAGTAGTGTGAGCAAATCTTTGCTTTCATTGCCGTTCTCTTGCGCGTCGAGATAAGCAGCTTTATTCTCGGCGACAATTTTCTTGCCAGCTTCTGCGATGACACGAAGGGAGACATTTGTAACGGCAATGTCCTCCGTCACCTATTATAAACGAATCAACGCTAACTTATTTAGGGGCAGCCGAGAAAATAGCTCACAAAGATTTTCCTCGTGATGGGGAAATACAATTCCAGAATCTCCCGTAACCCTAGGCCTTTGTCTGCGATATCAAACATGCGTCTGTAGGCGGTATAAACCTCCTCCGAGTCGTCTTGTATTGAATGAAAGTCGTAGTTGAATCCGGCGAGTCCAATCACGTCAAATGATGCACGAGAGATCCAATGGGCAAGATCGACAACGGCACCAGCCGAAGGTGTTGAAGCACGACATCCCTCTTCTTGTTTAATGGCGACTATAACGACATCCTTCCAGCGCTCAGACAGCTCTTCCGCTTTCTGGAAGAGGACGGGAGTCATGTTTCTGATCGATTGATAGGTGAATGCAGGAGCAATGATTCTCCTTTGCATTCGATGTTCAGGGCCCTCCATTGAAAAGATACCTAAATACGGTCGAAGACGGGTCGCAATCGTCGCAGAGAACACACACACCTCTGCCAATTAGTTTGCCCAAAAAAGAGCGTGTTTGCCACGGTTTCTCATAAGCGGGTGAACTGAGGATATGCACAATGGATCGAAAGTCGAAAGTCATTAAACGATAATCGTGCTGCAAGCCGGTTAGAAGGATGCTAATAGAAAGGTTGAACAAAGTCGCACTCTTCCAAATCCATGGAATCTAAACGTTTCTCCAAAACGGGCTCGCCAGTCGCGGTGTGTGTCGGCACTTAAACCTGGACTGAGGAAAATAGTCAACAAAAAGGAACACCAGCGAAAGAAGTATCCTAACTCCATGACTTGGCGGAGATGCGTTTGAAATATTGCACCATCGGGCCCTGGTATATGCCTGAGAGGATCCGAGAGGGGCCTAATACATATCATGTTGATGAACCAGATGAGACCGCGAAGGATGACAGTGAGCACGGCGACGCCGCATATCTTGAGGAGGAGGATGGGGAGGTCGTGGACGCCATAGGAGGAGACGAAAGCGTTCATTGTGGTTAAGGAAAGAGAGGATGCAGGGCCATTTGTTCTGTCAAGCGTGAAGCGGGACCCACAGAAGACAAGGCGGTGATCAGCACTTCCCTCTTCGGGACTCCCTTTCATCCCAAGTTGGCACAAGGGCTTTCGGGCGGAGACAGAACTTTATTCAGGTCCTGTACAGACGATTACCTAAGCTAACACCCCACATCATCGAGCAGGACATCGGCAAAGGTAGCTTCAAGATCCTCGGGCACCGTCAGTCGTCTCTCAACCTCCCTCTCCATCCCACTTACGCCTCTGTATTTCAGACTCGCTTTCATCTAAAATGACACACGACGCCGTCTGGTTCTCACGTCCCCGCAAATTCGGAAAGGGCAGCCGTCAATGGTACGGCTACCAATCTTCACAAACGTTGGCAGATGCTGAAGGCGCCTTCATAGCCGTCTCTGCGCCCACCAAGCCGGTCTCATTCGCAAGTACGGCCTCGATCTCTGCCGTCAATGCTTCCGTGAAAAGTCTGCTGCAATCGGTTTCGTCAAGGTGAGCGGAACTAATATTTCGCGAGGAATATTATTTGTTGAAGGACTTTACTTCCGCAGAGCCGGTGAACATTGTTTAGCTAGCGTCACTACAACCTCTCTACTGGCACAATCGATTTCATTGCTCTTATGCCTTACCTGCAAGAAAATCTATGTCTCGTATTTGCGACTAGGCGTACACTTCTACAAAAATCGCTGTAGCGCTTATGGACTGCATTCAAGCAAAACTGGTGACCAAAGTCGTACAGGAAGTTCGGTGCAGGAGGGTGATGTATTGAGGAATGCCTTCAGAAAGAGAATGAAACTCGTCTTTGGCATTGCCCGACAGGAATAAGGAGTCGGAATCGTTGTGCTCTTAAGAGGCTTGTTGGATAAGTGTGATATTGTCCCCCTTGAGAAGAATACGCCCTGAATTGAATATGAAGTTGAGGGGATTGATAGTTAGAGCACATTGAGCGTTGGCATACCTAGCTCCCTTCTTGGCTTGGCATCCTTGACGTAGACCTCTGCAGCCTCGTCTATCACCACATTCATAAATTCATCGAAACCCTGTTGACATCTGCGGTCAGATGTGAGAAGCGGGGCGAACGACAGGAAACCAACGATGATTCTGCCTTCTATCCGCATTTCAATGTTATCGTACAGCCAAATCACGATCTTCGTTCGCTATGCACGGGTGTCAGATAGGGACGATACAGAGCGAAGGCCGACGTTTACTTGTTGAAGATTTTTGAAAATGACATTCTAAGTGGATGGTCAGCAGATTGAAGCGCCTGTAGATGGAAGAACATACGATGGGTTGTACCATCACGCGTTGTTGGCGGCCCGACATCTTGACGATAGTTTCTGGATAGTCGCGAAAGACGTTGGTCAACGAGATGAAGTTCGACGCGAAGTTCAAGCAGGGTCGGCGCTGAGTTCAGAGCCACTGTTTGTGGTTAGGGTTTGTGTAAAACCGGTGCACGTGACAGTGACTTTGCTTGACGACTTCGGACTTGGCCATTCAGGCGACGCGTAGCAATACCACCACCATGGAGGTGATGCATTTACGTCTATTGCATATCTGAGTTGTACTGAATGCACGAAACAGGTTTTTGCACCTTCAAACTCCTCGACTGCTGCGGCAGTCACATTCATCACATTCGTCCAAGACCTCAAGAAGAAGACGAAAGCATGGGGCCCAATGATTGAGCTCTGTGCAAACGGAGAGAAGACCCTAGAGCGCTTCAGATACCAGTTCCCAGAGGACTGGCTATACAGTGACCAACTACGTGGCGAATGGAGTGCTTACAACGAGATATTGAAGAGGAAAAATGACTCTATCCAGGAGCAACTTGGTATGCCATGTCACGCCTCCGATGTGCGGTTATGCTTACCAATTTCTCGGTAGCTGGACTGCAATTGAAGATTGTGGCGGAAGACAAGATTGTGGAGAACAAGATCAACGACATACTGCAGGAATGGGAACAGACTCGTCCAGTGCAAGGGAATATGAGGGCCGACACTGCAATGAACACCATTAACGTCTTCGAGGGAAAGCTCAACCGCGTGCAAGAGGAGTACGACCTCGTCTGTCGTGCAAAGGAAGCCCTGGACCTCGAATTAACGCGTCACACACGTCTCGAGCCTGTTTTTGAAGAGTTACGCGACTTAAAGGCGGTTTGGACGGCTCTCTCTGGAATCTGGGGCCAAATCAGCGAGCTGAGGGAGCTTTCGTGGGCTACGGTGCAGCCGAGGAAGCTGAGGCAACAAATTGATGGCCTCCTTACTTCCACCAAGGAGATGCCGACGAGAATGAGGCAGTATGCTGCTTTCGAATATGTGCAGGAAATCCTGCGGGGCCTGCTCAAGTCCAACTCCCTCGTCTCTGAGCTCAAGTCTGAAGCTCTCAAGGATCGCCATTGGAAGCAACTCCTCAAGAATCTCCGGCTTCCATCTCAGATTAGTTTGCCCTAGTGAGTAACGCGGTTCCTGACCTATGCCCTGTTTAATGGATGTGCATTTCTTAGTATGACACTTGGACATGTTTATGATTTGGATTTGAAGAAGAATGAGAGCTTGATCAAAGAGGTTATCATACAGGCTCAAGGAGAAGTAAGTTTCTATTTTCGTTGGACGGCGTCTTGCATTCAACTTATTTGGTAGATGGCCCTCGAGGAGTACATCAAGCAAGTGAAAGAGACTTGGACAAGCTATACCCTGGATCTAGTCAATTATCAGAACAAATGCCGTCTCATTAGGTACGGTCAGGTTCAGATTCCCCAATCTTGTTAAGTGACATATCTTTCCAGAGGTTGGGATGACTTGTTCAACAAGTGCAGCGAGAACTTGAATTCACTCACTGCCATGAAGTTGTCGCCATACTACAAAGTCTTTGAGGAGGAGGTATCTTGCCATCTTTCAATTTCGTGAATGGTCGACTGAATTTGTTTGTAGGCCGGATCTTGGGAGGAGAAGCTCAACAGAATTCACGTTCTCTTCGGTGAGCGCCCCGCGGGAAACGAAGTCCATGTGTACTCATGACATGCTAGATGTCTGGATCGATGTCCAGCGCCAGTGGGTTTATTTGGAAGGGATCTTCTCCGGCAGTGCCGACATCAAACATCTTCTTCCCGTCGAAAGCGCTCGCTTCCAGAACATCAACTCCGAATTCCTGACAGTTATGAAGAGGGTCTACAAATCTCCCTTCGTCCTCGATGTTCTCAACATCCAGGGAATCCAGAAGAGTTTGGAACGTCTCGCAGACCTTCTTAACAAGATACAAAAGGCCCTGGGTGAATACCTGGAGAGGGAACGGTCCTCCTTCCCTCGATTCTATTTCGTGGGAGACGAGGATCTTCTTGAAATTATCGGTAACAGCAAAGACATCCTTCGCATCATGAAGCACCTCAAGAAGATGTTTGCTGGCATCTCAACAGTTTCCCTTGACGAGGACATTACACAGATCCAAGGCATGGCGTCTAGAGAAGGTGAAGAGGTCCCTTTTACCGAACCAATCCTCTTAAAAGACTTTCCCAAAATCAACGATTGGTTGGCGAGAATCGAAGCGATGATGCGCTTGTCGCTAGCCAACCTCCTTACAGATGCCGTCACGGAGCTCCAAACCTTCTATGGCAAGGGCGCCCTTGATGCAGACCAGTTCATGGCATGGATGGAGAAATATCCTGCTCAGTTAGTTACGCTCGCTGTCCAAGTCGCCTGGACTGCCTCTGTTGAAGGCTCGTTGGAATCGTCACAGGTTCCGGCTGCCTCTCTGGAAGTCATTCATCAGGCACTCGACCTTCTGGCAGACATTGTATTGAAGGAACTCCAGCCTGTTACTCGTCGTAAATGCGAACACCTCATCACCGAGCTCGTACATCAGCGGGACGTCACTCGAACTCTTATCCAGCAGGGCGTTCTCGACTCTAAGAACTTCACCTGGCTTTACCAAATGCGATTCTATCTCGACAGATCGATCGAAAATCCCTTGGACCGACTTGCGATCAGAGCTGCAGACGCGACATTCCCATATGGTTGGGAATATCTTGGGGTCGTGGATAGGCTTGTCCAGACTCCCCTTACCGATCGAGTGTACTTGACTTTGACTCAAGCACTTGACAATCAGCTAGGAGGAGCGCCTTTCGGGCCCGCTGGAACTGGTTAGTACACTCGTGATATTTTGAGCCTCACAATTAACTAGCTGTTTACAGGAAAAACTGAATCGGTCAAAGCACTTGGAGTACAGCTTGGCCGCTTCGTGCTTGTGTTCTGCTGCGACGAAACGTTTGATTTTCAAGCTATGGGCCGTATTTTCGTTGGTCTTTGTCAAGTTGGAGCCTGGGGCTGCTTCGACGAATTCAATCGTCTCGAAGAACGCATTCTCAGTGCCGTCTCTCAGCAAGTACAGGCAATCCAACAGGGTTTAGCCCTACTAGTGAAGAACCCAAACACAGAAATCGAACTTGTCGGCAAGAGTCTCAAGATTAACAAGAATATCGGTTCGTGTCCAGCTATATGTTTGGTTCCGGATGCTTACGGTTGTGTCAGGTATCTTTATCACCACTAATCCCAACTATGCTGGACGTTCGCAACTTCCTCCTAATCTGACCAAGTTATTCAGACCGTAAGTTCCCTGACTCTTTTGCCTGTATCGTATCTCATCGTATTCACAGCATGGCCATGACGCGTCCTGATCGCGAGCTCATCGCTCAGGTCATGCTTTTCTCGCAAGGTTTCCGCACGGCAGAGTCGCTCGCTTCCAAGATCGTCCCATTCTTTAATCTCTGCGACGAACAACTGTCGCCTCAACCCCATTACGACTTTGGATTGCGTGCTCTCAAGGCTGTGTTGGCAAGTGCTGGTATTTTGAAGCGTGAACGCCTTCAAAATTCCCGTTCGGAGGGCGAGGACGTTAGCGCTCTATCGGACAATATATCAGAGCAGATCATTCTCATTCAAAGTGTCACCGAGACGATTGTCCCAAAACTCGTGGCAGATGATGTCCCTCTGTTGACCAGGTGAATGTCGAGCTTTATCTTTATCTTCCCGTCAGTGGCTCATAGGCCCATTCTAGCCTCCTTGCCGATGTGTTCCCAGGCGTTGACTATCTGCCTGTTGATCTCGAAGCCCTTCGAGAACAAATCGTTAAAGTTTGCGCGGAAAGGCGCTTGGTCGACGGAGAGCGCTGGATCTCCAAGATACTGCAACTCTATCAGATCCAAAAAATTCAACATGGTTTGATGATGGTTGGACCTTCAGGAAGTGGAAAGACAAACGCTTGGCAAGTTCTTTTGGCCGCCCTCGAACGACTCGACGGTGTAGAAGGGGTTTCGTATGTCATCGATCCGAAGGCGATGCACAAGGATGCTCTATATGGTACCTTGGATCCAACCACCCGAGAATGGAACGATGGATTATTTACTCACGTCCTTCGTAAAATCGTGGATGATGTTCGCGGTGAAAGTGGCAAGAGGCATTGGATCATTTTCGACGGAGACGTTGATCCTGAATGGGTTGAAAACTTAAATAGGTTCATTTCCACCCTTTCTTCGTGAATCAGAACTAATCGCGACTCCCACAGCGTCCTCGACGACAACAAGCTCCTGACATTGCCTAACGGCGAGCGCCTTAACCTTCCCCCGAATGTACGCATCATGTTCGAAGTTGAGCACTTGAAGTATGCGACTTTGGCCACCGTTAGTCGTTGTGGTATGATCTGGTTCAGCGAAGATGTCGTTGAACCCTCTATGATGTACCGCAATTACCTTTCAACGCTGGCGTCGGTACCGTTGGACGCCGATGATGAAGACGCAGGAGACGTTCTAGGACATATAACTGGTCCGACCACGGATACATCTGCAAATTTGGAGAGTCAGAAGCAGATCGCCAACATGCTCGAACGCTATTTCTCGGAGGGTGAGTTAGTCAGCTTAGCCCTGAATTTTGCCGAATCCATGGAACACATTATGGATTTCACCATCACCCGAGCTCTCAACACCCTGTTCTCCCTCGTCAACAAAACCGTCCGGAACATCATCGAATACAACTTACAACACTCCGACTTTCCACTAGCTCCTGAGCGCGTCGAACAATATGTAACCAAACGTCTCCTCGTCAGCATCATTTGGGCCTTCTCTGGTGACGCTAAATTGGATCTACGAGCAGAACTAGGCGGATTCCTGCGCAAACACACAGGAATAGATCTCCCCCCACTAGGTCCCGGAAGTTCATTAATCGACTTCGACGTCCAAGTGAACACGGGAGAATGGATAGCTTGGCAGTCTCGAGTCCCCGTCATCGAAATCGAAGCCCATGCCGTCACCGCTTCCGACGTCGTCGTTCCCACTATGGATACCGTTCGCCACGAAGAAGTGCTTTACTCTTGGCTTTCTGAACATAAGCCCCTCATGTTGTGTGGACCTCCTGGTTCAGGGAAAACTATGACTCTATTCAGCGCACTTCGCAAGTTGCCCGATATGGAAGTTGTGGGCCTGAACTTCTCCAGTGCGACCACACCTGAACTTATCCTCAAGACTTTTGAACAGTACTGCGAGTATCGCAAGACCCCCAATGGTGTCATCCTTGCTCCAGTGCAGATTGGTCGATGGCTTGTTGTTTTCTGCGATGAAATTAATCTGCCAGCTGCTGATAAGTATGGTACTCAGCGAGTCATTTCGTTCCTGCGACAACTGGTGGAAAGCGGTGGATATTGGCGGGCCAGTGACATGGCCTGGGTCAAGCTTGAGCGCATTCAATTTGTTGGAGCTTGCAACCCTCCAACGGATCCGGGACGGGTGCCCCTCAGCCATCGTTTCCTTCGACATGCGCCTCTGGTGATGGTCGATTACCCCGGAGAAATTTCGTTGAAGCAGATTTATGGCACCTACAATCGTGCTCTGCTCAAGGTTCTACCCAATTTGCGCGCATATGCGGAGCCTCTTACAGATGCCATGGTCTCGTTCTACCTGGCATCCCAGAAGCGCTTTACAACGGATATTCAAGCACACTACGTCTACAGTCCGCGTGAACTAACCCGTTGGGTTCGAGGTATCTACGAAGCCATTCGCCCTCTCGAAATTCTCTCTGTTGAAGGCCTTGTTCGTGTCTGGGCGCATGAAGCCCTTAGACTGTTCCAAGATCGTCTGGTCACGGAAGAAGAAAGGAATTGGACAGATGACCATATCGACGCCGCAGCCATGGAACACTTCCCAACGATCACCAGGGAGGAAGCCTTAGGCCGCCCAATTCTTTATTCCAATTGGACGTCGAAGAACTACATTCCTGTTGACAGAGACACTCTCCGAGAGTACACCAAAGCTCGTCTTCGGGTCTTCTACGAGGAAGAACTGGACGTTCCTCTTGTCCTCTTTAATGATGTCCTCGACCATGTCCTTCGTATTGATCGTGTATTCCGACAAGTTCAAGGTCATTTACTGCTGATTGGTGTTAGTGGCAGTGGGAAGGTGAGCTCGACGGGTTTCCGCATATCTGTATTTTTTTTCTTATTATTGTTTTAGACCACCTTGTCTCGTTTCGTGGCATGGATGAATGGCTTAAGTATTTTCCAAATCAAAGTTTCCAACAAGTACACCGGCGAAGATTTCGACGATGATCTCCGAACTGTTCTCCGTCGGGCAGGCTGCAAGGGCGAGAAGATCTGTTTCATCATGGACGAGTCCAACGTTCTTGATTCCGGATTCCTGGAGCGAATGAACACCCTATTGGCAAACGCTGAAGTCCCTGGACTTTTCGAAGGCGATGAACATGCAGCATTGATGACAGCCTGCAAAGAAGGATCGCAACGTGATGGATTAATGCTGGATTCCGCCGAAGAACTATATCGATGGTTCACTCAGCAAGTCGCAAAAAATCTCCACGTCGTTTTCACGATGAATCCCCCCGAAAATGGTCTTGCCTCCAGAGCGGCAACATCTCCTGCACTGTTCAATCGTTGCGTGCTGGACTGGTTCGGTGACTGGTCTGATCAAGCCTTTTACCAGGTTGGTATGGAGTTTACACATACCCTGGATCTTGACCTGCCATCGTACAGTCCTCCTGCTCACTTCCCAGTTGCTTATCGGGCCTTGTCTCTCCCCCCCATACACCGCACAGCTGTTGTCAATGCCCTGGTTCATGTGCACCAGTCTTTGCACCAGATCAACCAGCGCCTAAGCCGTCGCCAAGGTCGGTACAATTACGTAACTCCGCGACACTATCTTGACTTGTAAGCCTTTCCCTCCATGGTGGTACTTGGACCCAGTCTTGACTAATTTCATCTTCCAGTATTAATCACTACGTCAGACTGTACACGGAAAAGCGCGACGAACTCGAGGAGCAGCAACGCCATCTGCATGTCGGTCTTGACAAGCTCAAAGACACCGTAACTCAAGTCGAAGAGCTTCGAAAGAGTCTGGCTATCAAGCGCTCTCAACTCGAGGCCAAAGATGCCGAAGCCAATGAAAAGCTCAAGCGCATGGTCTCTGATCAACAAGAGGCTGAACAGAAGAAGGCAGCATCAATACAAATTCAGGCCGAACTCGCAGAGCAGGATCGCCACATTGAACAGCGTCGGGCTGTCGTTATGGCTGATCTAGCAGACGCCGAACCGGCAGTGCTTGAGGCACAATCTGCCGTAAGCAATATCAAGAGGCAACATCTGCAAGAAGTCCGAACCATGGCCAATCCTCCTGAAGCCGTCAAACTCGCTATGGAGTCGGTCTGCACGATCCTGGGGCACAAGATTGATAGTTGGCGTACTGTTCAAGGTATCATCCGCCGTGATGATTTCATTCAGCGCATCGTCAACTTTGATACCAACACTCAAATGACGAAGAGCCTTCGAGAACTCATGAAGAAAGAATTCCTTAGTAGACCGACCTACAACTTCGAGACAGTACAACGGGCCAGTAAGGCGTGTGGACCGCTCGTCAAATGGGCTCTGGCTCAGGTGCGATTCTCCGAAATCCTGGATAAAGTCGAACCACTCCGCAACGAGGTGCAATCGCTAGAGAGGCAAGCGGAAACAACGAAGAAGCAGGCGCAGGCCATGGTTGAGATGATAGCCCAACTGGAAGCGAAAATCGCGAAATACAAGGAGGAGTACGCCCTCCTTATCAGCGAGACACAGACCATCAAATTCGAGATGGAACGCGTCCAGGGTAAAGTCAATCGTAGCATGACGCTACTCGAGAGTTTGTCGTCGGAACGCGGAAGATGGGAGTCAGGCAGCCGTACCTTCGAAGCTGAGATGAGTACCATCGTCGGCGACGTCTTGTTGTCGGCTGCATTCCTGGCGTATGGAGGGTTCTTCGATCAACACTACCGAGAGGTTATGTGGCAAGAATGGTCAAACCATCTGGCCGAGGCTAATATCAAATTCAAACCAGAATTGTCCTTCACAGAATACCTCTCCACGGCTGATGATCGCCTCAGCTGGCAATCGAAATCTCTGCCTTCTGACAACCTGACTACCGAAAACGCCATTATGCTTAAGCGCTTCAACCGCTACCCGCTTATCATCGACCCGACGGGGCAAGCCACAACTTTCCTGTTGAATGAATACAAGGAACGAAAGATCACTGTCACTAGTTTCTTGGATGAAGCCTTCCTCAAAGTATTGGAAAGTGCCCTTCGGTTCGGAAATCCTCTCCTGATTCAGGACGTGGAGCACTTAGACCCTATCCTGAACGCTGTTCTTAACAAAGAAATAAGACGAACGGGTGGTCGTGTGCTCATACGATTGGGAAGCCAAGATATTGATTTCTCCCCGTCATTCACAATGTTCTTGTCCACTCGGGATCCATCCGTGGAGTTCTCGCCTGACATCTGCAGTCGTGTCACTTTCGTCAACTTCACAATGACAAGGAGCAGTTTGCAAAGCCAATCCCTTGATCAAGTGCTCAAAGTCGAGCGACCAGACACAGAACGCAAGCGCACTGATCTAATGAAGGTCCAGGGCGAATTCCGACTCCGACTTCGGACTTTGGAGAAACTTCTCCTGCAAGCACTGAACGAATCATCAGGCAATATATTGGATGATGATAAGGTCATTGACACCCTGGAAACCCTCAAACGCGAGGCAGCCGAGATCACTCGCAAAGTGGAAGAAACCGATGTGGTCATGCGTGAAGTCGAACAGGTCACGGCCGAATATCTGCCTCTAGCGCAAGCTTGCAGCTCTGTATTCTTCGTATTGGAGCAATTGAACCTCGTCAATCATTTCTACCAATTCTCGCTGCGGTTCTTCCTCGACGTCTTCGACTACGTTCTGCACCACAACCCGAATCTGAAGAACGTGACCGATCATGGTCTTCGTCGCGACATCCTGCTCAAAGACCTTTTCCTCGTCGTCTATAAAAGAACATCCCGTGCCCTCCTCTATCGGGACCATCTTATGTTGGCCATGCTTCTTGCGCAAGTCAAGCTTCGTGGGGTTGAAGACATAGGAGACGAGTTGGAATTTTTGTTGGAGAGTGGCGACGGACTTGCAGCTGCAGCTGCTGTTGCAACTCAAGCACAGAATCATCCTATCCTCTCTTCTGAACAAATTCTCCGCCTCGAAACCTTCTCCAAGCAAAGCCTGTTCAAACCAGTAGAATCTCATATCTCGAGCCACGAAGCCGATTGGGTGCCTTTCCTTCAAGCGCCTGACCCTGAAAGTTCGGTGCCCACACCTTGGGATGCTAGTACACGTATGTCTGTCATCGCCCCATACCAGTCCAGTACTAATTTCTCTCTTTAGCTGCTGTGGAAGCCATTCGATCTCTTCTGCTCATCAAATGCTTCCGGCCAGACAGGCTGGTACAATCGACTGCTCTATTCGTGCGCGCCGTGTTTGAAACAGATATCTCTGCGGAGGCGTCCTACGATTTGGGTTCATTAGTAGCTGATGAGATCCCAGCAGCAACTCCAGTGGCGCTTGTCTCCGTCCCTGGCTATGATGCCAGCTACCGCGTTGAGAGCTTGATCAAGAACACCGGTGCTCGTGCTACCTCTGTTGCAATGGGATCGCAGGAAGGCTTTACGCTGGCCGACCAAGCCATCGCTGCGGCAGCTCGTCAAGGTTCATGGGTACTCTTGAAGAACGTTCACCTGGCACCGTCATGGCTGGGTCAATTGGAAAAGAAGCTGCAGACACTCAACCCACACCGCGGCTTCCGCCTCTTCTTGACAATGGAGGCGAACCCCTCTATCCCCGTCAACATTCTCCGTCAATCACGCTTGATCATGAACGAGCCCCCTCCAGGTGTCAAGGCGAACCTCCTCGACTCTTTGCTCACAATCACACCCCAGCGCCTGTCGCAAGGCCCGTCCGAAAAAGTCCGTCTTTACTTCCTCCTCGCCTGGTTCCATGCTGTCGTCCAGGAACGACTTCGTTACGTACCACTGGGCTGGAGCAAGTCGTACGACTTCAACGACTCCGATATGGCATCTGCGTTCTCTACTATCGACACATGGCTATCTAACGTTTCCCGCGGACGAGCAAACATCGACCCGGTTACGATCCCCTGGGACGCGCTGAGGACACTTGTCAAGCAGTCCGTGTATGGCGGCAGAGTCGACAGCGACTTTGACCAGAGGATCCTTGACTCTTTCGTCGACTCGCTCTTCACCCCAAAGGCCTATAATGTCGACTTCGACCTCGTGCCGAGCTTGTCCAACGGTCAGACACTGGTCGCCCCGGAGGGTACAAAGATGGAGCACTTCTTTACTTGGGTGCAAGCCCTGCCAGAGCGTGAGCCTCCCTCTTGGTTGAGCCTTCCTCCGACTGCCGAGCGTGTCATTGCCGTCGCTCAAGGTATGATTTATTGTTATCGCAGTTGAATGGATTCTGACACCTATCGATAGGAAATGAACTCCTTGGTAAGCTGCGCAAGATGAGGATGTTGGCCGATGACGATGACGAGTTGGCCTCCACTACTGCAGCCAAGTCGCAGACGTCTCAGCAGCCTGCATGGATGAGAACACTGCTTGAACGGTGCCGTGAGTGGCTCGAGTTGCTACCCAAGGTATGCCCATTCCTTTTTTTTCTCTCCAGCGAAGTCTAATTTTCCTTCCGTTGTAACAGACGTTCAGCACGCTCGCCAAGCCAGCAGCTGACCATCAAGACCCTCTGTACCGTCTCTTCTCCCGCGAAGGCGCCATTGGCCGCCGACTGCTCGGCAGCGTCAAAAAAGACCTCGAAGACGTTGTCAAAGTATGCCTCGGAGAGCTCAAGCAGACCAACCATCTGCGCACGCTCATGAGCTCCCTAACGAAGGGTACTATCCCGGACCACTGGCGCCGGTACAAGGTCAACAAAGCCATGGCTGTCTCCGGATGGATTGCCAACTTCGCCCGCCGGCTCGTGCAGCTCGACCACATCGCATCTTTAGACAACCTGAATAACGTCGAGGTGTGGCTCGGAGGGCTGTTCTTCCCCGAGGCATACATTACCGCTACACGTCAGGCGGTGGCGCACCGCAAGAAATGGAGTTTGGAGACGCTGCACCTGAGGCTAGACATTGAACGGGTTAATGACCCTGGCTCGTTCGTCATTGACGGACTGGTGCTGGAAGGCGCGTCCTGGACGAATGATCGCCTTGCCCTGAACGACGGAGATGCGGTCCGGTTGAATCCCTCGCAGCTTCGGTGGGTGCAGGTCGACGAGTCGAGTCAGGATGGCTTGGTCAATTTGCCTGTTTACCTCAACAACGACCGGAGCGACGTGTTGTTCACTGTGGACTTGCCATTCGACAGCGCGGCGGGCTCGTTGGTCGCGACGAGGGCTGTTTGCTTGACTGCTGGAGGTTAGACAACGACGCGTATATCCCATTTTCTTGACATCCATCTACACTTACTTGCCTATAATACTCACTGCATGCAAGGACTTTCTTTTAGATGTAGAGTAATTCATTGAGATACCACCTTACGACCTGCTAATTTTTTTATGCCAATCACGATCTATTTTCATTCTGCAGCATCCGCGACGGAGCTACCTCCAACGACCTCTAATACTTTCCAGTCTATCGAAATGTCAAAGCCCTCAAATATTTTCCGTGCGTCCTCCGCGATGGCCTCGAAACCGCCTGTTGCCAAAGCGAGGATCGTCGGGCCAGCGCCAGAGAGGCAGATCCCGAGCAGGCCGGGATGCGTTGCTGGTGTTATCCGGGATGTGACCTCGGGAAGGCCTGGTATCTGCGGACAACGGGTCGATCGGCGTGCTGGATAATTAAGTAAAACCACGTACGAGAGTCTTCCGGTAGGGCTGGTGTACGCGGTCCTTCATGGCTTCGTAGATGAGATCGGGATCGGGTGGTGTTTGACCGAGGGCGGTCGTAAGGACGGCGAGTCGTTGCATATTGAACACCTAGAATAAAAATAAAAGTCAGGCACCAACGTGGAGAGAAGACGTAGAGTGCTGACGAGATCTTTCCGAGAATACTGGGTGGGGAGAACCTCGCGTGCCCTTGCGGTGCTGAGCTCGAATCGAGGGATAATAGCAACAGCGCGAATGCTCTGCGACCAGCCGAAGCGGATGTAGTGGCCGATGCCTAGCGGTGGTACAGGAGGATTGAGGCCCCAGTCCTCACTCGCATCGGGGGGATACTCCGGGAGGACCTCGCTAAGGGGTACACTCGCCGCCTCGGTCGCCTCTTCATCCAGCTCCTTCAGATACGACCCCACGAATCCACCGACGAGAGCAGCCGTCACGTTATCGGGATGTCGCTCGACCATCAGAGCGAAATCGAGCAGGCGTTCAGTAGGGAGATTGAAGTTGCCGATGGCGTTCCCGAGGAGGACGCCTGCGATGACGGCAGCGCCTGACGATCCGAGGCCGCGGCCGAAGGGGATCTCGTTGTCGACGTGCATTGTGAGGTGGGAGGGGAAGCGGCGGACGGCGTTGCAGCGCAGGACGTAGAGCGCGACGCGGGTGGTCAGGTTCTTGTACGCGTCGAGGGAGACCTCGTCGGCGCCTTCGCCAGAGTAGGTGATCTCTGGCTGGACATAGCCTCCTGCGGGTGGTTCCCAGGGGTATGTGACGACGAGGGAGAGGTGGAGGGAGAGGGAGAGGCCGACGACGTCGAAGCCTGGGCCAATGTTGGCGGAGGTCGCAGGGACGCGGACGGACAGCTTGCGACGGCTGGCCATTGAGAGGACTCTAGCGGGTCTGATCTGATCATATCGCGACATTGTTGAATCTCAATCCAAGTGCCAATTACTATACGTCATAATCTACGCGACTAGTGCTACCGTGTAGCCTGCAAATAACTCTGCTGCTGGAATCCCGTCCCGTTCGTCGTCGCCGTCCTCAAATGAACAGGTAACGTGGGCACAGACTGCCCGTACGTCGTCCCACTCGCAGACGGCGTCGCTACCACTGTGTTCGCCACCGCCGGTGTCCGAGAGGCTGGTGTTGTCCCACTCGCTGCTGCTGTCGCTGTCGCACCGAAAAAGCTGCCATAGGTCGTCGCAACCGCTGAAGTTGCAGGCGCTGGAACAATCGGCTGCGGCGTGCCACGGCCAGACCCTGCACCGCTCTGCACACCAGGATACTGACTGTACCACGAATAACCATACGGCTGTTGTCCAGTCGCCGCACCATAAGGCTGTTGATTCGTAGCCCCTGCCGTATACGCCTGCTGAGTGTAGTATCCCTGCTGATGAGATCCAGCAGGAAGGGTGTAATTCGGGTAAAATGAAGATGTCGTCTGACCAGGTTTGTAGGGCGTGTATGAACTCGTCTGTGAATGATATCCCTGCTGTTGCTGGGCCGCGTATGCATATGCGTAACCGCCAAACGTATTTGCCGTGGGAGCAGGTGCAGGCGTTGTGGGTGTGGGTGTGCTCGCAGCAGGGGGCGCCGTAACAGCTCCAGGACGCACTTTGACTGTTGAGTCGTCACGAAGCGCCGTGGTTCGACCAGAAGGTAGCGTTCCATACCAACCAGGTGATGGTTCCAGTGCTAGCGTGCGGTGAAGTTTATGGAGCACCGTCGGGGGCGGTATTATGCCTGGGCGCTCCTCGGTCGATGACCGAGGGCGTAAGGAGGAGAGAGCAGTCAGGGAGTCGAGAATGGCTTGCGCTGCAATCAAAGGTGTCAAAATAAGAATGTAGGATGATATTCTTAGACAAGACGTACCTGTTTCCCATTCCTCGGACCCCTCCTCTGCATTACTCGTCGGATGCTTCGTCAGTCGTTGCTTTTGAAGTTCTTCGAGCCTTCGTAGGGCCCTCTGATTTCTTTCAAGAAGTTGTTGCACAGACTTTTCCAATTCAAGACTGTTGAGCGCCAATTTGATAGATTCCACGTCTTCAGGGGGTAGTAGGGCTTCGAGTTCGAGGTCTGGAATGGGCTCTTCCTGTGAGGTGATCTCCGGTTCGTCTTCGGGAACATCGACGATCGAGCCTCTGCCTTCGAGGCGTTCCCTCCTTTGGAGCTCCCGTAAATGCTTCTTCTCCTCTTTATACCAGATGACTTCGCCAAGCTCGCGTCTCCCTACGTCCTCGCCATCCATGTCGAATGAGGGAGCAAAGCTAGAGTAAAGGCCATAGTCGAGGAAGGCGCCCGTCCGTACTCGTCGATGTGGCAGAGCTTGTCTTTTCTGGGAGGTTTGCTTGGGGCAATAAGAGCCTAGGGTAGAGGGATGTTTGTCGGAGGATGACGATGAAGGCGTAGGGAAGATGGCAACGAGCTCTGCATTGCCGGTTTGAAGATTGGAGGTGGAAGCGGATGAAGGGAGCAATGAAGACCACCAGTCGCCGGATGGGAGATGTTGTACAAGGGCGTAGCTGGGTTTCGGGCGCTGCGGTGATGAAGGTTCATGTATGCTGGTTGACTGGAGATGATCGGTGGCCTGGACGGTCTGGTCGAGGAGGAAAGAGGCGAGATCACAGAAAGCGACCTGCTGAGCGGCAGTTTCAGAGAGTCTTGAGCGAGGATGTGAAGAAATTGGGCGTAGGTGGTCGATGGCAGCCTTCAAGAAAGAAACGGGGGATGATGCTGAGAGGAGTGAGCGAAGAGAGGCCTGGGAAGCGGAGTCTGGGAGAGGAAAGACGCGCTCGAGGAGTCCCTGTTTGTCTTCCGTCTCTAGCACTGACAAAATACCGTGTCCGTCGATGCTGGTTTCGTTCAAAGGCTCTGGGGCGTCGTCGCTGCCATCGTCGGTGCGGGCGAGCTTTGTGGGTGCGCGTTCTGCGGTGTCCGCGCTGTCTGTCGAGTCTGCGGGGCGTTTTCGCTTGAGGTCTGCAGTCGTTGACCGCGTCGCGCGCGCCATCATGAAATACGAGAGCAAAAACGATTCAAACTCCGCCGGGGCTTGCACCTCCCGCCACTTTGTCTGTCCACCACCGTCTCCGTCATGCGCGGCCCCATCCGACCGCTGCTACGGGCCCAGCTGCGCTCAAAGCCAGCCAACGGCCACACCACATTTCTCCCCCAAATTCGCAAGCTCGTCTTCGAGTACTGCGACAAGTGGCCCTCTTCCGCAAACACTCGCACCTACATCCAAGCCCACATATCCCAGCTCGCCCTCGACAACCCCCACGTCGAGCTCGTCGTGAAGCAGCGAAACCAGAAGGAGCCTATCGTCCGCGGCTTTTACGGTCCGTGCCCAGTTCTTTGCCCCCCAATGCCCCTCCCCCCAGCCCGTCATTTCCAGTAAACACCCGTGATAAGGTCATCCCCTTGAACAATTTGGAAGTAACAGGAATCCAGAAGAAAGTCAAGCTCCTCCTTGACTCATCCGGCGCAAAAATCGTGCCTCTCAAACGACGCGTCGTAGAGAGCACAACAGAGTCTACAAGGGGCATCTGGAGCGGCCTCCATGCGGACCCTCCCGTTCTGTAACTATCCCTAACTTATATGACTCTTCTACGTGTCCCCTTGCACCTCGCCTCCGTCCCTTGCTACGGTCTCACCTAGATCACGTGACCAGCTTGTACATTATACTCCTGCCCCCGCATTGCGTTTTAATTTCATCTTTTCTTCGAATCGCCTCATTCATCCGCTCTACTTATGCTTCCCTACGCAATCAACGCCCTTCCAGAAATGAGGTCCGTTTTTCTTCGCATGTTCCATCAATCCCACACACGTGCAAACCGTGAGGCCTTGGGTATGTAGACCCATCGGCCTCCCTATCCGCCAGGGTCTCTCGCATCTCTTCCGCTTAACTCTCGAGACAGCCCCGTCTCCTTTCTCCCCCTCGTCATGTCCATCGTGCGTCTCCCTTTGGCAAATTCCCTTTCTTCCTCTGACTTTATTTGGCAGATCATGGAATACCCTTCCTCGTCGATGCCTTTGTCCAGCGAGGAACTCACGTGGCTACAGGCCAGTGCATTTATAGATTGCCCTCCAGTGCGCCTTTCCCCTCGTTATCTTGACAGAGCGCCATGCCAATTTTTTTTTCCCTTGCAGACACCTCCACCGAAAGACGACGATGCATTTGTGCATGATTTGTCGGCATCCAGTTCGACGAGCTCTATGGCCAACAATTTCCCTCTGACTCAGAGCCCTCCGCCTCACCTCCGACACAAGTTGGTGAGCATCTCGCATTCCCCCATTCTTCACCACCTGACTATATCTACATGAAGAGTGGAGCTGAGAGAAATTCCTCAAGCTCATTGGCGTATTTAAATGGATCTGCTGGGAGTGCGACTCCGCCACCAGTTCCAAAAGCAGGCTCTCCACGTTCGGAGTGGATTTACCGTCGACCAAAATCTCCTGCCAGCGTACGCCAAAGGACGGCGAATCCTCGTCCATACTCGCGGCCGCAACCACGGGTAATATCTGCTTCTCCCCCACCGCCACCTCTCTCCCGCTCTCGTTCAACTGCGAGCACTCGCACGACCAGGTCAATAGCCCACGCCAGCACCGACCAATCATTAATCAATAATTCAACGCCATCGTCTAATTCGCCACTGTCCTTGTCGACAGGTCCATTCTGGTCGACGATTCTACGACCGCGGTCCCGTTCGGAACGGTCCATGCCCCTCCTCAAAACGATCCCGTCAGAGTCCCAAATCGTTCTGACGCCGCTTTCCACTCCCAAGAGGATGGTTTCCCCTCCGAAGCCGATGTTTGCCCGGCCTCCTTCGATTTCATCCACCCTTTCCAGCGTCTCGACTTCGAACTCTCCTGCATCCTCCCGGTCGGAAAGCCCTGTTACCCCGGTCTCTATCTCCCCCTCTCCCTACGGCAGGTATCGCCGGCAAAACCTGTATCACCGACGCCACCGCCCGCAGCTCGAGAGCGAGTCAAGCCTGGCGCCACTATCCTCTTCCTGCCCACCTTCCAAATCTATTTTGACACGGACGGCGTCGGTATCCACGAAGGCCTCTTCGCATACCGTCAACAAGTCTGTCAAGTTTGCGGCGATTCCCATCGTTCATTATGCCAGTACGGGTTACTGGGATTTGGAGACTGTTGATCGGGATGCGAGTAATATGGGCATCAACGTCGACGAGATGGACATGGGCGACCCGTTCGCGAGCTGCCATTCCCGTCTCGATGCGGAGGAACGCATCGAGCGTTTAGAGATCGCGAAGCTCCGAGAGCTTCAATGCGCGACGCCGACTCCGGAGCGAGAAAGGGAGAAGAATAAGGGCTTGAAACGCCTCATGAGCCTCAGTCGCAAGCCTGGCACGCCGACAGGCCCGACGATTAATATTGCATCTGTGCGTCCAGTCATCTCCACGCCTTATGCATTGGGTGCGTACCCCACCCTAGCCAGTATGCAGTCGACAACGTCACTGCAGACCACGAGGAACACAAGAGGGGACTCTGACGGGGCTGGGCCTGGAGGTTCAGCTCCTGTTTTGAACCCTCGAGGAGTCCCTCTTCGCAGCGCACCCTCCTACGAGAGCTTCCGCAGCGCGAAGAGCTCTGCTGCTAGGAGTGTGCGTAGTATGGGAAGTGTGAAGAGCACTGCCAGCACAAAAGGTTTAAGGGGATGGTTAGTACGTACTATGGGATGGACGGAATCTTGAATATCGATCTCGGTGCCTCAGCGTGTATAGACCGTGTATATGTAGCGTGCACTATACTACTTAAGATGTCATTTATGTCGACGGCTATGCATACCTTATAGCATTGCGATCGTACACTTGTGGCATGCAAGACTGCGGTCAGCATGTATGAATCCGTGCTAATCTTAGGCATAAACAAGAAAGAGTTGGTGGTTACAGATAGCCATGGTGAAGAGGTGAGGTATCAACGGCGGTTCCTATCTGCCCGCGAGGCAGGCATGTATCGGAACGATAACATCAGGATGGCACACATCCTTCGGTTTGTCGATTGTGACCATTGACGAGAGGGGCATGGGCAGTGGGTCAACATGGAAAGAACGGGAGTCAGAAGAGCTCAGATGAGAGGGAAATGATGTGGAGGATTCGCGTCGAACAGTAGGAATATTCAAAGCCGAGTCCATGACGCTTCCATGGGTGGTTCGGACGCCGTTTGAAACCCCACTAGGCGCATGTTGTTGTCGTGCTCGTCGCAAAGCCCGCAGCCGATATTCTGTTCGAGAGCGCTCGAGCTCTTCCTCTTCGCTGTAGGGAATCTCGTTTCCGTCAGCATCAAGGCGTGCTACAAAGGAAATAAGTCAGCACTGGCACAAAACAACAGGAAAAGGACATACCCCATCCACGCCGAATAGACGCCTCCCTGGGAGGGCCTTCGATCGTCGTCCTTACGAGTAAGCTGTCGCCGTTTTCTGGTTCACTGGGCTCGGCCAGTGATGATACTGGAAATTCAGCAGGCGCCCGAGGTATTTGTGGGTCAGCAGCGAACCACATTTCGTCGTCGCCCCAATCTGCACTGTCCAGGTTCGCTATTGTCCACCCGCCAACCGACGGGTCCGTAGGATAATAACGAGGCCTGGGATCGGGCGCCACGCGCGTTGCCGGTGTATAGCTCGATGACTGGCGCATTGAGGCGTTCACTTCTGCCGCGGCTTGGTTTCTTTCGGCGTATACGCTGGCAACAAAACCTGGGTCCATGTACGATCGTGTCTCGCGTGACCGCCACCTGCGAGCGTCGCGTCGAAATGTCGACGTAGGAGGTTGTGCACCTCCAGGTGCCCGTGTTGTTGTTGAATGCCCATCCTGCATCTCCCTTGCGCGTATCGCATCCGGGCCGGGGCTCGCGCGCCTTTGTGCTTCCAGAATGTCCCTATATTGCGCCGTCAATGACGCAAAATCGACGCCTAATCTCTGAAGGTCCGAGTCTGCGTTGTTGGTTGGGAGTGCGAGGCCGGCTTCTCGTGCTGCCACTTGCAATCCCCGAGTGGTAGCCGCAGATTGTGGGTTGGCGCCTTGTCGTTGAAGCTGGCTGAGATAAAACCACTCGGGTTGGCGAGAAAACCGAGGGGGGAGGACAGTAGGGAGTGGGGGATTGGGTCCGTCCGAACCTGCGCTACGATTCCTCGTCCGAGAGTTGGGGTCCAGCCCAGACGATTCCGGGGAAGCGATGCCACCTTGCGCCAACCTTTCCAACACCTCCAATTCGCGAAGGGCGTCGAGCTCTTGACTCCCTTCCTCCTCTCCGCTTCTTTCGGATAGGATAAGAGCTCGGTGTCCGAGCCTGATTTCGCTGCGTGTCGTTGGGCGCTGTGGCTCCTGACTTGATGATGGTTCAGAAACCTGTAAGAGACTTCGCCGGACTTGTCGAATGCGATTGTATGCCGCATCTAATGCCATGGAAGCGTTGTGTAGGCTCCTTTGCGAGTCGACGTAGTTATGAGCAGTGTCCGATAGTTGATTAACCAGAGCAGGCGATGCGGTCCTTCGGGGCGCTGTACTCATAGCACTGGAATATGAACGGTGCTATCCAAGATGTGTAATCAAACGGGTTTGCTTGGGAACACCTACTTCCGAAAGCGCGTAAGTGGTAGTTGACCGATGAGTATCCCGCGCAGCGGCAGTCGTCAGTGGTGGAAGTGGAAACGGGTTGAACTCTCTGTTGACAGTCACGATCGGTTTGATCATAACGCCTCTTGCTCTCCCCCACTATGACACCACGTGATGAGACGGCCATCACCGAAACCCGAATAGGGCAGTTCCGCTATGACTCCGACTTGTTGTAGGACCAGCTGAGGCCCAGCATCAGCGTAGAATAGCAATGTCATTGCTAATGTTTCTCGGAAATAAACTGGTATATAAGTAGAGGATAGACACTCAAATTCATTTAAGCTTGTTCATTGGTTATGAAAAGAGGTGAGGTGCAGTGAATGCAAGATGAATGTCATTGCAAACAAGTAAGGGTCGTTGCGGCCGAGCCTATAAGCAGAATAAATATCCCTTGCTTCTCTCGGAGCCTGTGGGGTACCTGTTCGCAAAGCTCACTACTTGTCACGCCGATTTTTTGCATATGTTTATGTAAAGATGAAAAATAAAGCTGACTTAATGCAGGCATCGCTAAGGATATGCCACAGCGAAAAACATCATTTACATAAAGTAAGATTTCATGCCTTCTCACATGGGAAGGGAGGGCTTTCTAACTAAAGAATCCGTCATAAAACATTTATTGTCGAGGAGATGACATATGGAGACAACAATCAGCGTGATTGACATGACAGGAGGTCTGAATCTGGATGAAATATAACACAAATTTACATTTGGTCCTCGAAAATATATCAGCAATGTCAGGAAAGCAATAATTCATAATTCATCAAAATTGAAAATACAACAACCTCGAATCGAACCCCTGCTGTATACGCAGCATAACACAAGACGTAGACACCTTGACCACTGCAGCACTTCGCCGATGTTAACCTACTGTAGGCCCAAAATTTGTTCCAATAGAGCCTCCTATTTGGGATGGCACGTGCTGATGGCATACCATTTATGGAAAGTCATAGTGGGGGAGAGCTGGGCTGGCTTTTGATCATTGCTCAACCAAAATAGACCCACGCTCGCTTATTTCCGTTTGTCCTGCTCCTTGCCAGGCCCCTAAATTACCTTGAATCCCAACGTCCGCCAGAAAGGCCGAAAATACAGTTGGTCCTGAATTAGCGCGGTCCGCCTCATAAAGAAGGGAATATATGTCGAAACTGATTTTTTTTGTCTGTATAGAGATTTTTGAATGGCTTAGGTGTGTACAGTGTACAAAAAGTATGTCATGTACTGAAGCGCCTTGCTGGATGTTTTAATGAGGGGTGCGTAGTCTATGTTGTAATTATTGCGTAACGAATGATTTTGTTGTATGGAAAGAAGCAGGTAACCGTCATCAGATAAGTTGAGATGTTGTGGTATGTAAAAGCGGGAAATTCCCTTTCAGCCTTCGGATTTATTCACCGGTTGGAGGGCCCGAAGGCGATAGTAGAAAGGATTACTGCCGACGAAGAAAAGCGCCAGACCAAGGCATAGGACCAGAAGTCCTGCAGCGAGAAGACACAGCGCCATCCAACCACGCTCAATATGATCGTACATCTTCGAAATGTTAGTTAATCATCTCCACAGCCCTTCGATGAGATGCCATACCTGGCCACCAACGATAGGTCCAACTTTCCGGATTGTCAGAAATGAATCAGAAAATGGCAGAGGGAAATGACTAACTTGATGTTCCGACCCCATACACAAGGTTGAATGCTCCGTAAATGTGACCATCTAGCGATTCATCAACAAAGAACCGCATTGGAGACATGTTCGGTGCAAACTTACATCCAACGCCATCCAGGCCGCGAGAGACAGCTGCTAGCTCAGCCGTTAACGGGGACATGACTCCAGACGTGAAGAACGCTGTGCTACATGAGAATAGAGTTCCTACAAATTGGGGGGAATAACTCACCTTCCAGGGCGAACGCGGCAATGAAGAGGGCGAGTCGATATTCTATAATGATAACAACCCACCATGGGATAGAGAATAGTAAACTCAAGGTAGCAGGCCACTCTGTCCCTTTTTTGTCAGCCCAGAAACCAGTGAGCGGAGCCGCTAAGGAACCAAAGATCAAGTTAATGGTGACGGGTGGCACACAAAAGACCGGAAAGGTGCTGACAGAACATTGTGGGCACAACAGCAGCAATGAACACAATCCCAACGGCCCTGGAATCAAGATCCCAGACCCGCTGGAGGTGCAGAGGTATCGCGGGCTCTTGGCTACTATACACGATTCTGTGCATTGACAATGAGCGAGATCGTCAACCACGAAATACAGGTCCCATACCCATAAACAAAAATGATGAATAGTGCGACTAATGCCCGCGGAGACCTTGAGAGGTCTGCCATAACGGACACCAATGATATTTTTATTTCAGGATTGGCTTCTGTGTCAGCGGCAGGCTGGGATTCTTGTGAAACAGCCATTTCTTGATCTTTAGCGGCTTCGACATCAGCGGACGTGTTCGGAATCTCTTGGATCTCCTCTTCTGCTTTCGCTTCCATTACTAGAGACGGTGCGTTGTCTTCGTTACTTGAAGTCTTTGCTGGATCAACGCCCCAGACGAGAGCGTCTTTACGTTCAATGAGGATCAAGCGTCCAATGAGGTCCAAGAAGGTCGCCGAGATACCGAAGATGAATGGTCCTCGGAAGCCAAAATGGCTATACAACAGTCCACCTACAGGAGGACCTACCACCATTCTACAGGATTGAATTTTTTGAAAAATACCTCAGAGCAAACGACTCACCCGAGTGATAACCCCATCATAGCGATTCCCAGTTGCACTAATATTATGGTCATCAGTTCCTGCCGCAGGAGAACAAAAAGAGTGCCCACATCCAACCATTGAAGGAGGGCTAGAGTCGGATCTACACAGAAAATATGTAGGAACGAAATCGGAGGGCAAGGGCACGCTTACAGCAGTGCTAGCCCGACTACCCAAACCATGGAAGAACCAATGCCCTGGAGGACGCGGGCTATACACATGACAGGATAATTCGGTGCTTCCATGAGCATGACTTGCGACCCCATGAGAACGAACAAGCCAAAAATCAGGGGCAGTTGCCGGGCATTGTAACGTTCGGACAACATGGCGATAGGAATTGTAGCTGGCAACATTGTGAGAATAATTTGGAAAATATGTTATTTGACAAAGACGTACATATCACCAGACCGCCTGACTTTCGGGAAAGCAAGACGTCAGAACTTGGCATGAAAGCTCGGGGAGAGCAAGTTTACGTAGGCGAAAAGCAACCACCCAGTTAAGGAAGAGACCTTTGAGTACCCAAGCAATTCAAGCTGGAATGGCATGACAGGGATGATAACCGAATAAATGAGTAAATCCACGGCTATGCCTGAAATTCAGCGCCTTTGTCAGTACGAGCCCGTTTTGCAGAGTTTGACGGCCATGATTCGTACCCAGGCCAATGACTGCAGTGACCAGCCACGAAGAGGAACGCCACTCGAGACCTATTGGCCTGCTCTGAGGACCCCGGTTGAAGAAGAACATGACAGGGATGGGTTGCCTTCGCAAGATGTCGGGCTAGAATATAAGCGACACCGTTCTGAGACCATCTCAGTGGAGATCTTGAAAAAGCGACATGGAGTCATTGGGGGAGGAAGACTCGGAAGCCGGACCGGGCCGGTAAAGCGTCATCGGCTATTTCCGAAATGCCAAGACTCACTCATTTCGTCTGACTCTACTTAACTTTCCTTCATGAACACTTTGCGGGTCTCCTCCTGCTCCCTGCGCCACATCAGAGCCACTTATCGAACCTGCCACTCTCGAGCTATGGCACTCAGAATGGCCCACGAACCACGGATACCAGCACCCGACGCGCTTGAGATTCATCTGAACCAGACCGAAACTTCCATTTGCGAGCTGCTCGATGGATGCACAAGATATTTGCATGCTGAGAAAGGGATCTCAACTTCTTGCAGAGTTGCTGGAGGCTGGGTCCGCGACAAGGTCAATTCAACAGTTTTCACTTGTCTCTGTACCAAGTCGAGCAATCCATCTACTTTCCATTTCCTAACAGTTACTGGGTTCGCAAAGTAATGACATGGATATCGCGTTAAGTGATATCATGGGGCTGGCATTTGCTGAGCATCTCAACGAATATGCGAAACTGAAAGGTGTCGAAATGGGCACCATCACTAAGATTGAACAAAATCCAGACCAATCCAAGCACCTTGAAACAGCCACCTTCAAAGTATTCGGATTGTCCATTGACCTCGTCAATCTCAGAAGCGAGGAGTATACCGAAGGGAGCCGTATCCCAACGGGCGTCGTAAGCGTTCGTTTTGCGCAATGGGCTGCAAAATTTAACGAATTTTGCCTTAGGCTTTTGGAACACCGCTAGAAGATGCTCTTCGACGCGATATCACTATCAATGCGCTCTTTTACAACGTTCATAGCAGATCGGTTGAAGATTTTACTGGAAAGGTATGACTTGTAGGCTCTTATAATTCGTGGGGGCTGAACTGCCTTAGGGTTTGGACGACCTCCGCAATGGGACTATACGGACTCCTATGCCTCCGCGGGAAACATTTCAAGACGATCCATTACGTGTCCTGCGTTGTGTTCGTTTTGCTAGCCGCTTTGGCTTTGATATGGTGCCCGAGGTACAAGATGCAGTGAAAGATCCAATTGTACAGGTAACAGGATCATTTGCTATCGGAATTTATCTTGATAACTGATTATTTTAAATAGGAAGCTTTGGTCTCAAAGGTTTCTCGTGAAAGGGTGGGCGATGAGGTGTCAAAAATGGTACAAGGTATGGCATCCCGGCTAGTCCCATGAAATGTTACCTGATATCGTGTATAAGGACGGGACCCACTACGGTCTGCCCAACTGGTTTGCGAACTAAAATTATACCATTCGGTGTTTTCTGTAATACCTGGCGAGGTTAAGTCCAACCTCCCAGAATCCCTGTTGGGTCAAGTACCGAGCGAAGCACTGGGAGCTGTCACCATCCTGCATGCCCTGCACACCCCAGAGACATCGGAACTTACATATCTCCATCCTTTACTCCTGTCAGTAGTCTCCGAGAACCCACTGGTGCTTGCACGCCTTTCCTTGGCAGGATTGCTCCTTCCCTATCGCAGCCTCACCTACACCGACAGCAAGAAGAAGACGCACCCCGTCGTGGCTTCTGTCATTCGTGACTCACTCAAACTTGGTACTCAGAACCATTATTTGGATGGCATACCTGTTCTTTTTACCGGTGTGGACGTAATCAAGGCTGGAATAGAGGCACATTTAAAAGACCCTTTCGATAGAGCAAAACTGGGGCTTCTTTTACGGAACAAATTTGTTCACAACCCACTAACAGGGAGCCATTGGTCGACCACCCTTCTTTTCTCTCTCATAACAGACCTCGTGCCATTGTATAATACATCCCAAGACATACTCGACGGTAAGCCGTGATACCTCTGGAGTGGTGTCGCGCAGTGTTCATCGATTTTTTTTAGTATATGCAGCTTCTAGTGTTATTGACTTATACAACTCATTTACCAAGACCATCGTTGATTTCGGGCTTCAAAACGACGTAGATTCAAAGCCCTTGCTGACCGTGAGTAGTCTGTCCTGCATCAAGGCTACATTCTGATCAAATTGTAGGGACATGATATTGTCGTTGCTTTCAACATCGGAAAACCCGGTCCGTGGGTAGGAAAGGTTTTGGAAGATGTTGTAGAGTGGCAACTGGGAAACCCAGCAAAGACGAAAGACGACTGTATGGAGTGGTTGCGAGGTCGTGGGGTAAACCATTATGTCTCCGCGGAGGACAGGAGACCTGAACCTGCTACCAAACGCCCACGAAGGAAGTAGGCCAGTCAGCAAGCACCTATATTTCTTCGCTTTCCGAAGAATTCTCAGCTGCTTTGGCTGATCTGCGCTTCGACCCTGCTACCATGTCCCGCTTCTTGACTGCATCTCGTCGCCCGACCTTTCTCGCAGGATTGACGATGTCAGGGCGTTTGACCTTGCCCATTTGTCTGCGCTTTAGTTTCGATGGCTTAGGCAACTTGAGGATCCAATCAGGAACCGTAAATCCCGATTGAAGAATGACGTTCGCGATCCTATTCATGTAAGGAGTCAGGTGAGATGAGGGCGACGGCTGTGAATGGACGTACATCTTGAGGTACGGTGCATCCTCGTCCGTAAAGAATGTTACCGCTTTTCCTTCTCTGCCCGCACGTCCGGTACGACCAATCCGGTGCACATAACTCTGAATAGTTGTTGGGAAATCGTAGTTGATGACTTCTCGAACACCCTTGAAATCCATACCGCGCGCCATAACTTCTGTAGTTATCATCACCCAGCTTTCTCCCTTGCGCATCCTACTCAGAGAATCATCGCGTTCTTTCTGCGTCATACCGGCATGTAGGCAGTCGACATTGGAAATCCCATTCAGAACAAGCTCTTCTGCTAGTGATGTCGCACGTGTTTGAGTGGAGGTGAAGATTAAAACAGGAGGGTTGTAAGGCTGAGCGAGATAGGTAAGAAGACTTGGAAGCTTGGAAGGATCATCAGCAACATAGGTCAAGGACTGCGCTATGAGAGGAAGAGGCGTGTCCCTGAGCAAGAGAAAACCGCGGTCAGCATCAGGCCGGCCATAGAGGGGGGAGGACAACACTCACTTCAGACCCACGACGACACGAACAGGGTCGTCGAGCATCTCCATGGCGAGCCTTTCAGCACCAGCGGGTAATGTTGCACTGAATAAAGCTTTCTGAAGCTTTGAATGGCTGCAGGCCGCGACAATTTCTTGTATTTGGGGCATGAACTCGGTATCGAGCATGCGATCTGCTTCATCAAGAACAAGATGTCGGACACTACGAAGGGATTGACGTCAGCAAGTCATAAATGAATAGAAGGACAATGTACTCGCTTATTCAGCTCCAAGTTTCCTTCCTGCAACGCCGCAACTAGACGCAACGGCGTGCTAATGATGATGTCTTCAAGTCAGTCAGATCATGTAAAAGCGAGTATAAGCAGTTTAAATATGACTGACCCACTTTATCCCGCGCTGCTTTCTGAGATAATGCATTGGCTGTTGCTTTACTGAACAGGACGAGCTTCCACTTTCGACCCTGGGCGAGTTTCAGACACTCATTGTGTATTTGATGAGCAAGTTCACGAGTGGGCACCACAATGACTGCGCGGACTCCTGTGCCGACGTCACCACTAGAGCTAGATGCTGGGGAACCAAGCTTCGAAAATATGGGAAGGAGATATGCAAGGGTTTTTCCTGTACCAGTCGGCGAGATGGCTGCTATGTCGCGACCCTTTTCGGTGTTAGGATGGAATTTTGGTCACGAAGGTCGGAGCGCACCTCTAACATAATAGGAATGCAATACGACTGTATGCTTGTTGGCTCTTTATAACCACTGGATGTGAGGTTCGCGAACAAGTGCGAGGGGATGGTGTACTTCTTGAGCCCTTCAAATGAATCCACATGCGAAGGAACATTTGTGCCCTTGGTGGTCACACGATGGGCAGTCCGAGTGCCTTTCTGTTCCTTCGAATGGAGTGCCCACACTGCCTGCATACGCGTTGGTCCCGGGGCGGGCAACGGCGCCTTCGAGTCCGGGGAAGCTTCTTCATCCTCGTCCTCCTCGTCGCTTTCCGTCTTTCTTCTCTTCCCTTTAGGCTGATTACTAGACTCCGAAGGCTTTCGCTTCCCGTTGTTCTGCGCGTATCTGAAAAAGTCTAGTTCAACAGGTATCTGTCCACTCTCCGAGTTCACCGCGCTCGAATCTTTGCCTTGCGGTCGTTTCTTCTTCTGCGATCCTTGGATCAATCCAACAAGGGGACGGTTGAAGGGTTGAACTCACATTGAAAAGCTGTACGTCCGACTTAGATTTGTCAAATACAACTCCTCCGCGCGAAAGGAGACGAAAAGCTTCGTTTGACATGGCGACGAAGCCCTGATATTCCTCTCACTGGGTGGAATGGTATTAAAGCGTGCACTAGTAATGGCAGATCGGAGACGCGGCCCGGAGCATAATTTTTCCGTTGGCTGACGTAATCCAGCTTGTCACTCACTCAACAGCGCATTTCCGAAGGTTCTTGACGATGGGAGAGTTCTCGAGGAGCTGCGCACAACACGTCCTCACCTTGGATAGAAGGAACCATTAGAATTCGACCCTACTAAAAGAGGTGCGAAAATTTGTCTGTAAATATGAGTAGCGTCCTGTTTACTAAAGCAAAGCAGTCTGAAATGTCCATCGCCAACTTGAACCCAAATGTCACATTTTTAATAGTACATATATATCACCTGCCGAACACCTAAGCCAAGGTCCAGATGGCACCGAGGACAGAGATGATGCCCATCAGCCCCGTGCCGAGCAGAGCGTTAGTGTCGATCAAGCTGGCTGCAGCACCTGTGTTTGTGCCGGAGCCACCGGTCGTAGTCGCACCACCAGTAGCACCAGAATTGGCCGTGGTGGGAACAGCGGAGGGAGTGAAGACGGCGCTGGGATTGGCAATGCACGAACTAGCAGCGGAGCTGGCAGAACCGGTCGGTGCCAGAGGGTTCACAGTGCCGTTACCCGCGAAGCTGCACGATTGAGGGTTCCTGTCGTTGGCCTCGTAGAACTGACTCATGACGTATGAGAGCTTGATGGCTAAACGGGTATAAAGCGTGAGTGGAAGAAGTTGAAACTAGTGACGGACGGCTTACTCGGGTCGCATCCTGAAAGACGGCCATATACACCCGTTTGTCCATTGCCACCGATTTCGGTGCAAGAACCTCCAGATTGGCCTAGAAGACTGCATCCAACGTTGAGGAGTTCGCCAACGACGGTGGTGTAGTTGCTTGTAGCAGGAGTGAAGCGGCAGCTTAAGCTGCTCTCAAGGCAATTGCACGCAGCCTCATTCGGGGTCGGAGGAAGAGTGGATGATGCAAGGAATGTGGAAGTAGAAGCAGGGCAAGTGGGGTAAGTGGCCGCAGCAACAGAAGACTGGGAAGGAGAGTTGATGAAAGTGACGAGACCGTACTGAGTCCTCAGACGGTCGAAATCATCGCTGGTAGTAACGGTGCGGCTGTCTGAAGAAATGGTGACCATGCCAAATTGTCCTGCAGCGCTCTGGGCGGGGAAGTAAGAGAATGCGATTCCACCAGACCATACCGTGTTCATATCAGAGCCGAACAACGCGCCGGATTCTGTCCAGAGACGAGGCGGCGAGCTGATGCAACCGAATTCACTCAGGTAGGCGACGACATTGTAGTTGGCGAAGGCATTCGTGATTCCTGCGTAAGAAGATTGGAAATTCGAGTCTCCACACCACGAACTGGAGGTTCGTCAGCTTTGTGTTGAAAGTTATGAAGGTAGCACCTACTAGTCATTAAGGCCATAGAGATCAATGGCAGTCGCATCGGAGTTGCTACCAGTCAGGTCGCACGAGAGGTAGTTAGCCAAAGGTTCACGCCAGTTCGAAGCCCCATTGATTGCTGCGTAACCCACGAGGGCCGAGGAATCCTGCGATTTCCTGGAATGGTGTGAGAATTTGTGACCGAGGACGGAGTAGAAGAATTACAGGTATGCCTTGGTGTCTCGGGCTGCGGCTTTGACGTAAGGCGCCACTTGCGTGCTCTCTTGAACAACCACCTCGTTACCAATGTTGTATGCCAAAACGTTGTCGTATTTGCTGAAGGTGTCGATGGTGTGAATATATTGGTCCAGAATGTTGGTCGACCAGGAAGGTGAAAGGCGGTCAATCGAGCCGTTCAGAGGAAGAGCGAGATCGATGCTGCAGGACGATGTTCAGCAAAGAGTCAGGTCATTCAAGGGAAAACACTGACATGGTATAGATTCCGGCCGCGCTGAAGGCGTTCATGCAGGCATCGTGGTTGAGGGAAGAGTTGACGCTATAAACACGAATGGTATTCACACCTAGCTCCTGGAGGAAAGGTAGATCACGGCTGCAAGCATCTGGCAAGGCGAGAGGGTCGATGAAGGTGGAAGGTTCGCCAAAGGGGTTGTCATCAGAGGCGACAACGGCTCCTATGGGGAAGTGAGCAACAGCGCACAGCAGAAGAGTCAGCCTCCGCACCTTGCTCCTGGTACGCGATTCCCTTGATGTAGAATCGAGTCCCACTTTCGTCATAAAGGTATCGTCCTGTGCGGGTGATTCTTGGGATGGCCTGAACGCTCGTAGCCACCAAGGCTGTGAGGAGAGTGAAGAGCGCTGAGGCTCCAAGGGACTTGGTCATTACGGTGAGTCGAGCGGGAGGGGTAACAAAAGAAGGACTAGATTATACGTGTGAGGAGGAAGAAAAGGTGAGAAAGGGTTGAGGACAGACCACTTTTGACTCCCCTGTTAACTCTCGTGCGGGCGGCAGGAAACAACACGAATTAAAACTCCGTCGAGCCCGGCACATCAAATTCACGGGGCCTCAGGGGCCTTTCTCCCTCGAACTCCATAAAAAGCAGCGGCATTTTTTTTGGCAAAACTATCAACAGTCCAGACGCTGACAGTCCAACCGTCGAGTTCTACTCTACGTGGTTCCGTGGTAAGTAAGTATAGTATAGATACGTATTTGTCCCGCAATACTGAGAAATCGTAAGAGTACGTGTCGTTTTCATAGGCTGTGAGCCGAAGGATCATGGAGCATGGCAAAGGCCTCGTGTCATCCTCGGTACGTGCAACAACTATGCAGCAGCAGTTTGTCAGTAAGCGAAGGGCAGTAATCGCCGAACAGTACCCACCTCAGCATATACGGAATAATGGACAGGAATAGGCAAACGAACGCAGCCCATGCGATGAACAGTCCGTTGCCCTCTGACACAGTGATTCCTAGGCCTACTGTTGTGTTAGAGTTGGGCAACCTGAGGAGAATATTGTTGATCGACTGGGATTTCTTGATAATCACTGTCCAGATCGCTGCCCCGATCAAGAGCAAGAGGCTTCCGGCGATCGAAAATATCGCGGACACGAAGAACGTCCAGTTGTTTTTGGCGATGCCGCTAGAAGAGGGTCGAATGAAAAGGGGTGAAATGGTGAAGGTAAGGGAGTACTAACGTTATCAGTGCCAATGCAGCGCAAATAGTGCCTAGGAGAAGCATCCAGTAAGCAGCCCTAGAGGACTGACCAAGATACTTGGAGTCGCGGAAGGTCGTTTCTGGGATGAAGGGACCGGTCAAAATGGAATAATTAGAAGACATGTCGGCCGTGATAACGTCGTATGGGGTGTATCGTTGTCCAGTGGTATGATTGCTGCATGTACCATGCGCGTCGTCGACATAGGCGCAGTATGAATAAAGGCCAAATTCGTAGAGTTCTCGTACGCCTGCCTGTTGTTGGAGGGGAGCGCTAGCGTTGTCGGTATACAGTCCAAACACAGGATTGAGAATAAATGTTTCGAGGGCTTCCCTAATTCAAGAAAACTAGAATGAACGAAATATCTTGAGGAGAGTTTGAAGTTGGGCTGCGTACCCATAACCACTCATGTTGACCTTGACCTTGGTGCCAAGATCGCGTTAGGATTCGGAATGTGTGGGCGAAGGTGAATGACGTCACGAACCATGGCAATATTGCGAGGAACAGTCGAGGTATTAATTTGCCCGACCTGATAGGAAAGGCATCAGAAAGAGAACGGAAGATGTAAGAGCTGAGAGGGGCACATACATGAACGAAGATGAGAAGGAGCATGGAGACGAATCTGTGGGAATGGAGGGTGAGTTGGAGAGAGCCTCGGCGACGACGAATCGGGCACCGACGAGAGGAGGGAGGCAAAGCCAACACAGATCTCTCCGCGCATGCTTATTGCGACCTTGGGGGATTTGGAGAAGCGAGGCATGGCATGTTGCCGAGTCGAAGATCGTTTTTATCGCCAAACGCGCGAAGGGAACGTGTTTCTTATGTCAGCAACACCAATGTTCCCAATGCGTCACATCCGAAAGCGCTCATCCACCGTCATCCAACCGGCACGTCCCTCCTCTCCCCTCCATGGCCTCCAGCCCCCCGCCTCCCTCCACGCCTCCCTGCGCCATTGCACCCGGTCCTCGCCCCGCAGCGACCCATAACAGGCCCGCTAACCCCCGCTCCGCCAAGGATCTCACCATGTCCCAGAGCCGCGTCAAACGCCTCTCGAGTGCAGTCGAGAAGACCGTCGATAGACTCAGCCGGAGCGTCAGCGGAAGCTCCACCTCGCCCACACCATCTTCCGTTCCGTCACCCCGACGTGTCTTCAGCATCACTAGAAAGTCCCGAACGTCCCAACTCGCCTCAGATCCAGAAGGTGCGCAGCTTAAGCACCGTGCTGAGCTCATGTTCACCCAATCTCTAGTCTCCCCGTCAATTTCCGACTCTACCCTTACTGCAACGCAGTCCCCGCAGCCATCAGCAGTAAATTCACCGAATGAAGACTCTCCTTTTATACGACCACCATCTCCTCCGATACGTCCGTCTCTTTTGGCCTCTTTTCGAGGTGATGGATCGGTACGAGCTCATCTTACATCCCTCGATAAATCTCATTATGATCTCGACTAGATGCGGGCCGGAACGCAAACCCTCATTCAAGCGCTTCAGGCCCTCCCGTGGATGAACAGCGACAATGATGAGGACGGTGGACCCGAACCCAGTACAGAATCTGAGAGTGACGAAGATGAGAAACCACAAGGTGAGTCGCTTTAACTACCCCTCAGCGTGCGCGAGTTTACAGCGAATTTTCAGCTACTCGGCTCTCTTCCTCTATCCACACAATTCACCGTCCTTTGGCGAGATCCCACCGCGCCCCTGTTCCTATCCCATCTAAATCGTCTCTCAGAGAAGATTCTATGGAAGAAGACATCTTAGAAGACATTACATCTGAAGACGACAATGAGAACGACTTCGAAGAGACGCCCAGGATTCCCGACTCCGTACCCACCCATCTACACCCTACTCAAGATTCCGAAGCAGTGGCACGACTCAAGCCATTCGAGGCCATGCGAGAACGGGCGGGAAGTCTAGCTACTATTCGTCTGCATAGACGGACGCGTCTTGCACAGAAGCTGAAGGAGGTGTACGACCTAGAGGATATCCAGGAGGTTTGGGCAGGCAAGTTTTGCTTCCTCATTTCTCCCCTTCGCTGCCCTCACCCTCCAGATTGACAGAAATGCCCTGTTGGCTCCTGCGTTCAGTCCGTGAGTCGCACACATGTTTACTCAGCGAGCGGCAGGAACTCATTTTTGGGTTAGTATTACAGGGATATATGTATCTGACTAATTCGTACTTATGTTTTTTCGCCCATATGCCCTCCCGAGAGGTAAAGTGCTATACTCTGTTCCAGTGTTATGACAGTTGATCAATAGTTCTTTTAGGATCAAGTACTGAAGTCCGGTTCGTTGAACAAGAAGGCTCAGCGCACCAAACGTTGGATCAAGCACTGGTTTGTGCTGAAGAATGACGCTCTGTCGTGGTATCAGTCATCCTCAGTAAGGGCTCCATTATCATCGCCCCCGGACCAACTGACTCGAAGCAGGACCCCTATTTCCCTCATGGCATCGTGGATCTGCGTTACGCTATATCCTGCGATCCGTCTGGAGAGAAAGGTTTCCGATTACGCACTAACACGAAGACTGTCGTCCTTTCGGCGGATTCTGTCCCCAGCCGGGAGGAATGGGTCAAAGCAATTCGTAAAGTCATCTTCAAGGCCCAAAATATGGGCGATAGCGTAAAGGTGCTGATTCACTCGGAGTAGCGTTGTATTTTTGTCTGATTTCCATTTCAGATAGCCATCCCGTATTCTGCTATTGTCGACGTTGAGCGCTCGAGTGCTATGGACTTCACAGAGACAATCGAAATCAAAGTCGTTGACAAGGAGGATAACTTCACAGTTGATTCGTATTTCTTCGCCTACTTCCATGATCTTGCCGGTGCGTTGGACCAAATCCGTGACGCCGTTCGCAGTCATCGTAGCCAGCCGAAGCCCTTTGAAAGCGGCGCTCCTGCAATTGTGGTGGACACCACCGTGGCTCGTCCGGGGACCGATCGCCTTGCAAGCGCTGTGACGGAACCAAGCTCTCCGAAAGCAGTTTCTGGTTTTAGATTACCGTCCATCTTCCGACCGTTCTCAGATTCTGCTTCAACAACCAGCCGTTCCAGTGCACCAACAGTTTCCGAATTAAATTCTGACGATTACACACACGTTTCACGGAAACCGGGCTCGTCGTCTTTCATACCTATTACGTCGTCACCCCAGTCAATGTCACCTGGACTCACTCCCACAAACGAAGCAAGCGATCCCTCCTTGAGGCAATCGTCAACGTCGTTGCCACCCCCTGAACACACGTACCCCCCGTCCACTTCCAGTTCATTCATGTATCCTAATAATTCTTCATTAAGCAGAGACACTAGTTCCTGGGTGGTCGGCGTTCCCTCCTGGCTTAAAGGCTCGCGAAGAGTATTCGGCGGATCCACGGCAACAGCAGACACAACCACAACATTTACAACAACGCCTGTCAAGGAGGTGTATTCTCCTGCATTGTCTTCACCCGGCCCTCAGAGCCGCTTAAGTGGTGGGGATTTGGCGTTCAGCGTACTCGAAACACCAGACATGGTGCCCGATCAAGAGACGACGAAATTCCGGGCTGCTTTTGCATATGATGAGAAGGAGACGTTGCTTGGATGTGCGTCTTCTCTGATGCCTATTGAAAATTATTAACTGTTCGCAGATTTCCCGGGTTATATCTATAGACTCCTGCCCGTATATGGCAAACTGTATATTTCTACGAACCATTTTTGTTTTAAGTCCAGCGGACCCTTGGCTGTTCGAACAAGGGTAAAGTTTTTTTAAAAATTTATTTGAGGCTACCATCAACCCTTTGAATTTGAACAGATGACCCTACCAATCCGTGATATTCTGGCTTCAGAAAAGTCGAAGGCTTCTCGTTTCGGCCACTATGGTTTGATCATCATTATCAAAGGCCATGAAGAGCTCTTCTTCGAGTTCAACAGCGAAGATAAACGAGAGGCATTTGTTCATCTCTTGGATAGCCAGATGGAGGATGTGCGCAGACGGTTGGCCGCTGGCGATAGTGTCATCCCTTCGAGTGGAAAGCGAGAGGCATTGATATTGGAGGAATTTGAGACCACTGCGTCGCTGGGTGGCGACTCAGACAACCCAGCACTCCCGACTGATGGCATGGCGGATTCGGTACCAGCTGTCATGTTCACTTCTGCATCGTCGACATTTTTGACGTTCAAGCCGAGGAAGTCGCTCCACTTCACGTTTTTGACAATCGGATCGCGTGGAGATGTGCAACCGTATATAGCGTTGGCGAAGGGTCTCATGGCGGACGGTCACAGGTGCAAGATTGCGACCCATGGCGAGTTCCAAGAATGGATCGAATCTGTAAGTTTTCCCACTTTTTAATCCTTGAAACGTCTGATTGCCCTCTTCAAGCATGGAATCGAATTTGGATACGTTGGCGGTGATCCGGCGGAGCTCATGCGTATATGCATCGAGAATGGAACATTCACTGTTTCTTTTCTCAAGGAAGGATTAACGAAGGTTTGTGCGAAGACTCGCAGGACATATTCTTTTCATTGACACAAGTTTGCAAAGTTCCGCGGCTGGTTGGACGACCTCCTGAAGACGTCATGGGAAGCATGCCAGGGTACTGATGTTCTCGTCGAGAGCCCAAGCGCCATGGGAGGTTATCATATAGCCGAGGCATTGGCTATTCCCTACTTCCGGGCATTCACGATGACCTGGACAAGAACAAGGTATGGTCACGGTAATCCTTCGGCAACTCTCAGACTAAAGCTCATTCTCGTTCAGAGCATATCCTCATGCCTTTGCCGTTCCTGACCGCAAGGTATTTTACTGTTTTCATACACTATGGCTATCTTTGACGGCGGCAATTAGATGGGCGGAAGCTACAACTATATGGTAATGGTTCCAGGCTGACTGCTCTGCTGGTATACTAAACTAGAAAATCTCAGTCGTACGTCATGTTCGATCAGGTCTTCTGGAGAGCAACTGCTGGGCAGATTAATCGATGGCGACGCAACATCCTACGCCTTGGTCCCACCAGTTTGGACAAGATGGAACCACACAAGATTCCGTTCCTATATAACTTTAGTCCACATGTGGTACCTCCACCTCTTGACTGGCCAGAATGGATTCGAGTAACAGGTCAGCCTGTTAAATTCCAGGCAGCCACTTTGATGACTCAACTTTTATACAGGATACTGGACCCTCGAAGATGCTGATGTCAGCGCCAAGAAGTGGACGCCTCCGTCATCTCTCGTTCAATTTGTGGACAATGCACACAGTACCGGCCACAAGGTGGTTTACATCGGCTTTGGAAGCATCGTGGTGTCAGACCCCAAAGCAATGACGCATTGTGTCGTGGAGGCTGTCCTTCGCAGCGGCGTCCATGCCATCTTGTCCAAAGGATGGTCAGATAGACTTCAGATCAAGTCTGGAGACGCTTCAGAACCAGAAGAGCCGTTACCACCTCAAATATACCCGATCACATCAGTACCCCACGACTGGCTGTTCCGTCGCATTGATGCTGCTTGCCACCATGGTGGGGCTGGCACAACAGGTGCTAGTTTGAGAGGTATACCAATTGAATGAGACTTTACATTTCAGGCTAACATAGTTAATAGCTGGCATTCCTACTATCATTCACCCTTTCTTTGGCGATCAATTCTTCTGGGCCGATCGCGTCGAAGCTTTAGGCGTCGGCACTGGTGTCAGGAAACTGACAGTGTCAGCTCTATCTGATGCATTGTTGTCAGCTACCAACGACCCAAAGCAGATCGCTCGAGCCAAGATCATTGGGGAGCAAATTCGAGCAGTAAGTGCCTTGTTTTTTGTTACCTCTCTTCCTGACTGTTATTCAGGAGGATGGTGTCACTACTGCCATAGAGTCAATCTACCGAGATATGGATTATGCTCGCTCGTTGATCAAGCAACCGGTACCAGAGGTTGACGGTCAAGATGATGTCATGCGGGAAGATTCCACGATTCGAAAGCATGAGAACGTCTCCCCTGGCTCCTTCTCCAGTACATATTCAGACCGCGGTGCCCCCAGCGAGGACTGGAGTGTCATCTCAGACCAAGAGGATAGGCGTTCTTCTGTTGGGTCTCGTTCAAGCGAGAGTCGGTCAGCAAGCAAACGTACGAGCTTTACTGCTGCAGTCTTGTCCGTTTTACCAGATTCCCTTACTCCAGGGTCGCCACAGAGGCGTCAAGTACTGTAACTGCAGCTATAGAACAACACTATGTTAATCTTAGACCCTTGTAGCCTATCAACCCGGGGTATTTCATACATGGTTCCTATTTGTACATCTCTTCTCCATCACTTACTATCAACATCGTAGTGCTCCTCAAACACTTTCTTGCTGAATTGTCCGAATGTAGTTGTCGAGGAGAGAGATTGATCCGTGTTGGGTTGCATGAAGAGCGCGAAGGATTCCCGTGATATTTCGTCTTCCTGGGAGAAACCTCCGGCCCGAACACAGTGGGGAGTGGCAAGTAGCCTTCCATTTGTTGCGATCTCCAACGCTTCACCGGTCTGGAATGCTAAGCAGTCCGCAGGTATGGCAACTTTAGTGAGTTCACCGCCTCGCGTACGTATGTACAGCCCTGAGAGGGGAGAAGGTGCTTTGATGATTTCCGGTTCTCCGGACGGGACATGACGAAGGAACATGGCCTGCGCGAAAATCTCTTAGACGGAGGAAAGTATATGATGAGAGAAAACGTTTACAGGACAAAGGCCTGTCAGGAGTGAGTGGTCCAAATGGAATCCACACCAACTGTCAATTGGCTCATCATCTGCCGAACGTGCGGCATCCGGAGAGGGAGGGAAATAATGTAGCAAACGGGCTTTGGTAGTTTGAGAATCGCGAATCATATCCGCAAGAGAAAGGGTTGAGTCCAACATATGTGGCGAAACTAGATCCATGACGAAGCGCTCAGGACAGGGCAGGACGCAAAAGCAAGGAGAACGAACCAAAGGGCTGGCAAGCCGTCGCCAGTTCGTATCCAACTTTAAATATGAATCTGTTGTGTATTTACAAGATTAGAATGGTTTGATTGAAGGGATTAGGGGTTTGTACCGGGACAGGTTTTTGAACGCGTCTTCAAAGCCCTCGACTCCCTTTTCGTCCCTTTCAGGCCCTAAGTAAAATATGTAGAAGAGTTTCAGACAGAGAGCTTCCAGCCTACATATATTCCTCCCGTAATATTCGGGGAATTGAAGTATCTCCTCAGAAGATACTGTGGCGTTTTCAACAATAGGATTCGCATAATACGATCCCTTGAGAGTATCTGAAAAGCATTAAGCATTGCCCTATGGGAGACCTTCAGTTGACCTGACCTGGTTTCCCATTCATTATTTCCTAATGGCCCAAGTGTCAGTACAGATGGAGTAGATACTGGAAGAAGTGTCCAGATAGTAGATACCTTTCCATGAGACCAGCCAAAACTTTAATTGATAAATCAACCAGTGCATAAGAAGCGGAGATTCGCAAACCTGTATTTGCTGGTTGGGTCACTATATTTTTCCCGAGTAGCTTCGTCCAGGTGACCGAATTTGTATGCATGCTTCAGCAGGCTTTCTCTGTAGGCCGGATACTCGGTTGGTAAGTCACGAACGATGATTAGACCTAAAGAGCTTGGATCTGAGCCAAACGCCTTCTCTACAAAAATCCTAGGGTTAGATGCACTGGAGAACATAAATTTTTAGACAAAATACCAATGGCAGGTCCTAGCGACACCGGCGCGGAGAGCAATGTGGGGTAGGAGATCACAACGGCACCCTCGGGGGATTGTTCAATCTGCTCTAGTGTGTTTAAAAAAATGATAACAGCGTATTAAAATGCACCTGCCATGCTAGAACACGTCTACAAGTAGGCACAAAGAAGAAAGGAAGGAGATCAAGATAAAGGGCTGATAAGTGTTCCACATGCACTACTAACAGGTTAGGTACGACGCCGGCAAGTTGCGGCGGAGTGTGAATCGGGGACCAATGGAACGTGGGTTGTTTGTTGCGAGTTTTCGTCGTTTTACTTTCTTGCTCTGGTCTTTCTCCATGGCTGCCCCAAACGCAGCAGAAGATACAACAGTGCAACCCGAAAACTGGGGCTCTCAAGATGATCAGGCAATGGGACCAGCCACCGAACAGCCTGCGCCGGGAGCGTCTATATCTGCCGACGAGCGTACTGCTGGTCAGGAACCCGAACACCCAGAATACCGTCGTGCGTCCAGTGCAGGCGACAATGAAACATTCCGCGAAAAGCAAGTCAAGGTGCTTAGGTTCTTTCTGTCTGTACTTTGCTTGCCCGTTCGGAGCTCCTCCCTGGGTTTGATATCCCTGTGCTGGGCTGCCTTTGTCCTTGCGCTTCTCCACTCTTGATTGCCTTCCCTGTTCTGTGGGAGGCTATTAGGCTCTGTGCTCCGAATACTTCTTTTGATTTCTTGTCTCTGCGCTGGTGTTTACTTTCTGCTGTGCAGCCGAATAAAGTCTACATTGGTGGTCTTCCTGAACACACCCGTCAAGAGGACCTACAAAGCTGCTTTGGCAAAATAGGTACCATAATCAACATTGAACTGAAGTATGTTGCTACGTCCTGTTATTGAATCTGTACTTATTCTCCCGACAGGGTTGGCTACGGTTTTGTGGTATGTCGCTTATACGAGTGGCCTACACTGTGTGCTAACGTTGTTCTACCAGGAATTTGACAGTCGGGAAGCCGCTGAAGAGAGCGTTGCAAAATATCATGAAGGGTACTTCATGGGCAACAAAATCCGTGTAGAGCTTTCTCATGGTGGAGGCCGAACTGCCAAATATGCTGGAGATCCTGGTGCTTGCTTCAAGTGCGGCCAATTAGGTCATTGGGCAAGGTCTGATCAGCTATATCCTGTATCCTTTATGCTGAGACTGATGAGTGCATAAGCAGGGAATGCCCAAATAATACTGGGTCGTAAGTTATCCTGTTCGTTCCACATTTCAAGCACAATAACCTTTTTCTCAGCTCTCATCGCCGTCATCACAACAGCCATGAACCTCCACTGATCGATCGTATTCAGCGAGACCACAATGGCCATCTACCTCGCAATCTGCCTCCAAGGGATGATTTTCCTCCGCAGCGTCCCCCTCCTCGGGATAGTAGGTATGACTATCCTCCGCCTCTACCGGTGCGAGACTATCGTCGCCCTCCGTCTCCTCGTGACTATCGTGACTATGGACCTCCTGGCGGTGCTCGTGCTCGTGAATATGATGATTACAGAAGAGGACCACCTCCTGTGGTTGAAAGGGACAGACTCCCTCCTCCATCGGATTACCGAGGGCGATATCCACCTGTATCAGATGCTCCTTACCGTGGTTACGGTGCCCCTCCACCTCCTGTGTATGACCGCTATGATCGAAGGCCTAACGACCGACCCTCGGGTTACCCTCAACCCCCTCCCCCAAGGCCTCGCACTCCACCGAGAGTGAGGGATGATTACGACAGAGGCCCTCGGTAAGTGCGATCTGCGACATCTCGCACGCTGTAGTAATAAGTCTCGTCCAGTGACTATCCTGACTATCGTGGACGTCCCGCCACCCCGCCCCGCTATCCTCCCGACTATGGTCGTGTAAACCCAGATTCTCCAGCTGGACGATACCGGTTCGTAGTTATTGAATTCCCTCTGGCATGCTTTATTTTTAACTGAATTTGGTTAGTCGGCGCTCTGAAAGTCCCCCTTTGAATCGTGCAGCTGCTCCTCCTGCCTATGAACCTTACCCAATGAACGGCTACATCTCTGGCTCTGGTGCTCCCCCATCTGGCCCTCCTCGCGGTGCTAGGGATTATCCTCCGCCTCGTCACAATCGTGACATAATTGAACCCGTCGGTGCTTACAGACGCCCTTAACTTGCCGTTCAATGTACTGAGTACATCATCCCTTTTGACACCGTTGAATAGTGTAGTGTCTTTGCATTCTGGATGTTGCTGCGTTGTAGGTAAACGTTCAATTTTCTCAAAATCTACCTTGTCCTTCGACAGGAAATATATTTACACTTTCTTGGCTTCTCTGCCTGTGCTCGAAAGATGTGTTGTGTTCCACAGCTTTTCGGCCTTTGACTCTTGGTTCGAGAAGGAAGACAGAAAAATTAGCTACATTGAGTATGATTCAGTAATAAACTCATATTGAAGTATGACTAGATATCAGCTTGCGGAGAACAAAGCATTATGAGCGTCCACCTTTCTTCTTCTTGTTAACCACCTTGAACCCCCACTCAGGTTGGCTGGGCTTCGGTGTTGCCTTCACAACATCTGCTATAGACACGGGCTTGGCTGGAGCTTTAGAACCTGAAGCCCCCTTCGCACGTAAAGCAGCGTCAGCCTTGCGCTTTGCCACAAACTCCGACGCGAAACGTCTTCCATCTAATGTTGTGCTGTTGGAGTAGATGGTATCGGAGATGATTTCCAGCGTCAATGAATCAGGATCCAGAGGGAAAGATAATAACATGGATACGATTTCCTCCACTGAACGAAGAATGAGCATACAAAACGCTTGAGAAGCTCGCTGATCCTTACCATTCACTGAACTATTTAATCCCTTCAGCGAATCAGACAACCACTTCAAGAAGTCGTGAGAAGGAGCCTCGAATAATTCCTCTGCCTTAGTTGGAACTGGCCGCGTCTTCAACGCCAGATTGGGAGCTCGTTGGACAGGAGAGGCACTAGCACGCGGCGCTGACGTTGACGCAGCAGTATTAGTGAAAGTCGTCGAGGTTTGCGGAGGCGGAGCAGGTTTAGCAGGAGCCGCTATAGCAGCTGAAGTCTTCCCATTCGGCCCGACTGTGGTCCAAGCGCCATTCTGGGCGGCAGGAAGAACCTCGAGATGCAAGTTCAGCACGTCGGGAGTAGTAACAAAATAGCAGACAAACCTTGGTCGTCGTCTCGGCGTAAGCGCGTTTGAGTGGTGCTGCTGGGGTAGCTGCCTCCTTCGCCGCAGCCTTTTTGCGCTTTTCCTCTTCCTGGATCTCCTTCATCGTCTTCTTCGCAGCAGGAGGCTTGGTGGCTGTTGTCCAGACAGGTGCAGCGCTGGCTGGCGATGCCGGAGTTACAGGCGTTTCCCGGATAGTAGCACTGCGGGCGCCTGTTTGCGAAGTCGGTAGACCCCAAGAAGCAGTAAAAGGTTGCACATCCTCTTTGGCCTCGGTAGCAGAGGCACGAGCAACCCTCTCCTTCTCTCTTTCAGCAGCTTTACGACCCTCCAATTTCTTGGCCTCGGCTTCTTGAATCTCCCGCAAGCTGATAGCAGGGCCTGGCCTTTTCTTCTTCTTCTTCCCCTCCTCTTCGATTGCCCAAGCTAACTTTGACGGGGCAGCAGCAGCAGCATCTGCAGGGGCTGGCACAGCTCTAGCGACGGGGGACGCCTGAGTGCTCTTATTCGAGGCCTTCGCCGAAGCTATGGGTGGTTGTGGAACAGACACCTCAGATACTGAGATAGATTCAGAAGGAGTAGGAATACTCTGCTCGACTGATTCGATGGAAACTTTTTTGAGCTTGTTTGAAAGCTGCTCCTGCTGTTGGTTGTGATGACCAAGGTTGCCGACGGTCAGATTACTGGTGACAGCAGCTTCGCCCTGCGGAAGAGCCTCTGGGACAAGTTCCGAGGATTGTCGCGACTCCGTGAGATTGATCTGAGACTATATGGACAAGAGCTTAGTAAGTCGCATAAAGGGAACAAGGTAGAGGTAATGCTCACAGCAGTCGCCAGAGGCAGTTGGGTAGTTTCATCGGGCACCGTTTGGTTGACGTGCGACAAATCAGCGCCGTTGTTCCACGACGATTGAACAGCTATACCGGCAACAACATTGTGTTGAATCTGAGGAGAATATCCAAATGCATTTGAGGTTTGGCGTTCTTCGTTGAAGTCTCTCATGGGCGATGCGTACTGTTGCTGCTCTTGCGGGGCGTGGAAGGTCTGCCCAACGAAATCATACCGAGTGAAGTTCATATCTCCGGATCCAGAACGCTGTGCGCTGAAGTTATCGTTTGGATAGACCCCTTGGTTGAATGTCCCTTGAAGCGCGTCGTGGGCAAAAGTTGCAAGACGTTGATTGGAAGAAACGGGCTCTCTTGGACCGCCGAATCCGGAGGATGGCGCAGTTGAAGCAATTGACCAAGGATCCTGTAAAGTGTTGTAACCGTGGCCGTTCAAGCCTATGCCTCGCTCTGGAATGAAGTTGCCGAAGGAAGGCCCCTGATCATGACCATATTCGTGGCCCGTGGTGCGCCTTTCCAAGTTCGAGCCAGGATCTTGAACGGAGAAGCCTTGCATTCGGTTGACTGCGTCACCGCCTGTAAAAAACCCCCTAGAGTCCCTGCCACCAAAGGTCGAAGGATCTGGAGAGGGATTGCCGAACTGTGAAGCGCCGAAGGAAGAGGATGGAGAGTCGGAATGCATCGAGCCACTTGCCAAATATGATTCTAAAGCAGAGGAGCGTAGGGTTCGAATGGGTGCCGGTTGGAAAGGTTCGTGGAAAACATTGTCGGGAGCCCCATAATTTTGCAACGAATGATTGCTTTCTAAAGCTTGAGCAGGGGCCAGGACGTTCAACGGTGATAGGAAGATATTCTCGTTCGGTACTCGATTGATGAGCTCTTCAACAGTTGTCCATTGGGTGTCATAACGGGTGCGTTTCATGGGCAAATCTGGTGAGAAATACCCATCGTTGAACCACTTCTGCATCAGATCCGCTCGGAAAGGACCTATGCCCGGCGTGAAGAGGTTGACGATAGCAGATAGAAAGTCGCCTTACCTTGAACCTGACCCGTCGGATCCTTATACGACCACTCCACAGCCGCCAGATCAACCAAACCTGGAGGAGGGCCAACTTCTGCGTGATTTGGTTGGCTATGCGCGCTTGACGTCCCATTCAACAAGAATGCATTTGGATTGTTCGCATTGTTCGCTGTCCCGACATATAGCTGCGGTTCAGCTGATAGAATCTGAGGCGAAGACGATGACGACAAAAATGAGCCATCTGCTTGATGAGTTCGCGAAATGCCAGCAGATTCGTCTTCTTTTTCCTCAAGTATGCCACCAGCCTTGGCACCAGGGTCAAGTTCCTCCCGAATCTGTCCGTTTGCAGGCTTCATAGACGCCTCTGAAGCACGGCGCCTGGCAACCCATGACTCCCCGCTGTTGAGAACGCCATCGAAGTTGGGAGTATATCCAACGCGTGTTCGAGGCGAGGCTTCACGAGGCGAAAGGGTAGGACCCTGCAGGGCGGACAGCGAAGGCTTTCGCGGAATGGTGAGCATTGTGGGGTCTGCGAGCTTGTCAGCTTTCAATCGGACATGAATTATGAGGATCGGAGACACACCTGAGCTGCCACCTGAGCTGTCTCTGCGTTTGATCGCTCCGAAGCGCTCACGTAGAGGGCTGTTAGTAGTGGCAGAATTGCCGTGAGTCAGTCGAGGGCGGTCAAGACCCGAAGTATTGAGAGGTGAAAGGTAATCCATTGACTGGCTTGGACGTCGACGAAGTTCAGAATTGATTGGCCCTGCAAAAAGCTGCATCTGTGTAAGCGGGTACACCGCGCGTAAACGACCACAACGAACTTTCTTCTCTGCCTCAGTCATGTCACGCAAGCTGACAGGTTCGACTCCAGCCTCGCGCACAACCCCCTCCCAGCGTTCCACCTCCAAGCCTAGACCTCCCTTGCCACCCCCTTCCTGGTAGATTTTGAGGAGATCCTCTTTGGAATATCGGAATGGGTGGGATTCATCAGCTGTATCAGACGAGGCGGGGGGTGTCGCGGAGACAAGAGCAGAATAGGTCGACAGACCTGAATTGGCGGTATTAGAAGGCGGTGGAGACGGCGGCGGTTGGGACTTTGGGAGTGCTTGGTGCTTGGTGCGCATCCACTCAGGACCGAATTGCATGGTAGTAGTCGACATTTGGGGCTGAGAAATGGTTATGTGTTGCTTGTATGGAAACAGGCGCTGTGCTTTCTTGTAAATTTGGAGGAAAATCTCGAGGCAGTGGCACAAAACACCCTTCACACGCGCATCGTGGGAATCTCTTCTTTAGGGCAAGTTACATAACTTAACTACTCTACACACATCTAGCTCATCTTCACCCGCCACACAGAAGTTGGAAGTCCTGGAAATGTCGGTCGGTCAGTGCAGCTTATGCAGTAGAATTGTACACACGTACTTTGCAACTTGCGCGCGGTTGGAATGATGAACGCCACCAGGAATATCAAGCCGAAGGCCAGGCAAATGATCGTAACGGTATAGTACCCATCGGTGTGGGTGACGCATTTCCCGCCAATATCCTTGCAGGCGGCTTTGCCATGGTCCGAGACACACTCTGTAGCTGCTTGGAATTGTTAGAAGGATGGACACAACAAGACAGGCATAAGACTTGCCTTTGATATGGACAGCTGCCTGTGGAACCTCACAGGTCGCGACACTGAAAAGATCGATCCCTGTTCCCCGTTAACTAAGCATGAAAACGCTGAAAACCGATCATTTCTACCTTTCAGAACAAACCATTTAGGCCAAGTACCCCCCATGTTTGTAAAAGTATTGAGGAGCTAGACAAGCTTCAGTTATGTGTGAACACATTCACGAGCTACACGTACTGTCATGTACGTTCCTCCAATAAGGGGATCCGACACACGAGTGTGGAACGCAGAAATTCCAACAAATTGAACGGTTCTTGCAAAAAAGCGTTGTCAGCGAGCTGCGGTTGATGCCCAAATGGACAGACTTACGAAGCAAAGGAGGACAGCACAGTGTGGATAATTAACAGTACGAAGAAACTCATCGGAATCGGAGGCTTCGGGAAGAAGTATACAATGAATGCTGCAATGAGAGCAAAGACAAGCCGAGGCCAGAACGCATAGATCCAAGGACGAAGGGGACGGTCTCCTCTTGACCATTTGGCAGCAAGCCACCCACCCATTATCTGGAAGGGGAAGTCGATGAGGACAACAATGGCCAGATCTTCACGCTTGAAGCCCTTTTCAACAAGCTTGAGGCCAGTCGCTGCGTCATTAGCAGCGAAGCCGACCTTCGCGAACAAGTGGACAACGACAAGTAATTGCACATCTGGATGATTTCATTGGCACAAGACTTCAAGAAGGGTGTTTGACCTACGTCTGAGCTGGCAGATGGTCCATATAGTCCTATAAACGCCTTTGATACTCATGTCGGCATCGTTGGCGGGCTCTTTGTCCTATTAATAAAGGACATAAGCGTATGAAAGCCGACATTCATGATTTATACCGCGAACCTCCTTCTTGAAAATAATAAGCCATAACGTAACCACGAAGCACACGATGCTCCAGAACCGCAAGTAACCAGCTAGCGTCAAATGAGGAACGCCCCATTTCGCACTTTGAAACAGCGTCAGGAAAATAATAAAATAACAAGACTACTTACGCAAAAGCTTCGCTATTGAATGCCAAAAACACCGTAAAGGAAGCAAAGAAACCCGTGTTGAGGCCTATTGTCTGGCATGTAGAAGCGTACGACAGGCAATCATGCGAAAGAAGGGTCAAAGCCCAGCCTGAAAATGGTGAGAAGAGGAAAATATAGGAGAGTAGAGATTAGCTTTACCATCGACAGCGATATCTACAGGTAACGTTAGCTACTGCAATGTACAGTCGCGTATTTACTTACCTTGAGTGGCGGAGAATGTCACAAGCATAGTAAAAACGGTGGTCAACTCAATTACATTGTGGGCGGGCTGTAGATGAGGGGATAAGAAGCAATCGAGAAAGGAATTCAAGAATGACCGACATCTTCCATCAATCTCTTGACGTTGAAGGAAATATACATCATCAGAGAACCAACAATTATTTGCATTGGTACAATCCACGACTTCCGACGTCCAAACGACTTGAAGAAGATGGAATCGACAATGGGCGACCATAGCAGCTTCAGAGAATATGGATAACTGGACAGGGCAAAAGTCGCAAGCTGTGAATAGGACAAGTGCTCCTTTAGGAGAAAAGGGACGGATCCTAAATATTGTGGAGGAGATTAGAGGGAGGCGTCTAGAGCTTACGACACAGATTTTACCTAGGGCTAGTCCCAGCTAAGAAGACAGGTTCGTCAACATGTGCGACAGGGGGTGTTGTTTTATAGCGTACCGGGATGCCCTGCAGGAGGTCTATAGCGGTGTGAGTTAGGACGAGACCTCGTAAACGCTTTCACTCACATAAAACACATAGTAGTACCATTCCCCTCCTATCTTTCGCAGATATGGTAGGCTTCATGTCGTGCTCTGCCTCGGAGACTGAAGATTCATCGTCGAGGAAGTTACGGGCGGAACGGACACGTTCGTCCTCGTTGAGAAGAGTCAGCTCGACGTCGTCTTCATCGTCGCCCATATTATTGGGGCGGGGAGTTTTTGGTGTGCGAGGAGATATGTGGATGCTATTCAGCGAGGAGGTCACGGCCATAGGTTCCTTTGGGGTGCGAGCAGATCTCATCGCCTGCTTGAAGTTCGAGTGGTGGTCTTGCGTTGGTTCGTTGCCGTCGTTGCCGAGGAATTGGAATTAAAGGTTATACTGGCATAAATTCCAGTCAGGTCTTCTGTGCGCTAGGATGCGAACGAAAGAAACAAAGCAAAAGAATGGCAGTCGCGTCCTTGCCAAATGACACGTCGAGCGAGCGGAGCGTTGGTCCACGTGGAGGGTTAGAGAGAGCAGTGACACAGCCACCTATCTTTCCGAAACACGATGATGCGCCAGGACGTCGACGTGCCTCAGTCGGTACATCCCTCCGATAATCTACCTCTTACTGACCACTCACCAGGCACTTTCTTTGCTGAGAGTGTCTGACCGCATAGAATACAATGACGGCATCTTTCCGTAAAGCTCTGGACAAGCTTTCGGAATATGTACGTTCAGAACCTTTGGGGCGACTACTACTGGCAACACGCTCAAAAGCACCGCGTGGCTTCTTCAGGCAAAGATATTTTGCACTGGACTTCGGCTCCTTCTGCTCCTGATCTTTTTGGAGGGTTTCCGGGCCGTTGCATGGATCAGCAGTGGGTACTTACTCGCCTCCCTGAACACCGCTTTCTTGTTGGCACTCATTCGACCGGCCCCGTGCAATGACGCTGCAAGGTGCAAGGCCTTCATCAACCTTTCGTGGAATAAGTTCTTCCATTGCGATCCGCTGATTGACACACCTGATGATTGGCAATGTTTTCGGTCTTCACCATACACATTTCTTCCGGAATCCGGCCGCCCATATGAAGCTCTTCTCCATGCTGCCCTCCTTCTTCAAATCTTATGGACGTCAAATGACCTTGGCAAGACTCTTCTGAGCTACTATAAATTGGGTCCAAAGCATCCTCGTTCTTTACCTTTGCCCCCTTCGCAAAGAATTATAGCACTATGGGTCTCACCATATGTCTCTCTTTTCTCCTTGCTTTAGCCTTGACTCGAGCTGCGGTCATCGTCCCAGGAGCAACATGGACAGATACTAGTGGAAATGTTATTCAAGCTCATGGAGGCGGCTTCCTCAAGGTTGACTTTCCCTCATCGCTCCGCTATGAACACTGTTCATGCGAACTCGTACTCATAGGTCGACTCGACGTACTACTGGTTCGGCGAAGACAAAGCCCATAACAGTGGTCTCTTCAGAGCTGTTTCTTGCTACTCGGTGATTTCCACTTCTACTGGGCCTTACCCGTATTGATCAACACCGCGATCAGTCTACCGATATGACTACTTGGACTCGCCACAATGATGCTTTGACGCCCGTGGCTAGCACGACGATATCTACCTCCGATATCGTCGAACGCCCCAAAGGTTCGCACGTGGCAAACTTCGCAGTCCATCAAGAGAGCACTCATACTTTGTATCATAAAGTTATATTCAACAGAGCTGTAATATTTTCTCTCCTCCCGAACTCTCTCATGGTTGAGATATGATCGCAGACCGCAGAATACGTTATGTGGTTCCATTCCGATTCGTCCAAGTGGGTTCATATTTTCGCCATATCTGCCCTTGCATTGAAAAAACCATCACAGTTACGGAGCTGCCCAAGTTGGCGTTGCGACGTCTCGGACGCCTTGTGGGCCGTACACATTTAAGTCCAGCTTCAGACCTCTTGGCGCTGAGTCTCGAGACATGGGCATATACCAGGATGGTAAGAACCTTTTTCTAGACAGCGCGGTCGTTCTCATTCGAACCCCTCTTGATCTACAGACGATGGTGAGTCCGGTGCTGACAAGTGCTGACGCTTCTGATGCCGACATCTAACGTCATATCAGCCGCTGGGACATCTTACCTCCTCTACGCTTCTGACAACAACCAGAACTTCAAGGTATCTAGACTGGACGCCAACTATTACAATGTGACCACGCAGATAGCTGTCATTCCAGGTTGACCATATCTTTCCACATGATAGAAAAAGCTGTTCTCACTTTCTCCTCCGAATAGGATCCACCTTGGAGTCGCCAGGGATCATAAAGCGCAATGGAGTATGTCATAATGTCGCCCCTGTCTCTCTTCAGACAACTGAAAAATGCTGCCAGGTGTATCATCTCTTCGCATCTCATACGACTGGCTGGAACCCGAATCCGAACAAGGTTCTCACTGCAAACGTGTGTCTTCCGTTTTCATCTGTCTCTTTTTTCACCGTGGTGACGATTTACGCAGTCCCTGTCCGGACCTTGGTCCTCTGAGTCGGACATTGCACCTCCTGCAACCAGGACCTACTTCTCCCAGAATACCTACAATATGCTGATCAATTCGAACCTGGCCATTTACATGGGTGATCGATGGCGACCCGCACTTCTGGGTAGTAGCCGATACGTCTGGTATCCGCTCAGCTGGAGCTCAGGAAGACCACAAATCGTACCCGCTGACGTCTGGACCCTCAACCTCGAGGCGGGGACCTATACCGCTGCGACAGGGACAACCTACGAAGCGGAAAACGGTGTTTTGTCTGGTCCTGCTAGGAGCTTGTCGAGCTCTTCCTTCTCCGGCGGTGTAGCCATCGGGTATCTGGGTACGATTTCTTTCTGACCTGTGGAATCGCTGAAATATAATCTGACATTGCGCAGGGAACGGTGGATCCTTGACAATAAACAACGTACAGGGAATCGGAGCAGCACAGTGGGTTTCCCTTTATTACGCAAATGGTAGTTCCCACCACCTGATCTCTGCTCCGCATCTGACTGATTCTTCTTGATGCAAGGGGATTCTACCTGGAGAAATACCACCGTCAGGTCGGAGCACTCCTCTCCTGCACACATCAGTGATACTTACTTTCTTGGTCGGCGTTAACGGCGGTGCGAGTGTTCTGGTAGACCAACCGAACACTGGTGGCGGAGGCGTCGTCCTGTCTGTTCCTGTCAAACTTACCTTGAGAAGTGGAACGAATTCCATCACCTTCTCTGCCAACCAAGCCAGTACGTTCTCCTTATCATTCGTGTTCTTTCCTCGCTCTTGCGCCAACCCACCCCACAGATTATGCAGCAGATCTCGATAAAATCATCGTTTACACGGCGACTTAAATACGCGGATCATGGCATAATGGAATAGATTGCGGTGTTTCTATACCTATAGCAATTGTCCAAAGAATATGTACATCCTGTCATAAATCTAAGCCAGTCTTCTATCAGTCTAGTTCTATACGGACATCGAGACTTGAACATTAAAAGTATGGTGTCTAAGAAAAATCCGACAGTGTCGCTATCCACGACTATTCCACGCTTTCTTGAGTTGCTGTAATTTTGTTAGCTTGGCTCGAATACTGCAGAGGAGAAGCAGACCGACCTCGTAGAATACGAACATGAGGATAGTATTAGGGCCCAGTCGCACGAATGCAGGTGTCCAACCCTTGAACAAAAATCGTACGCCTTCTTCTCTCAGGGAGCGACTGAAGACTTGTGTGAAAGAGGCATCGCAGGACTAGGGAGAAGAAATTCGGCTCTACGTTTGAATCGAATTGACGGATGAGAAGACCTACCGCGGCCATGAGACGCGATCGGAGGACGTCCGCAGGAGAGCATACCGCTGGGAAAATGATTAGCTATGTTTCACATCAGAGATAGAGCAGGCGATGCTCACTCGTTGCGAACAGTCCAGCAGCACAACTGGAAACCAAGTGAAGGGGTAAGTCATCCCGGAATTGGTAGTCGACGATAGGGACCGGTTTTGCGAGTAAAGTAGTCTTGAAGAAATCATAACTAAGAAATGAGATGAGTAGAGTGGGAGAAATAGATGTACAAATTACATACGATCCTACTTGGGATGCCTGGAAAAGGGAATGAGTAAGGCACCGGTGAGAAGATCAGAAAACCGTCACGGACATTCATCAATACTGCTCGGAACTGAGCATAGTTGTAAGCATGCCAGGCGCGTCTTTGTGAGCAACATACTGTGTTGGTTCCAAGCCCTCGTGAAAGACCTTGGAGGCCTTCTTCTCGTATCAATGCAACAAGACCGGAAACGGCATTAGAGTAGTTGTACCGCTTCTCCGGGGGTCTAACCAAGTCACTCGTCATGCGGACCAGAAGGATGTCTTGAGCACGACTCAGTAAGCAAACACGAAGAAGGAGCAACTGGCGCACCTGCTGGATTCCCAGCCAGCCCTCCAAGTCCTCCAGCCACACAGGCAGCAATGAGCAGTCGAAAAGTAGAAGGTTTTCCGTCCTGCGACAGATGAGCCTTCATCTTTTCATAGGCCCCAAGGCGCACGAGAGAATAGGACATCTGACGCATTAGGGAAGCAGTCAATCCTGCGTACAGGCTTCGAACTCCTGACCGCGAGATTGACGTCCGAATGACAGACAGAGTTGACGGACGCTTTGCCCCAGGTGTGGTCTCTAGGGTTTGCATGCGGCTGTACGCGAGATAAGCAGAGGGTTGGCAGAGTTTTGCTTTTCGGAACGAACACTTTAGTGACATCTAGAGGGTGTGTGCACGCTGCAGCCACTGGAAAGTTGAGGAAATCAGACTCGAAGGGTTGTGTGTTACATAGAGCTATGCTCACTGGAGGCGCCCACGCCTACGTGCGCGGAGGAAAATCAACCATCGGCGAACGCCAATCAAGCAAATATGTACCTCCGAGCCTGCAGAAATGAGCCAGATGAAGGAACGAACGTTTGGGTGTTGCTCACCAGAACGGATAACTAGAAGGCATTTGGTCGGGGGGAGAGGTGTGCAGGTATGTAGAAGGGGTTCTCTAGAAATCTAACGGAATAGTAGCCCAGCTATATATAGCCCGAACACCTGCAGCTACTTGTATGTTGAAATGCCGGTAACGCGCCGGTTCAGCGTTGCGATCGTGGTTAAAGGTGTGAAATCAGAACCAGCTACGGTTCGGCTATGTTCTTTTCTGTGCTGGTCCTGTCACAGCGAGAATACCATCGGATAAAATACGAAGACGTTCGGCGAGGCTCAAGGTTGCTATGTACGTGTCGAATCCATCAACGTGAAAAGGCTCCAAGTCGCGTCAAGGCGCGTCGCTTTCAAGTTGCACTCTAGACTCTCGTTCAGTATAAGTACATGTGACTACCTCCACCGAAAGGAGTCCGAGTTCCGTACTTAGAAATGCGTAGACAATTATCGAATGGGTAGATATCGATGCATCATCATCGTGGCAAGCTCGTCTGCGTGAAAGGTTGTCAGACACTTGCCAGTGAATTTTAATTATTAATTAATGCGGGTCCGTGCGAGATGGTCACGGGTGGCTGTCCTTGTTTGGTCCTTCGAGCCAATCAGAGGCAGGATTTGGCACTTGGTTCGTGGCCTCGTTCTTGCACCATCCCCTCTCTTCTTTGAACAGCTCTCCTCTTTTTCCTTCAATCTTCCAGTCATGAGCGGACACGACAACGAAGAGCTTATCGACTATGAGGACGAGCACGACATCCCCAACACTGGCGTACCGTCAAATGGAGGTGTAGCGGCTGCTGGTGACGCGGATGGCAAAGACAAGAAAAACTTTTCAGGCATCCATTCAACTGGTTTTCGGTCAGTTCCTATAGCATATATCGCGTTTTATCTCATCTAACGCGTGTCATTGCAGAGATTTCCTCTTGAAGCCCGAGTTGCTGCGCGCCATCTCCGATCTTGGTTTTGAGCACCCTTCAGAAGGTATGGCTATAAACATTTTCAGTTTACAACCCAAGGTCTGAACTTATCTGCTCCAGTCCAGCAAGAGTGTATTCCTCAGGCTGTCCTGGGTATGGATGTGCTCTGCCAAGCGAAATCTGGCCATGGAAAGACTGCTGTCTTTGTCCTTGCCACTTTGCAACAGCTCGAGCCTGTCAATGGCGAGGTATCAGTTTTGGTACTTTGCCATACTCGGGAATTGGCGTTCCAGATCAAAAACGAATACACTCGCTTTGCCAAGTACATGCCAGATGTGCGAGTCAGCACATTCTATGGCGGTACTCCTGTCACGAAGGATGCTGAAATACTGCGCGACAAGACCAAATGCCCGCATATCATTGTTGCCACCCCTGGTCGCTTGAACGCCCTCACCAGAGACAAGGTCCTCGACGCAAAGAACGTGAAACATTTCGTTTTGGACGAATGTGATAAAATGCTGGAACAGCTCGGTTAGTCGAATTTGGCGCTCACACCTCCCATCATCGTTTCTCTTCGTCTCCACCCGAACCGCGTCGACGAGGCGTTGTGGCCTAGTTACGTTCTCGCCTCGCATATACACCCGTGGATCATGTTCGACAGGGCAAGGATCTCGATAGTACGAAGTCATAAGTGACGATCCTCTTCTCGAGGCCTCAAGCTTCAACATCTAGGGAATCCTTACCTAGTCAACATGGCTCGACTGTCTAGTGTACTATTTCTTCTTCGTGTCGCCTCTTCTATTTCTGCTGCCGCGTATTTCTTCGACCATCTTATCTAATTCCGACACGTCCACTAGACATGCGCCGCGACGTGCAAGAAATTTTCCGAGCGACACCTCACCACAAGCAAGTTATGATGTTCAGCGCGACTTTGGCGAAGGATATTAGAACCACATGCAAGAAGTTCATGGCAAACGTAGGCCCCCGTCTCTTTCTAGTCGGGCTTCATTTGTTGAATAGATTTTCTAGCCACTCGAAATTTTTGTCGATGACGAAACCAAGTTAACCCTCCATGGCTTGCAACAGCACTATGTCAAGCTCGAAGAAGCTGGAAAAAATCGGAAGCTTAACGAGTTATTGGATTCCCTAGAATTTAACCAAGTTCGTCATTTAAGTTGTACATGCATGCATCCCCCTAATTCATGTTGTGAAGGTCGTCATTTTCGTAAAGTCTGTTGCTCGTGCAATCGAATTGGATAAACTTCTTGTTTCTTGCAATTTCCCAAGCATCAGCATTCACTCGGGTCTTCAGCAAGAGGAACGGTATGTTTCCGCCTGATTTCTTGTCATTCGATTTGGAACTAATATCTGCTATAGTATCAGTCGTTACACCGCTTTCAAGGCTTTCGAGAAGCGTATCTTGGTCGCTACTGATATTTTCGGCCGTGGAATCGATGTCGAGCGCGTAAATATCGTTATTAACTACGACTGCCCTCCTGATGCAGACAGCTACCTGCATCGTGTTGGGTAAGTAGGGGCTCACTGTACCTGGCAACAACTATGCTCATTTCACTGCTAGGCGTGCTGGGCGTTTCGGGACCAAGGGTCTCGCAATCACTTTCGTTTCGTCGGAGAGCGACCAGCAGGTCATGGCGGCGATTCAATCTCGATTCGAGGTTGCAGTTCCTGAGCTGCCTGACAAGGTCGACCCCGCCAGCTACAGTGAGTCTTTCCCTCTGTCTTGAAGGCTTATACTGACGTATACTAGTGACGTCGTAATGGCAACACTTTTGTGACCATACTCTTAAGTCCCCTCGTTCGGCGTATGTCAAAAGCTGTATCGCGTCTTTAGTAGTTTTCTTGTAAAATTGGAATATTGCCTTTTTGGAGTCTGAAGTCACCGTTGACATCATTGGCTGTCTGTCACAAAAGTTACTGTCACGAGCACTGAATTGATCGGCCGGCTTGGCAAAGTCCACCCGCCGTCTTAGCTGCTTCCCTTTGCGAATCTCAGTCAACAGTGCGACGGCGCCCTCGTGCGGTGACCTGCATCGCCCCCGCAGGTTGAAATTGTATACCCCAACTTTCTTAGACTGCCAGATATGAAGAAAAAATTTGGCCAACCGTCATTTCCGACACTCTACTTCAGAGATGGTGTGCTTTCAATACCGGGATATACCTTCGAAAAGGTGTGTGGGTCGCGGAATTCTGCATTTTCTTTCTTGACGTTGTCCAGGGTGTTCCTTGGCAAGATACAGGAAGTATGACAATTCTGGCAGAAGGGAGCAGCTTGAAAGATGGTTCCAGTGTGCTCGCTAAAATCGCACCTGCACAATCCAACGGTTCAATGTGCCTCGAGAGGGAGGCCCACATGTACGTTGCAGGCAAGGATTTTCTTTCCCTTACTGATACAACCTTTTTATAGTCTAGGCTCCATGTCTGGATCGCCGGAAGGTTATAGTACCACCCTTCGGATGATTGACTACTTCAAAATACCCCGCGAAAGTGGAGATTGTGTTGTACTCCTCCTCGTCCACCCCGGCCTCAATCTTCTCGGGCGGTACTTACCCCCGTCCAAAGTGAACGACCTTCTTCTCGCCGATGTCTCTCGTGCAAGGCCAACATCGTCCCATAATGATATCTATATGATGGGAATCGAGGAGCCTAGTCTGACAGAAGAGATGGAAGCTTTTGATATTATGGATCTAGCATCTTTTCTTGAGTGCGCACGTTTTCTTCTGTCGGTTTCCCAGTTGATCATAAGCTTCTTCCCAGATTTGCAATCCAGTCAACGCATTGCCTGGAGGTTCTGCACAAGTAGCACATTCCACCACTGTTTTCGAATGTTTCACTGACGCCCTCTCCAGAGCGGGTGTAGTACATCGAGAAGGTGCGTTCAATTATGCCTGTGCGATGGGGTGATTTGCCAAACACCTACTAAACAGTACGCGCCAACGCCTTCCACCTGAACTCCCATTCTGGCTTTGTTCGACTCGTGCACTTTGGGAATCGCGCCATCTCATTGGAGAATTTTGGCTCCCCCTCGTCCCTGGTTCTTCGTGCCTACGAAGAAGCCGAGAAGCTTAAAATCAAGGAAGCCTTATGCTATCTGGCACCTGAGCAAACGGGAAGCATTGAAACTATGACCCAAGACCATAGGACAGACCTTTACTCCCTTGGTATCTTGTTTTGGACATTACTAGTGGGTCGCGGTCAAATGCCCTTCGAAGGAGGTGCATTGGAGCTGCTGCATTCCATCGTGCAGAAACGGCCAATGCCCGTGCACGAAGTGAGACGGGACGTACCTCAAGTATTGGCAAATATAATTGACAAGGTACACATGGGCAGAGCATTTCAGGGGAGACTTACTCACACCATTGCCAGCTTTTGTCGAAGAACCCTGACTTGAGATATCAGAGCGCCCATGGTTTGAAGACGGACTTGATCGAGTGCCAACGTCGTCTTTTAGCAACAGTTTCTTCTGCGTCCGATGATTCGACGGAGGTAAATTCTTATGATATAAAGAGCGTGCCAGTCTGACCTGTGTTGGAAGCTAATTCCTCCTTTTGAAATTGCCTTGGAAGATAGATTCACGGTTAGTGTATCCTTCCCAGACAAAAATTAGTAGATCTCAGTTTCCCCCGTTCAACCAGGAATTCACCATGCCTATAGCTTTGGTATGTCTCCTCTTAGTCCACGAGGAGCCGTTTCTGACATGCATTAGTTCGGGCGGGAGAAGGAGCTAGAGCTGATTCGGAACGTCAGTAAGTTGAGGATTTGCTGTTTTCAGGGCCGAACGGCTGACTCTTGAAGTTCGCAATGTGTCTACGAGCTTCTCGAGGCACTTCTCCGCCAGTCAAGGCTATATTCCTCTATCTACGAGTGGCTCCCAGAGCATGAACCAGGACGATTTTACTGAATCACTGTCATCTCGAAGCGAATCTCCCCACAATACCTCCATGGGTGAATCGAGTCCTAAAGTGACTGGCTCTCCGGATTCACCGACACACGACCACTCTTCTCTCTCTTTCAGCCCGTCTATCCACTCCGGGGATGGGCTCCGTAGAGTCATGCTACGAAGTCGGAGCCGTATCTCGCGCACACAAGCTGTTCTCGTCGTTGGTCCTGCTGGGTATGCCGGTTCACTGCATGTGTCTTCTTCTCCTCTCACCGCAGTGTAGAATAGGAAAGAGCTCGATGGTCCTTGTAAACCAAGCAAAATGGCGATGTATGTTACGATTTGACTTCTCCTGCTTTATAGCTTGCTGACTCTTGATGGACGAGTAGCGCATGGCCTTTGGGGCCAAGCTAAATTCCAGAGCGCTGACTCTGCGCCATTTGCAGCACTGGTGCGTTTTCGTACCCACAATCGAATCTTTTTGTTGAATGACAGCCTCCAGCTTGGTTGTTTATCTGCAGTTTTACGACAGCTGATGGTTTTTCACACGGACCTTCATCGTTTCGTCACTGCTCTGCGCGATCGCCTAGGTCCTCAACTTCAAAATGTGCCACTCCTTTACCAAGGCACTCCAGAGCTCAAAGATGTCTTGGCTCTGTTTGACATACACCTGGCAACACCTCAGGAGCCTTTGAATTCGCGTGAACTTAGGGCAAGGTTTCAGTCTCTGGTTGAAAATGTCTTCGCTGTGATTGCGGAAACGCGGCTGTTCGCTTTGTTCCTAGACGACCTCCATGAAGCCGATGATTCGTTGAGTTAACCTGTTGCTGAGCCTTGCGATCGTGCGCTGACGCTCAGACCTAGCACCTTGGATCTCGTGTCAACATTAGTCAATTCGAGAACTCGTATGGTTGGTCTAGTTTTGCTGCCTTTCATAACCGCCACATTAAGATGCACTTATAGCTGATATTCGCTACGCTGCGATCAGACAAACTGTAGGATCCGCGTTATCCGTTGCAGGGCCCGGCTCATCCAACATTAGTAACGTCGTGCAACGGGTTAAAGATATGTTCAAGAGTCGTTCCCAACCTACCTGGATCGCTGTTGAACCATTGTCCTTCCAAGCCATATCATCTCTAGTATCCAAGACCTTACATCGCGCTAAAGAGGAATGTGTCCCTTTGTCTCGATTTGTGCATGGGGCGTCGTCAGGGAATGCCTTCTCCGCGAGGAACATTCTGACAACCCTTCAACGGCAAGGACATGTGCGTCATTTTTTCAACCTTCAGCCCAGTCCTCACAAGAAGCCAGATCACATTTAACTGGGAACACAACCATTGGATGTGCGTTACTTCGTCCTCGATGTAATGATTTTTTATGATTATCATCTACAGATACGACATGTTCGCAATTCAAGGAAGCCTTGGAGACCAGAAGTCGTCGGACCCGACTGATCTTTCATTTCTTATCACCCACATGAGAGAACTTCCCGAGGAGGCCCATCAGTACCTTGTGTGGGCTGCCCTATTCGGAGAAACGTAAGAACTCTTGACAAAATTCCTTAAATTTGCTGACTTTCAGCGGAAACATGACAGGTTCAAAGTGACGGAAGTCAATCTAATGATGGACTGGGAAGACTCGAGCGGTAGCAGTGGGAGCGAAGACGAACTCGACGATATGTGGCATGTGCACAAGGCTGTATCCAACCTGCGTGAAACAGGTTCTGCAAACACCCATAGGTCGATGCGTGGTCTGCAGGTCGCCTTGACGGAGGGTTGGCTCATCACGAGAGCAAGGGATATGTGCAGCTTTGCACATGATCGATATCGGCAGGCAGCACAGGCCGAGGCCGAGACCCTTCCTCGAGAAGTACTTGCAAAAATGTCTTTCAAGGTACGAACTGAATTTGTCCTCGACCATGAACTTCCAATAAGACAATGAATAAGATCATCCTGATGATGCTGCACGAGAGTCCAATTGATGTTTATGGCGTCGCGGAGCATGCGAAGCGGTGGGTTTATTCAGTTAGTTTATCATGTTACGACGTTGAACGAAGCAGGTGTCTCGGTCTCCTACATGACCATCCAAAACGCGACGAGCTTCTGGACGTTCTCATTGACGCCGGTGAATCTGCTTGGGCTCGAGGTGCCCACGAGGTGACCCGCGTTCGATAGACACTCGTTCTTCTTACTGAAGGTCTCTTCTTCTGCTCCCCAGCTTGCTATACAGTCCTTCGTCAGCGCTAGAACCCTCCTTCGACAAAATGCATGGGCAGACAGGCCATGGAGAACCTTGAGCCTCTTGTCGCGACTGGCTGCGTAAGTTCACTCATTTTCGAGATTCCGTGTACATTAACCTACCTACCTCTTAGTCTGTATACTTGGAGAGGTATGCCAACTATTCTTTCGTCAAGTTTAGCATTTGCATTGAAAAGTCCACAGGCGATTTGAAGGAATCCGATTCTATCTTAAGCGAATGTTTGGTGCATGGTAGGCAGCCGGAGGATAAGGCCAACCTTCTTAGATCGCGGTCGCGAAACCACTGGCTGAAAGGCAACTACGCGGAGGCCCTCAACGATACCCTTCTTGCTCTAAAGGTTCTTGGTGTGGAAGTATCCCCAGCACCGACGCGGCGGCAAGCGGATATCATGTTTGAAGAGGTAAAAAATGAGATCTTAGCTGTTGGCTTCGACGAGATACTCTTGATACCTCGCACAACGGATCCGAGGACAGAACTCGCTGTGACATTGCTCAATGACGCAGGTGTGACACATATCTTCTGCCATATCTTACGCCTATCGACAAGGGTTACAGGGATGAATGGATACTGGAGTCCATCGCCTTATTGCTTTGCAGATGTTGTAGGGTTAACTGTGAGTAGCGCAGCTGTCACCGTCTTCTGCGTTATGACACGCTTTTCAAGACGATTCAACTGGCGCTCAGGTATGTGACAACAGCAGACAGGTCGGAATGCCCAGCTCAGCTAATGCATCCAGATCTGGGATGTCCCCCGGAACAGCTCTTGGATTCTTCTGGGCACTCGGAGGTACGTGGTTGATCCGTGTTCATCCATCATCCATTATACTCCATTATCAATTATGCTAAAGCCCACCCAGCAGCAGAACGACGAGAACTCTATCGGTTCTCTACTGATATTGCCAAGTTAGCTCTGCGCATCGCAGATCGACATGGCAGCTCAGGGGAAAAATGGTACGCTGTTTGCCAGTTTACCATATCGCAGCCTTACTTTGCACGGCAGCCGGGCGCAAGTTCTTTTCTGCGCAATGGTCTCAGGCTTCGACAATGTTCATATACGAGCAAATCTGCCCCGCTTGGAGCAAGCCGTGAAGTATGGGAGTAGTGCTGGTGATCGGTACTTTTTTTCGAATTTCTCATTCTTCAACACCTAACACAGTCGGACAGCCTCTACACAAGCTTTGCAAGTATACATAGCATTATGACCAGGCTTTATGTCTGCGATCACCGTATGTTTGGTGTTCTATTTTGGCGGATGGGAAGCTCATTCTCTGGATTGTTATGCAATCCTCTAGTCAGTGAACTTGCTCCTGCAGCAGAGGAGGTGTGGCTTGCTATTTTATTTTGATTTTTTAATGTCCCTAACATAGTCGTTAGTGCGCCAATGATGTCAAACTGTTGTCACCGTCCGGTGAACCTATCAGTTTAGCAACAGGTATAAAAAATCATCTTACAGGTCAGCATCAGTACACGACTGATGCCGTATGTTTTAAGTAGCCGTGCTTAACTGCGTTCGCGTCCTGGGAGGCTATACAAATGCCGAGTCTGCGAAGACATTATTCGACACTGACGACTTCTTTGAAAAAGATTATCTCCAGCATATCCACAACACCTCTGGGAACGTTCCTATGACATTGAATTGGTATGTTTGCAGCAAGAATCGATCGATTGGACGCATGGCTGAATTATTGGGCAAAGGTATAATTCTTTCAAGGTGTGTTGAAGCAAGATTTTGATGAAATCAAGTGTCGAAACACTCTCCAAGGTCGTTAGCTACTTTTCCGTCGGATTTATCAAAGAGGCAGCCGAACTTGGCTTTCATGTTTATAAGACTAGAGAAGCCCATCCAAAGTACGTGGGCGAATTGGCGTAGTTATGACATATACTCAAGATATATTGATAGTCATCGGCATGTGCGATACTCGCTTTTCTACCATTGTCTTTCAATGATTGCTTGCATACGCAACGGCCTCACTTCTGCAGATGAGCGGACACTATACCTATCACAAATTCAAGCAAACCAAGTGCACATTCGCAAGTAAGTTCTCCTGTTCAACACGTCGAATAGAGAGCAGACATTGCTCCATAGGTGGTTGTCTCCCAGTCCGGTGAATGCGGGCACATGGGTTGCTCTCATAGTGATTGGCACTTCAAATGTTCCGATAATTGCAGGTACTAATATCTTATAGGACGCCGAACTGGCTGGTTTGTTGGGATCGCCAGACGCATTCAAACTCTATGATGTGGCGGTGAAGTCGGTAGCATTTACTTGAAATTCTTCTAGGCACTAACGTTTTTGGGGTGAAGGCTCGCAGTGAATAATGACTGGCTTGCTGAGGAAGGATGGGGCCTGTATCTCGTAAGTTTGTCAGCTTTCGAACTCCTGTATATTGTTCATCTCTCTTCAGCAAGGTTCTCATTTTGTGAGATGTGGTGTAGAAGGTCTTGGCAGCGAGTTACAGCGTCGAGGGATTGCACGTCACGCACAATGGGGCGCTCAAGGGATCGTGTATGTGCAAAATAGCAATTTCCCTACCACCATTGCTTATCGCCCATAGCAACCATCTTACTTCCCTTTCCGGCGCTCGGTCCCAGCATCCTTTGAAAAGGGCCATATTTTCCTCAGATGTCGCAGTACAAACAGAAGCAGTGGCTCTTAATTTTTCGTCGCCACATTACGGCCATGACAAGGGCGAGTCACAGAGTGATCAAGAAACGACACTAGGAGCGAAGGATCTGGCATCTATCCTGAAATGGAGCCAAGATATTTCTAGTGATATAAACCTGTCTTCGGGTCAGTGCAGCATTCTCCAGTTCTGTTACAATTCTCAATCGGAATGACGGCTAGCTCTGCAAAGATTAACTGAAACTGCTACGGGTTTGTCTCCCCGTCCTTATAGTGACTTTATTCGTTCATTTTTCTTAGAAACTTCTGGGTCCCAAAACACGTGCGGTATGTCCTTTCCGAAGACACTTCATCGACACAGTCTGATGTTCCTCGAGTGGTTATTGCAAGAGAAGCGGGTGACTACACTGTCGCGACAAGTATGGTCCCCCCAGAACCTTGCCAAGTCCACGAGTGCGTTTTATTCTAATTGGAAATTAAGCATGACTCACAACCTACAACCTACAACAGAAATCCGAAGTCGATTCGAATGATCAGCGATCCCCTTCAGAAAGCCATAATTCAACATAGTGTGTCACTTAGGGCACTTTTCTCTATTTTCCCCCGCTAACGTGTTCGACAGCATTGAACACAAAGGAACGTGTTTATTACGACGATGCTTCCTTGGATTCGCGCTTCTCTTCCGAAGCTGGACAGACTTCTCATCGTTCTGTTATATGTTTACCCATTTTCAGCAATCGTGGACAGACTTTCGGCGCTGTTTACTTTGCATCGAGATACCCCTTCTCACAGAACACCGTCACGATTCTCACTCTCTTGTGCCAGCAGGCGAGTATCAGCATTGCGAACGCCCTATTATTCAGGTCTGTCCAGAATGGCACCAAAGAGAATTTGAAGATGATTGCTGCTCAACGCGAGGCGTTGGAAGCCGCAAGGAAGAGCAGAGAAGACGCTCTTAAGGCAACCAAAGTTTGTAACTTGTTATGAGCCATTCTAGCTGCAACTCTGATCACATTACGATAGATTAAAAGTAACTTCCTCGCATCTATGAGCCACGAACTGCGAACTCCCTTTAGGTCGGTTTCAGCCTTTTGCGAGTATCTGCTCACTAATTGCGGCCTCCGTTTAGTTCTTTCTACGGTTTGCTCGATTTGCTGAGTGGGACAGAGCTCAACCCTGGACAAAACGAAATAGGTTAGTGCTCGTTTGTGATTGCTGCCAACCACTGACTTCTAATCCTGTCAGTGCAAACTGCAAAGCAATCTTGCGAACTCCTCCTGAAAGTACGTTATGGAAGTTTGAAGTTAGGAGCCATCTGAACATCGCCTAGATCATCGATTCTATCCTGGATTACAGTAAACTGGAGGCATCAGGTCAGACCCACTGTCGAATACTTTGAATTGCGTGCTGATCTGGATGTTAGCTGTAAAACTAGAGCCAAGTGGCTTCTTGGTTGAGGTAGCTACATTCCACACATCTTCTGTTGGTCGATGAGCTGAATGACACATCATAGAACATTATAGCGGTAACTAGCTTCTCTTCTTTCTGCGCTTTCAGCTTATCCCACTGCGCAGGACTGCATGGAGCTTCTCTTACCAATGGCTGCCAAGAAGCTTGACTTGTCATTCAATATAGAAGCGAATGTTCCCCCTTGTAAGGTGCTCCTAGGTCACTCAGCAATTTTAACTAAATTCCGTCAGGGGTCTACGCTGATTATGCAAGGATTAGACAAGGTCCGCAGACTCAGCTGCCTGCTTTCTCTGAGATTGACAGCATGTAGTGTTGATGAATCTCATCGGCAACGCTGTGAAGTTCACGGCTTCCGGCTCCGTCAAGGTCATTTGCTCGCTCGACAAAATTCCCAGCACATCCCCAGGCGAAGTGCACTTGAAGTTTGAGATACAGTACGACTTTCGTGGACATGTATCACTGCATATTCTGACAATCCCTTAGCGATACAGGAATAGGTCTCTCTGCCAGTGATGTCGATCTCCTGTTCGTCCCGTTTCAACAGGCTGATGTAAGTTCCTGGCCTTCGCTTGCCACAACACGACTTAAAGATGCAACTTATAGAACTCTTCTACTCGTCGATTTGGAGGGACTGGTCTCGGTTTGTCGATCTCTCGTCAGTTGGTGAAACTGATGGGTGGTGCAATCGGAGTGACCTCTGAACCTGAGCATGGGTCTATGTTCTGGTTCACAATTCCAGTCAAGATCCATAACTCTGAGGAGTCAGCAAAGGTCTGGTATTTCTTCATGTAGAAGCTCTTTGGTTGACTCTCTTCCAGTACGCTCGCGATATCGACACCTTGCGGTCGGCTTTGCTCAATCCACAGCCTTTGCGCATCCTTGTGTCTTCGGGCTCTGAGACAACATTAGCACTTCTAAGGACGATGCTGTACGGATTCGACGCCACGCTTGTCCCCTCTCCACGGGATGCTCGACACTATCTTGACACTTACTCGGCCTCGAACCCCAACCTCGATTTCGTGATCTTTGACGACCAATCAGAAGCAGAGGCCGATAATCTTGCTCGATATCTGCACTCATTGGGTCTTTCTACTTTCAAAGACACCAAAGTCATTCATCTATATACTCCTACAACCAGTACCTCAGGACATGCAGTTTTTGCTAGCAGCAGTATTCCCGGAGTTGTCAAGATGACAAAGCCCCCACGATTGGCACGCCTCCTGCAAACACTTGCCGACTTGAAAAATCTGTCAAATGTCGTCACTGTTTATCATCCGTCAGAGATATCCAAAGCCATTGAAGACCTGTCCAATGTCCAACGCACTCTCCAGGGGAACGTGCTCATCGCCGAAGGTTGACCTTTTATAGTCAGCGATAAGTCATCTATTAAACTCGATCTTTCTTAGATAATCCTATTGCCCAAAATTTATTGGTCAAGCAACTGCAGCGCTACAATCTGAGCGTACATCCAACAAGCAACGGTGAAGAAGCGATTGCTGGTATGACATCATCCGTCTCTCTCTAGGACTCTTTAATTCGAATTCTACAGAATGGGAGGCGCACGAGCCAGGCTTTTTCAGTGTAGCATTATTCGATCATCGTGAACGGTCATGTCTGTACGAACCTTTGCGGCTTTGACTAACTACATGCCTTAGATATGCCTATCTGCGACGGAGTGGAGGCTGCCAAACGCCTGCGACTCCTTGAAAGCAAACGAAAATGCACAATCTTATTACCTAGTGAGTGGTCTAGGTTGCTCCATTCAGCCCAACAAGTTGAGTTCTTTCGATGAAGTTGTCGCTCTGAGTGCAGATTGCCAAGATTCAACAAAACAGCTTTGCCTAAGTGCTGGTATGAACGCATTCTTCAGTAAACCGCTCAAGAAAGGTAAGAAAGATTGGACGCCGCGTGATGTGTTTGTTTGACGATGTTGTACAGGCGATCTAGCGGCGTTAATGACAATGTTCGGTCAGCCGACGAGTTAATAACAATCCAATGACGACCGGTTCTACACGCGCTGAGTAGCAGAATCTTCCCAACACACGATTTTTGAAATCACGATCTATTGTGGTATATAAGGGTATTTATTGGTAGAAGGGCACATCGATACACGCATTGTACAACTTTTTGCACACAACTCTTGGGTTCATATTGGACATATTCTGTAAACTGTAAACGAACTTGCGTGCACGAGGGGGGTGTACATATACACATTATGCAGAGCGCTGACAGACGGTAAAAAAAAAAAACAGGCGGTTCTGAGCTGAGGCTTACGGATATCTCATCACCGTGGAGGGGCATGGCTATACGGAGGTGGGAATTGGCCATATTGCGCCTGAGCCGCCTGAACTTGGGCTTGGGCAATTGCCTGTGCATGGGCTCTGGATTGGGCCGCTGCAGCTGTCATAGGGTCGGTGTTCTGGGGGTGCTGATTATAGATGGGCACAGGAGGTCGCGAATAAGGGTGCATATGAGGTGGGATTTGACTTTGCTGTTGCTGCTGCTGCTGCTGCTGCTGATATTGTTGCTGTGCTTGATGACCATGAGGGTGCGGGAAATTGAAGGACGGTGGAGGCATCGAGCCCGGTGATGTATTGAGACCGAAAGGCGTCGGGGCCACTGCAGTGGTAAAGTAGGGATGAGAGAGGGCATCCGCGGCAGATATCCTCTCAGCAGGGTCAAATTTCAGAAGCTTCTCCAGGAGATCAATAGCTGGGATCAATTGGGTGAATGCACGAAAGCCAGGGAGACAATTCAAAGATACCTTGAGGGGATGCCTTGGGTAAAACCTGTTGGAATGGCATTTTGGCGTATCGAGGGAACTGTTTGATTTGTAGTTCGGGCTAACAAAACAATGAGTATATCCGTTGCTTATCAGGTAAGTGACAACAACGCACTGTTTCCTTCATAATTTTTTGGAACTGAGCGTCGGAGGGCGTGCCAATGATTCTCATAATGTGAAGAAGTTGGTCTTGGTTGTCCCGTCCCCTGAAGAGGGGAGAACCCGATATCATTTCCGCAAAGATGCATCCGCACGACCAAACATCAATTGACGTGCTGTACGTTCTCGACCCCAGCAGGACATCTGGTGCACGATACCATAAAGTGACGACCTTTTTGCTATTTCAAGATATGATAAGATATAGGACGAGGAAGTTCTCACCTCATTCGAGAACGTGTTGACTGGAACTCCGAATGCTCTCGCCAGACCAAAGTCCCCCAATTTCAGTTCTCCTTTGCGATTGATGAGAAGGTTCTGAGGTTTGAGGTCGCGATGAAGGACCTGGTTCTCGTGACAAAACGCTGTGCCTTTGAGTAGTTGGTACATGAAGCTGCGGACAGTATTTGGATCGAGCGCGCCGCGATCTCCGTGTTGGTCCATATATTTCTTCAAATCTTGTTCACAGTACTCGAAGATCAAGACCAGCTTCGTCTCCGTATGTATGACATCATGAAGTCGAACAATGTTGACGTGCTTGAGCTCCTTCATAAGCGAGATCTCACGAATGGCCGTGGACGGAGTTCCCTCTTCGGCATCGAGATGAATTTCCTTGAGGGCCACAATCTCGTTAGTCGTCCTCGATCGGCCCTGGCGGGTTGTTAGAGTGTTTGGCAGACAAGATCAGAGAATAGTGACCTTGTACACCGTAGCGTATGTTCCTTCGCCTGCGATAGCTAATGAGCGGAACCGTGGTCTGACTCGGGGTTGGGTGACGAACCTAGCTTTTCTAACTGCAGGTTGTGGTCAGCGGGGGCGAGGGTGAGCGATGGGGGTGGCCTACCTGAATGTAATTCATGTTGTGTTGTTACAGCCCACGGCGAGATCCTTATAATAGAGAGAAAACAAGGGGAACACAGCGCGCAATGGACATAACAATGACTGCAAGAAGCGCTCGATTAGAGTCACACTTGTTATCTGATAAGATTACCTTTCAAAATACCCTCACGTGGTCGCGCATCTACTCGCTTGCCAAAAAATTACTCGACCTCTGCAGAGACGTTGCCGACTTCATCTTGAAAATGGCTTCGTCAAAAAAGTCAAAACCACCCAAGGGTCGACCAGCCTCTACTTCAGCCATTTCTCAACCATCTCTATCAGAAACTCCTCCTCTTCTCTCCTCCTTTTCCTCGGACGGCAGCCTATTCGCGTTGATAACACTGGCAGTCGACAAACATCGCTTGCGTATCTACAATACAGCCTCAAATCGTGCAATAGCAGAATATACAGTGCAGACAGGACGCGTTTCCTCCTTGACCTGGAGCAATTTAACTGTGGATGCCGATGCCGAGCTCAGTTCACCAAATAAAAGGAGGAAGAAAAAACGAGTAGAAGGCATAGAAGAAGGGGGCTCTGCAACTCTGGTCGTCATCCTTGGTATTTCCGATGGATCCATCTCAGTTTTCTCTCCTTCGCATTCGAAGGTCGTCCGAACGTTAACACACCCAACTAGCACGTCCGCCGTTCTGTCCCTTGCGACGACGCCGTCTAGCCCGTCAAATTTGTGGTCATCCAGTGCCAACAGCTCTGTTCATCTTTGGAATGTTCAGCAAAGTCATATGCTCCGAAGCTGGAAGATTGAGGATCGCATAGCATACACTTCTCTCTCCATACGACCCTCGACAGACGAATCTCAAGCAAACCTTCTCGCCGCTCACCATCACATTTGTCTCTTTGCAGAAGTCTCGGCCTCCCATGATTCAGCTTCCACTCAGCCGAAACAGCTGGCCACCTTTACAGGACATGCCTCTTCGATCAAAATCTTACGCTGGGTGAACACGGAACCAACAGTCCATAGATTCCTTTCTGCCGCGGAAGGCGATCGTTTCGTTTATGTGTGGGACACAGATGGTGCTTCCATCCATAAAAAACCAACGGCATCAATATCTCTAGACTCCGATGTCAGGTCTCTGGCCCTCACCACGGACCCATCCAAACAGGTCATAATCACACTCTCAACATCTGGGAAGGTTTCCTTCATTCCCATCCCAGCAGATTTTTTGTCTTCTCGAGGTACCAGGGATAAATCCCAAAACATCCATTCGCTTCTACCTCGTGCAACCCTCACAAGCGTCTCAAAAGATCGCGTCACCGACCCTCCAGTCATAAATGTGGCGTCCATTCCTGGTAGTTCAGGTTCAATCAAGGTTGCACGACTAGTGAGAAATATACAGCCAATTTTCGACACAGTTGTGAGCATTCATTGGTTTACGTCCAGCCCCTTCAACTTCCTTTGCTGAAGCTTTTATTTATTACTAGCGCTACTTAGATGATAGTGGGAACTTTATCCAAAGTTTGGCCCTCGACGAGGTAGACCAAACTTCCGTAGATGATGGCCCTCAGGTTAGTAGTTGGTTTGATTCATCTTGCACTTACTCATCCTTCGATGCAGTTGGCACCTAACAAACGTTATCTCGAGCCTTCGTTGATAGCTGTCGGATCGGGTCTTGATGTTGGCCGGGACGAAGAAGACGAGGCCTCTGCTGCCCAGCGTGAAATCGACGGCTCTCTCGAAGTCGACCTTGCTGAACTCTCTCTTGGACAAAGATTGGCAGCAGTTGGTGATGGCGACTTGCAGCAGACATCTGAGAGCGACAACGGCGAAGGCGGTGCTGGGCCATCCCGGAAATCGAAGTCAAGCAAAGGGCGGAATCGCTCTGAAATTTCGGTGATTCCTGCCAATTCGCTGACCCGGACACTGATACAAGCACTCCACTCCTCCGATAGTCGCCTACTTGAAATGTGTCTGGCACATTCAGACCCTGCACTAATACGGAACACCGTCAGGAGGCTACCGCCGCAGCTAGCCATTCCGCTAATAAATGCCTGTGTTGAAAGGCTTGGGAAGGGAGCACGAGCTGCAAATGTGAAGGGTGGTGGCGGAGGGGCGAGCTCTCAGCGCGGGATGGGACTCGTGGCCTGGATAAATACTGTGTTGATCGTTCATACTGGCCATTTGATGACAGTAAGTCTGCCATACTTTTGTTACTGAAGGAGACAATAACGGACGCCTGCCAGATACCGGACCTTGTCGCTCGTCTATCTGGTCTTCATTCTACTTTGACGTCGAGGTTGAGCTTATACGAAAGCTTATTATCTCTCAGTGGCCGCCTGGATACAGTCCTTTCTCAAGTGGAATTCAGGGCTTCTACGGCGCCATCAACAATAGCTCCTGTCAAAGAGAAGAAGTCCAAGTCCTCAACAGACACAGTTGTTCGGCACTATGTTGAAGGCGAGTCAGGGTCTGACGAAGAAAACGATGAAGGCATGGATGTAGAAATCGAGGCAGGCAGCGATGACGAAGGCAGCATCGAAGATATTGAGCTTGGAGGAGAAAGCGATAGTGACGAAGATGAGGATGATGATAGTGAGGAGAGCGGCGAAGAAGGTGGCTTCATCGACGATGAAGCGGAAGAAGACTTTAGTGATGAAGAAGACGATGAAGGAAGTGAATAGACGGCCACTATTGGACGTGGCAATGATGATTTACGTTTATTACGGGAGTTTCTCTATCGCCTCGGCACCTCCCAAAAATTTCACTCATCATAATTCTTTATTAATTTATTAATCCTGCTAAGGCTACTTATATTGAACTCCGACGCGCTAATATCACGTGGCTGGTCTCGTTACTCAGGTAATTTGAAGCAACACAATTCGAGCAAGGCTGGGTCGCAGTCCTACCTCTACTCTCCTCTTCATCTTCCGCCACACGCAGAACCTACTCCGCAATGGGGAACGTTTCAAGTTGCTGTGAATCATGCTGTATGTGGGATACTGTCTCCATTCGCCTGACTCGTCTGACTCTGCGGTAGTTCAAGGGCGCAGGTCGCAATCTTATGAGCCTCTTTTACTGGAGAATGAACGAGAGGCAGTAGCGGATTTGCTCCAGTATCTAGAGAGTGAGTAGCAAACCATCTGCCCCCTTTCATGGCTCACCTGTTGCGCGTGCCACCCCAGACCGAACGACCACCAACTTCTTCACGGGATCCCCCTTGTCTGCTTTGACGACCCTCTCTTTCTCCGACAACGTCGACCTTCAGCGGAGCGCTGCCCTCGCCTTCGCGGAAATCACAGAGAAAGAAGTCCGCCCTGTCGGTCGCGACACTTTGGACCCTATTCTCTTCCTGTTGAGCAGCCATGATACCGAGGTGCAGCGCGCTGCTAGTGCTGCTTTGGGCAACCTTGCGGTCAATAGTGAGTTCACCTCTCCTCGTACCATCGCTGCCACCTAAACACCCCAACCTCAGCCGATAATAAGCTGCTTATTGTCAAGCTTGGCGGGTTGGAGCCTCTGATCCGTCAGATGTTGAGCCCGAACGTGGAGGTGCAATGCAATGCCGTCGGTTGTGTTACGAATCTTGCGACCCATGGTTTGTCTATGCTCTGCTAATTCGCTTTTGCTCGTTTCACATAGTTTTTTCTTAGACGACAACAAGACCAAGATCGCCAAGTCGGGAGCTTTGGTTCCACTCACGCGGCTGGCGCGTTCGAAGGATATGCGCGTTCAACGCAATGCGACAGGCGCTCTCCTCAACATGACGCATTCAGGTTTGGCCCAGTCTGCTCCGTGCTCGCTAAGAAGCTCATTTCGTGATAGACGAAAACCGGCAACAGCTGGTCAATGCCGGCGCGATCCCCGTCCTCGTTAGCCTATTGAACTCTCCGGATACGGATGTCCAATATTATTGTACAACTGCCTTGAGTAATATTGCTGTGGATGGTAGGTTATCCTCTAAGCGCGCTGCAACGACATTCATCGGTTGTCACAGGTGCGAACCGGAAGAAATTGGCGCAGAGCGAACCGAAGCTAGTGACAAGTCTTGTCATGCTTATGGACAGCCCCAGCTTGAAAGTTCAATGCCAGGCGGCGTTGGCTCTGCGCAACCTGGCCAGCGATGGTAGGCCTCTTCATCCTTCTTCGTATTGCAGGATACTTATCGCTGGCTTCTCTTTCAGAGAAGTATCAATTGGAAATCGTCAAAGCTGATGGCTTACAGTCTTTGCTGCGGCTGCTCCAATCGACTTACCTTCCTCTCATCCTGTCTTCGGCTGCCTGCGTCCGCAATGTCTCTATTCACCCTCAAAACGAATCGCCCATCATCGAATCCGGATTCTTGCAACCTTTGATCACTCTTCTTTCCTTCAAGGACAACGAGGAGGTTCAGTGCCACGCCATTTCCACGCTGCGTAACCTTGCTGCGAGTTCGGAGAAGAATAAGAAAGCGATTGTTCAGGCCGGAGCTGTTCTTTCTATCAAGGAATTGGTCTTAGAGGTCCCTATCAACGTGCAAAGCGAGATGACTGCGTGTGTTGCCGTGCTTGCGTTGAGCGGTGAGTGATACAATGACGGTTCGCATTTTTTTCATGCTAAGAACTCGTTTGCAAAGACGAGCTCAAAGGGCAATTGCTGGAAATGGGAATCTGCGAGGTTTTGATTCCCTTGACTAATTCGCCAAGCTCCGAGGTCCAAGGCAACAGCGCGGCAGCGCTAGGCAACTTGTCATCCAAAGGTATGTTTCAATCTAACCATACGGTTTCACAAGCGACAGTCGTTCAGAATGTTTGCCCTTCAGACGGTCGCTCCCCAACCGACGACTATTCGGCATTCAATGACGTTTGGGATAAACCTGATGGTGGCATGCACAAGTATCTCTATCGGTTCTTGACGAGCCCGGATGCTACTTTCCAACACATTGCGGTGTGGACAATTGTGCAACTGCTTGAGTCTGGAGGTACGTGCCCCGGACATTCACTCCTTCCAACCTTGATCAACACTTCTTGCCAGATCCCCAACTCATCAGTAATATCCGGGGTTCAAACATCTTGATACCCAACATAAGGAATCTTGCGACATCACGGACAACCTCACCCGCCTCCTCCGTTGGTACACCTCGATCGCACCATTCGCAGCACTCCTATCAGGAGACGGAGACAAACGACGGGCAGGGTGAGATCCAATTGCTCTCACGCAGAATTCTTGACTTCGTGGATTTGGACATCGATGGGTTGGTGTCTTCAAGTGTACCAGGATCGCATGTACAACCAGGGTCGTCGCTGGGGAGCTCCAGTCGAGATCACGAAGAGCTCCGACGAAGTGTACGAGAGGCCTTTGCGCCAGGATCACATCGTTAGCAGTGTTGCATTCGCGAGGTTCCTTGTGGACGGACATCCGGCGTATTTTGAGTATTTTGTTGGTGTGTTATTTGGACCGTTATCCATGTATGAGGCCCTAGTGGGCCGTTGCTCGTTCGTTACATTATTTTATACTCTTCGGCTTCGTTTGTTGGTCGCCTTTGTAACCTCTCGAGTAGAGGACTGAAATTATGCACTATGATTCACACGATGCCTTGGCGGCCAACTGATGGTTGAGCCAAGAGGCCATTGTCAATGCTCCAGCCTCGTGGCTCGCATGGATGCCGGGCACGCCAGAAATGCTACAAAACCCTCCTTCTCCTCCCCCAATCCATCACCCTCCTCCGGGCTGAGCCCGACTCCTTTTCTTCTTTCCCCTCACGATTGGCTTTCTATATATTGCTTTGGGAACGATTCCGTCCTATCCTTGTGCCTCCGGCCCCGTCCAATCTCTCTCATTGTCTTTCATCCACGCCATGATAACCCACCAGCTTCTCGTCATCCTTCTTGCCACGAACTTGTCACTGGCATCGCGTACCCTCGTCCCGGGGGCCATCCACAGTCTTCACCAGAGAGCTGTCCGAAGCACCCACAGTCTTGCAAGAGATCTCCGCGTCGCCTTCGGAGGCATCCTCCTCCCTCGGGCCGAGGAGAGCGAACAGAAACGTGTCGTTTATTGCAAGCCGACCAAGCAGACTACCTTCGGGACACCAGACACCGGAAGCAGCGACGGAAACGATACTGCAATCATCGCTGGCAGCAGCACCTCTCGCGGAAGGCCTTCATCGACAAGGAGCAGTGCCGTCCCCACTGGTACAACTACCGTCCCCGCTACCTCGCCATGGAAATTGCTTGACTCCCATGTACGTATTTGTTGGTCTTGTTATGTTTTTCTTTGTTCATCGTTGTGATTTATAGGAAGGAGACAATTTCTTTGATGGCTGGGATTTCTTCACTGCCCCTGATCCTACTCATGGTACGTGATTAACCACGACATCTTGCAACTCTACCTGACACCTTGTCGGTAGGAATCGTGGATTATATTGCTGAGAACGCCGCAGTATGTTGCCCCATTTCACGGTCTAACTCGGTCTCGTGGCTCACGTCCTCACAGCGATCAAATGGGCTACTGGAGGTGAACTCGGCGGGGAATGCCATCATGCGAGTTGAGACGACTCCCAACGTTGCTGCCAACCGCAAGAGCATACGAATCACCACGCAGAGGCTGTTCAATGGAGGACTGGTTATCATGGATTCTATCCACATGCCTACAGGATGCGGAACTTGGCCGTGAGTGATGGGTTTCTTCGACTCTTTGGGCTCTTTGTTGATAAACCTTTGACGAATCAGCGCGTTCTGGACAAACGGTACGAAATTTTATCCGTTCCATCGATTCTGATCATCTAAACGCTAATTATATCTCGCCTCAGGACCGAACTGGCCGGTTGGCGGTGAAATAGATATTGTCGAAGGAGTACACGACTACACAAATAACCAAGCGACTATCCACACCGATATCGGCTGCACGTTGGCGAGTACGAGCGCCAACACGCTGGCAATTTCAGGCAGGGTCATCGATGGAACAAACTGCGCTGCCTTAACCACCGGCAACCAAGGTTGCGGTATTCGCGCGTCGACGAGCAATTCCTTCGGTGCTGGATTTAACGCAAATGGTGGTGGTGTGTACGCAAGTACGTCTATTTCTTTACGCTATCTCTTTTCGTCGAATTTATACTTCTCGTTCCAGTGAAATGGGACTCGACAGGCATCGCAGTCTACTTCTTCCCACGCGGCTCCGTACCCGCCGATATCACTGCAGGAGTTCCTCAGCCGGACACTTGGGGTGCTGCACAAGCACGCTGGCCTGCGGCATCGTGTGATCCATTCAAGTACTTCAACAACCACCATGCTATCTTCGACACGACGTTGTGGTATGTCCCAAGCGTTTTTAATGCTTTGTGTCATAGGCTAGTTCTGATAACGTTAACTTTTCCGCAGTGGCGATTGGGCAGGTGGTGTTTGGAACTCGGCTGGCATCCCTGGCCAAGAACAGAGCTGCGCCCAGAGGACAGGTTTCTCGACGTGCGAGGCTTACGTGCGGGCAAATGGGGCCGCAATGAATGAAGCCTGTAAGCATCGCTTTCCTTTGCAGATTACTTGGCGTGCTCATTCACCTGCCGTAGATTGGGAGGTCAAGAGCGTCAAGATCTATCAGAAGCAGAACTAACGGTTCAGACTTAGGACGGACATTGTTCCCAGCAGAATCACTATTTAGACCTGGTACAGCAGCTATCATATATTCATCTCGCGGTTCTCTCGTCTTGCATATACTTATCTAGCTATATCTAATTCGGCACACGACATAACGATGGAATGGGTACGATGTCACGACCAACAACTTGATATATAGTCTTTTATTGAACTTGGAAGAATTATGTAAACAGAGCAGATTGGGCTTGTACACCGAACAGACGGTAGACAGGCAATTGTCCGTTGAGGGAAGAGCGAATCAAGTTGGGTACTACATCATATGAAGGGAAAAGGAACGGTTCAAACGTTTGGGATACATGTTTAGGCCTGATATGATATGATCTAGATAAGGTGAACGTCCGTAGAAGAGCGAGACGGCAAGCGACAATTATGCGAGCTCTATGAAGTTAGCAGGGAATATTCCTTGGCGACCATTAGCCTTGCCAGTCCACCTGGGGTGCACGTGTTGAAATTAATTAACATTCAGGAATCAAGGCGATCTAGAAAACATACCAGTCGTCGACACTGTCGCTCTTTTTGGTGACAACAATGACGTCCCCCTTTCGGAACGAGAGATCACCAGACTAGAAATCAATAAATCAGGACATCAGCAGAGTTGGCAGACGGAAGATGTACTTCGACAGCATTGAAGTCGTAGAGTGCGATGGCACGCGCAACACCTTCACCAGGAAGTAAAGGTCTACTTAACTCCTCACGTTGTTTAATGATAGGGTGGGCAGGTGTCGACGCTGCTCTATTGAGCGAGTCGGAAGTGTAGAAGACGTCGTCATCTTCATTAGCTGGGCGAAGGTCATATTTAAGAGAGGTTGCGCGTTGGTGAGTAGGAGTGATGTTTTTGTACTCCGGAGGCGATTTCCATGACATGTCGAAGAGCTTCGGGCTCGAGCCAGAGGATCGATGCGACGGGACAAAGGGGTTCGAGGTAGTACGGAGAGCTGGGGGAGGGCTCGGTGTGCCATTTGCAGAGAAATCTGTGCGTTTAAAGGGCGATGGGCGTCGCTCAGGAATGGAGTCGGACTCGAACTTGGTGCTGAACGAATTCGTGACAGAGGAATCGCCACTATCCCAGGTCATGTTCCTTGAATGACTTTGGGAGCTCTGCGACGCAGTCGGGCTGAAGTAAGAACCCGAGTTCGTCTCAGCGCCCCAAGAAGCTGGTGGAAAGGCTGATGTTTCCGGCCTTTTCTTTTTGCGAAGAAAAGAGGGCGATGATCCTGTGGACTCGGAGCTGCCAACGCCTCCGAACGCATACGAACCGCCTGGCGTTCTGGGTTCGTCGACCCATTCTCTATTTCCGGGCATACCGGTGCATGCCTCCAGTGTCTTGATCAAGGGCATTGCCCATGGAGGTGGGTCAACGGCGCCTCCAAGGAGCATTCTAGCTGTAACGGGCGATTCGTAGGCTTGCACGTTTGCATCTTCACGCTCGACGATGACGGATCCCTCGACAGAGACGCCTCCGAATAATCCACGAGTCTTTGAGTAGCTGTACCTGTGAAGAAAGTAGGAATTCATGACAGGTACACAATCAGTCATATTTGCTTACATGGCCGCGACCTTTCCATTTGTGCTCAAGGATCCTGACGCCTCACCGTTACGGCCGAGAGGCCCCAGTGCAAGGCTCATGTTTCCTCCCAATGTCAAAGAGCCAGCCGACATAAAAGACCTCTAGAAATACTTTAGCATATCCAGATGAATGACAAGTCCTAGTTTCACCAACAATGGCCTAGAAGGTTGTGATCGTCAGTACACGATCCCTGCTGCGGAACAGCTCGAACGACGTACCGAACGAGAGTTAAGGACTATCAGAAAGTCGGTCATCTCTGCACCCGCTTGACCCCCTACACCGAGGCCAGCAGTTCCTATTGCACTGGGTGCGGACCAAGCTAGTGGGTGACGAGTTGGCTTATGCATGCGTAAGAGCAGAAGGTATCGCCACGCACTTCCATTGTCCAGTTTCGCGATCACTATTCCGCTGCCTGCTCTTGCTGAGAACACAAAGCCAGCTTTGACTATGGTGAATATGGCAAAGCCTTTGGCATTCTCGAGGATGTGCCGGGGAATGACGCCATCGAGACCGTTGTTGCTGCTATCGACGAAGGATTTGACTGGGAAAGAGAGTTTAGGATCATCGTGGATACGATTTATGGGCCCTCGTACATATTTTGGCAGCCTTTTCGCATTCTTTAGGGAGTGGCTGGGGTAGTGGGTTGGTGAGCTTCATGTCCAAGTCGGAGAAGTGGTACCGAGTGGACGCAGTAGTTGCGTGTGAGTGTGAGATATCTAATCTTATCTTGTCGATCTCGTGGACCTGACCGCCCATCAGATGGCTGGATGGATGTCAACTTGTTGCACAAACACAAATGTCAAGGTCCATATACAGTCCATGGTTAGCGGCAAGAAATGCACAACTCTCCGCTTTCCTTCCACCATACCCTCCTCCGCCCATAAAACAGCTGCCGCTGCCTCGCCGCCCACAAGAAAAAAAGGTCGTGTGTGGGACCCAGCACACGACACCGCACATCATCCTCTGTGCGCGTCCTTAGGCAGTGCAATTGAAAAGTCGCACAGCCTTTCATCGAATAGTTTGGAGGATAAAGACCCGACGGTGGATCCACGACGTGGATCCGCTCTCCCAACTTCTCCTTCCCACCTTGTATCATGATTGTGGGACGTCGTTCCCGTTGTTGTCAGCGAATTGCTTTGCTGCATCTCTGGGCTTCCTGCGTCTCAGTGGTGCAGAGTACGATGGTGGTGACTCCGTTCTTGCCGCAGGTAAGCCCTTTTTTGAGCGTCCTCCGAAGGATGATATCCGATCCCCTCCTCATTGTTTAATGTTGTAGTCTTTCTTCTTTGACTGGAACACACCTGGCCAACCTGTTCCAATTCCTACAACTGGTCAGTAGAAACCAGTCGCAAACTGTCAGAGTCACTAACACGTCTCCAGAGCAGTGCGAAACTATCCACATCGTCTGGGCGCGTAGCACGGCCGTAGGGTATGGCATCCTTCCGTGTTTCTCGACACAATCACCAAACGAAAACTTATTTATAGGCCGAATCCCACTTCTCCTTACCATCTGCAAGTCTACACATCGTAAGCTCGTTCACCAACATCCGACCTGACCGTGGCATTAAAGGCCCACGATAGGACTTCTACCATTCCTCTCGTTATTCCTGCCGGTGATGGCCTCAGCTTCGTGTGTTGTTTTTGTCCTTGTTCTTGATGTCTTTTCACCAGTTAAATACCTCAGGACTGGCCTGTGCCTTTCGCGCCTGGAACGCAGGTGAGTCAAATTTAGACCTTTGCGGTTCTAAAATTAAAATGCCGCGTTATTTCAGTATCAGATCTGCATGGTCAGTATTTATTCCCAAGCGCCGACTTTTGTTCACTGTTCTCCCCCAGTTCGACAAGTTTGGCAATACAGGGGGTTGTCAAGATACCTACACCGTGATACCTCCAAGAAGCATCCCGAATTGCGCCAACGTTACATTTCCTCCTGCACTCGAGGTGCAGGCCCAGGTTGAGAACGGTCCAATGTCCCAGTACGGTTGGGTTGATCAAGTGCGTCCTTCATGCTTTCTTCTAAAATGACCCATGCTGACCACTGTGACAGTGCACAGATATATCTGTCCAACCCTTGAGCGGCACTCCGCCGTATACTTTGACAGTAAGTATGCATTGCACTGCTCTTGGTTTCTTGATCTTATCTTAATTCGTAGGTCGCTCCTTCTCTCCATCCACCGTACAACATCACCTCTCCCGATACCAAACCCATTAATTGGACAGTAAGCCTGTCATGGGCGTCGCAATTTTTCGTCAGCCTTGTGGATGCAGATGGCAGCATGTGGTCCAATGGACCTTTGCATAGCGGAGGTGGAGGAACCATTGCTTGTCTCGCTGGCAATGTCACTACAGAGTACGTAGATACCAGGACAACATCTTGAAGTCGACTTGACCTTTTTGTAACTTAGCTTCGAGGACACTGTCAAACCTGCCGTCGCTATCGGCGCCGGTGTTGGTGGCCTGGTGGTGGGCCTCCTCTTCGGAGCGTTGATCGCGTTTATTTTCCTAAGGCGCAACTACAAGAAGAAATTATCTTCGGCCCGCTTTGTCGACGTGCCAGGGTCGGCATCTGGATCCCCTAACGCCCTGCTGTATGATCAGAGACAAGGGCAAGGTTCATCGCAATACCGACCCCTTCCGACAGTGTCATCGTCAAGCGCCGGGCCCTCAAACAACCCTTCGATATTCAATCGCACAACTCAAGGATCGATGCAGTACCAAGTCGAGCCGTTCGTCATACCCTCCGAAGATGGTCAGCTTTATCGTGAACCGCGCTCGCCCGGTTCAGCGTACGGCCCCAGCATTCCAGGTGGCCGCGCAGCGTCATCGGCGCACGAGCATTTGGTACCGCCCGTCCCAACGCCAGCGCCGGCCCAGCCGCCGAGCCAAGTATATGTCGTACACCATGATAGCCAAACACCGCCCGTGACGATCTATCACCAAGACGGAACGCAGATTGTCGAGCTACCGCCGCGCTATCCTCCACACTCCGCTGTGCAGAGCGAGGCGCTCAGTGATGCCAGGAGTGGCAGTGACAGCAGGAGCGACGGCAGTCGTAACGACCGCTCCGCAATACTTGATTTCGAGCTACAGCAAACACGACAGCCTGGGCCAGCACGAAAATCGACTCGCCGAGCTCCGTCATAACCCACACCCCTTCGTTCTAGTAAAGAACACGCACAAACTATCCGCTATTTCAGCCCTTTGCTCGACATTTGTTGTCTATCTTCTTCCGCATTTCTAACTGGTCAAGGGGAATCTGTTGCTTTCATCGAGTGCTCACTTATCTTTACGATCATTATGATTACAGTGTATACGCGTACCTACAAACTAATTCGAAACATTGTAAACTCCAATCGGACAAGATTTCCAGTTTCTATCGTCAAGCACGCACCAACCTGGAATGGCGATGTCCTGACTTGATTCCTGTGGGGACGAGTTCGATTGTTTTGAATTCGATAATGGTTCCAGCATGGTCAACTGGAGGAGTTTATTTCGCTCCTCCATCACATGCAAATCACTAGGATTCCACTCCTGATAAAGGAGTATTATGTTAACCTTGAACATGAAAGACTAGCGTAAACACATACAGGCCCTGAAAGTTGAGTGTTTGGTCGAAGTAGTAAGGATGTTACCGACTCCAGTTCTTCTTGACCAGAAGTTAGGTTCTTGAGGAGAGCAGAGATGCTATGTCCGATCATGAGTACTCAAAATATCAGGCGCGTGAGCCCGATATACGTACGCTGAACGGTTTCGAGATGCAAGAGGGGACTCGCAACCTAGCCCTTTCATTAAGTGCACCACCGTTTCCCATTTGAGATCGAGGTAGACACTGGACGTGTCTTGCCATGTCTCGATAGTCCATATTACCCAAGACGCGAGAAACATGTCGTAGGAAGCGTCCGTTGTTGGTGCCTCAGGCGAGGTGTTTGCCGTTAGCAGGGTGGACACCAACCGTCGGCAAAGGACATAAGGGAAATCGACATGGATGGTTTGAACGTGTTGCAGTAGAGGGTCCCAGAAAGCGACAGATGACTTATTCGGCAAGAGGTCCTCGCCCGCCAGTTGACGTTTTCTACTCCATGTCAGAGGGAACGATATGACAGGGAAAGCGGAAGAGCGACGTACTTCTTGGAAAGCGGGACAAGCATTCCCTTCTCAGCCAACCCATCGCAGAATCTCTCCAGCGCCCAGGTCTCTTTCGCGTCAGTGTCCGCTCCGTCGGTTTGTCCTGCATACCAACCCACTTCTCCGACAGCAACATTCGCAGTGACTCTGCATTCCGCTATCCAACGTTCGAGGTCCCTGAGGATACCGACGATTTTGGGCTTGAGCTGTGACATAAGAGACACGTCTCGTGTAATGGACTTCATTGTGTTCTTGTAGAACTTGAGCATTGGGGCGAGTGGGCGAAGAGGTGGTGCTGAAGTGGTCAGTCGAGTGGAGACGGGGTTCAAGATAGGGAGGTAATAGTTGTGTAGAAGCCATGACATGGACTAGTCGACTGAGAGATGAGCGATATTGTCGACGGTGAGATCGACGAATAACGCACCTGCCTCGCTGCTTCTTGTAAAAGACTCAAGCTAGGAAGGTCCTCGTGAGTTGCAGCGTGTCTAAGTTCCACCAGCCAGTTCGGCAGGCCAAGCTGTTGAGCAATGGCCGAAATTGAACGCGCGTACGTCCCAACTTGTAGAGGATCTACGAGTCCATTGACCAGTCTGATAACAGCAGCGGCATAGCTGTGGCGGAGAAGAATCGGAGGAGTGGCACCCTGCTTGGTATCTTCGATGATGACTACCAGAAAGGCAAGCGTCGATTCGACGGCATGAGGAAGCGCCGTAACGGCTTTCCATGCGGCAATCTGAAAGTTCAAGAAAAAAAGTTCATGGCACAGGAAGATGACGTTCAAAAGATTGGGCTCACCCTGTTTATGGCGAATATCTTTGCGTCAACGTCATTCTCGTCTCCATAAATAGCTGCACAGACCTGATCGAGTTCAGCGAGAGACGCCCACGGGACCCTTCTGGGTAGCCTCATCGCGACCGTCGTGGCTGCGTCAAAAATGCTTTATGGGAAAAAAGGTTCCGCGTTATCTAATCTCCCCACTCGATCAGTGGCGGTGCACCCACGCGATCAAGCAAATTGTGGTGGGAACCACAAGTCGAAATTTCCATTTCCAGTCCCGAGTGCAAAGTTGAACTCTTGGCGCTCTTCTGCTTCTCCCTCTGCACCTCTCTGCCCTTTCTCCCTCCCGTGCGCTCCCTCTCTCCCTCTTCCTTACCCTTACGACGACGGCAAGATAGCTTTCACAACTGATTTTGAAAAATGCCCTCGTTGGACACCCGCGGCCAAATATCGGCTGCTGAAATCGCCTTTTACGCACCTGTCGCGGCCATCACCCTATTGCTGATCATTCGGTATGCGTTCAGACGAGATGCGGGTTGGTTCTTCCTGTTCCTTTTCTCTCTAGGTGCGTAAATCTGCCCTCGTCTCTGGAGTACGAGTTCTGACCAAGTCGTGCAGCCCGGATTGCTGGTGGAGCCCTCGTCCTTGCTGGACAGCTCAAGCCTGACCCCTCCCTTTTCAATGCCGCGTACATCATGGACTTCTCTGCCCTCGTGGCTCTTTTGTTCTCCTCTTTAGGATTCATCGGCATGGCGTACGTGACCTGCATCGATTCTTCTCCCTATAACTCAGCCCACACATTTCACAGTGGACAACACACATACAGTGAAAACCCTCGAGTAACGATCGTCTTGAGATTGGTGGGGCTGCTGGGGTTAGCTGGTCTGGGGTTGTGCATTGCTGGTGGGGTCCTTGGAGCACAGGCTGCTGCAGATCAGAACACGGCCACGACCCTCCGTCGGGCAGGCGTGGGCGTCTACGCAGGCATCTATGTCATCCTATTGATTGTGCATATTGGAACCTGGTCATACCGATGGCATCTGCGAAGCTATCGTCGTAATGTGCGTGCTTTCGAACCTCATTTGCATCACGCGATTTGATGAAATCGACTCTTCCAGCTGCTGTGGGGAATTTCCGCCGCTCTGCCCTTCCTGGGAGCTCGTATGGCCTACGCCGTGATTGCGGTTTGGTCATCTTCAGACCTCTACGGACTACAACCTTCCTCCAACGCCACACTCGCAAAAATGAACCCCGTCACAGGCGATTGGATCTTCTACCTCGTCCTCAGCCTCATCATGGAATTCCTCGTGGTAGCTCTCTACCTACTGGCAAGTACGGTTCTTGCCCAGAGACATCACTAGCGCACGACCCCTCCACGTACATACCTGGAGGTGAAAATTATGTAGTAATGCCCTGACTTATCATGAACCCTATAGGATGACTAGATTCAATGATGTACTTGTACGGTGCCTGTTACCACCTAACCCCTTGCTTTATTTTATTTTCAATGCGACACCCCATTATTCGCCACTTTGGAAATCATGAACAGGAATTCTGGGTTTACATACAAATAAGACTTCTGTTACATACATCATGCACTTCTAGTTCTTTTAGCTTTAGTCCCTCAAAAGATAAGCATAAGTTTACGGTCAAAAAGTGGTACGATAGAACCATATGTGAAAACGTGAAGGATCTCAGGTATACTCCATAAGGTGAGTGGGAGAGTTATCCTCAACCTTCCATAGCCAAAAGGGTCCTGTATTTGAGGTTGTTCAGTTCGAATCTCAGATTGTACCAAAAATAGAGGTGGGCATACCAACTGGGTCATCTAAGACATGGATCTTGTAAGCCTAATTTTGGAGAATGTGGCGCGATGATCGAACGTACCTTGATCGTGGTGGGTAGTGGTCCAAACACCAACGACTCCCATCGCGCTTCCAAGTCCACCAATCTGGACGCCGCTCGAGCTGCAAATAAATTCAGTAAGAAGCTCGTAAATGATCTCAGTAGAGACAACTAACCTCCATTGCGGGTGATCATCGTATATTGATGTCTGCTATAATATAAGCATCGTTGACGTTTATGACCTACCTAGATGCAATGTAACTTACCAGGTACCATCTTGCTATGCCGTCCTTGCCCATCCTAACATATCCCTCGACCTGTGCTTCATTGCCATTGACACCTTTGGACGAGCCAATGAAGCATAAAGGAGGGTAATGATCGTGTTCGTCAGGACGTAAGTCCGATGAGCGGATAAAACGTATTTCGGTGGTAGGGACGAGATGGATCTTGACCTCGATCAGACGGGTTGCTTCACGGAATCTTGGGTCTTTGAAGAACTTGGGCTGCCTTGGACCATCCGCTAGGTCAGTAAACTGCACAAGGGTTGGTTAGCCGGTCCACATGGCTCTTGTTTTCGAAGGCATACGTTGAAAGCTGGTCGAATTATCAGCATGTGGATGGGAATATCGGAAGTCGGACGCTCTTACCGAAGAGGTCTCTGGAAAGGATAGAGCGAGCCAGAGAGGAGGGTTAGTCCAGCGCCATGGGGTAGATTGATAGAGCGAACCGATAATCCATGAAACAGACGTATCGTCGCCAAGTTCCTGAATGATACAAGTTAGGAAATAATCTACCAAGGCGGAGGCGAAGTGCGTACCCTCAACCCCGGCCCAATCAGTTGAGGATATCTGTCTCCTAGCGAGGGCGCAGGATATCCTGGGCGGGTCGACGCATGAAGGTGGTCGGGTGAGAGCCCAGCTTCCTGGCAGCTCCTGGACGTTTAATGCCACGACGTTTATTAGATGTTCGACATGAGTCCAGTTGACAGAGCCGTCAGAATTGAAGGGTCCCCATCGTGTCTCCGCAGTGTAGTGGCGCAGATCATAGACGTATGCACGACTGACGTCCCGCATGCATTTGAGGCTGGCCAGTGTTTTCTTGTCGAGTTTTGGGTCGAAGGCCATTGCGAGATAGGCCCTAAGGCGGGCAGTGAGTTGCGGGTGTTGATCATCGTTAGAGAGGGCGGTAGTATAGAGGTTGTTGAGCAGCAGGGATCGCCTGACGATGCGCTTGAGCCAAGCGATGTTGCTGGATGCTCCTGTGCGGAATACAGCGGCGGAGGACTCCTCGATAACGGTGAGGAGCTTCTTGAAGGCGTGCTGGCGCTGGATCTGTGTAATGGGGCCGCGGAGGAGGGCGAGCTCGAGGGACAAGCGGGCAATGAGCTCTGCTTTCCAGTCGACGGGCTGTGTGTTTTCCTTGTTGGCGTGGGGGGGATCGAAGGCGTGGGCAAGGTAGAGCTGGCGCCAGAGGAACTGATCGGTGGGGTGGAAGACGAGGGCGTAGGCTGCTCGGCATGAGGCGGCAAAGGCGGCAACATCGGCGGGGTGGCAGAAGGCGAGGATGTGCTGGGCCAGCTCGAGGGGGAAGCTGAGGATGGTCGCCTGGGACATGCTCGCGGGCGGTGAGAGCGCCCTCCTCGGCTTTAATTAGGGGCACATCCAGCTTCGGCCCGGCATTCCGAGCCCTTAGGTAACCTCGTGGCTGTGTCTACTCTGTCAGTCTCCGTCCACCACACGCAACCTCCTCAAAATGAGATGCCGGGCTCTCCTGCTCCTGCTGCCAAGCGCTCTCGCCTTTGAACTCCCATTCAAGGTACCAAATCTATTTTCCAGATCCCCCGCTCCAGCCCAAACCGAGGTCCATTCCTCCGCTGCATCCACACCCCGGATAGCCGTCATTGGCGCGGGGGCAGCAGGCTCATCGGCCGCTTTCTGGATCTCTAAAGCGCAAGACAGATTCGGCCTCGACGTCCAAGTTGACGTGTACGAAAAATCGGATTACGTCGGTGGTCGTATGTCTTTTCGTTCCTCAACTTCCTTGTGCGCCTAATGACATAAACTCAGGAAGCACGGTTGTCTACCCGTACGGAAATACTTCTCTCCCAGAACTCGAGTTAGGGGGCTCTATCTTTGTAACCGCCAACAAAAACCTCTGGAGGGCCTCAGACGAGTTCGGTCTCGGAAGACGTGATTTCAGCGACGAAGATGAATCAACAGGTATATGGGATGGTCAAGAAATGCTACTGTCCGTGCGTAATCATTCCAAACATTATGCCAGTCAGCTCAACTAATCGTTGCCCTCAGTTTTCAGGCAGCTGGTGGGATACAGCCAAACTACTCTGGAGATACGGTTTCCTCTCTCCCAGACGCACTGAGAACTTGTAAGTTGTCGTAACCGTTGACAACGTGCAAAACTCACGCGCCTCACAGCGTCCGCGCCTTGGTCGATAAATACCTGACTCTCTACAACTCTGACTCTCCCAAGTGGGACAGCGTCGCCGACCTCTCTGCAACCTTTGGCTGGACAGATTTCGTCAACAAGACGGCCTTGGAGCACCTGCGAACAGAAGGCGTTTCTGACAAATACATCAACGAAGTGGTTGATGCTGCAACACGAGTCAATTACGGGCAGGTATGTGCGTGGGCCAACAGATGAACAGCAAGTGAATAACGCGCGTTTATAGGACGTCGACTACATCCATGCATTAGAAGGCGCGCTCTCCATGGCCGCCAACGGAGCAGTCGGCATCGCCGGAGGAAACTTCCAGATATTCGAGAAATTCCTCAACCACTCGCGTGCCAACGTCTATCTCAAGACACCGGTACGTGGCTTCCGCACACACACACCCTCCTTTTTTTTGCCGAAATTAACAGCATTATATGTAATAGGTCGTTAGTATCGCCGAGAAATCCTCCTCGTCTCATCTCTGGTCCGTCAAGAGCAGCAGCGGGACGAGGGACTACAGGGCCGTCATCCTCGCCGCGCCATTCCACCAGACGGGCATCGCGTTCCCGCCCGCGGTCGCGGAGAAGGTCCCCCCGCTGCCCTACCTCCACCTACATGTGACCCTCCTTGCGACGACGGCGCCATACCTCAACGCCACATACTTTGGCCTTCCCGAGGGCACGCCCATCCCGCGCATGCTGCTCACAAGTGGGCAGGCTGCCAGGGTTGGTGGCAAGAAACCCGAGTTCAACTCGATCTCATACCACGGCTTAATACGCGATGGAGAGTGGGCGGTCAAGATTTTTTCGGACCACGCACTGACTGATGAGTGGTTGGCTGAGATGTTCCAAGGACAAGTCGGGTGGGTCCTGAGGAAAGAAGTGCGTTTGTTCTGTCAGCTCGGCTTGTTCTTCGAAGTGATGCTGATGCAGACGTTCTGACTTTACAGTGGGATGCCTATCCGAAGGTTCCTCCGACCTCGACCTTCCCTCCCGTCAAGCTTGATCGGGGGCTTTACTATGTCAATGCGTTCGAGCCGTGAGTAGAGCGCCTTAGATCCTTTTTAACAGATAATCTGATTCCAGAATCCTCTTTGTTCTTCTCAGATTCATCTCGACTATGGAAACGGAAACGGTGGCCTCCCGCAATGTCGTCGATCTGATGCTCAGCGACGAGTTCAACTCGGGCATCTGTGGTCGGACAATCTCAGCGGTAGAGACGGATGCCAGCGAAGACGGTGCCCAAAAGCCTCTTGTTGCTCCTGCTCGTCAAGAAACCACCAACCCGGATAACTTCGTCTTAGGCTGGGATTGCTGATCGCGAAGCTACGCGGGAAGATGGACACCAATGACCCTTGTATTGAAGATCTAATGGTATGGATGACTATGTGATATATATTATTATGACCAGATTACACCAGAGAGCAGGAAATTGATTGAGTAGATGGATAGAGAACTTTTACAGATTTGTGCCCTTTGTGAGTTCCGTGGAGAGACCAAAGAGAGACGAGACAGCTTGACGAACGAATGGTTAATGCTTTGAGATGCTTTGAGATGAGATAGTTATGATGAAGCAGCAGCGTGCCCGTTTTCAGGCTTTTCAGATATAGGTTCTAGAGGCTCTTCTGATTGGTGGTGGCCGTTGGGTACGGTTTCTTGTGCGTGTCTCTCGTTCGTCGCGTCGCCGTTCTTGAATTCCTTGAAAGGAGACTCCTGACGAGGGAAACCGAAGGTAGAGCAGTCGGCGACGTCACGACGCAGTTCGATGTAATCACTGGCGAACTCTCCGATCTGCAGAAAAAAAAGTTAGGGCTGATTGTCAAACATTTAACGAGCAGTCACGTACCTCGACTTCGTCCATACCGGCCCTCTCGCCGTCAGGTGTGCTGCGCAGTCCCAATCCAGGAATCAAGTCAATACCTTTCGCGACAACGGCAGTCATCACGAAGGTGTAGGCGCAGGTCGCAAGAACATAGGCGAACTGGATGTAGAGCTGCTTCCAGTTATGGTCTACCCAACCGCCAGCAATGCCGGTGTTGACGCCGTCCATAGCAATAATAGAGGTTGACGCAAAGAACGCATTGAGCATCAGTCCGACGATACCGCCGACAGCGTGCTCAGCGAACAGATCCAGAGCATCATCGATCCTCAGCATGAATTTGACTGGATAAAGCAAAATGACAAAAATCATCAGCATGTGTTCCCTGCTTGCCTATCAAACGGACGATGTCGTCGCGCTGTCAAGGAACTTACTTTTAGTGGCGAAGTTACAGAGGCCACCTGACAGGATTCCGACGATAACCGATGACCATGGCCTGAGGAATCCGGACGAGGGGGTGGCTGCGACGAGTCCTGCGATCGTCCCTGAGCAGAAGCCAACCATACTCCAACGCCTTTCAATGCGGAAATCCAGCAGGCACCAGACCATCCCCCCAAAGGCTGCAGCAATCATGGTATTCCAGATGGCAAAGATCGCCCGAAGATTGGACCCAAATGCGCTTCCGCCATTAAAGCCGATCCATCCGAACCAGAGCATGAAGGCTGGAAGGAGCGTGTTTTCATCAGCAACTCAATCGCCGCGGAGAGTGCGTGTGGGGTGGGTGGGAACTCACTTCCGAGACCGACGAGAGACACGTTGTGGGGCCGGAAGTTGAGGAGCTCGCGCTCGTGCCTACGTCCCAAGACCCAAGAGTACGCAAGCCCACCGACGCCACTGCCAATTTCTACTGGGCCTCCACCTTATAGGGCAAGTTTGTGTTAAAAAGGAGCCGATCGTCAAAAGGGGATAAGAAAGACGGACCGGCAAAGTCAAGGACGCCCCATTTGAACGCCCAACCATGTACGCTCCATATCCAGCACGCAAGAGGGCAGTAGACGATGGTAGTCCACGCAAATGTGAACACCATGGCGGGGAGAACACGCCCTCGTTCCGCAAGGCCGCCCATGAGGATGGCCAAAGTTACACACGCAAACTCCATCTGGAAGAAACTGTAGAGAATCTCCGGGATGAGTGGAGAGCCGGGTGACGGTTCTGCTTCGACGTCCATGAGACCAAAGCGAGCGAGGTTGCCAATGAAGCCGTTGGTGGCGGTGGTGGAGAAAGCGAGAGAGTAGCCCCAGAAGTACCATTGGAAAATGACGACTGCGTTGGCTGCTGAGACGGCCCAGATGAGAGAGACTGAAGGCGAGGGGGTTCAGGGGCTGTGGGTAGGTGCAGAAAGGGGGTTGACACGTACGTGCGCTTTTACGACGCGACAGACCCGAGTAGAGGAATGCTACAGGGGGTTGAGCGTCGAAGTCAAGACGCAGAAAATATGCTGCGCACCAAGACCTGGCACCATGAAAGAGACCATGGCACCGGCCACAATAATGAACGACATGTCTCCGCGATCAAAGCTGGGGAAGACAAATTAAACTGGGGTTCTTGGAGAGAGATGGGTGAGCCTTACAGACTAGCGTCCGCACCTGCAAGAGAGGTAAGAATAAATAAAATAAATGCAGAAACGTTGAGAGGAGGACGTACGGGTGGCGAGTGTGCTGGGCTGCATCGTTGTGGAGGAATGAAGGGAGATGTCGCAGTGGCGAAAAAAATAGTTGGACGGAGAAATATATAGGACGGTTTACCGACGGCCGAGGTTGCGTATGGAACGCCGCCACAGAGAAGATATCACCAAAGTCTAAGACTCCCTTATCGTGTTGCAAATACTTCGTGAGCCCGTGACGTCAGCCGCGATAAGATTGTTTGGCGCAGACCCCCGGGACAAATATCGGCTCTTCTGATGACGCGACGTCTTTCCGCGACCCGTCCATGTCCCTTCCTCCCATCCTTGTCCACACCTTCGCCCGTCCACTGCCATACCGGCAGACTTGGGCGCTGCAGGAGCGTCTTCATCAACTCCAGCTAGCTCTGCGCCGCACCAATGAGCACCCAGACGTCCTCCTGCTCCTCGAGCATCGACCTGCGTACACCGCTGGCCGCAGGCAGACAGAGCCCACCATTCGCGATGAACGCATACGACTGGAAAACCTTGGCGCAGACTTCATAACCGCCACCCGTGGCGGACAGCTCACCTATCACGGCCCAGGCCAAATCGTCGGATATCCCTTGATTGATCTCTCCCGCTACACCCCGACAATGGGTACCAAAGATTATGTCTGTCGCATCCAGACGCTCATGAAGCTGCATCTGCGTGACGCCCACGATATCGTGTCGTCGCCTTCGGACCATACCGGCGTATTCCTAGATCCTGTCACCAAGATTGCCAGCATCGGCGTCCAGGTCCGTCATCGGCTCACGTCGCACGGTTTCGCCATGAACATTACAAACGAGCCTCTTGCATGGTTCAACCAAATCGTCGCGTGCGGATTGGACGATGTTCGTGCAGGTTCCATTGAATCGAAACTGCAGAAGCCTATTCGATTCGAGGATGAGGTACCGGGACTTGTCGCCCAATTCGGGAAGGCCTTCGAGCGCGAGATGGTCTCGCTAGATCTCGACAGAACGGGCGAAATTGGCGAGGCTATTCAAGAACTCGAGGAAGAGGCTGAAAGAGCGGGTAGTTGGTTAGCAAAACCCGAATCACGAGCTTGACATCTCACATGCTGCAAATCTATCCCATTCCATAACATTACTAGACGCAATATACTTTTCTATGCTATCCCGCGTTTAAATCGTCAGGTTGGAAAACTTGATAAGGTCTTCCCATTTGAACTCTTGCGGGCGCTCGTGGAAGGTCCGTAGCAAGGTCTTACCACTGAGGTCGTTGTCCTGCTTAGGATCCTCGTTCCAGAGGTAGAACTTTTGCAAGGCCATCGTCAACAATTGTGAATCCTCTTGCGTCAGCATATATCTGTCCGCAGTCCCATTCCCAGCTCCCGTCGAGGGCGTTATCTCGCCTCGCAGCAGCACGAGACCATGAGTCGCTGACAGGTCCGCGTACAAGGTTAAAACCAGGTACGGTGTGGCGAAGCTCCCCCGCATTTTATACTCCTGCAAAGGGGTAAATAAAATCGTTGCAGTCGGTGGGTTCCCTCCCTCCGGTGTCTGTACCGGCTTGGCGAACAGGTCTTCGGAGGGTGTCGGAATGGGTGGCGCATCATGGAAGTCCCACTGGAGGTAGTAGAACTCGTGCGCCACATTCTGATTATCGTCGCTCTTCGGCTTCTGCAGTGCGGGGTCGGACTCGTCGGCCCCTACTACCCCCTTCCTATCCTCCTCTTGCTCGTGTTGTTGCACCCGTGGGACGGGAACGACAAACGAAGGATAGGCGCGTCCACTGTTCTCCATCGTCTTGTACATCTTCAGCGGGATCGTCGCACACACGAAGCCTCGACCAGTCCCCCCGGAGCGTGAGGCATGATAGGCCGTCCAGAGGGCTGAGATCTGCTCTGGGGTGTGCGGCGTAGATAATAGACGTGGCAGACTCAAGATGCTTGACAGCGCCTGAATTGTTTTCAATGGTCGGGTCAACCATACGACTGGCGGAAAGCTGCGGACGGTGTACGTACGCGAAAGGGGGTCGCGTCTTTCCGTTCCCCAGTTAACACGGATGGGGCTTTTTCTCCTTGCGAGGAGTGCGAGGGGCTTTCGGTCAGCTTCTCATTCTTGAACTTCGCTGCAGCAGCCTTCAGCTTATCTGCCTCTGCTTTCCGCCGCTCAGCCTTCTCAGCCTCTGCTTTCTTGACCAATTCGGACACCGAAAGGCCAGCTCTGCATTGGAGAAAGAGAACTCGCTTCGTCAGAATCACAGTAGAACAGACGCGAAACATACGTGTCTCACTCCTCTGCTTTCTGTCGCAATTTATCCGCATACTTGGCCTGATGCTCTGGGGCTTGGCTGGCGATTGCGCGTAGGATGTGAGAAGGTCTGATGAGACATTTTCGCGACAGGAGCCGTGACGTGAATCTGAGAGACGTGCTGAGGGGTTGTGTGTTCATTGCAAGCAGCGACGTCAATACCGTGTCGCCAACGCTTTCGCCATGAAAGGAAGTCGTTTGCCGGTCCGGTTCGCGGAAGATCCCGACCAAACACTCTTTCGTCATCAGATCCGAGGCTCTTTACGACTCTCTGAAGCAATATGAAGATTGACCCAGATACCAGAGGCTGGTCATCAGCTTCGAGGAGGGTGAAGATCTGGATGAGGCATACTCTACTTGAGCATAACTTATGAGAAGGGTGCTAACTTCCTCCTGCATCTTGGTGAGGAAGCTGTTATCACCGCAGATTGGCTAACATTGATTTGGTTTCCAGAGAGAACTCTGGGAGGCCTCGGTGTCTTTCTTACCTACGTCAAGGACTACATGGAAACTTTCAGTATAACTTCAGAATGGAAAAACCATCTTTACGGCTACTGGACGGTCCCAATAAGATCAAGGCGCTCGATAGCGTTGATTGGGATGCACGGCTCTATGACGATGGTATGTCAAAGTGGAGTACGACGTTAGCCTAGCCAAGAAAGCGTATGATCTTGCTCTGAGGTGGAATGGTGCTCGTACACTCAACGCTTCTCACCTCAATTTCAAAGAAACGGACCTCGAGGGCTTCAACTTAAACCTTGAAGTTGGTCAGTTTTCCATATGTTATCTAGTTGCCTGGCCTTCATCTGACGGCAATACATTTACAGTTGTCTTCCTTGAGACGCTTCAATCTTACCCTCCTCTTCCTTCCGACCTAATCCTCCATCTTGGAAAGCTCTAGTACAAACTCGCCAACTCACCAAATATTGAAATCCGTCTCCGGTATTACGAGGTCGCTCTCGTTGATTCATCTTCAGCTGCTGCCAAAGTTCAAACAGCTCGCTGTGTAGGCCGTCAAGTGGGTCATAGAGGATGGAATACTCGCGAGGAGTAATTGGAGAAGAGCAAAGGACCCAATCGCCCGGAGGCTCATTGAGGCGTGCACCTTGAGAAGTAGATTTACGAATGCTCATCTAATAATTCAATTAGGACATTGGCATTGCCCCAGGAAAGGCTTGATGGGTTGCGTTGGGTTGAGGAATGCACCACGTGTAGATAGCAAATCGATAGAAACTACACAGTCGAAAGAATGTGAAATACCTCACTTGAAACCCCCCCAAATATCTCCAAACGCATCGTCTTTCTTGGCTGCAGGTTGCGAGGCCAAAGACGACCCGAATAAATCTTGTGATGACGGGGCAGAAGCGGTACCACCCCACACGGCATTTGTGTCGAAGAGACTGGGGGGCTGTTGATGGCTGGCGGTCGCGGATGCGTTCCAGATGTTTGGTTGCGCAACTGGTGCAACTGGTGTTCCGGTCCAACCAGAGGATGCACCCCACATTCCGACACCATTTCCCCCTACCATACTGGTCTGAACAGCTGGTTGCTGCTGAACCTGTTGGGGAGGGGCGGTTCCGCCCCACTGGGTACCAAAGCTGTTAAATTGTCCGAAACCTGGAGCAGCGGGGGATGCACTTGCTGGGGCCGCAGAAAACAAAGAGAGGATATCATGTTTAACATCCTTCTTTGGTTCAGGAACGACAGAGGCGTGGTTCGCAGGTGTGGTTGGTGCATGGAAATCCAGCGAAAAGAGATCATTTCCAGGGGCCGCGGTGGGTTGTAAGGGAGTAGACGTGTGTGTTATGGGTGGGCTAGGAGTAGCCACCGAGCTAGCCGGGGCCGGTCTGTTCGTGAAGTTAGAAGAGATAAGCTGGTGAACTTGCGGTTGGCGGGTCGTGATTGGAGGAGCGACCGAGCCGCGAGTAGAAATGCTGGGATTCTTGGCGTGTGTCTGTCGCGTAGAGTTCATCGTTGGCTGCGTCACAGATTGCTGGGAGGGTGCAGGTTGAGGCACGGGGGCAGATTGAACAGTTGATCCACTGTCCAGAACGGAAGGGTCACTAGGAGGAGGGCCATCGAGCGCCCATCTACGCGATTCATACTTCGAGCGGATGAAGGATTCCATTTTGCTGGCGAATCGTTAAAATCGGAGAAGAGGGGGAAAAGGATACCTAAAAACGTACTGCTCGGGAGGGATATGCCCAGGTTTGAGATGCGCTTCCCAGTAGAGGTTCGCCAGGCGGTTGCCCCATTTCTGGATAGACTGGGATTTGTTTTCAATCAAGGAAGGACTCTCCGCGAAACTTGCGGTATCGCACCTCCATCTGCTCTGGAGTCCAAACATCAAGGTCCACCGACTTCACCTTGCTAATGTGGGTTCCCATTCCGCGATGGATTCCAGAACACCGAATGCACAGAAAGACACCTCTTCAAGAAGGTTGGTATGAGTCGTGAGGAAAGTCAACACAACGTACAGATTCCATGACGCCCATCGTGGATCTGAAGATATGTTCAGCATGAAACAACCCGAAGACGAACTTTACTGCTCACCGTTGCGTTTACAATCCGCGCATACTTTGTTTTCAGGTTTCTTTACAAGCTCTCGAAGAGTCCTTGCAAACCTGTCCGTCGTGGCCTTATCTTGCCTCGACATCGAGGGTAGTAGATTGAGTCTGAAGCTCAATTTCGTGGCGGAAAGCGGTCCGTGGTCTTCTTACTTAGGACAAGTTGTGAAATTTCAAACTCCGCTGCGAACCGTGAACCGCGGCCTCCCGTTACTTCTTCACCAAACAGAGGTGGGGCACGTTCTTCGGGCTGTCGTTTATCGTGACTGACGGTGTCTTGAGCAGCCACGAAAGTCATGAAACTATCAAAGCAAGCCCGTTACGAAAATCATTGTAGGTATGATAGAGATACAGAGTGGCTAGCAATATATACGCATGATCTATGTAGAATTACCTCCAATTATTAGATGAATGCATACAGAAGGACGATAGCGGTAGATGGGTCTAATGTTGTGCAACCTCTTGTAAGGCTTTAAGCTCTGCGAGTCTTTCCTTTATCTTCGGACTATGGGAAAGGATTGAGCTTCCTGTTTAAGTCCGGAGACGGACCACTTACACTTCAAGTAATTTCGTCTCCAAAGCCTGCTTCTCTTCCTGTAGGGCCAGGCGCTTCTCGGCATCTAGCTTCGTGCTATGGTCATGTAAGCACGATGTGCCAGGGTGAGGTTCGTAAAGGACCTACAAGACATAACCACCCTGGCCATCATAGTGGAGAATAAGAGCGTGGTATTTCCACAGCGAAGGCCGATGAGAGACGGTAAGGAGCGTTATGTTCAGTCGCGTCGCATATTCCATCATCTTGCCCTCGATCTCGGTTGGTACAAGCGATGTTGCCTCATCCAACACGGCGTACTAGACAGGTCGTCAGCCATGGGCCAGACTATGGTGGTTCAGCACATACCTTGGGATGATGGTAGAAAAGTCTTGCCCAAGCAATCTTCTGTTGGTCACCTCCGCTCAAAGTCTCACGCCATTCCTTAACGGAGTCCCATCCGCCCTCGCGCTCGACGATTTTATCCATTTGCACGACGCTTAGGATTCTCCGAAGATTGTCGTCGGTAATACCACCTAGTAACTCATAAGCCGTCATTCGTCCAGGGAAAACACTAGCGACGTACGTTTCTCCATGTCAGCCTTCGAATCCGGATAGATGACCTGATCTCTTAGGGTACCCAGCGGAAGATAGGGCCGTTGAGGGATTAAGATGAACTGAGATGCAGCCGGCTTGTGAACGACTCCCCCATAGATAGGCCACAGGCCACCCAAGATGCGGAACAGGGATGATTTCCCACAACCTGCGGATAATTTTCAGCGTTTCTTCAACAAGAAGGCGTGCAATAAAATAACCGTTGGGTCCAACAATGAGCAGGTTTTGCTGGAGACGTATCAGGACATCAGATACAGGAGCAAGAAAGCTGTAACGTACCCCAGGTTTTATATGGAAGCTCAGTTCCCTGACGAGGATGTCGCCGTTAGGGGTCACGATGGGCACATTTTCGAACCGAATGTCTTCAGATTCAATGACATGTCCACGGCCCTTGAGGACTAACGCGTTTTCGGTAAGCAGCGAAGATAAAGGCTAAAAGTCAAACTCACTGATAGCATTATCCTCTTTGGCGGCACTATTCACAAGCGCTTTGTCGAACTTCCCTTTGCGGACATCCTTCATAGTGTCAAGGAGCAGGGAAACGCGAGCTGTGTATCCCGCCAGCTCCGAAAGATCCTTGTAGGAATACATCACACGTCCAAAGGCATCTAACGGTCATGAGTATGGATGATTTAGGCTAGGACGAATGAGAGAAACAAACCTGATGAAGACAGCAACAGACGACGGTTCGTCACAAAACCTGAGATCACGGTTTAGTGGTCAACAGCGACTTGAACACAGAAATATATCACCTTCAGTTCGACCACCTAGATCGAGAGCTTCTGCACCCGGAATCTTAAAGAACGCCGGGACAGCGCAGAGAACAAGCTGGGGTGATATGAGCATGCGTTAAAAATCTGTTCTAAAAACTCCGCACCCCAAAGCTTCCCCATAGCCATTTGATAATGCCTTCTTCAACACAACCGAACCACCAGCGCCGCTGCAGGACGCTATTCTCGTGCTCGATCAAAGCCGCGTATTCGCGTTCGATGAGCATCTTCTCGGTCTCCTCTCCCTTCATGAAAGCTACCTCCTCGGCGAACTCAACGAGGCGGGAGTGGGCATGACGGAGAGACCCTGCCATTTGTGCTGAAAGGGCCGTGTACATCCCGAAAGGAGGGGTCATGTACCTCACTGGCTCCAAGTGTCAGAGACGCACGGCATTCGAGGGATGAAATGACTGACGTAGAATTGCAGATAGTTGGACAAAGAACGTCAAAGCGAGAACACCTTCCGCGCCGACGTTTTGTGACAGTTGAAAATTATATAGGATGACATCAAGGACAGGCTTCGCGAGGTTCGAATAAATGGCTGCAAGATGTGTGGAAAAACGTTGAATGTCATGAGTAATCATCCTGGTGCAGGATTTAGCGTCCAAACGGCCTGACATGTCAAGTGGCTCTTACTGATCGGCATTCTTTATTCTGTCGTCCAAGTTAGCTGCAAGAAGGTCTCAGCATCTCTCTTCGACCGACGAAGGTCTGACGTACCAAGCTTGTAATAAACTTTGCCATTTGCGCCTTCTCCTTCCTCTCCTAGGTATTGCTTCATGACCTCTTGGGTGAGACGCGTGCGATACGCTATTGAGAGCTTGTTCTGGATATAGGAAAGCCAGCTATTTGTCCATGTCGCAGGAATAGCGACCACGAGCCAACGAAGGATGTTCCAAAAGAACTGGAGAGGCTGGGCCCGCACCAAGCTTGCTACAATCCTGCCCGATTCTAGTTAATGTGAATTCCGACAAGAGCAAATTGGGGCGCACTTTCCGTCCAAGGCAGCAACGTAAAGAGATATTGCAGTCCTGAAGATGAGCAGGCTTGAATGCATCAGAAGAAGTAAAGCCTCTTTCGATCGGATCCCAGGAATCACAATGCGAAGTATTTGCTTGAGGCGTTGGAAGAACAGCGCGTCGACCTGTGAAGTGCTTCAATATCTAAGCCGAGACCGGATGGGGTGTAACCGACCGCGACTCGTTCCTGCTTTCCTGCCTGAGCCTTTCCTTTCTCCTGCTGCTTTGACCGCGCCTTCGATGAACTTGAACCTGAAGACTTCCCTGATAGGCCTGCATATGTGGAAGTGAGAGCATAGATGACGAAGGTGATGTTCAAGATCCGTTGTATCAGAGGACGATGCGCTGCATATACTTGGAAGAAGCGGGCCAGCCTCTCATTTGACGCTGTGGACGTCCTCAAGGAAGAAAAGGCAGCCATCCCCCACGGCTTCTTGATAATGTGTGAGGGGGAAAGAAGTGCCGGGACGCTGTTGGCGGTGGGGTGAACAGACGAAGATAGATTTGGGAGACAAGATGTCGTCTGCGCTTGCCATGTGATATTCAGCCAGTCGTACTATCATCGGAAATAGACTTTTTTGCACGAAAAATCTCTGGGGACGCGACGTTGGAGGCCATTTGCCACGCGCACATCCTGACAGCATGCACAGTCATCGGCAAGAGCGTGGGTGGTGGTAGTATATATAAACGGGCGAGCCAGCATCTCGTTCCCTCGAGGCACTCTCGCACTGACAGATCGGGGAAGCCGCTGACTAAGCAGACCTACATGGCTTCGCCGAGCTTCGAGACTTTGGCGAGTCTCTCCCATCCGCTGTCTTCCTACCTTCGTTCTCGTTAATCTGGTCGTATAATAGCGGTTGTCGTGTAACACGAACAGGCTTCAAAGCCTCTTGACTGAACCTCTCTCGTCGTTCCGAAGGCCATGAGATTCTTCTCTCAATCCTTTCTCTACGAGTCCGTTTCTTCCTAGTCTCTCTTTCCGAGTCTCTGCTCATATAGTTTTCCAGCGATACCTGGTCCATCGTCACCCTAGCCTTCTTCCTTCGTTACCCAAATCCCTACGCGGCTCATGTCATTTCCTGCGATGTCATCTCTCGCGACACCACACCCTCCGGCACTTTGGTCACGACGCGCCTCATTCTGAAGAAGGGGAGCATGCCCCGGTGGTTTCCGAGGGGCATAGTCTCAAGAGCTGAATCCTGGGTCATTGAGGAAAGCGAGGTTGACCCGTATGGCAAGGTCGTGAGATGTGTGACCAAGAATCTCGACCATGTCAAGGTTATGCAGGTGGAAGAGAGCGTCCAGTTTGCACAGACACCCAAAGGGTGTGTATTCCCTTCTTGTTTCGACTCTCTTACATTCCTTACTTATGCGCTCTCTGAAAGGACCCTCCAACACACGGAGGCCCGGGTTTTCTCCCGGTTTGGGTGGGGTCTCACAAAAAGGATCGAGAATCATGGTCTAACGCGATTCAAGGCCAACATGCAACGAGTGCGTCTTCTGAGCCTCATGCGTCCTACCCTCATTAATTTCTTACAGTCTCGTGAGGGCGTGAGCCTAATTCTCGCCCTCCTTCGACAGTCGCGACTGCAACCTATGGCTCTGGGCCCTGCAGATCACTCACACGATGTTCTGCCGGTCATCCAAAGCAACGCTGAAGTGAATGAAGATAATCGGCACAAAACATCTTGGGCTAAGTTCAAATCCTGGTTTCGACCACCATCCTCTCAAGCCTAGCGTCAGGGACTTGGAAGGAAGAAACTGCTCGCGCTCCGACTCAGACAATCATTTGACCACCATTGTACTATCACTTTACTTACATGTCCGGCACTTGGTTAATTTGCTGTACTATTGTAATCATCCAACCCCCGAATCTCCACAGCTATTCGTCATCAGTGTCGTCAGCAGGCCTGTGTGAGTTGCTTGTCTCACCCACTCCCAGTTATGAGAAGCCGACTGCCTAAAGCAAGGAATGTGTAGTAAATCGTGCTTCGAGATGACCTAGTTCCCTAGTTTCTAGTACGTCGCTTGAGACAAGACTTAGAATGCGATGTACGGATATTTCTCGTCCATGAAGTTGCCGAAGTGATCTACACGGTGCTATTTTGGGACCTGTTTAGAAATGGAGATGCCAGCTTGACCAACGTATGCCCCCGAAGCTTCCCCCACACCCTCATGCGCCTGGGTAGAGGATGTACTTCCCCACCGCAGCGGCCAGGCAGCTTGCGACGATCCCTGCTCTCCCCAATATCCCTGCAGAGCCCGTCGTAGCCCTCGCGTCAAGTTCAAGAAAGTTACTGTTTTGTACACTTACACGAACTACCCTTGCCGTATGGTCTGGCAGGGTAAGTTAACGTCTTCAGAGCTCATACACCACGCTTACCCTTTCTTTAGCCTTCTGCCTTACTTTCTGTACTGACGCGGACTCCAACCTCTCTTCTCAATCATGGAGATAGCGAAGATGTGTGGTGGTCGCCAGATGGGTGCCGAATTGTGATCAAGGTGTGTTACATATCTATGCAAATCGCGTCCACAGAGATAATTGCATCACTCCTAGACCTCAGCATCCTACTTGGTGCTGGTTTCGGTCGAGTTCAACCTGAACGAAACGGTCTATGACACGGTCCCTCTACCCGCAAACGCCCAGCGCAATTTCCTGGCAGGACCAGGAGAAAGTCTATCCCTAAACTCTGTCAGTCTGCACTTCGAAGGAGTTATCCGGGTCGAAGGAAATTTGTTGAGGTATTTTCGGTCCCGCCGATCGACGTACACCAATATTCATTGACTGGCCAGTGTATCACCTCGCAAACACTATGTCATGTTCTCAACCCAGGATCCACCAACAATTCAACAAATGCCCTGGCCGCTGCAGGAAGAAGAGGAAGCTGAAGGGACGAGGCCTCTTGCTGACTATCATACGTGGCTGCTCAACGACCTGGATTTCTCGTGGCTCGTCGAGTCTGATGGTGAATCTTTTCCCTCTGGATGATTCCCACCGCGTGCTAATAATCAACGTGCTGCAGTTAATGTCACTCGTATTTCTTATTCCAAGAGCTTGAATGGCGAGATCTGGATCACCTCTGACGGACGGGCGTATCTGGTTGGGCTTCAAGACAGTGCTGAAGAAGAAAGTGCTCGTGAATCCTCGTCAGAGCATCGTTTCTCCGAAGTAAATATAATGATATCAACCCAAACCATAATGTTGACTGCATTGCACATTAGGATGTCCCAGACGATGGTCCTTTGCCCAGACAAGCAGGGTGGAACGGCACTTGCATTCACGACTTTCAGGCGCCCAAATGGATACAAAAACAACGCCGTATAGAACCTGATGACGAAGAGCCTGATCATACACGAGTTTATCGAGATCAAAATCACGCAACATGGGTCGCCGTCAACAGCAAATTCTCTCTCATTGCTATTGGGACCCATGGGTAAGGCAATTGACCCATTTCCACCACAGAAGTCTCATGAGAACGCAGAGGTGGAATTCAGTTCACGAACTTCCCTTCGGAAATTGGAATCATGCCCAAGTCCCAGAAGATCGAGGTACCTAATCCCTTCAACAAGCAAACAGGAGATATCACTGCGCTGGAATGGAGTTCGGACGGTTATGTGCTTGCAGTTGGGTGGAAACATGGATGGGGCATCTTCAGTGTCGGCGGTAAATGCCTAGCGTCTGGAATTGGTGTTGACGAGGCGGTCGACGAAGAAAAGTGAGACGATTGTCACCCCCCGTTGTGCCAACTAATGCTCTTTCAAGGTTTCAGGATATCTTCATGTATGGTGTCAAGGATCTAGTAAGTCGCCTCTGGCTGAGATTGGCAGTCTCAAACGGTCTTCTAGTTCTGGGGACCAGGGAATTTTGAACTGTTCGTTCTCGCGTCCCCCCTTCCTCGAAAGCGCAATGGACAGTTGTTCGTTATTCCTTTCGCCAAGAGTGCAACTACCGGGCAGCATTCACCTGTAAGGGGTCATTAAATACAACACTCTCTGCGTACTGACGGTGCAAAGGACAACACACGATATGCCTTCTTGCAACTGGATGATAGAGCACTTATTTACAGAGGTGCTGACCAGCCTGACTTGAGTGTCATCAACCCAGAATCAGACGTTTGGCAGCATATCAAGGTCTGATTTTCCTAGAATAAATTGCTAATACTGATCATGAGCATCTCAGATCCCACAACGATACCTGGCATTGAACTGGCCCATTCGATATTCCTGCTTAGGCAGTGACGGAAGACTGATTGCTATCGCTGGTCGAAGAGGTTTGATTCACTACAGCTCAACTTCAGGCCGATGGAAGATGTTCGCGGATGAGGAACAGGAGCAAAATTTTACTGTACGGGGTGGTCTTCTGTGGTTCCACCATGTGTTGGTTGCTGCTGTCGAGATTGCCAAATCTTATCAGGTATGTGAGCGCGGTTTCTTTGCTCTATGAGTCTGATTTTCTCGTATAGATTCGCCTCTATTCTCGAGATATGGAGCTATCTGCTCAAAATATTTTGCATCGCGAAGTTCTTTCAGCTCCGGTCATTATTTTGTCCATTGTCGACAATTCACTCTTGGTCTATACGGCGGATAACACCCTGCACCACTACCTTATCGTGCCGACGGCGGATTCAATAAAGTTTCATCTTTGCGGCAGTATATCTTTCACTGGAATCATATCCGCACCTGGTGCAGTCAGGATGCTGAGTTGGATGATACCAGCTGTACAAAAGCGTATGTTTTGGCTGGATATTACTCGCACCTGCTGTTCTTACAATGTGTTCCAGAAATCGGTGATCCTGTCGATGATCTTGCTGCTGCGACGGTGTTAATGGTCGTCGGTGGGCAGCTTACTCTTTTGCGACCAAGAAAGGTTTGAAGATTTCTTGCACTCAGATGACGTCCTTTTAACAATTTATTCCAGCATTCCGCCAACGAGGAAGTGAAATATGACATCCAAGTTCTCGCGGATCGGATAGAGTTCTGCTGGATTCATCTCCGCGGTGTTGGTGCTCTTGAGAATTCTCTCTGGGCGTATGATGCTCAAGGAATGCGAGTGTGGCTCAACGCTCTATCAATAGACTCGCATCAACGGGATGCTAGTGCTAGCACCATGGAGGATGTGAAAGAAAGCGTCAAGATACCACTGGACTTTTACCCTCTTTGTGAGCTTCATTTTCCAGGCTCTTTTGCTATCGCCGTTGATACCTTGAATCACAGCCGTTCTTATGGATAAGGGCATTATCATCGGTGTTGAGCACGAATCTGCAATAAGAGCCAACCTTCCAGTTGTATTATTCCGACATGCTACCAGCGTAAGTTGCTGGCTAGATGAGACTGCACAGCTACTAATGTGGCAATTAGTCTCATCTATTCTTACAGCACATCCTCCTCTACCACCTAGAAAACCACCAAGTGAAGGAGGCAGTTGCTTTTGCGTCTCATTACAAGAACCTGGTGTTCTTCGCACATGCATTAGAGATTCTTCTACACACTGTCGTGGAATCGGATGTTGCCTCGATGAACAGCGATGGTGACGATACTACTGATAACTATGAGTCCGTCCTACCAGCAGCTGTCGAATTCCTAGACCACTTTGATGTGTCTCTCGATGTCATTGTGGGGTGTGCGCGGAAGACAGAACTGACTCGATGGAGGCATCTATTTGATGTTGTAGGAAATCCGAAAGGTTTGTTCGAGGTAGACATTCATTTTCCTAAGGTGATGTAGATAATCTCTGATGACGCTGCTTCGCTCTCCAGACTTGCCTAGCCTTCAAACGACTAAAAACTGCCGGCTCTTACCTACTTGTTCTGCACAATCTTGAACAACTGGACGAAAATAGCACCGAAGCTGTCCGGCTATTGAAATGTGCCTTCGAAGGGAAGGACTGGCAGCTCTGTCAAGAATTGCTGAGGTTCTTGCACTCCATTGATGATACAGGGCAGGCACTAAAAAGTGCTTGGACTCAGGTAGATTTGGGTAGTATCGACGTACATGGTTAGCTTGTGTAATCTTAGTCTTATGGACCAAGGGCAATTCTAGAGCATCGCCCTATTTAGGCTAAAAATTCCTTATTGAGTAGAAAGTACTTCCGAACCACGTGGAACGTTGATGGGATCTCGCATTGCGATATTTTCAAAAGCGCAGACCCACCAGGGGAGCCTTTCCAGGATACCGATGTTACCTCGAGAATCCCTCACGAAATCGAATCCCAACACCTGCAGCGAAAAAGAACAAAAGATGATTGCACACTATACCAATACAAATAAGGAATACACATGAATGCTATACACGTGCTGTGTCCACCGTGCTACACTATTTACCGCCCGTAGCACCCCCCACATGACCGGCTGTTTCGTCCAACGTCGTTGTACGCGGTTTTGGCGACGTGGGTGGGCTCTCCGGGACAGGGAACGAGATCGAATTCCTTTGCCCCGTCATGGTCGACTCGACGGTCGAGGCTTTGTCGGTCGGAGAAGGCGAGGGTGATGACTCCGTTGGTGTCTCCGAGATCGACAATGGTAGCGCCTTCTCCGCCGTCCTTGATCTGCTCGGAGGAGGAGCATTAGCCCTTGATGAAGGATGTATGCTATTGTTGGGACGTGCAGGAAGCTTCGGCGCGAAATCTTGAGGCGATAGCAACGCCACGCCGTCAGCAGGGACAGTAGCCACTTTCGTGCTCTTTGAACCATAAGTAACTGCTGGCACTGGTTCACCTGCAGGCGTCGGAGGCAAAGGGGGAGAATTGGGATCGTGGTCGTAGAGAATATGCGCGTTTAAAATGAGGTCCTCCATTAGGGAATCCTGCAGGAAGAATCTCAGTGAACGGTCATATTTCTAGAGGAAAACGACAAGAACCTTGATAGTCTGAACGCTCAGCAGGTCACCTCCTTTTGGCATCTCATCATCGCCGAAAATCACGCCTCCAAAGACTATAGCAAGATTTTTGGCGTCCATTTTATTCTTATCACACTTTGCAACGACTCGGGCTAGATGTTCGAGTAAAGCCTTCAGCGTTGCTTGATGCACAGGGGGTAGTCTGCGAATCTTCGAGCGCAGAAGCACGAAGTTGTTTGACAGATGCTCCTCTGTGGCTGGAATGAGTGCCAGTTCTGCTAGGGTTATTACAACGGGTACCTCTATCTTCCGTGTGCTGGATGCGATCTTGGAGGGAGAACTTGAAGACAGGTTCTGGTAGTTCCCGAAGGTATAGCTTGATTTACGGTCAGCACAAAACTTGTTTCAAGAGAATGAAGAGGCTGACTTTTAGGAGGGACGCGACACAATATACGTCATCTTTCGACGAGAATTGGAAGGCATTTTCATCTTTCTCGATCTCATGTTGGAGCTATCAGGGTGTCAGCAGGAGCCCAGGTGTAGTTGGCCGAAAGGGGTCTTACAGCCTGAACTACTGCATGCCGTCCAGAAACCTTGAAATTTGTTTTACTGATGAGTAAATGCACATGGACGAAAAAAACGCACTCGATATATTCCTTCAGCTTCGAGGCCGCGCTTATCGATTTCTTCGATACAAAGACGGATAATCTTGGGTACAGCGCCTTCCGGCAGCTGCTTCGCGGTAGCGTAGTCCACCAAGCTGAAGCCGAATATTAGATCGTTGCATTCTCCAACTAAACCATGTTCGTATAAGATCGGATCAGGTATGGCAGAGGCAAGTGAACGGGGTATTTGCGTTTTAAGCTTGGAAATGTCCTTCTCTGGTGATATCCGATCTATGATTGAACGCATATGCGAAGATAATTGTGTTTGTGTGGTGGTAGTAGCGCTGCCAGCAGAGCAGTCAACAGTCAGCAGTCAGGAACGGATCAAAGAGGCGTCATGCCCGAAGCTCACGTCATGTTGTCGCTGTACTTCTCCAGCACTTTCTTCATTGTAGTCGATACTTCTTCGACGAACATTTCGAGGCTCTTCGTTGGAGATGAATATCATACAGGGTCTCGAAGTTGTTGTTCTAACCTTATACCCGCTTTCCAATATTTTGGTGCGTCGCAGTCTCAGCGTTTCGAGCCAATGAACGCCCTTTCGGTAATCTTTATCTAGTGGTTGAGAAGCACTGCATGAATGGTTCCATTCCAAATCTCCAAAATTTGACGGCGTACCTGCTTCATCGGCATCTCGTTTAGCTCGAACGGTCCGAAGTGCTTGGTTCTCGCGTACTCCTAAACTGTCCTTGACCGATCCACCCTTATCCAAGAACCCAATTAATTGATTTAGCTGTTTCTTCCCTGTAATATCATCTTATCAGTTCTTTGACTTGTATTGTGGACGAAATACCTTGATGTGCGAGATCCGAGAAGGCCGTCGATGACGATGGAGAGCGATTACGACCTGGAACACTTCCAGAAGGTCGTCGATCGAGTGCACGTAACGGCTGTGGGGCAGTGACTGTTGGACGAGAGGGGATGGATGGGTTCGACTTGGAGTTGTGTGTATATTGTTCAGGGTTCATGGAAGGAGATGGTTGGGGAGAGACCAGGGGGGGTGCAGTAGCAGCCTTCTTTTGTTCCTGGAGAAGAACAGTTGAAGAAGTGGGCAAACTGTCTATTTCCACGAACATACCTCAACCTCAGAATATTTCTTCGTGTATCGATTCTTTAACTTTGGCAGCATGACCTCTGCGTACTCGTTATACGCAGCACCTGAATCTTTAAGATCTTCTTTGATCCTCTTTCGCGTACGCTCTTGGGTTTCCTGGCGAAGAAACTCTCATTAGACTCCAAGATAGGGCATCACGAGAGTGCCTCACTTTCAATGTGACCAACGGACTAATAACATCCGACGTTAATGTCGAGCATAGTGCTTGTCTCGTCTGAGCCTCTGTTGTGTTTGTTGATATCGCACGGGGATGAGTTGCAAAGAACGCGAGAACGCACCTCGGTCAACATTCTCGACGACTTCTGCCCATGCACTTCGAATCGTGCTCAATTCCCCTCTGTCATCCAACGATGCATCCACTGATTTAATCTTCCGATAGAGTTTCCTGAGTGATTCGACGCTGCACGAGTGTTCAGTCAGTGTTGTGGAGATGGAATTGCAACACAAACTATGTTTCCTCGATGCGTCTCCTGCAAATGAAAGTCAAATGGTGATGTCGATAGAACGCGACGAAACGTGCCTTTCTTGGAAAAAAGCAAGATAGGAGTCGGTAAGATAGCGGAGATGACCGTCAAAGAGGGGTATAGGGCCCTGTGGTGCGGAGGGAGGGTCCGAGAACGAGGATCGCGACGACGGTGGTGGGTCCATGACGGGTTCTGAAGCGAGCTGTGCAGGGTCTCCAGCAGCGTGAGTTGGGTATACGCGGGGCTGTGGGCGCTGTTGCTCGAGTCGTGCGCGGCAATGTGTTGCAGTGAGGGAGACGACAGGATCTCATCAAGGTTCCACTTTCCAAAGATACCCCATCACGTGACTCATTGTAGATCCCCCATTGCCTTCGCCGCCACATCTCGATTCTGCGCAATCTCCATCGTTCGGCCCCTGCGCGCGGCCATCTTTGATGAAATGTCGCGAATGCAAGTACTAGTCTCACATCTCATTCTGTCGCGTCCTGCCCCGCCCTATAAAATGCCTCCGTTCTGCCTCCGTCTCCAATCCCCTATCCCCACAAAATGTTCCTCTCGTTTATCTACAAACTCTCTCTCATCGCTGCAGGCTTCTACATTGTTATACTCACGCGATTCGTCGTACACTACTTCTCAGTGCGTCGGACATTCCGCCATGTCCCCGGACCCCCAAGGAGTTCTCTTCTCTGGGGTGAAGAATGGGAACTGTACCACGGCCGCCCAGGTGCTCGCTACGTGGAATGGCACAAGAACTTTGGGAAACTCGTGGCATTCACGGGTGCCTTCGGTGTATGTTTCGTACAACTAAAGAAGGCCATTCCTCCTGAAACAATTACTACAGCATCAAATTATCTCCATCACCGACCCTCGGGCTATTTCATTCATTCTTGGCGACGGCGCCTACCACTTTCCTAAGCCGCACGGAGTCCGTGCGTGGTTTAAAGCTACTTTAGGAGAAGGCATACTCTGGGTAGAAGGTACTTGCGTGCGTCATCTAGTTTGGACTTCTACCTAACGCACCTTCAGGGAAAAAGGAGCACGAGCTGCAGCGGCGCACTCTGGCCCCGGCGCTTAAGTATGTCGTCCCCTAACTTAGTGTTCGATCCAGAGTTCAGATATTATCCACCAGTCAACAATCTGTCCGCGAGCTCGTTGCCGTCCTGTTCGAGACTTCCGCCCGCCTTGCAAACCAATGGAACAAGGTAATCGACCAAAATCACGGCCAGGAAACAGAAATCGAAGTCACAAACTGGGCCGGACGATTTGCGTGAGCTTATCACTCCATTCCGCGGGGTCTGCCGTTGACAGGCGCCACAGACTTGACACCATCGGTCGCGCAGCCTTTTCATACGACTTCGAATGCCTCGCCGGCGAACCACACGAATTGGCAACTGCGCTCGATGGCCTGACCAACAGTGAAAACAGCCTCGCGTCCTTCTATATGCGCGCCCTTTTCTGGCTATTCCCTTCCATCCTCTCCATCGGCAAGAAAGGAGAGATGATTAGGGAGACTAAATCCCAACTCGGTGCCATTGCTTCGAAGATGTGGAAAGACGCGCGACTCGTCGGCGATACCAACGACCGGACGCTGCTTGCAACAATGTGTGCGTATCCCGTGTTATTTCTTATTCGCTCGCTCTAAGGCTGACTCCTGATCTACACCGGCACAGTGAGGTGCGAGCAGGTTTCTGGCTCAAAGATGGACGAAGAGGAAGTCGTATCCCAAATGCGCACTGTCATTTCCGCTGGTTATGAGACCGTATCAGCAATTGTGGCGGTGACTAACTTCTAATTTTCTCTTTTGGCTATTTCACCTGTGCTAATTTCACGTTGCTTTAGTGGATTTTCTACGAGATCGCCCGACATCCGGACATCCAGGCAGAATTACGGGAAGAAATATGCGCCATTCCCGACCTCTCATTTGAACACTTTAACAACGAACTACCGTTCCTTGACGCCGTCTTGAAAGAAACCCTCCGCCTCCACCCCGCCGTCCTAGAAAATCACCACGAGGTGCGCGTCCCCCCTATTTACTGCCCTTCATACCAACTGGTGTATTGTACCTAGGCTTCGGAGACAATTATGGTCCCGCTTGCAGAGCCAATAGTCGAAACCGGGGAGATGCAGCTCGTTGTCCCCAAAGGCACCTTAATATCCATACCTGTGAACGTCCTGCAAGAAGATCCAGAGTTCTGGGGTCTTGACGCGGACGAGTTTCGTCCCAGCCGGTGGCTTGAGAAGAAGAAGACTGGGCTCGTGAAAGGACAGGAACTATTGGCCTTCAGCATGGGGTAAATCGATGGAGCTTCTTTCATCTAGTAAAGGGCCACAGCTGACGCTTGACTCGGCTTCCAGACCCCGTTCGTGCCTCGGGAAGACATTTGCCATGGCTGAAATCAAGGTCGGTGTCTTGCGAAGACAGCGAACCATACGTATTTGACTGATAATTCATGGAGCCAGTGTTTGACAGCCACACTTCTCCAGCGCTTCTCCTTCCGCTGCCAACACGAGATCGAACCGTTCCAGAGTTTCGTCATCCGACCGCGCATCAAAGGAGAAACGGGCAGCTCGCTGCCTCTATTGGTCAAGAAACTCTAGGTCTCACGAAGTACTTACTTTACATATGCGAATAATGGACAGGTGTAATAATAAAGTCTTGTTGCCTGGTTGATTGGCTCTCCGCAGCCTATATACATCTGAGACTCGACTCGTGGTGGTATGTAAGCTACGGGGGTTGCATGGTGAAAAAATAATATTCTGTTGCCCAGAAAGATAGAGAAATCCTTCTTATAAGAGGTTTTGCTTCAAGGGTCGTGATTATACATTTCAGGCGTTGTTGCGAGGGCTGAGATTGAGACGGCATCCGTCCTTAGGGAAAAGGGTGGCAATTATGCTGAAAGCACAACATTAACAACGCTCGAGCAGGAGGGAAAAAGAGGCAACGTACTCGATTTTATCGCTCAGGGGGGTGACCTCATGCTGAAAGTTCATCATTACGGCGGCAGTGGCCAAAGTGAGCGCGATGTTCATGTTGGCGTATTCCAGACCAATGCATCGATGTGGGCCACTGCCGTACACGAGGTAGTTCTTCGGACTGGTGTTCGCTGAGCCGTTAGCATCCAGCCAACGTTCGGGCTTGAACTCGTCGGGCTTCGGGTAGACCTCGGGATCATGGAGCGAGTTGTAGAAAGAGGGAATGACCATGCTGTTCGCCGGGACTGTGTACTCGTCCGAAATAGGGAATGCGCGGGTGGCTTTATATGGGACCTGAACAAACATGGACACTCGAAGGTCAACAATAGGCACACGAATCAACAGAAAAGAAGCGCCCAAACCATTGTGACGGGAGGCGTGACGCGCAGACTCTCTTTGACGACAGCTTGGAGGTAAACCATCTCGTCCATCATCTCGATGGTCAGAGGCTTGCGATAGTCGCCTTGGCGGACGCGTTCTTGCTCCTCCCTGACCTTCGCCAAAACATCGGGGTGATCGGCAAGATGCTGGAAGCCGTAAATCAAGCCGCTGCTCATAGCATCCTGAGAGGCGAACAGGAAAGAGAAGAGAACCATAGCCATTTCGAGATCGCTAAACTCTTTGCGACCCTTGTAGGCGGGGTCGGCAAGCGATTGAACCCACTGGTCCAACATACACTCAGGCTCACCGCCATTAGCCATTGCGATTTTTGAGTTGTGAGCAGCGAGTTCAAGCCAGCGGAGGGCGACCTTGCGTGCTTGGACAGCCTTGTACACCTTGGTGCCCGGGAGCGCAAGCGGGAAGTTGACCAGTTCCAGGGATTGCGTAATTGCCCAGTACTTATCATTGATTTCCTTGGCAGCATGTTCAGGAATGTGGTTGCCGCAGAAAACGCGCAGGGAGGTGTCCATGTTGCAGTAGCGAGCAGGCATCATGATAGCCATTGGGCCTGGATTTTCCTTGGTGTGGGCGAGCCATTGTGACAGATGCTTACGCGCAATTTGCTCTTGGATGCCGACATAGATGCTAAAAACGGACATCAGTCGCCAAGGCTTTACTGATATGAATGTCGCGAAATTACCCAAGCGCCTTGCGAGTGAACAGAGCATTTAGACCTCGCCGATAGTCTACGTGTGTCTTGCCAGTGAGGAAAACCCTGTGGTATGTGTTAGCAAGGGGCCTATACATATTTTTCATGTGTAATCACCAATTGTCAGGCCGTAGAATCTGTTTGGCAGAATGAACGAGGCACGGTTCCGCAAAAGTGGGGGAGTTGAGAATTTTGCGGGAATATTCATTCGAGGAGGCCATGACGATGAAACTGCGCGAAGCTTTGTTTAGCGGGGAGCGAGAGAAGAAGACTGCGACGCACATATTGAATACGCTGATCGCGCTGAGTGCACCCGAGTCCCACTGCTTCTTATAACCCTCCATGGAGGGCGATACAGAGTCTGCGAACTTCCCGATGAGAGGAATAGTCCAGCTGTCGCCAGGGAGGTGACGCTTCTTGTAGCGGTAGACGGCCTGTTCAAGAACCAGCAGGGACGCAATGATGGCGGCGGTTGTGTAGAGCCATGTGAGTTCCCTGCGCTGGAGAACGGTGAGGACGGAGGCGACCTGGAAGGAGTAGAGCGGGGGATGAGCCGTCGAAGAAGGGACTGTCGCAGAAGCCGAGCGATCGATATTGAAGGCCATCTTCAGCGTAAGAAACTAAGAGGCGCGAGCTTATAAACTCTTTATTTTCGACATGGCACCATCTTCAACCTTTTTCCACGCCCAATCACAGTCTGCGCTGATCATCCAGCGCCGGCCCGCCAGCCGTTGACAAATTCACCATTACACACGGACTAAGTACACAATGACGTCACAGTTTCTTTTCCATATCCTCTTTCGTCTCGCGAGCGCCAGCTGCGGCCTGTCCGCAGGTATTCAGTGATTGTAGACCATAACAAAATCGGTTCCAACTCACCTGGTTTCCTTTCTGCTTCGTGGCAGTTCCAGCCTCCTTGGCCTTCTTCTCCACGGTTCCCGCCACCGAATCTGATTCAAGTGCTGGTGAGAGGGGTTCATTGAACAAGTGTGTGATGACGCACCTATCGAGTCTTTCGCCGCATACGTTGCCTTCTCGCCCTTATCAATGGCAGAAGCCAGGCCTTTGCCAAGCTTTTTGTTGACCTGTGGACATTGTCAGTCAAGGCGATTATTGAACCAGGAATCTGCCCACTTTGTCTGCCACCTCAGATGCCTTTTCCGTCACCGTCTTGTGCGCAGTTGGTGACGCATGGAAGAATCTCCTGGAGGAGGAAACAGCGGTTGCTGCGATCCTAGCAGTAGAGCCTGAAGCAAATCGAACGGTGTTCAACATAATGGTTTCGGGTGGAATAGGGCGCGATTGACATGTTCTTCGCTTTCTCGAGCTTTAAGTAATGTTTCTTCAATGGTGCTCCAACGTCATCGATCGTCTGAAAATAAAGGTCGATGAGCGCATTGTCCGATTACAGTGCAGACTGCTCCAAGGCAGATGCAGAGAGCTTCAGGTCCGTCCTGGCTCTGACTTTGGACAGAAAAAAGCCGTTAGTGAAAGGTTCAGTCGTGTGCCATGTAAAGCGATGGTAAAGCACTCACAGTGTAACGGATTCAAATCGGATTCCGAAACGGAAGGAGAGCCCCTGAGCGCATGTGATTGCTTGTCGGCAACCGGGAAAGGGGCTATGAAAAGAGAAGGCTTACCTAACCACCTTCTTCACTCACTTGTGCCGTCCTCACACGACAAGGATACTCTTTCCTCCGGTCTCCGTCGTCTCTCCTGTCTCTTTCTTTCTTCTCTCATTTGTATCATTACTTGCCGCCCTTCATCCGCCCCAAAATGCACTTCTTCTCGCAAACACATAATTATGAGTAAGTCTGGCCTCCATATTGTCTCCCTGTAGCAATTTGTTGCAGATGCTGACGGGGTTTCTGGCAATTGTAGTCACCCCTGGGCCCATGTAGTTATCGGCATGTGGCATAAATATCCCAACTCGAGGTGCACGCACGTCGTCAGCATCGACACCATCGACCGAACCGTCGACCCAGTGACGGGCATCATTCGGACAGAGCGGGTGATGGGCTGCAAGCAAAAAGCGCCTCTATGGATCGTAAAAGTGCGTCCTTACTCTCCCCCTGCCTGTGTTTTTGCCGTGTCTAACGCGGCCGCGCGGCTTATGCAGCTCTTCGGCGGCTCGGAAGACGCTTTTGTCCGAGAGATCTCCTTCGTCGACCCAGCGACCCAAAACGTGACCATCACATCGGTTAACCTATCCCTGTCCCAGTTCGCCACCTGCAATGAGCTCATTCGATACTCGCCTGCCTCGCCAACGCACACACTCTTCTCACAGACGGCCGAGATCCAAGCTCGCATGGCGCTCTGGAGATCAGCGGCCGACGGACTTGAGAAGTGGCTGGTACAGCGCTTCGAGCAAAACGCGCACCTTGGCAAGCTGGGCTTTACGGACGTGCTAAGAAATCTATGGGAGGAGCGACATAGAGCACCATCGCCGTCATAAACGAACAAGAGGAGTTTGTGTCCGGCTATTTTTTATTCCACTCGAGAGATTCACCTAGAGGGGCTGCCTTTAGACTACGACGATAGCATCTTCGCCTTATACAGGTACTTTAATATTCCGCCCATCCCCCATACCCAGGATGAATGTATAACATCTAAAACGACAACACTGCAATGATCACGACCTTGGTGCTATCAACCTGGCAGAGGTCGGAGTAAAGGCAGTGCAAGACACAGTAAGTTGTCTTGATTCGGCATATGTAGCTTGGATAGAGCTCCATGTGACTTTATGCAAGTGAGATTCAGCAGACTTGTCATGCTTGGCTTTACATATCTTTTACATGTCTCCTAACTATTTCGTGAAGACTGTTTACAGCGGGTAAGGCTGGGCGCTCTCAAGGTACTCTGGTTACACTCACTGGTAACGACGTCTTCGTCTTGAACTTGATGGTTCAAGCTAACCTTCTGAGCATGTGGAGCAAATTTGCTCGACTTTCCCTGGTTCTCGAGAGAGTTAAGAGGAGTCTTTGAAAGTTGTTAATTGCAACTGACCCTATAACAGACAGGTCAGAGCTAGGATGCAAACAGAAAGGTATGGATGTACCAAACAAGTCCGTATTTGAAATTATCGGCGAGGGATCGATGAATTCCATTGCAGACATCCTGGATCATGATGAGCAGAAAGAACACTAGGAGCGGGAGAACATCGCTCTTACCTCAATAGTAGCACCTTTACGCAGACATACTGGATCATCTAAATCTGGATGAACACCTCGTTTCTTGGTGTAGATCTTCACGAGCCGAAGTTCCTCCCATATCCGGTCAATCAAGTAGTCTAAGCTAGTGTAGGAGTCAGAATGGCAGCCGATTACAAAGCGCAGCTGCAAAGTGAAGCAGACGCACTTCAGGTCCATTTCGCAGCTGATCACCAAGCTGTGTGGCTGGCGTGCAATTTTATCAACCTGTTCTAAGCTGATAGCGTCGACCTTGTTGTACACGTCTATAGTTTTGTGAGTAAATGCATGCAAAAGAGATGGGATGGGGAAATCGAACATAAACACGGCATGTATTTTCTGGTTCCTAAATGCCGCATAAGTTAAATGTTGTTGCAAAGTATGTTGACGCACCAATAAGGACGTCGATGAATTCATCCGTGGTAATCTAGGAACGGTGCTAGGTAATGGCTTTACACGAAGAAGATACTTGGAGGAACCGACGTCTTCTCGAATCAAGATATCGCAATTGTGAAGTTTATCTGCAAATGTTCAGCGAACACTGTTTCAAAAGCTGAATGCCTGACACGTACATCCCGCTAGGATGGTCCGAATGGTTTTTTCATCCGTCTTCGTCAATTTTACAGTGGTGTTGAATGTAATCCCTCCGGTTGTTCGTTTCTTGAACACGACATCCGGCTTGCTCTTGTTCAGCCGGATGCCAACGGCATCGAGCTCATATTCCAGTAGCCTCCTTTGTTCGTCGGATTTCGTGGCGTCGAGCATTATCAAAATCACATCTGCTGTCTTCGCAGCTAGGTTGAAATTTCGAAGGTCAGCGCATCGGCGGGGGCAAGGGATACCATTACCACATACTCGACACGACTTGACGCCCTCGGCCACGACCTTGACTGGCGCCTTCAACGATTCCAGGCAAATCCAAAAGCTGTATCCGGGCTCCTTTGTATTCGATGACCCCAGGGATAGCCTAAGCCGGATTTTAGAACGCAAAATTACTAATCGCGACAATAGAAAAGTACCGTGAGTGTCGTGAACTCATAAGCAGCAGCTTCTGAGGCTGTATGTGTGACTTTACTCAATAATGTAGACTGAAGATCGCAAATAAACGACTGGGACTCGTATTGACTGTTATGGACGCGTACCTTTCCGACTGAAGGGAAGCCGATTAAAGCTACTCTCGCATCTCCAGATTTTTGCACGTCAAATCCTGTGCCCGCGGGTCCTGACTTCGATGTTGGCTCAAGGAGTTGTGTACGGTATCGCGCAAGCTTCGCCTTGAGTAGACCGAGATGGTACTCTGTGGCCTGCTCGGATCGTCGGTCAAGGACGCTGGCAGGAAATCTGTCGCTTCATACTTTATTTTTCTGAGCTGGTAAGGTTTATGAATCGATAGTGACATGTTTCATGGCAAGGACAGGCTTACTCCTCGCCATCTCCTCTGATCAAAGGTTTCGTTGGATCAGAATGGGCAACGGGACCCTGACGATCTGACCTACCTTCAATCTCTTTTATCTACATAGCGCATAAGCATTTCCATGAATCAGAAATACCTACGGTAACGCACCTTTTCTACAATGCCCATGGTGTACTCTTCCGTACTATGGACGGGAATTAGGTCTTGAACTTGCCGGTGACGGCGTCTGCTGTGGCAGAGATCAACTGACGTAATGGCAAGGCGCAAAGGTCACCCGCCTCTTCTCCGTTCCTCAACCATTTCCAGGTTCCTTCGCCTCCTCACCAACCTGATAAGCAAGATGCCACGTCGACAAACACAGCCGACGTATTCTCACCCAGAAATTGGCAGCAATCTTCACGAAGAGGAAGAGGAAAGAGAGGAAAACGCATGGGGTGTACTCGGTCCCCTCACGTATGCTCCCCACCCACAGAAAGCCTCAAGCCTCAACAACAGACCTCCTCGCAATCCCAACAAATCTCGCTCTTCATCGACCTCCCAGACATCACAACCACGGCACTCTGGAGCAGCTCAATACTCTAAGCTTTACTCACAATTCATAAAGCGCTACCGATCTACGGGGCAGGAAGCCTCTGAAGACGTGGATGACCCACGCACTGATCCTGACAGCCACTATTTTCAACGTGGTTTGGGCCAATTGAACGATGCAGGCGACAACAGCGGCGACGACGATCCTTCCCGTGGGTCCCTTCTTTCAGGCGACGACCGAATGGAATCTGAACCAATACAACCGGCGTCCCAACAGGAAAAGGAGCGGCTTGAGTGGCAGGCCCTCCTCTCATCTGTATTGTCTGGGGATGTCCTCAAGTCAGAGGCCAGCAGAATTGCAGGCGCGTTAAATTCCCTCGGCGACGAGCAAACCAACTTCCATATCAACCTATGGCTCGGCATTCGTGCCAAACTTCACACACGGTCGGTCGAAGAGGAGAGAAGGAGACTGGACGAACGAAGGCTTCGGATAGTGGATGGAGTCATAGACGAGATTATGGGATTTAGAGTGTCAGACCCCGAACCAGGATCAGACATCGACGCAACCGTGTCTGCCTTCTCAGCAGCTACGACTGCACTTCGGCGTCTTGAAGTCGTGCAATCGTTATATCCCACTTTGAAAGCGTTCTATCTTGACAAGCCAAAAGCGGCTGAAGGAACATTCCAAGCGCGTTGCGACACGCTGAACACCTGGTTCAATGTTCATACAACTCTCAAACACCATTTCGCCCTTCTACGCCGCTGGACGGGTAGTGCTACTCTCGACGTCAGCCAGCCATTTACCAGCAATGAAGTACCTATTTTTCCCACTTCCTCTCCTCGACCGGGTTCAAATGGTCCTTTGAACGCGGATGTCGCAGATGGGACCAGTTTCGTGGAACGTTTGCTCAAGGAGGAATCTATGCAGCTCACATTCGAAAAGGGTTTTCTTGTAACCGTCCACGCCTTTCTTGGAGCAACTCGCGACGCTCAGGTCAACCTTTCTTCGTTATTTAAAGAGATGAATCTGCCTACATTCGAGAATGAACTGGTTCCCTTGATATCTTTTCCGACAAAGCTAGCGCAGGCTGGACTGCGGTTACGCCTGGACTATGTTCAGAAGCTGAAAGATCCTGACATACTGATCGTTGACCAGATGATCGAAGACCTCAAGCTGAGCATAGGTTTGGCTTGTACGCTCAAGCGACAATACGAAGCTATTCTAGCACCTGACCCTGGAGGCAATTGGAACCTTCCTCAATGTATCAGTGAGGATTACGATGCCACCATCCGTGATGCTTTGGTCAGCTTTTTCAAGTTAATACATTTAAAGCTGAAAAGCGACGCCAAAGGAATTCTCTTCAAAGAGACGGATATATTGGAAGCGCAATGGGCAACCTTCAACGATGTCAGCGTCACTACAGCTAAAGGGTCTTGTTCAGTCGCGGAACAGCTGTGGTATGCTATTCCTCTTGTCATCTATTCGACCGCTGAATTCCCTGTAGTTCTCTGACCAACAGATTGATGGTACGAGTGACGAATTTTTTCGACACCCAAGTCCGTGTACCTTCAGGAGGGAATACTGCTGAACGTTATAATCAAATGAAGATCGATCAGGATCCTTATATGACCCCAAACATGCGGCTTACGACGGGCAGAAAAATGACTGATGAACAATTAATTAGCTGGTACAGCAAGATTCTGGAAAGTGTCCGTCTACGGTACCGTAAACTGCAACGTTTTGCCAGGTATGGCCTTATATCCGTCTTGTAGGAGGTTGGTTAAACACACCACTTGAGTAACTAGAGTCCTCACGCAACGCTTCAGCAACTCGGCCGAGTACAGCCTGGATGACGTTCCGCTGGACGAGTTCATTTCTCTTCTTGTGGCTTCCGATCATTTCCTGGTGTATACGCAATCGTTTGAAGAAGACGGAATCTACATTGTCGCCTCTCATTCCCTCTTCGGCCAGCCGGAATTGATACGAAAAATGATCGATGAGGCATTCCACGTAGACGATGTCACCGCTGAAGACGGTCAACCCCTTCTAGGTGGCCTCGATCCAAATGTTCAAGACCCTGACGAAGTCGGCTATATTCTGGTCCTCTCCCCACAAACCCATTTCTTATGGAACGGTCGTGTGATGATCCTGAGCATCCTTAACACTCCTTTAGACCTCAAGGACGATCGGGTTCGTTTAATTGCATATGGGCCTCAGAGACGCCTCAATCTTGCCAAACAAATCTTCATGGAGTGCATCGACCCAATGTATGACGACGGAGAAATAAACTCGAGCTCTTGGACCTTGACATGTCTGGTCGAAGCGCAGGCACATTTGCCTAGTGTTAATAAAGAGCTGCGGAAGATTGCTCGGGCAACCAACCGCCTAGCAGAGTCCATAGTCGACTCTGTACATCAAGTTCGAAGTTCTCTGAGAGCCGTAAATGGAGGGCAGGAAGTACTCGCCAACTGGTTTCTCTATGCCTCTGAACACGGGCAACATGCGCATCGCTATATGGACCGCTCTTCGCTCCTCAAATTTAATCGACTTTTAATCAAGCTCGCTATCTCTTGGGTGTCATTTATCTGTGACGATTGCGATCCCACCGATCGGAAGACTTTCAAGTGGGCTGTCAATGCGCTGGAATACACACTCCATCGCACGAAACGCAATATCCTGTACTTACCAGATGAGCAATTCGAGATGCTCAGATCCAAAGTTGCCAGCTGCATGACCCTCTTAATCAGTCATTTCGACATTCTCGGTGCTCGGTCCATCTCGGAGGCCAGGAAAGAGAAGGAAAAGCAAGAAGAGCTACTGAAGTCGCAAATCTCGGGTGCCAATGTTTTTGAGGAAGATTCAGCCATCCTCTCCCTCGAACAAGACGACCCTGTTTTAGCAGATCCCAGCGCACGGCTGTACTGGGAGAAGGTTTCGAAGATCCTAAGAGGGATCGAGGAGACACGGGTAACAACCGGATTGAAGCATCGGATGTTAGGCAAGGTGCTTAATGAAGAAATACCTGAAGACAGGTCTCTCTCATTCTTAGCATCATCGAGTTCCAACATACCCATTCGTTGGCAACAAGGCAAATTCATTGGTGCCGGTGCATTCGGTTCGGTGTATCTCGCACTCAATCTTGATAACGGCACCCTTATGGCCGTGAAAGAAATCAAATTTCAAGAGCTCTCTGGTTTACCCAATCTCTACAGCCAGATCAAAGACGAACTGAGCGTCATGGAGATGTTGCACCACCCCAACGTAGTTGAATATTATGGAATCGAGGTCCACCGAGACAAGGTATATATCTTTGAAGAATATTGTCAGGGTGGAAGTCTTGCAACTCTTCTGGAACATGGACGAATCGAAGATGAAGGTATTATCCAAGTCTATACAATGCAGCTGCTAGAAGGATTGGCATATCTACATTCTCGTGGTATCGTACATCGAGACATCAAACCCGACAGTAAGTGATTTTACCTGGGTGTTGTCACGGGTATTCATTTTCTGAACAGACATCCTTCTTGACCACGAGGGCGTTATCAAGTACGTGGATTTCGGTGCTGCAAAGGTCCTTGCCAGAAATCAGCGTACTGTTCATCGATCACGTCGCGCGCCGGACCTCCCAAATGCCAATGGAATGGGCAACTTCAACGTAGCTGCTATGAGCAATGGGTTAACGGGGACTCCGATGTACATGTCCCCTGAAGTCATCAAGAACGACAAGCGGGGCCGACATGGCGCTATGGATATATGGTCTCTTGGCTGCGTTGTCCTTGAATTCGCGACAGGCAAAAAACCCTGGAGTAATCTTGATAATGAATGGTAAAATTTTAAACTCCTTACCCAAGTCCCATGTTCTCAAATCTTGTTCAACAGGGCGATAATGTTCCACATCGGCGTTGCCACTCAGCATCCCCCTCTCCCCGAGCCAGATCAACTCAGTGACCTAGGGATCAACTTCATTAAGCAATGTCTGACAATCGATCCCGTACGGCGACCTTCAGCCATAGAGCTCATGCAGGATGCTTGGATGCTCGAGTTCCGGGAGACTTTGATGCAATACGAAGAATTGGCGGAAACGACATCCTTGGGAGACGGTCGCATCCCAAAAACTGCTTCAGTTGCACGACAAGTTCCGGTGTCATAGCTGGATGTCGATACTGTCAATCCACTGTCTCCAAATCCCACACCCCTACCTGAAGGCATGAAGAGTCAATGAAGAAAGGTTCAGTCAAGCTACAAACTAATAAACATGCAATGATACACAAAGTGCACACTAGGCGCTTGAGAACATGCGAAATGGGATTGTACAGCGATCACTCAATGACCCAACGCTTGGAGTGAGAGACCTGGCTACCATGGGAATGGCTACTGTCACTGCGGGCATGCGAGCCCAAGCTCCCGAGACTGCCACTGGTCCTGGTGCTACCGAAACTGGGGTTCCTCTTGACCTGGACCTCGTTCGAGGTGCGCTTGAGAGCTGGGGCAGGGTACGGAACAGCTGGGACGCTAGTTTCGAAGGGTTCAGCCAACTTGTTTGAGAACCGCGGGCCCATAGTCGAACCGGAGTAGGTGGATGGTGCGAAATCATCATACGAGGCGTATGTTGGAAGGGGCTTCTCCGACGAAGGGAAAGCAACTTTCTCCACATCCGCGCCATTGTATGTGTACGGAGCGGGAAAATCGTCATCAGGGAGTGTTTGATGAGCATTGACTATGAGGAATATAAGACTGATTAGCAATCAATAATATGTACGAGAGGATAAAGAAACTGACGGTAACGAGCAAGGCCTTTGCCAAAGTTGAAACGGCAGATAACTCCGAGGACAATTGCAAGGCATGTCAAGAACACAGACGCTGCGGCCATGATGGAGAAGAATCGCCATGTGATGAAGGTCCAGCGGAAGGTGGTCGAGAAGAACATCACACCCCATCCACCGAGGTAGAGAATCGACAACACCAGGAAGACGAACATGGGCAAGCGTAGCTCACGTCGTACTCCGAACCAGCCCTACATGTTTTTAGTACAATGGTGAATTCGTCAGGAAAACACTTCAAGACCTACACAAGTCAACCAAGGAACGAGCATCTAATGACCCGTCGATCAATTAAATGATTTGACAGGGAAAAACTCATGACACTTACGACCAATGTGATGAAGGAGGTTACTTTGTACAAGGTCTGGTAGTCAACCAGGTCACCGATGACACTGTTCATCAATTGGTCGATCCAAAGGGAGACTGTCACAACCATAAAGAACAGGGAAAGCTGGATGGTGATCGACAGGAACAAGACGAATTTGTAAACCCTATTAATGGTCAAGGAGGCACCGACGCGCTTGAAAGTCTGCCAGCCGAACAACTATAGGAAGAGATCAGCATTTGAATATTTGATATGTAGCTAAGTGCTGACCTTGACGAGCTTCCACGTCAAGAAGCAGGAGATGAGCAGGGAAAGAATGTTGAAGGTGAGGCTTGGGATTTCGGCCTTGCTACGAGCATCCCAGTAATTAGGGAGGAGAGCGACCCCGCGGCAAGCACCATTAGTAATGACACGGTTGAAGTTGGAGCGGAAGTTAGCGGTGTGGGTGATCTGGAAAGCAGTCCATGCAGTCGCCATCATGTGGGTCACCAGGGATGCAAGGATGTGAGGAATCGACTCGTTGAGGAGGGCGACAATCGACATTGCCAATACCCAGAATTGGAACGCAATGAAGACAATATCCTCTCTCTTGGTATTTCCGAGGCTAAAAGGTGATGGGGTGAGGGAACAGAGAGACGCAGTCAGGTAGGAGAACCTACACAGAGACGGGCCAGTTCAGGGTCCACAAGCAGGACTCATTCAGGACAACTTCGCCTTGCGGAAGCCCCTGTAGAGTCACGGAAACAGCGCCTTCTTCCTGAGAAGTGATGATTTGCACATCACGACGAACGAATCGTCGCTGTAATTTTGTGGTTATGGGAATGTAACACGCTGAGATAGCATCAGAGGACATACCTTGCGATCATCCTCTTCAACGTCGTCCTCATCGTCATCGTCCCCATCGTCGTCCTCATCATCATCGTTATCGTCGTCAACAACAACACGGGTTCCATTCACAAAAGGGACAACGGTTGGGCTTGTCACAGCCACAGAAGTCGTAGAGACAGTTGCTGCTGGGGTGGAGGGCAGAGAGCTGGGGAAGCTGCCAACGGCATTGGTGGAGGCCTCGGCATTGGGAGCGCTCCAGATGACCTTGCAAGAGTCGACATCAACGTTCAAGTTGGCGGGAACCCAGCTGCACATGCGGAGATCAGAATCGCGGAGGATGGGAAGGCTGCTGTTGGTAGTCTGAGCTTCATTGACAATGCGAGACAGTAAGTTGGAAGCGTCAGCGTTGATGGTGAAAGCCTTGATTTGAAAGGAAAGTTGAATGATAAAATGGGCGAAAGAGAAGAAGAAATAAATGAGGGTGAGCCGAGAAAAGGAAATCCTGTTCCACTGGCACAGAATAGAGGTTAACGTTGCGTCGGCTATCGAACGCAGGTATTCACCACAAGTTGAAAAGGCCCTGATAGGTGGATCGCATCTCCGAACTTTTTGAACTGCATGTTGAGATCTTTTAAACTGGGTGAGTTTCTGTGGCGCACCGCAAAGGTGGCGCGTACCTGTGCAGTACCTTCGAGATACGAAAAATGGCCGCTCAGAAAGACCTGGACGAGCTATCCAAAAGGCTGCCTCGGACCAGCCGTAGAGGAAGGATGAAGGTAAGAAGGAAGGGGAACAAAAGGATGTGGGAGCCGCGCCAGTGTGACGCTCCAGCTTTGGCTCATCAGGATCACCATTTTATGTAACACCTCACAACACCATCACGTTGCTCGACGAGTTGTCAAGGAGGCGACGCTTCCTACGTAGTGAGCCCCCAATAATGCCTCAAGGCTCAATTCAGACTCCACTGCATACCCCTAGCGTACAACATGAACGATAATCGCTACAATTCCAGGATTACACCTGATACCACCGTCTGTCTCCGATAAACCAGTATGCTCTGCTTTCCTCGTCTTCATCAAAGGGAACGGAGATACTTTCGCTTATCTCTGTCGACGATCCCTCAATTCGTAATTGCAGGAACCCTTCCTCGTGTAGGTATCTTACAACCTCGATTATCTCTTGCCTGTCGTACACCGCTCGAAGGCGCCATCGAAGTTGAGCCTGTTCGACATGAGAAGTCATCCGGCTGTCTGGAGCATGTCCAGGAGTCCCGTACGTACCTGGGTTATTCCAGGCCGGAATATGACTGCACCCATCACTGCTCGTAAAGCAGCTTGCCAGAATTCACCAACTCTTTGGCCGTTAATGTCCAGCCATCGTCTTGGGAAAATATGGACCAGGGGGTTATCGGAGACAACCACACTCCACTTCGGTATTGCGTTTGCAGCGATTAGAACTAACGTATCGTACCCAACCCAATAAGCCTGTGGCACATCGGCTTCTGTGAGTCGATTTACGAGAGGCATAATTGGAGCTTCGCCAGGGGAGCACAGCATCTATTGAACATATAAGGAAGGTTAGTCGCAAGAGTCCAGTCATGGTGGAGACGTACGGCGAGCTCGGACTTCCTGATTCCAACTTCACCTGCTTGGCAAACGATATCCATTAGCCACTCGACATCCCTGTGAACATCCCGATCCAGAGAGGTGATGAGACTCTGCAACGCTTCACGCAAACATAGTGCACAGTCAACCAATCCAGATCGTTCTTGAAGGGTGCGCCTGCAACAACCGAGGGAGCCGCTGACGCTTAGGCCATGTTCATCTCCCCAAAAAGCCTCCGACGGTTGTTCCACAGAGTCCGAGAGGACAGGGGTCTCATCCGGAACAGACTCGCGAGCTTCTGCGGAGAAATCGTATCGCACTTTGAGAGTGGTCTCGATTTGATCATCATCTACAATAGATATAACGTCAGTGAAGTGAAAAGGCGTTGAGTCCAGGCTTACCAGCTTTTTTGCTATTCCAGTCCAGTGCCGGTCGCGCGGCTCGCGCAAGAGAAGTGTCGATCTTAAAATCGATCTAGATATTGAGATGGAGAATGAATGGGTTCATCTAAGTTTCACAAACAATATACCTTGTCTTCTGATGCCAATTGGATCAGCGTAGCACAGTCCCCATCTGTCGCGGTTAATGGCCATTCATGCCATGTCGAGTCGTTAGGATCTAACTCCTCCAACAAGGACACCGCGTCCTGGAAGGTGTCTCGAGAAATTGATCCTCCTATGGCATTTTGGTTACTAGTCCAGCCAAATCAATCCCAAATACCCCAAGCAAGCGTGAGGGGAAAAATCACCTATCAGAAATCTTGAGCTGTCGACCAGGACGTGGCTTGGTGGGATCACGCTGTAATTTCGAAAGAACACCGCAGGCTAGCAGTTTTTTCGTGGCAGTGCTAATAGCTTCGTTTCCCCGGCTTCTCAGTAGAGTCGAGGCAATATCAGACTCATACAGTTCAGAAGGTGTACCCATCACCATCTCCCGAACGCCTCAGCTGAAATACAACCATGATAGTAAAGTTACTCACCTTTAGCGCGGCTTCGGCGAGGGCTATTTCTTCCGACTCCGAAGTAGGGCAAATGAAGTCCTCACAACATCTAGAAAATATGTGGAGTTTCAGGCTCCTTTCTCGACCTTCTTCAATGAGGGCATTCCACATGAATTCCCATTCTGGGGCTTCCTTCTCATTCCGCGTAATTTCGAAATGCTGGTGGAGATCTTCGATTTTGGGCGGAATAACAACAGTGTCCGTTGTCGTTGCAGGAACAAACCCGACACGCCTGGTAAACATCATGAATATGTTACAACGGCGTTAAAATGATAACTCACAGAGCATTCTTGTCGATGTGGCTTCGAAGAAACTCGACGTGCTTTATGAGATCAAAGTCGGAAGGACTCTCCTCGGTGTTATCAGGAAGAAGAGGTGTCCCTTTGTGTTTCTTCCAGAGATCATACCAGGCATCTTCTAGTCGGCGCAAATAAGCTTCATTTCCTGGTGTCTCTTTGATGTGTACTAAACGCTGTCGCACAGTGTTGCGTGGAACCGTGGGAAATACTTGCTCAAATGCTCCCCAATCAACTCTGGCGAGACCCCGACAACGAGAACGAATGATAACAGAAGCATCGCGGGCCAACTCGTCGAAATCGGAATTCCACTGGAATCGATGCCGACGAGTTCGTTTCTTGTGTGTGTCGACCTCTGTCGTGGTCAGAACTGTCTGGTAGATGTATTTCGAAAGCTTACCTTCGCTGTCTTTCTTCCGTTTCCGCTTCGCCTTGGGGGGATCGTGCTCTATTGGAGGGCCTTGAAGGTCGATGAGCTCGTGAATGGACATCTCGGCGTGCACAGCAGTTGAGGACGCTGGATGAGCATTGGATAGATGTTTGCCAAGAAACAACTTTGTCGGCATTTTCAGCCCTGTTGAACTGACTAGCTCAGCCTCCCGAAGAGTAGACCGGATTTCCTTCTCCCATTTTGTGATATCCTTGACAGACCCAGCTTGAAGGTAACTCTGTCGTACGCGTTCGATCCTAACAGCAGCAGAAAGGGGGATCCCCCCCGGATGGACGATGCGGAGTAGCTCAAGCCATTCCTGTTCGCGCTGCAGTCGAGCTTCCTCAGCCTTCCTCGCGAGGGACTTCTTAGCGTCTTCCTCCTTGCGTTTTTGCTCTTTGAGTGCCTTGTGCTTGCTTCGTTCGACGCTTCGTGATATCTTCTTGGTAGCCCCAGAAAAATAATCCTCTACCACGCCCTGAGGCGCACTGACTACCCAAGATATCCTTCGTAGCTCAGTTTCCCTCTCTTGGTCGCCCTGTATCTGCAGTGGAGTTGATCCGGAAGGGTCAACATACCGTTTCAGAAATTGCATCTGATGCCAGGTGAAGAAATAGTCAGCTTTCCAGGAGGCGACACGACGTAATGATCGCCCAACCCCAAGGCTCGTGGCAGATAATTGGACTTGGGGCCCAGCTGGGTCCTCAACGTCGGTCTCAAAGTTGATACAAGCTTCATGAAGATCGCGCCAGTATGCAATCCCGTCGCTGTGCGTTTTGACAGAGACAGACTTCCAGAATGGAGGCGGCGTTTCGGGCGCAGACCATACGTGGATATCCGCAGATTCCTGGCACTGCCAATAATTAGAAGCATTCATTAGAGCATTGGATGTGCATCCATCCATTCCAACCCGATCGAATCGAGTCGGATGATTGCCATTGGGGGAGCATGCAATGAAAGGAGTGTCGGATGTCGATGGCTGCAAGGGAATGACTAGGCTCAAACACCGTAAAACTTCGAACATATCCAAGAAGCGAGAGCGTGGTCGGGATTTTCCGAATTGTAGAGCAGATTGTAGTTCTTGTGGCAAGTCTTTAATAACAGTTGCACGGCCTGCTTCAGTGGAAAAAAAGGTGGCCAAATCCTTGTTGAAGGACAGAGGAGAAACCAATGGGCAGTAAAGTGCCAGTGGAAGGTCGGAGCACAAAAGCGAAATATCGATGATCCTCTTCTCCTTTGAAACGACAATGGGCAACACTTCCAAAGACTCCAGGAATTGAAGAATTGAAAGATGAAGTTGTCGACATCGCATGACCTTCCCGATGATATACCCAAAGAATTGGGATGCAGTAGTGTGTTCTGCCAGCAAAATATCCCGTATCTCCTGATCGCTACGGTTGAACAGTTGATTGGCTCTATTCATGTTTTTGCTCCACCTTTCGTTTGTATCCGTCGCGGGCTGTTCCACTTGCAATCGTTGAAGGGCAGGTGCCACTCGAGGGGTCGTCGGCGAAGGAGCACCAAATTCCAGGTCTTCAATTTTCTTGACTGATGGGGTAGCAGATTGTGATGCGGGGCGAGCGAGGTCAGCCAGAAAGGCATTGAGCTTTGATTGGTCAGTGTCAGGGAGATATGCGATGCAGGTTGCACGGCTGGCAATGGAATTATGCGGTGTGAATGAAGTCCGAAGTTGCTTTATACGTCCTTTTCGTTCTAGACTATCGAGGGTTGATATCATGGTGCGCTTATCGGTCTTCGTACCTGCAGGGGAACTGGCCGGTTCACCTGCTGCTGCCAGTGATTCCAACAACTTCACATGGTCTTCATACAGCCTGCCGGACTGAGTGTTGACGAGCCCACCAGCATTTGCAATCAGTCGTAGAATTTCATTTTCCCGTCGAAGATGAGACACATTTACTCTGCCGCAATTGGGCAATATGGCAGGTAGAGGGGTCGATATCGTAGAAGAGACTGATAGTTGCGGTCTCGGGCTTACGTGAACAATTCCGCGATCCACCGAAGGAACAGGAAGGTCTGTTTGAGGCTGTTCAGTACACGGGCTGTTGGCCCTCTGCTCGAATAGATATGTTTCAGTGGTAGTGAATTTTGGCAGTGCATGACTTAAACGCACATGTAGCGGTTGTACATCTGTCGAGTGAAGCCCATCTCGAAAGGATACAGTGTCACCGCCAGGCTCGTTTGGTAGGTCCTTGTTCACATCGGATTTGCCAACTTCAACAGAATCAGGAACATCCACGTTCTCGTCCTCGTCGTCATCCAGGGCAGATGTAGGCGTCTCCTTAATTTTAGCCTTGCTGCGAGATCTTGTTTGTCGGCGCTCCACTATTGGCTGCACTTCATCCTGATGGAGAACGTTGTTTTTGCCCAGGCGCAAGCGTTGAGAGCGTTCCTTCTGAGGAACAGAAACGACCTGGACCTTGAGGGGCGCAGATTCGATAGCGGGTGTGCTTTTAGCCTTAGGAGGGCGACCTCGACGGCGTTTCGCTATGGATTTCGGGTAAGTTGCATGCCCTGAGAGGCGATTATGACTGACCAGGTGGCTGATCGGATGTCTCTTGTATTGACACCTCTTGTGCGGAGGCTGTCGCATCTCCGTGTCCGTTGAGATGATCCGATGGCGATTTAACCACAGCACCTAAGTTAGAGGGCGAGAGTGAGAGCTCTCTTTTCCGCTTCCTGGAAGACTGCTTCTGCGACTCCTCAGGCACATACTTCGTGATGTCACTCTTTCGAGGCCGTCCGCGCTTGACTTGTCCATTTGGCAAGATGGGGTTTTTGAAGACACGTTTCTTGGTTGTTCCAGGCTGTTGTGCACTTGTACCTTTAAAAGCATCTGAGTAACAAGCCAAATCCTTGTCGGTCTGGTAGAACAAGCTAGCATCCATCAGATAGAACTCTCCTGAATGCCTTAAATCAATGTCTTGATATCCAGCAGATGTTTTATCCAGCTCCTCCCGGGTCACGAGTTTCCGATAGTTGGCGACAGTATAGTATCTGTGACGGCGTTCGCGACCATTGGTTTCCATCAAGCCGGCAACGTGCCAATCGCTAAGGTGGGGAGGGGGTTGTGATCTGTCTGCACGGGCGAGAAGGAGCTCAATGGTTCTCTTGTCAAACTGACCCAAAGAGCTTGAGAATTCCTACAGAGTCAAAGAAAGAAATATGTTAGCGCCTTGAATCTTGTGTATACAATGATAAAATTGACATTCAGCGTCATCCCTGTAGTCCCAGACTCTTCTAAGAGATCGATAAGTTGCTTATGGACCGTTGAGTTAAGCTTCACACCGCTTTGAGATGCTATTGAGCCTTTAGCGCCTTCGCACTGATGTAAACACGATAGCGATCACATTACCACTTGGAGTGCCGTCGAGATCATCGTCTTCGTCAGACGAGACAACAGCGTTCTGTCCTTCCGGATGGGCACCCTGATCAAGTAGCCGAAAACATTTGACGGTAGCATCCGAGGACTTGCTTCTGGTATTTGGTACCACGACCTTTTCGATGAGTCCCTGTTGGACCATCTCTCGAATGCGGCTCTGAAAGAAGCGGCGATCGGTCTTTGTGGGGTTGGGAAAGCCCTATATCAAGGTTTGAGACAGGGAAAAACTGGATTCAACGAAGGCCGTACAAGAGTGACGAGCATATTATTTGAGGCATGTAGACGGTTTCTTGACGCCTTCAGGAGCCTAATGATGCGGCTGCTAATCAAGGGAAAGCTGGATAGGTGGCGGGCGTCTATTGGAGTAAAGTCCAGTGACTGTAGGTCTTCCACGTCGCTTTCATCATCAACTAGAACATCTTCAGCAGTCGGCAACTTGATTTGCAGAGTTTCAGCTTGAGTTTCCTCATTGAGGATGGCTTTCCAAGAAGAACTTCGTTCGAAGAAATATTTATGGATGCAGAAATGTGTACCCACGCCACCCTGTCGAACTTTCAAGCTAGACAAGTCAGAAACGGGGGAGGAGGTGAGGTGCAGGGGACACATACATGAGGTCCATCTCCGTCAGCTGGCGAACCAAGTAAAAACAGGTCTTTTGGTCGTAACCTGACCTTTTTCCGAGTTCGACAACAGAGATGCCTTTGTCTCTTCCTCTGGTAACAATTTGCAGGGTAGAGTACACCATAGGGCTCATCTTAGAGGACTACATGGTGTAAATGGGCTCAAATAATAGAAGAAGTAAAAATACGCACGCGAATGTGAGACCCCGTGATAGCCGCAAATATTGCTTCTGGTTCTGCGGCAATCCTCAGTCTGTCACCATAAGCTCTCCGCAAAGTGTCGAGAGGTGCCTTTTTCGAGTCTGGAATGGGGTCCAATTTTGGAGGGTTTGTTTCGACGTGGTCTTCTCCCCTTGCCTTCGCCTTCCGTTTTGCGCTAACCTGAGGCGCAACCCAAACCTCCGATGTTATACCTTCCGGAACTAGACCAACCAAGACTGTGGGCTGTTGGACAACTATCGACCAGATAAAGGAATAAAACGCGTCGTCAAGAGTCTGCGTATGCGAGGCGTTTGCATGGGCATAAAAGGCAGCGATGAAATCCTTTAGTCGAGACACATCTGAGCCTGAAGTTGGGAATAAGTGGCGACTCCCCTGCTTAGCGAGCTATTCTTACCAAGATCTCCGTCGAAAGCAAGCTCGCGAAGGCAATGGTGAACGAGTTCATCCATATGGCATGCTCCCCCAGCCCAGTGCAAGAAATAGTTTCGCGACACTGCTCAAGAAGATAACAAGACGGGCGTGATCGTGAATGCTTCCTGATTTTGTATGACATAAGCACAGCTTTATGATGTCACGCAGAATGACTCAATCGCAAGTGCAAGTCTATATAGGTGGAAGTTGAGCCTAAGTACTGCCATGATTCATCGTGGCTACGTATAGTTTCTTAATCAGACGAAAACGTCCTACGGAGTAAGGTGATGTGTATTACGATTTAGGATAAAATACAGAGTGTTGTCACATTGACTCTGCCAGAACAGGCCCCGGGAAGCTCCCGATAGGGTCTGTCCAGAGTTAGCGGATTTGAGAGGCGAAAATGTGCGAAATCCTTGTCTGTTTATAGCGGATTTGAGGCCCTCGCGAGATATTTTCTCAATATCCCTGTCCACATTTAGCGGATTTGAGGCCCACTTTGGCCCAGACCACACCCTGTCGGTGATCGATCACATAGATTTTTCGGTTTTGGTACAGTCTATAAACGGTCAATTGTACATGATCGGTCGTTTGGACACTTTTAGCATCCAGATATCTCCACCTCCCTTTCGCTTTTCATGACCTAAATAATATTCTCATAAACCGGTGCTTATGAACTCAAGATTAATGCAAAATTTAGATAGACATAGAGGTGTTTTGACCCCGCAATTGAGGACATGAAAATGGGTGATTTCGAGCGGAGTCCGAATTTCCTTTGATTGGTGGTTTGTACACCTGTAATTTGCCAGCGGAGGCTTCATATGTCGTTAGATAAACTTAATAACGTGCACAGGCACTGAAAAGTGTAGTGAGAGTGTGTATGCCAAGTTTCAAACCGAGACATTGCGCCCTTCATAAGATATTTAAAATTCATCTTTTCGGCGTCCAAATGACCGTTTATAGACTGTATCGTTCAGGACAAGTCTGGAATACGGATACTCGGAGGAGTGTCACGCTTTCGGCGCATGGTCACATAAATCACGCGTGGGAGCGTGACAACCTTGTACGAAATAGCGGATTTGAGACGAAAAAGTTTGCGGATTTGAGGCCAAATTTTGGGGTTTTCGACGGACAGACCCCATCGGGAGCTTCCCGGGGCCTGCCAGAACACTGCTAGAAACAATCAAACGACGCGTTGAACCTAGAATAATGATAATGAGACCCATCGAAAGCACACGACTGAAAGGATGTTGCATACTTTGCCTGTAGTGACGTCGTAGACCCATCCTGTGAGATTTGTCCCCTCTAGAAGAAGAGGATTCTCCTTCAAGAATTTGACATCCTCTTTCACGCTCTCTTCCAGCTGCGAGAAAGGGAGGAAATCGATGGCGTCAACAGCTGCTGCGACAGCTGCATTACCCGGTGCCTCTGCCTTGACCTTATCATGGAGTTGCTCGTTTGTGAAAGTGAGCATTCCGCAGTCTGTGTGATGGAACACGGCAACCTCTCTGGTACCAAGCAGCCGCTGAGAGATGACAACGCTTCTGAGGGCCTCTTTGCTATGTAAATATTGAAAAAATGTGGAAGGGACGACGGCGGACCGTACGCACGCAGAACCACCGGCATTGCGAATAACATGGGCTTCTCCAAGGTTTATGCCCAGTTGAGTTGCTGGCCTAAATAGAACTGTCAACACGAAACGGAAGCATCGGGAAGAGCACCATTTACTCAATACGGGCATCCATGCATGTAACTGGCAGAATGAGGAGGGATTGGGACTGTCACTCATTTGAATTACAGGCCGCACATACCAACCGCAACCTTCTTCGATGGGGGAAGAGGCAAATGGCCCTTATCGAAAGTCGAGACATAGAGCTCGTTTCCTGGGATGAAGTCTTGGTGAGCTGACATGGGAAGAGGCGATGGTAGACCGGGGAGATAATCATATGGTAGATGTTTGCCCTTTAAATGCAAGTGCTGAGGCTTATTTATGGAAAGAGCTTATGGACCCAGCATGCTTGGGATGGCGCAATTATACACCACCATTGTGAATATCATAAGGAACCTGGAGTAGTAGGTAAAGATGGAATACATAGAGAAGACAGTGCCTGATGACGCAGAAATTAGCATTGATAAAAGGCGGTGCAGGTCCCGTGGGAGGCTGAGGGAGCGCGTCAGTATCACGCGCGATAACGTGCCTGGCTTGAGCTCTTCCGCTTCCGCTATTCATGTCTTCGGCACAGATCGCAACCTTGCTCAAACCGCCTTCTTCTGCGGAATCGCACACGAGAGCAAAGGACGCAATCAACTCCCGCTTTCATTCCGTGGACGACCTCCATGATCTTGACAGCTTAGTATTGCAGTTCCAGCAGCGAAGGGATGAGTTGGCCAGCACGGTGCGCGAATTTGGCTCTGTATCTCCTCTCATTCTTAGTGAACCCTGGTAGTTTAGCTATCCACATCTCAGACTCACGTCAATAAAGTCCTTGACCAGACCCGCCACGCCGTCCGAAATCATCTAGACGAAGCACAACAATTGTCACTCCTGCGTCATTCTTTGAACGATCAACTTTCAGATTTGACTAAAGAATTGGTATCTCTGGAATACAACGATGATAGGGAGCCCTTATTATTGGAGGACTTAGAGACGCTCCATCGGAATTTGAAGGAGCTCGTATCAGTCAGGGAATACGTTCAGGTCGTTGAACACACACTCAAGCTCAGGTCAGTAAGGCCTGTTCTCATGAGAGGCCTCGTCGGTAATGTTCCTGCAGTGAAGACGCAGTCGACTCGATCCGAAAGTCGACGATTTTGTCGACAGAGTCCATGAAACCGTTCAAGGCGCTGCAATCCTATGTCTTCCAAGTAGCAGACACTTTCTCGACATTGGAAGATGAACCAAAGCAACGCCTGAATTTGGTAGTATTTCTCGAAGGTCTCCGGGATAGGACGTGGGCCGGTATCAAGGGCGTTCTATTCAGGTCAGCCAGTCTGATTCCTTTGATTTCTTCCTATACTAATAGACAACAGTGGCCTTGTAGAAGCTGCAGAGAAACTAGGGTGGCCAGCCCCAGTCAACTACCCAACATATTCAGAACAGGATCGACGGGCATTTGAATCTGCTTTCCTTAAGTTGCTTAGACTCCAAAGCATGCAAGTTCATAATATCATCACCTGTGGTTGTATTGACATTTCGTAGGGGCAAAGATATAAACGCCAACTCGTCTTCGAGTGAAAAAGATGGCCTCTATCCCCTCCAAGCACTCATCCAGCCTATTTCATTGCGCTTCAAGTATCACTTTGAAGGTTCACGGCAAACGAACAAGCTCGAGAAGGTGGGCTGATTAGACTTCTGCGTTGCTGATTGACTAACGAACTATCACAGCCCGAATGGTATCTTACACACATTCAAAATGTCAGTCACGAGCACGCCCTATTTATGAACAATATCGTGCAGCGTTTGCTCGACAAAACTGAATACAAACGTTTTTCAGCATGGGTCGGTGACTTCTTTCTCTCAACTTCTACATTGAATTTCTGACATCTATTTGCACAGAAAGAATTCACTCTCCTTCTGTTCCCTTTACTGTCTCGTAAACTCAGAAAGACAGTGCCGGTTCTATTGGACCATCCGTCCCTGTTCGCGCACACCATTTATGAGGCGCTGGCCTTCGACTCTGCCATGCGAGAGGAAGGTTTCACACTAGAAGGGACTTCTGCTGTTGCCAACCAAGAAAACGAAGTGAAATGGGAGGGAATTAGCGACGTCATTCTCGGGAACGCCGATTGGTTTGAGACTTGGCTCGAAGGCGAAAAGCAATGTAGGTCCATCTTGTTGCAATGCTCGTTTCCTGCGTGTTGAAAATCCCTTTCAGTCGTAGAAGACCAGTACAATGACATGATTAACGCTCCGGACGCGTGGCTCATCTCAGAAGAAATCGACAACGATAGCCACCTGCAAATTCTACGGCCAACAGTCTCATCGAGAAGAATCAAGTCGTTAGTGGAGCAGGTGACAGGTATGTTCATCTTCACTTTGCGAGAAATCGTCTTCTTAAGGTCAGCAGATCGCTATTCGCTTCTTCCTCGCGCAATTCACAAGGCACATTTCCTCATCATGGTCCAACTACCCCTGTTGGAGTCTTATCAGAGCAGGATCTCTTCGTCATTAGTGGCGTTTGAGACTCTTTCCTCTGCGTTCGTGCGTGCCGTACCTGGGGCTCTCGGTTTTAGTGGAAGGGAAGCCATAGCATCCCCTGACGACCCTAGGAATCGTACTAGCGGGACTGCTGGAGCGAACAGTCTCTGTAAAGCGTTGCTCACTGCCGGATACATTGAATCATGCTTGGAGACATGGGGTGATGACTTGGTCGGTCCATCATAAGCACGATCTTGGCTGCCCTTCTAATCTTCCTCCTAGTTCTTCCTCCAACTGTGGTCGGAGTTTTTCACGGATGATACCCTTCAAAATTGGGCGAAGAAGACGCCCTTGTTACCCTATGTCACGGACCTTGATGCAGCTGGACCTCGAGAGACAATTTTCAAAGAAATGCTATCACGATACCACGACCTAACGGTTAGAGCTGAAGACATGATCGTGCAGCTGGTCTGCAGCGAAGTTGAGGCAGGCTTGCGAGCCCACCGGGCGGCTGCATCCTCGTGAGTACGATGCTAGTCACTTCACCCGTCAACTTGACTGACAAACACCCTAGGTCCGCGGACGAGCCAGTGTCAGAGTTTGGATTGCCACAGACCCTGCTTGTGGCCATCGGGCTACTTTCTTCTCACCTCACCTTCCTTCGAACGACCTTGCCGGGCACCATTTTCACAGTGCTCTACCGCCGCATTGCCAAACGATTGGCGGAACATGTCCTGCACCACCAGATTCTATATCGAGGTCACTTCTCACTACAAGAAGGGAAGGCCACTTCTTCAGAATGTGAACTCTGGGTCGAGTCGTGTTATGCCGCGGTGGAAGGTGCATTGGGAGGTGGCAGGCAACGGGTCCAGGCTCCTTGGAACAAAGTCCTTGAAGCTGGAAGGTTGGTAGGATTAGACAGTGAGGCCTGGGATAAGGTGGTCAGGGTTACCTTTGGATCACAGAGCGATTCGGAGTGGGAGGACGTGATTACGGAGTTGGTAGGGGTGTCGGAGATGGATCGTGACGAGGTCTCCGCAATCCTCAAACGCAGACAAGACTAGTTTCACACATACCTCTTTCCCACTTGCTTGTGCATTCGCTCCGTTGTCTAGGATCTTCAAATACATCTTTGTTATTTTCAAAATTAGCGCGAGAGATTTTCGTTCGATTCAAAGCAGGTCGACAACAGCCACAAGTACAGATTAACATCAGCTGAAATATAGAGAAGGAACAAAAAGATATCGTCGAAACTGTTACATGACTCTTAGCGTCCACCCATGCATCCCGCCGTCGGCGACAGCCGCCGCCTGGGCAGCTGCAATCCAACCCGTATCGATATTGCCAGCCGATCCATTCGCCTGATTGGCCGCAATACCTCCCAAATCCATCCCCTGGAAAACGTTCTCACAAGCTATAGTACGTCCAGAATGATACCCAACTCCATCGGAGGCGCGAATAAATAATAGAGGAAGACTTCGTCCAGCGATGGAAGCCATAGAAGGTGCGGGTGGTGGGCCTGGGGTCTCTGATGTTCCCTCTGATGTTGAGGCTTCCGACGCTTGTCCCTTGCCGTCGGGCGGGTTGATGGGGGTGGGAAGGGCATCATCCTCGAGGGCTTTGACGACGTCAGCCAGGGGTGGCATCTCAACGATGACGATGGTGTGCAAGGGTGACGGGATATATCTTTGAGGATTAGGCGACCCAGGGGCTGCTTCGCGGCCATCCATGACTTGACCGCCCGGAGCACTAGCCATGAACGGGCTTATATTTGTCAATGGGCCAGGCGGGGCAGCTTGATAGACTCGGAGACGAAGGGGACCAAGATTGCCAAGATAGACATCAAGAGGCGTTTGTTGCCTTGTGGTAGGGTGATCATAGAAGAAATTGGACACTGTCAGCTCGACAGTATTGTTGGCAGGTCGATACACTGGCGCTGTAAACAACGTAGGGAAGGGGGTAATGGGTAGCTCTGGTATATTGTTATTTTGGCCAAAGGCATCAAAAAAGGTGTACTGGAATTTGGCTACGCAATCAAAGTTAGCTCAGCAAGATAAATGGGAGGTGGACGGTGAAAACGCACAGATTCCGACAATGGTCCAACATAGATAGTCATCAACTTCATCACAAACAATGCGGAACCCGTCTTTGATCTCTTCGCGAACGCGTGGCGACTGGAAAAGCAGAGGATGGGTTCCAGCTTGGGAAGACATTCCTGGGGCAGGCGGCGCTACGACGCCAGGAGTTCCTGGCATAGGGCCCGCAGCTGACAGGTAATGTCTAGAACCATCAGGATTGACGCGTTGCAGAGCTATTTTCTGCATCTGGCTGACAGGACCCCCTTCATCGTGGGTGACTTTGCCCTTGTCAACCTTGCGTATCACGAGGGGTGACGTTGAAATGCCAGAGTGCGTGTCCGACAAGACGATCTCACATCCATAAGTCACTGGCTGGGGTCCAGTCACTGTTAAACGAGAAAACGTGATTAAAACGTCCTATCAAACTCTCATCACATGACACGTACCGACGGTGGAGCCAGCCCCTGGACCTGGTCTGCGGACAACATTGACATTGAACGCCGACCACGCGACATTGCTCGCGCAAAGCTGAGCATGGTCGATCGTCATGTACTTGGTTCGCACAGTCTGCGAGTTGATGCGGTTGAAAAGAGACACCGGGCCGCCTGCAAGGATGCATGACGAGATGTTACGCGTCTTCGCGGTTTTCTTGGATGGCTTAGAGATAATCGTAACAGGGGCGGAATCAAAAGAGGCCCACACTCTGCCGCTAGGTGGTTCTCCGCCTTCGGGAGTTAGGGCAGGAGGAGGAGGCTCTGCGATATCAAGGGAAAGCTGGAAGCTCTTCGCCTTCGCGGTGCCAGTGACGTGCAAGAACTTGAAGCTCGCCGTCATATTGTTATCTAAAGGTGCTTTCTGTTCAAAGGACCTGTCTCCACTCTCCGACACGACAGCCATCGCAAGCTGCTGCGTGCGCATATGCCATACGGGGCCCTCAATATGGACGACTGGAGGCGGGCATAGGAAGCGCTTTTCACTGCCATACGACTTCTGAGCGACCGCGGCGTGGAGGCAAATAACGGTGGTCATCGGCATGACGCGCGATGGGTCCTGGAGGACGTGGTCGCGGACGATGCGCCGTATTTTGGTGTGCGGGTCATCAGACTCGGCATCCTCCAGCTTGCGCTTGCTCGACGACGGCTGCTGCGGAAGATGTGAATACCTGAAAGAGAAGCCACAACCGGACCGCACTCACCTGTGCGATAGCCCCCACGGGCGCCGGATGGTCTGCAACATGGGGCGGCCACGGCGCTTGGCCGTTCCTTGTGTCTGGCTTGGATGCTGTGAGGATTGACTGGAGGGATGCTGTCGGGCCTGCGGTGGGGATATTGGGGGTGGAAGCGCTGGACGAGGAGGAGGTGTGGGGGGACTTGGCGGAGGCGTTGGTGTGGTCGGTGTGTACCTGTTGGGCGTGTCGCGGACTGGTGAGCGCAGAAATTTTACGAAGGAAATGGAATTGCCTGTGGGGAGTCCTTGGCGTCGTTCTTGTCGTCGGTGCGGGGAGGCTCGTCGTCGGTGGGCATGTGGAGATGGTGGTCGAGGAAGAAGGGATGAGCTGAGCCCGTCGTCTGCGCCATTACTTACAGGCGTGAGAGCAGGACGTGGGTGGGAATTCGCAAACTCCCCCAGTCGTGAGAGTTTTGTCTGTGCACGCGTCACACCTTCCCACGCTGTCACCAAACCCGTCACCTGATCTGATGACTGTTCCATATTTGATCCATGCCTATGTACATTCAGTCCAATGAAATCGTCCAAGATGCGTCCGTGTGTACTCCTCTCAATCAGCTCAGAAAGTCCTTGCTCTTCCTCCGCCCCATCTCGTTCGGGAACGGCACGCCCTGCGTTGTTGGGTGCCGCGAATCCCGCCTCGAGCTCGATCCTCCGCCATTAATCTCGGCATCCTGCTGATATCGTTGCCAGTCTTCCACTTTCAGCATCGACTTCTTCTTTGACGACATGCCGTGATCCCTCAGCTTGTCGGCACTCAAAGACCGCGAGTGTCGATGGCGGCTTGAGCGTGGGTCGTGCCCCGACGATTGCCGTCGCTCTCCCTCTGGGCTTGCTGCTTTTTGCCTCTTTTCCAGTGCCGCAGCTTTTTCAGCCAGTCGTTGGGTGACGACTTCCCTCTCCAGAGCTTTCGAGCGCTCCCAGCGTTGTCGTGCTGCTTCGAGCTCTGCATGCTCCTTCTCAGCCTGGGTCAGTGGTGCCTGCAGGTCTCTGATTTTCTCCCTGTGCCGTTCGTTAAGCTCTTCGAAAGTACGTGTCCTTGTCGCCGCCGCTACTTGGGGTACTGGCGCCACAATGTGTCCGGATGACCGCCGAGGAGGTAGTATCGTGACTGGTGCTGGATTAGGTTTCTGCTGAACAACGCGGGCAAGCGGAATGTCTTCCGAGGAATCGCTGCTTGCCGTCAGATGCATGGCGCTTTCTCTGCGTTTTCGACGCTCCAGTGCTTCTTGGACTGCTGGGGATACGGGTGCGCGATGAGTGGCGGCAGAAGTCGTCGCGATAGGAGGCGAGACTCCAGCTGGTGGCTGCAGCAGTTTACGCTCCTGAATATAGGCATCCCAATCATCCTTCAGCGGGGCACTAGTAGGGCGTGAGATGGGTTCTTTGGCATCTCTTGTCAAGGTAGACAGTTCCATGGAATGCACGCGTGCGCGGGGATCAGTTTCCCGTGGTGGCCGAGCGTGGGCAGGAGGCAGAAGAACACCTTGAACGTCCAGGCTGGTCGTACGTCTCGACGTAAGCGAGGGCCTACGAGACTGCTCCGACGATGACGGGACTGGCGTCTCGGACTTGAGAACCTCAATGGAACGTCTGAGATTCTGAATCTCTGCAAGGATGGTCTCTTTGCGTTTGTACTCTTCCACGTCGGCGGCTGTGACTTCGACATTCTTGGCAATGAATGACGACGGGACGTCTTCCTGGATAGCCAGGCCGAGGTCAAGTGCAGGTAGAGCTCCAGGTGTTTGATTCATTCGTGTCGCTCGCTTCAGGTCTTCCTCTGACGGGGGTGCAGGCTTGAACTCTGATAAGACGGAAATATGGCGCGTACGACCAACGTCGGGTGACGGGGTGCCTTCGCGATCCTTCATGAGTGGCATTGAGGAAAGGCTGCTGTCATTCCGGCCATGCTTGGTGAGGGCTGGGTGGTCCTTTTCCCAAGCGTCGCGCTCCTCGCTGAGGTCCTTCACCCTATCGGACGCTTGAAGCTCGGCTTCTTCATCCCGCTTCTTCGACTCCTCGGCTATTTCTTGCATCTTCCTTTGCAGGACCTTGAGGATGCGGAGCTGTACGGCGATGCCCATCAAAGCTATTGCCCCCATCAAGCCGAGTTCGATCTGCATGGTTTGGGAGACCGGGAATTGAATGCCGTTGTTGACGAATTTCGGGAACAGTGCTGGGAAGCCTAGATTCCAGATGTAAAACTGGTGACATATTAGAACGAGCGAGAAGCGAAGAGGGTGGGGTAAATAACTACCTCTTTCAAGCCAGCGGTAGTGAAGCAATCGACACCTAGCATAAACGAGGTGGCTCCAACGAATGCCGTGGAGATGAGAAGAACGTGATAGTGAATCTGGTAAGATAGAGTCATATGAGGTAGAGTATGATTGGATCGAAGAATGACAATCACCTTTGGGATAGTAGAGAGTGTGAAGCCAACAACGCCACAACCTGGGAACGGGCATGAGGGTGGTGTGACGATTGGATGGGGAAGCTTGTCAGGCTCACCGATGAAGAAGATCCACCTGTAGCCGATGTTCTTGATGAGGCCACCGTTATGGAGGCACTGGATGAAGAGGGAGAGGGCGAAGCCACCCCAGAAGCCGAGACCATAGCGAGTGCCCTTCCAGAAGAATATGGCGATGGCGCCGCCGATGAAACCAGCGACGGTGCAGGAGAGGACGAACATGCCGCGGAGGGTACGACTCGGAGGGTTGATGGCGGGGAGAATACCGAATTTAAGGATTAAAACGAAACATACTAGAGACAGAGTATAGAATCCAATTAGAAAGAACGAGGTCCTGCGAGGAGAGTGAGCGAAGATTGTGGTACGCGGGCAGGAGAAGACGAACCATCTGTTCTTGTGGCCCCAGAAAGCGGAGGGAAGGCCAGTGAGAATTAGAATGACGCCCAGTACGCCAAAGGCAGGGTCGACTTTGGTTTCCTAGAGAAGGAGTAGGGCGTGTGATCACAGGGCGCGTAGGGAAGAGTACGCACGAGAACGAAAGGATCCGGAGTTGGAGTGGGTGTCTCCGACGCGGTCTGGGAGGGCGCCGTGTCCGACGATGTTGGTAAAGGCGTGAGGGTGTAGGTGACATTGAATACGGCTGGGACGACGGTGACGACTTGGGTTGGTTGATTGGAGCGAGTAGTGGGGATGGTGAGGGTGACTGAGCCAGTTGTGAGAGAGAGGGAGACTGGTGGTCCAGAGGATGTGGTCGATGGCTGGGCGACGGACGAGTCTGTGGACTGGCCCTGCACTTGGGCCAGGGCGTGGATGAGGAGGACGAGGAGGGGGACGAACATGGGTGCTCCTTGCAAGTTTGCGGGAGGAACGGTCAGAAAGACATGGTCAGCCGCGGCAAGAGCCGAGAGCACGCGCTTCTGTGACGCACTCCTTCCTTATCGAGAAATGCCTCCGCATGCCCAAATCGGTTAATTGAACTGCTCAAACCGCACAGGCAACTCCTCTACCGAGTGCGTAGTCGATTGGTCTCACTCAGGGTCTGATCTCCCTGAACATTCCGGGGATCATGCCGAAAATGGATGGCAGGCGGGACAGGTATGACACGAGGCTCATCGCAGACCCCAGGAAGCCCATCAGCGCGTTAGCTGCGGGTTTTGACTTGGCGCCGCGTGGGCTAGATATGTACACTAAAAATAAGAGCTTCTTGCCGGCTCTTGCCTGTACGCGTCGCGTCGGTGGCTGGACTTGTGCGCCTCTAAACAAGTGCCAAGCGCATGACTCGAAGTTACGGAACGGTAGTATGATACAAGATGCGAAGCGCTACGAAATGCGGGCGCTTAACAAGGGCTAGTGTAGAAGAGTGACAAAGAGTTCGGGTGACGACGCAACGGCACCCACGAGCCTCAAGGTGAGGACAGCAGAGGGTGAATACGAGATGCAAACCATGTTATTGCCCGCAAATTTTTGATCAGTAGATTATCTACACTACAGAAACTATTCAAGCAAGAATGAATGAGTGGGGGATTAGGGAGGACACGCGATATGAATGTCAATGTTGGGAGAGGAGGAATTTCTTGAGGAGGAAAGGGAGGCATGCCGAGCGCATCGGTTGCCGTGAAAACGGGTGGTGCTTGTCATGGGCTGGCTGCGCATGCTGACGGAGGGTAGGCAGGCCCATCTATCTGCTGCCATGACCTGTATGACACGGTGGAAGCGGTTGGACACCATATGCAGTATAGAGTCCCGAAACACAGTGACGAGGTGATAAAAAATGTTCTTGCAGGTTTTACAGAGTCAGAGGGGAGCCGGCTCGTCACCGGGCTATAGAAGGCATCGGAGGATTGAATATGTTTGGAGTAAGGTGTGATTCTTCCCAGCGTTGGCAGCAATTAAGTCTTTCATTAAATATGAGATTCATTCTCGAACAGGCAAATGATGGTTTACAAAGGACCGATTAAGCGCTCGCTGTCGGATTTCGTCTTCAGCATGCTATCGATGCGTGGATCTATTTTCTCTATATTTATGTTTACTGTGTACATGTGTATCGGTTTAGTACTGTTGATTAAAATGCGACTTGTGTTTTGTGCCCTACAATGTGAACTAGACGGAATATGAAAGGTCCTTAAATAGGAGGCCCGCATTAGATGCGCATCCTCACTTGCTTCGCACTGAGGTTCGCATTCCGCAAACTGCCTGAGACTCGAAAAATACTACTTTACTCAGTTGACGCTTAAGAAGACAACAATTTATTTTATTGTATAAAGCTTTAATATCTACACCCAGGATACAGCGCCCACGGGTTTGACCAGGATCGGATGGTAGCCGCCGTTGCTGGCTCAAGCGCTCACCTCCCGACTGAGATATATTTCAGACGAACTGACTTTCCCTCTCTATGATCCACGTGTCCATTATGGTATCTATAGGGTACTTGTTAATGTATTTAGATCTACGTGGCCTCTTTTATCTTTCCACTCCGAGCTAGGTAGACAAATCGCTCTCGGAGGAGCTGGCGACGACTCGCACAGCCACTAATCAAGCGCTCGTCGTCGGATTTGGATTGTAGCGCACCACACTATTGAACGCTGCATTATCTTTTCTCACAAATAAGTTTATTATGTACACTTCTATCCATTTATTATAGTTTGCCGGAAAGTTGGTTGGTGTGGCTAGCTATACGACATAAATTAGACGAAATCTCGAGGGAGATCAGAGAGATTCTCACGCCTGCTCACCGTTTGCGGCCCGCAGCCCGTGTCACCCGCAACTGCATCGTAGTCATCGAACGGCGATTATACAGCAAATATCTTATTCCGGGGTGTTCTGGGTCCTCCCGATGCTCAACTCTTCTGGTGTTGATGCGCTGGGGGCGGGAGCGCGCGAGGGACTGTATTTGGCCATTTCGGGCTATCCTGCCACCTGTCAGCATCGGGATCAGACCCTGAGTGAGACCAATCGACTCATCACTGTCCTCTACCGACTCAACGATCCGAACCGCCTTGGCCCGCTCTGCCTCCGCCACGACAGACACAACCCGCCCCCGCCGTCCGAACCGCCCGACCCGGCCCGCGATGTGCATGTACGCGTCCACCGCCCGCCCGTTCACGCTTGGCCCACAAGGCAGCCCCAACACAAAAACATGTGTCAGTTCGGGCAGATCCAGCCCGCGTGTCGTCGCAAGCGTCGCCACAAGCAGCACGGGGTTCGCCCGCACCACCCCGTCCCCGCCGTGGTTCAGATACGCCCGCCCCCGCTCTTCGGCCAGCAGATCCAGCCCGTGCGCATTCACCCCGAGCCGCCGGAGCTCGTAGACCGCGCGCTGGACCGGGGCAGAGGAGGGAACGACCAGAAGCGCGGCCGACGGCACGTCAAGCGCGAATCCCGCTGCGACAGCTTCCAGTGCGACGGGATCAAACGGCGACTCTGTCCTGTCATATTCTGCTCAAGTCCCCGCGTCAGCAGTCGCGCCAAGAAAGCCTATCGGGCACATACTCTCGTTGTAGTACTCCTCCGCCGAAACTGCCTCTTCTTCTACCTCCTCAAAAACTTGCCTTTCCTCTTGCGGAAACGGCGCCGACGCCACTGCTCCCTCCACGTTCCGCACACCATCCGCCGAGACAACCAAAATCGAGTGCAAAATGTTCCCCCTTCCGCCCTTCACCGGCGTACTCCCAGCTTCCCGAGGCCCCGAGCCCTTCTCCGCAAATATCTTCACTAGGTTATGGCTGTTCACCCACTTGCTCTCCTCGAATAGATAATTCTTCAGCCCGACTCGCAGGGTCGCGCTCGACAAAATGAGCTGCGGGATCCTAGCCTCCTCTTCGGCCGCGTTCCGCCACTCTCCCACCGAATGGTGCTCATTTTCCTCGTCTTCTTCAGGAATATACGGATTCTCTGACAGCGCCTTTCGTTGCGCGTAGATGATGTCGAGAATCTCGCGCGTCTGCCCGGGGTGCAGCTCCACTTTTCTCCTCGCTTTCTCGAACGCCTTCAGATACGACTTCTTCGGGTCCTTTCTCGCGACCGTCTCCACGAGATAGTCCACCTCATCCACCACCACCGCGCTCAGTGTCGACAGCTGGAGCACCTCCGCGTCCGTCTTGTACACCTCCATCAGCGCCTGGGGCGTGCAAATGAGGATATGCGGCGCCCTCTCCCTAATCTCCGCCACGAGCAGCTCGTGTGACTTGCTGCCTCCGCGGACGAGCACCTGCGCGATCGACGCGAGCGGGGGACGCGGTGCCAGCGCGCTCGTCAGCCGCTCGATCCAATGCAGCAGCTGAAACGCCAAGTCGCGGTGCGGCACGATGAACAGCGTAGTTACGACGCGTTTCGAGCCCACCGCTTTCCCCTCATCCGAGTACTCATGCATGACCATGCGTGGCTTGTTCAGGAGCCCAAGCACCAGCCCAAACGTCCTAGAACAGCAGCAGACAGCAGCTCCGTCAGTACACACACCCCGGACGGACGCAACCAAATTGCGAGTGAGTTGCGAGAGGGACGTACTTTCCAGACCCTGTATCATCCTTCAATAGAATATCCCTTCCCCCTAGTATCTCCAGTATTAGCTTCTCCTGCACCGCAGTCGGTCGTTTCACGTTTGGGAAGGCAGTCTGCAGTGCCTTCATAAACTGGGGGTCGAACCCCAGCGTCCGGAACGAGGCATTGGGCTGGCGAGTTGGTCGCCGATGTTCAGCCGGCCTAGTGTGCTTCATGACTCTGAGCGCCTCGGACTGGGCTTCGTAGCTGTTGCTCATCCATCGCGCCTGTCCAGCAGCACGCCATGCGCGACGACAGACGCTCTGACGCGTAAAGTGCGTGAAGGAAGGAAACAGAAATTTCATATCCGCATCACGTGGCGCTTTGACGCAAATTTCCTTTCAAGTTTATGAGCTCCAGATGAAAAGTTTCCCGTACCAGGCTAACACCAATTCTTTATTTTTGGGTCAGACGAGCCAGTGGATTGTGTAGGTATGATGCTTGAGTAGGTTTGTAGGAATACATGTAGACGATGTACGACAGCAAAATGCAACATGCTTGTTCTAATGATCGTCATGGCTGATTGGCTCGTAGTCCGAACGGCTGCGATTTCTAGCAAACAGACGAGAGAGCCAGCTCGGCCGTCTCTCGTTACCTGTATCCTCAAAGCCAGTCCGGGACGTCCGCAATCGCTCGGGGTCGGCTTGAGCTCCTTGCACCAGGGATGTCGTCTCCGATTCGTTGTCCAGCTGCTCTTCGCGCGCCTCTGAGAAATGAAAAAAGGTAATCAGTTAGCGAAGGTGATGCTTTTACAGCGGTGCGAGCTCTTCGTACCTTCGCCGAAGACCGCGTCCATCTCTTCCAAAGGCACGCCTTTCGTTTCGGGGTACACTACCACGTTGTCAGAACCGGCTGTTGGAAAATTAAAGGGACCATGAACTCACAAAAGTACACGAGCACGAAGCTGCAGATACAGAAGAACCCGTGCATTGGGTATAGCCGCCATTCGATCCTCTCTTGTAGGTAAGGCGTCGACTCGCCGACAATCCAGTTGAATGCCCAGTTCGTCGCAGTTGAGAGGGAGACACCCTTTGCCCGGAAGTTGAGCGGCATGATCTATAAAACGCGTCAATTGACCACCTCTTCCATCACGAAAACGCGCGCCTACTTCGGGAGGATACAGCCACGGAATAGGGCCCCAGCTAGCGAACCGATCACCTCATCAACACCGGACTTCATTCGAGCGAGTCGTGTATACGTACCTGTAACCAAAGGCAGCGTTAAAGATGATGACGCACAGCACCACTGCGTTAGGTGTTTGTGGAACGTCGATGTACATCCACCAGCCCGTGGCGACCAACGAGGCGGCCATCTACAAGGCACTTCGTCAGTTCTTTCAGAAGGTCGAACTCGGTGATGTCACTTACAATAACTGCGCCCGAGAGCAAAATTGCCCGACGTCCCCACCGATCAACAAGGTACCACCTGTGAAGGGGTAAGGTAAAAGCTTAAAGACTGCAAACAAGGGCTTACGGGGGAAGAGTGCTCAAAACATAGATAATAGAATTGATGCCGGTCATAAGGATGGCCTGTCGGCCAATCCAGCCAGCCTCTAGATGAGACTTTTAGAGCATGTTTCATGAAGGCTGTATGAAGCCTTACGTTCAAAAACACGAGCTATGCGAGAAGAAAAAGAGTTAGCTATAGGTCGCCAAATGAGCCTAGACGCTTACGTGCGTAGTACGAGATAACTAAGCATCAAGCTATCAGAAGTCGTATTGGGAAGGCAAGTAAGAATACAATACCATTAATCCCATTCTTTCCATACATCATTAGCCTCGGAGCAGAAAATTCGAGAGAGAACGACGCACCAGCTGTGCGAAGGCTTGCGAAGACATCGCCAACAAAACACGCCGCTTATACTTCCGCCACATTACCTGGTACGACCTTTCTTCGCCGGAAGCGCGCTGTTCAAGAAGATAAGATTAAAAGCCTGACGTCAGCTCAACTACGTGACTGACGTCCTCGAGGACTTTGTCCTTGATCTCATCATACTCGGCGACGGCCACGGGGTTGTTGGGATTACCACCATGGAGGTCGGCGATGACTTGCATGCCTTCAGTTTCCTTGCCAGTGTCAATGAGCCACCTATAAAATGATTGGCTCAGTGTCCCGAGGCAGGTGGTGAGGGTACTGACCGAGGACTCTCCGGTAGTACGAGGGAACCCCCGGCCAAGATAGACCCAATCATACATTGGATGAACAGTGGTATTCGCCAGGACAGATCACTGTCAATGAACGAACAAAAATAATCGGTCCACTGCGTGGCACGATGTTAAGTGTTGACTTTTCTACACAAGGCACGCCGCACGCACCACCGAAGACGAATAGCCGATGATATTGCCAGTGAATTCCATGCATGCCAGTGCGCCGCGCTAGACGAGCGTAAGTAGGTCGGAGGCCACCCAGAGAACGAACACGGACATGGTTTGGAGGTGAGATTTCGCTCTGGTAAATCGGGACGATTGTTCTACGCCGACCTGCTGTTAGAAAAAACCCTAATAATGTCTGAACAAAGGCTCACGAGAGGAGACCGACTCCAAAACCACTGACGATTCTGCCAACGACCATACTCCAGAATCCCAAGGTGAACGTCTGGATAGCACCACCGAACGTGAAGATCACGGCGCCCATAAACAGAGTCCCTTTACGACCGATGATATCTCCGACGCGACCAGCAGCGACGGAGGTGACTGTCTCACTTGTGTTGAGCGATGGAGATCGGTTTGTTGACCACCCACGACGTACTGAAGGCGCCAATCTCTAGCACAGCGACCATTGTCCCAACTTCTATAGGCCCAGGATACTCGAAGTATTTTCGGAAGTAGGGGCCTGTGATGATCCCGCTCATGACGCTAGCAGTAATCAACATAGGTCAGAGTGCTTCGGAGGGACGAACAGATCGAAGGCCGTACTTACCCTTGGTCATAGCCAAACTGTGCGCGATGACAACGTGTAAGATGACAGGTTGATGGGGAGAGGAGGACCGGACTGACCAGAAACACACCAAGACTGACGAATATCGTCATAACATAAAGAAGAGGCTCGCCAACGAGCCTCCGCCGCGGAGGAGGGGACTCATTCGCCATGGTGGTGGGTGTGAAGCAGTGAAAGGGAGTGTTGCAGCCAAGTGTGGAGCATCTGTGTACATAAAAACAGCGGGAAAGCTAAAAGCTGGGCGGCGGTCGTGCCGATCAAAGGTGAGCAGGCAGCCGCTGTCTTGCCTTTCCCGTCTTCGCCACCGACCACCACCAATGCCGTCCTCCGTCGTCTCCGTCGACGACATCTCCTCAGCTGCCTCGTCGTACGACTCCGACGAGGAGTACCGCCTTGCCCAGGAAGAGTGGGAAGACAGCCTCCAGCAGCTGCAACAGCTCGCCGCAGTGGTTTTACTGCCTTTCTTCGGCAAATGGCTTGGTAGACGTTGGAGCCATATTGGTGGGTTCCCTCCTCATACCCCATGAGACCTTTTCTGACGAACTAGTACAGCGTATGCACGGTATTTGCGTGTTGGACTAGGCAAGGCGTTCTTCTTTGGTGAACAGAGAGCTTGAGGCGAGGGATGTCCAACTTAGTAAACATCATATAGGTATGCACGAATGAATGATCAAGCATTCTTCTGTAGTCTAATATCTCTCACAAGCTTCAGCACGGCGGGATTTGGCTGACGGTTTATCAGGGACATCTTCCGCACCATCATCCTCGCCACACTCCACTCCTCCCGTCTCATAAGCCCCGCAAATAACAGATACCATGTAGCGTTCACTCGAGGAATCCCCTGCTCTTCCATCTCTTGAATGAGCCCCAGCGCGTCCAAATGTCCTTTTGGGTCTGGTGAGTCCAGTGCCGAGCGGATGAGGGTGTGATACGTCGGTAGTTTGAATGCGAGCCTTTGCTTCCTCATTCTCGCCACAAGCTCATCCCTCACTTGGTCCGCCCGTTCACGCGACAACCATCGACCCCGAGAAAGCCCCGACAGAATCGTGGTGTACGTGACTTCATTCGGTTTCACTCCCGAGTCCTGTTCCATTTTGTCAAGGATTGAGAGTGCAGCGTTCAGACTACCTTCTGTCTGCTGCTTCATCTGGTCGTTGATAATGGAGGTGTAAGTCGCGACGCTGGGCTTGATCCCTTGCTTCTGCATGAGATTGAAGATCGTCGCCGTCGCGTCCTTCCGTCCTGCTAGCAATAGTGCAGACAAGATCGTCGAGAACGTCACGACGTCTCCCATGATCTTCTTCGAGGACATCGTCGCTACAACCTGAGAGAGTTGTTTGAAATCCATTTGGCGACTGTGGTATCCGAGGAGGGTGTTATACGAGACGATGTCGGGAGCAGGTTCATTCTTCTCCATGTCCACAAGTAAGGCTTCCGCGTCCGCTATCCGGTTAATGCGGAGTAGACCCCTCAGAACCGTGTTGTAAACGCTTGACCTCCGTTCGTCGTCGCCCTCCACGGTAGCTCGATACTCCTCGAACTTGGCAAGGGCATCCTCCGTCTTGTTGTCGTCGAAATGAACGGCTATGATGGCACGGTAGGAAAGAACGTCGGGTTTAATCCCTTGTCTCAACATCATATTCCAGGTCTCCCTGGCTTGGGTAGAGTCGCGGAGGTCGGCATAGGTGTCCAGGAGGCCCGTCCACATTGTAACACCGGGAGTGACTCCAAGCCGTGCCAGATCGTCCCACATGCGGGCGGCTAGGTCAATCCTTTCGCTCTTGATGAAACCCGTCTGGAAAGACGTCCATCCAACTTCTGACATTGGAACAAGCCCGCCAGAGGACGCGGAAGCGCTTGCAGCAAGGTATGGATCGGACCCAGAGATCCCTTCAACGACGTCGTTGTATAGCCGTTCCAGGGACCTTACTGTTGTAGGGTGCGCAATATTGAGAATGTGTTTAGAAAGTGAGGAAGGTCGCTGCACCAGTCGCGCGATGGTTGCCTGGTTGATATATTTCTCGACTTTCCGGCTGAGTGCTGGGTCCCTCAGACGCTTCAAGAACTCCTGTTTGCGGAATTTCTGGATCTTCACTCCCGAGGACATCAAGGTCTCCATTGCGATTTGGAAAGAATCGTTCATGATGTGGGCGGTCATTGCGCAAAGCACAACGGGCATTCGAAATCCATCGAGGTAAGGATCTTCATCGTCCGGAAGGGCAAGGGTCTCGTTTGTTCCAATGTCTTCTTGCGGTTCCGTCGCGTCGGTACCAATGGCTTGAAGATATCTGTCGTATAGCTTGAGAATAGCATCTGTATCCCCACGTCCGATGTAGTGAAGCAGGAGCATATACAAGGACTCTGCCGAATCGTGCTTGGCCGCATGGACGACAAAGTCCTCCGCTTTCGCCATGAGGGCATCGGACCACTGTTCACTATTGCAAGTGAGGGGAAACCTCCGGATAAAGACCTTCTGGAGTTCCTTCAGTGTTTGAACAGGCAAGCGGCATGCCTCTCCGTCAGGTAACGAATTCCGGTACACCTCGAATGTCTCCCAGTGTTGCAATACAGCAGGGAGGTCCCATGTCTTCAATGCCTTGTCGACCTGACCCAAGTGAGTATTGAACATATTCTTGGTTGCCTCTGGGAGCATTCGTCTGCTATGAGGCTGGCCCATGATCTGGTCACGAAGTTTCGTGTGGATTTGGAGGTCCGGGACCTTGCGAGTCGGTGCGACGGCGTTGGCTGTTTCTGATAGGTGTCGTATTCTGCATAGTGGATTTGGGAGCAGGAACTCGAGGAGGCTGTAGGTGTTGTGACGCGAAGCGCGTCTGAGCATGACGGGGTAGAAACAGGGAGGATTAGGAAACAAACACCGACACGCGCTTGCTTCAAACCACGATCATGGGCCACGGAAACTCCAACAAACTGTACATCACCCATGCCGAGCACGCTGGTCTGCATGGCTCGCACTCTTCCTCGGTGGGATACAAGGCGTAAGTCATCTCTTCCTGTGCGCAACCTTCAGCTAACTCTTGCTTTAGGAAAGCCGAAGCTCCACATCCAGGAACAAGGACTCCGTTCGACTGCTGTGCTCTTTCCTTCCAACCATTCACGCACCCCGTCTGCGCTAGAAATTCAGATGGCACAGGCACTGTCTACGACCTTGTCAACATTATTCCGTGGCTCAAGTGCGTCTCTATTCATCGCGTCCTTCAACCTCAATTCATTTTCGGTAATACAGGCAGCACAACAATACCGACCCCATAACGAAGCAGCAGCTGCAAGCGTCCGACCTGATCACCCTCCATTACTCGAGAAAGGAGGCCTCCGGTGAAATACACGACCCCATTTCCTTCAAGCCCTTCAGCGAACACTCTCACATTGTCGCAATCGCAACCACTGGCAACGTCTTTCTGGCCGAGAGTATCAAGGGTGGGAAGGATCTAGTTGCTGATGTGCCCTTCAAGAAGTGCGTGGCCTTTCTTTACTGTCTTCTGCAAGACTCTGAACGAATATTAGGACCGAAGTTATCACGTTGCAGAATCCTCATGGTCTGCCACCCGCCTCCATTCCCAATGCAGTAGCGGAGGCAAAGACCACGAAGGCGGCAGAACCCGCGAATGCAAAGCCAGCCCCTGCAGCTCCAATTGCAGCATTGAAAGCGAAAGAGGCTGTTCCTTGTGACATCCCACCTTTTGCATCCATTTTCATTAGCTGAAACTTGATCAGGGAATATTTCGCCTTACTCGAGTGGTATGGCTGGAGCTTCGTTGACATCTACGTCCATGGATGCATCGCAAGCATCGAGTTCCAAGCTGCTATGGGATGAAGTGGGTGATCCTCTTGTTTACACAGAGAATTGCCGAATTAGTCAACGCTATACGTAGGAAGAGCTCATGTTCGAAGACATCTCAAAACCGCTTAAAGGGAAGGGGAAAGAGAAAGACCTTGGCAAACGACGGGCGTACGTCCGGGTGGTCACAAGCCTCGGTGGTGGAAGTCTGAATTTGGAACTTTACTGTGAAAAGGTGGGTATCATAGGCTTGAGAATTCGACACAGTTATTAATGTTACAACAAGGCGCCCAAAACATGTTATAATTTCTTAATGCTCGCTCGAGCTGGGAAGTACAATAATTGTCTCTTCCATCGACTTGTACCAGGATTCATGGTACAGAATATAAACCTCTCCGTGGACATCTACTCACCTACGGCATAGATCCAAACCGGTGACCCCACGAGTACCGGATCTGGCGGCGAATCGTACTGGGGGACCCCTTTCCGTGATGAGCATGATCTTAAAGGTGCTGCAAAGCATGATAGTCGTGGAATCCTCGCCATGGCGAATAAAGGCTCAAATACGAACGGGTTTGTGACTCGAGTCTTACCTGAAACTTCACTTATTCCAACACATTCAATACCCAGGTCGCAATTTTACTTCACATTCAAAGCGGCGCCACATCTCGACAAGAAGCATACAGTGTTTGGCAAGCTAGTCGGTGGCGAAGAGGTTCTTGATACGCTAGAGAAGCTACCAATAAAGCCTGGAACGGAAAGGCCAGCGAAGACTGTCCGAATAACAGAGGTTATTATGTACGTTGTCTTAACACCCACATGTTCACCTCTTTTGACTGACGTCTTGACACAGTTACCAAGATCCATTTGAGAATTACAAGAAGCGTCTTGCCAACAAACTGGCCAAGCGAGCGGAAGCCGATAAGCCCGGTGCTGCACTGACAGAGGAAAAAAAGGACGATGTGAACTGGTTTGGAGTCAAAGTTGGCTCGAACACTTCCGCTCTCGACTTTGGCGGCCCTGGGACCGGAGGCGTTGGTAAATACCTAAATCTGAAACGACCGTTAAATGTGCCAGGAGGTGGTGGAGAGGACAGCAAGAAGAAACGGAAAACCGGCTTTGGAGACTTTGAAGGATGGTAGATGATGGTAGATTCCAGGTTGCGTCTGGGCAGTATTATAATATTACAGCAACTCCTCGCAACTGGTGGGGGTATTCATCATCCAGCGATAGCCACTTTCTTGACAAGGGCTGGTTCCGGCTCTGAAGAACACGATGAGAAAAGACGTAGGCATATAGTAGAAGGGACTTTTTGTCCACCTTCTGAAGTTCTTGCCACAGGTTCAGCAGCGGGCACGTTGGGCAGTTCGAGCTCTGTTGTAGCTTCTGCAGTCTGAGGGAAGGTCAGAAGAGAATAAGAAATGCAGTAGAGGCCCACGAACGATATCTTGCTGGAGCGCCAGTAACTCTTTTTGAACGGCTTCCTCGTCTTCTAGCGTCAAGTTGTTCGACAGCATTTTTCCGATTTCCTGGGGACAAGGATCAGTCATCTGGATGAACGTAAGTGAGAGCAGACATACCCTCTGGTATTCACGGGCTTCAGCCGTCTCCTCCAGCAGCTTCTCTACACTCTCTACGTTCATCTCCTTATGAATCTCCTTCAGGACCTCATTCCCTTGCTTCAATCCATGAAGCACAGAAACCTCGACGAGAGAGAATTCGATGGTAGAGACCTAAACACCGCACTCAGTACTACGTCGCCCTCGGCACTGCAAGATAAATACCCACCAGTTGTTCCAAGTTCTCCAGCTGCTCGTCCGTCTTCCCTAGTAAGCTTTGCTGATATTTCCTCCGCCGCAGGGCGATAAGTGCTCTATCCTTGTGACCAGCGGCCATCTGAGCCTTGGCTATCGCATGTTCACGATCTAGAACGGCTTGTATCTGAGCAGAGAGTTCATTCACTATCGCAGAAACGAGGAACGGTAGGAACGGACCTTCTTCTGATATTGCTTGAGCTTATCCCGCTGTAACTTGAGACTACGATAAGCCAGGTGAATCCGGGAGTTGGTAGGGGGCCGGAGAACATGCTCACTCAAGGATCGCTTTATCTTGTGGGGTGATCTTGGGGAGCGACTGGTTTCCTCCCATAGCAAAGTTGAGAACATGAACAGTCCGAACCGGTCAGCACATGAGTGAGAGACCGAGAGACTGACTTCGACGCCACAGATGTACCCGAGGCTGTGTAGCCTCATATTTTCCCCGCCAGTCCTCTCATCGGCATGATTAACTACTTCAATAATTTCTTTACACGCCAGGACGAAGAAAGATGCAGGACTACATAAAGTTTACATTCGTAAAATACTAGGCAGTTCTCAGATTTTTAGGGAATTGACCGTCAACAATATTGTCAGGAATTGGAATAGTGTAATTCCCAAAGCAATCAAAGTTGAAATCTACCTCTGCAATCCGCTGCTTCATCCCAGCAATGAACGTATTGATATCACATAGTCCATCGCTGTTGTGTTTGCAGCCGTTGATGCCAGTGAGGGGAACGGCAGCATCATTCAAGAGCCAACGAATATGTGTTGGCAGGTTGGAGGCAGGGCAAGAAAGAACCTGTCCTACGAGATTGGAGGCGAAAGGCGCAATTTGGTTGGCGAAATATGTCTGCGGATATTGTATGTGAGCAAGTTCTCGTTCTAGATTTCCGAAATCCGAAGCTTTACCCTGTTCTTCGGGACATGGTCTGTAGGAAGAGGTCCATTGGCTGCGAGACCGGTGAAGTTCATGGCGACATAAACTACAGAATGCGTTAGAAAGGAAGACATCTTCCTCAGGTAACGGGCCACGTACTTGTTGACATGACAGTATCATGGCTCATGTCTACATATATAGGTTGGTCTAACGGGAAGACCACTGGGTTCGTGACAATGGTCGCATTTACCGTGGAGTCGAAGCTAGTAATCGTAGTCTGCGTCAGGCGCGAAACTAACTCTTGCACATAGCCGATTCCTTGGGCACTAGAAGCTGGATTTCCCGGTCCAGCGCCATACCAGAATCCAAGATCTAGGGATAGAATAACTAATTAGCATTTCGCTTGCAGGAAGGCGGAGAAGTATACCAATGAAATACTCGAAGCCCTTCCATTCTTCCTCCGTGAAGAGGTCGCAGAAGTCGGAAAACCCGAGCGAAACGGTCTGATAAAAACATCAGTTAGCTTCAGATTCTTGATGGACATCAGGGGCGAATGAGCCAACCTCGTATGCACACAGCTCCTGCATGCCAATCAAATCTGGCACCGTCAAATTGTAGCCTTTGATAAACGGCGACAACCTCTTCAACGTCGGTTGCAAGTAAGTGTTTGCCCATTTTGTGCTTTGAATGGAGCCGAATCCCTCGACCGCATTGTTGGCATTTGGGCAATCAAAGTACGGGGCGAGAGTGTTATTTTGTCCGTCATTCTCGATCGTGATCAACTGGTGATAATCTTGCTGATAAGTCTGAACGCCAAAGAAGCCAGCCGCGAAATGAAGCCTAGATAGAATGATCTTAGCAATAAATATAAAATTGGGCAAATGAATGACACGCACGCAGAATCAAGCATCCTCTCTGACGCAATGAGGCAGTTTTCAGTAGACTACACGGAGGCACAGCTAATCAACCGACCTTCTGAAGTCGTACGGAAGACAGGCAGCTTCGTGAAACCCTTGAGAAGGTTGCCTACTATCCAGTGAGAACCAAGATAGGTAAACATCCTCAGAAATATGCTCACCATACTTGACTCTAAACCCAACCCCTAGGCTGAAACTATGCAACAAAACGAATCAGAGTGCGAAACAGAAACGAAGCAAAAGTCCGTACAGTTGCGACCGACCGAAAGGAGTGAGTATCTCTGCTCCAAGTTTGTATGTCCATGTATTTAGGAAACCCAAAGGACCAGATGCTGTGAAGCCAGCACCACTCGCAGCAGCATGGATATTTGCTGAGAATTTGGAAGTTGGAGCATCGGACGTTGGGTACCTTGCACCATGACGATTGAGGAGATAAACCTGGTTCAAACTGCATCCTTTTGGAACCACAGGAGACGTGTCAGGTAGTCCGAAAGATGCAACTGATTGCCAAGGAGAAAGATTGCCCAGGTTCTGTAAAACATCGAAGGATGAACTTCCAGTGTTTGACGCATGTGGCTTGACCAGAGGAAAGACTGAGTCCACCTTCGCGATAGAGGGGGCAGTTGTGATTGCATTCGCCTCATCACCGGCTAAAAAAGTTCAGCTCCTTAACTTGCGTTCCAGTCATTGCACTTACTCGGTGTTGGACCTGCAAAGCCCACTTGGGAACCATCCGGGAAGGAGCTATCGGATTCACCTATGGTGGCATTTGGAGGAGGAAAGACAGCCGTAGATGTAGACCCAGCAAAAGATGACGCGAGTCCAGGGATAGCTGCTACAGACCCTTGGAAAATGAGCAGGGAGACCAAAGCGTAGAGCATGGCGGTTGTCCAGCTTCTTTCGCCCGCCTCCCAGCCGCCTTAAGTTCCGCCCTAACTGATCGTATAGTGAGTCATGAGCTTCGAAATTTCAGGCAGCCGAAACGAACGTGCCATTCCCCAACCTGAATATGTTGTTATTTATAGCTTCAACTCCGGGTCTTTAAGAGCGCCGTCCGACCAGACGCAGGACCTGTCTGGTGGCGCTCGCAGGGAAGGAAACGCCTGGACTTGAAGGTGGCGTCATAGGTTGAAGTAAGCGATGCAAGCCATGGGACGCACATCTTCATGAGTCCATAGGCAGAAGTTGTCGTCATCAAGAGCGTCCTCACGGTGAGCTAAAGATAGTGCCAACTTTAGAGGAGACTTGAATAGATCACACCTGGAATAACAAGGTCTATGTGCCCTGTCATCTGTGTGAGGTTGTATAGGATTTTAGGACGTCATGAACCGCAAAGTGCACCAAAAGATGGAGTTTTGAACCAAGGAGGACCATATGGTCAGTGCCCAAAAGGGAAGTCATAAAAAAAGATCAGTCACAAATCCCAACGCCTCTCGACCAGACTCCGGTCCTCCTTCAACTCCTTCAAGCTCTGGTTCATCCTTTTGCGGGATGCTTGCAGCGCCTATAGGTTCTAACGCGAATGGCTCATAGACTTCTCAAGCCGTGTAGTCTAGCTCTGCGAGGATCCACAAACGTTGCCCGATATCACGACTATACGCGTGTCGCATTTCAAGGTGTCTTCACGCTTGCCAATGGTCGACCCCACATTCTGACCCGTTTCAGGTGGCACCATTAGGGTCCCGTTGAATTCACCCAAGTTAATTGGGGTCGTGAACTCACGAGGAAATAGAAGGTATTTTAGATATTGTTTGATGTAGGACCCAACCCGACTGTCTTCCTCAGTAATCAGGAAGATTTCTACGGCTTTGCGACGCTATCTTTGGACCCGGAAGAATTAAGATTGAGCGTCAAGCGTGCTCACGGCATAGACTGGGATCCCGATGAGGTTGGAGGAGCACTAGCCAGGCAGGTGCTTTTTGTCGGCGTTTACGACGGGTGGGTGATGTCCTTATGCCCGCCTATGTGGTTTGTCTAATCTGCGAAGACATGGAGGCTCTGCAGTAGCACAATTCTTGCGGCAAGAACTACATGGTTTATTCGAATCGGTCAATAAGAAAGTCATCCCGGAACTCTTTAAATGGATAAAGGAAATCGGAGGCTACTTCAAACGATTCAAAGGCGGAGCACTTGCTCCTTGGGTGGAGCCTGGTAATAACGAAGAAATGACCCTCGATGCACGTGCCACTCTCGCGTTTTTTGAGGTGAGGACATTGCCATGTACCACAGGAGAAGAGTCTTGATTTGTTTTCCAGGTCGACAAGACGCTGTCGGCTGATCCAGTAGCTCAAACATGCGGCGCCACCGCCTCCGTTGCCATTCTCCACTCTCTTGATGCACCATCTACTCCCTTCTACTCTGCGAAGCAACTCTCACTAACCGTTGCGCACTGTGGGTCAGTCACCCTTCATTCTTACTCCATACAACCCCGCAGTTCGTCTAATATTCTTGGATACTTGTTCAAGGGATACGAGGGTCATTCTATGCTCTACAGATGGTGGCAAAGTCTTCGCAATGACAGAGAACCACCATGCCGATGCTCATGTCGAAAGTATTCGCCTCCGGAGGATGATGGGTTCGTCCCTTATGACAGATTCATTTGGAGAATCCCGGTAAGTTTCTCTTTCACACAGTATCTAAGATCTCGAATTGATACCTCAACAGATGGATGGGGGCTCTTGCAAATACAAGATGGTATGTTCGGTCAAATTTGAGCCACCATCGACACTGAGTTGTGCACGCTAGTCTTGGGGATCTACGATTTAAACGATTCGGAGTGACGCCTGAGCCTGAAGTCAGGACCAAACTACTAAACGGTAAATACGTTGCGTCTCCATGAGTGTCATGATTTATGAGAGGCTGTAGGGGACGAATGGGCTTTCGTCGTCCTTGTGTCGGACGGAATTTCGTCTGTCCTCTCCGACGACGAAATCGTCGATCTCGCACGGGATGCACCGCACCCAAAGGCTGCCGCAGAACGCATTTTGGCGTTTTCCGAAGAACTCGGTGGAGATGACAACGCAACTGCAATTGTGGTTCCATTGGCAGGTTGGGGCAAGGTCCAAGGTCCTGACAAGACGAAGGACCTTCGGGAGTACAGACGAGGGCAAGCCGGTACGTCCAACTCTGCTTTTGCATTCTTTCACATTTTTACATGAGGAATTCAGTCGGAACCGAACGCCAACGACGGATGTAATCGGACAGGAACGTCGCCCTCGAATCCTCATCCACTAAATCTGGGCTGCTGCGTGTCCATCCGCTCGAGGGTCTGACCCTGCCGCCCAGACCAAGCGTCCAGAGTCATTCTTGACCTTCTGGATGACTTGTCCACGACCCATTAACCCGCGATTAAAACCATCGACTACCCTAGCGTCATGCCCCATTGCTATTCGCGGTTAGCATCTGGAATACCCCATAGATGGCTATAATACACACCTCGTAGAGCCTCAACCGTTTCCTTCGGAAACTCGGACTCGAAATATACCTCGCTATTGACATCTCCAGCTGAACCAGTTGACTTGTCTTCGGCGTCTGGTGTACCAGCGGATATGCAGAACCGAGGAGCGTCGAGGGCTGCTTGAGGAGAGAACCCGCGCAGAATGTTGAGCAGAACCTGGACGTGTCCTTGTGGCTACATTGAGTTTTGGACTGTCAAATCAAGGATCTCGACAAAGGATGAGGGAATTTTACTCGCCTGCATGAAACCGCCCATGACACCGTAACTCAGAAACAATTCGCCATCTCTGGTCGCAAGTGCAGGGATGATAGTATGATATGGCCGCTTTCCACCCTTCGAAATAATTAGGCTAGTGTTCTAAGCTTCTCGAGAGGCTTTATCTTCTACCTTCAACGCATTTGGGTGGTTCCTCTCGAGGACAAAGCCCGATCCTCTGTTTTGGAGAGTAAACCCACATCCCTTTGGGACGGCTGGGCTGACGTCAATTTTCTCTACACCTCTTCATTGTGATGGCTCATACCTCCAGTTCCGAAACCTGGAAGACACCATCAAAATCATGAGATTGGACAGGTCGAAGGACTCACCAGCGTAATTACTTTGGATATAGCTGCAGGCGTTACCCCACTGGTCAGTCACTGGACATTAAAAATGTTGATAAATTCTCCCTCATCCACTGATCACCAACTTTACCGGAGAAATAAACTGTGTCCGATGAGTGGACCGGGTTTCCCTGTGCACACACTGTTATTACACGCCTGATGGTAGTAAGGGGTACGCACGTGTACAACTGTGCTGGTTCCTGCTGCACTAAAAAGTCTGGCTCTGGTGGCGAGGTACTCCTGTAACGAAGATCCGCTTGACCAGAATCTCCGGAATTTGGAAACAGGCATACCTTGTTTAGAAGTTCGTCCACGGGAACATGCTCAACGTCAGGATCGGTCACGTAGTATTGGCTATCTGTTCCATAAATTGGGAGATAGTTCGCACGCCGCTACGGCGAGCGCGTACCTGCAAAGGCCAGGCTAGATGTGTTGTCAGAAACCACCTATCTAATTGGGTAATTGTGGCGCACCGTAAAGCCTCGATCAAGGTGTGAAGATATTCAGGGGAGTTATGTTCCATTTCGAGTAATTGTCTTGAAAGGCCTTGTTCTTGGATGTTTTCGAGAATCCCAAGGGCAAGGAGGGCGGTTATTCCTAATCAGATATGATAAGTGGCGATGAGAGTCAGAGAACACCCAAAGAACCTTGTCCGTTAGGAGGGCACTGAGCATACGTGAGTAAGTAAATGCTAGTTGTAGCTGCGCGAGAGTTACCTCGTAAATAGTGACATCTTGGGCATAGGTATACTTGATGGGCTCAACGATGGAGGTAGTGTGTTTGGCAAGGTCGTCTAACTCCATCACACCACCTTTCGATTTTATGAGATCGACGATGGCTCGAGCGACACGGCCCTTGTAAAAACCATCCTTTCCATGAGCCACGAGCTCCCTGAAGGTCGCCGCGAGGTTGGGCAACCGGACTACTTCGCCGGGACGTGGGGCTCTTCCGTTCAGAAGCATCTCATCTCCGTTGGGAGAAGCATTCTTGATCAATTCCTTTTATACCGGAGGTATATGTTCGGTGAGAAATACATAGCATTTTGGGCAACTTACCTCAGAGCGTTTCCACTGAAAAACAAAGCCTCGTGAGCAAAAAAGGAGACAGGTATCGCCAGAGTCATACGAACTCCCCAACTATGGATTTCTGACACTGGCACTCTGTGCTACTATCAGCAAGGAGTATCGTTAAAGAAAAGCCTACGCACCCTTCTTCAGCCAAGCGAATCGCCGGTGCAAAAACATCAGCGGCGGTAACTTTTCCACTTCCAAATTTCTCAATAGTGTCTAGCCAGGCGGCGGCGGTCCCTGACAAGGCAATGTCATATTAGCATCAGGTTCAACTCGAGAGCTCGTTGGGATCTTACCAGGAACTGTTACAGAATTAAGGTCCGTGAGGGGAATTCGACTTTTCACACCACGAGCGAGCAAGTAGTCAATGCTCAGGTTTGCAGGGGCTCGACCAGAACCATTGAGAGCCTTCACTTCCTTCGTCTTAGCATCATAAAACAAACAGAACGCGTCCCTATTGCCGGGGAGGCGATTAGGCTGTCATCCGTCACAGTAACAGGAGAAGCAGACCCGCCGATCCCACAGCAGCTAGGTTCAGTAACATTTAACGCGGCAGATGTCGCAACAGCTGCATCGGCTAGACCATGAAAGCACTGAGTCAGGAGGGTGGGTCAGGGAATGTAGATGCTTCACACACCTGCATTTCCTCCTTTCCTCAAGATCTCCAATCCCGCTTCTGTAGCTAAAGGCTGGGAAGAAGACACCACTCCTTTAGTGCCATAGACGACGGATCTACGGCTAGGATATCTCTGGAATACGAGATCAGGGTTGTCGACTTTAGACCAATCGATCACGACGGGGGACGACATCGGAGGAAGAGGGAGAACAGCTTTAACGGAGTCTGGGAATGCTACTCCGATTTATATATCGACAGAAGGTTCCAATGGGGTGGTCAGCTGCACCGAAGGGATCCTTGTGAGAGCTCATTGTCGCTTTCGACAAGAAATTACAGAGATCGGGACACGGGCCGGTGCTTTCCCGAGGCGAACCCACGGCGGGCGTCCGCAGCGTCTTCCGTCTTCGGACTTCCATCCATCCAGATCCGCGGAAACTCGAGCGCAGGTGCTTTCGAGGGCCATCGTGAACACGGAAAATGTCTTTGCAGACCAAGCTAGAACAAGCATCGGGGGAGTTTCAGAAGCTGCAGGTCGATCTCTCGAAAGCAGTTGAGGCAAGACAGCGTCTTGATGCCCAATTATCGGAGAATGAGTTGGTGAAAAAGGTGTGTGAGGCAGTCGTGTCCGATCTGACGGGAATGCAGATTTGTCATTCAAGGAATTCGCCCAACTAACGCCCGACAACACGGTCTACAAGCTCATGGGACCTGTGCTAGTCCAACAAGACCAGGCTGAAGCCAAAAGCAATGTCGATACTCGGCTCGACTTCATTCGCGGTGAGATGTGCGAAGCCTCTATTACAGTTATAAATTATATGTGTTGTAACCCTGTGTCATCTTCTAGTCGACGCGTCGAGGGGCAGATAAAAGAGATTCAGGAGAAGCAAGAGAAAAAGAAGGGCGAGGTGGGTGGACCATGACGCGAATGTGGACGGTCCGGGCGCTGACTCCTTTCAAAAGCTTGTCCAGCTTCAGACAGCCCTACAACAGCAATCATCTGCACCTCCTGCACCAACAGCCGTGTAAAATCATCACCGAAAATCAACCCGTCCTCCTTCCGCTGGTGCTCGCGTCGTACGGGAGCTCATGCAGTTATGAGGCTCTAAGGGCTTCGAGGACGCTCGATGCTTGCGGTGTTGCTTGGCTGGCTTGCATTCTACGCGTACGAGCAATCTCGCGCTCCGTTTCTGGGCTTTTCAGAATCTTTTCAAGTTTGAAGCGCTTCCTTGCTGACACGGGGGGACAATTCCGAATCGTAACGATGTCCTCAGTGCGTAGTTCTGCAAGAAAATAAGTTAGGTTAGAAACCCAGGAGAGTCACGAAATCGTACGATTTTGCTCGTCATGCACCAAGTACTTTTTACTCCGTTCAATTTGCTATGGGAGGGCCAGTGAGCGAGTGTCGAGACATGGTAAATAAGGCGACGTACCTTCCCCGTTAGTTTATGGATGACCCAGCGAGACACAGTCACCGTCGCTGTCTTTTCCATGAACCCCGCCTTCGTTACAACTCCTGTGAAAGCCATGGGCGGCATCTTGACTGAAATGTGTTTGTGAATCGGAGCTGTCGAAGTTTCCATCCACCTCACTTCAGGGTACTCGTGGGAATACTGTGAGGTGATCGGGCCGCCATGCCGGATCCTCAGCAAATGGCCAGTCGCCGTGCGTCATATAGTGTTCTTCAACATTAAGCATAGTCGACGATAAACTACAAAGTGTTATCTATATGTAAATGGTCGTTCGTGGTCTGTCATGCGGGAAATTTTTCCTTTTTCTTCTCTTTCGGAGCCTCGTCCTCTTCGTTATATGGGCAGAATCGAGATTTGCGCCTCAGAAATCGTCCATATCTAAAAGGTATTCACTATCAAAATAATAGACGAATAAGAAGATAACGCCACGCACTTATTTAAAACAAAAGGGATTGGGATCATGAGTATGGCGATAAAACCGAGGAGAGACGATGCCCATCTCGTGTCGAGTGCTTTGTACAGATCGGGGGCGAAAAGCTAGCCAGATGCGTCAGGAAGAGACCACAATCGGGTACTCTGATGCGTACCGGGAATGCAGCACCAAACATGCTTCGTACTACCGTACTTGATGCGAGAGCCGAAGCTGCTACTGCAAGGTAGGCATCGACGATGTAATTGAAGAGGCCCAACTATTGGGGCCCTCGTTAGGTTCCGACCGTAGCAAGGCGAGAAAGTTGACCCACAAAAATTAATTGAATAGAAAAACCCATCAGAAGACCGGACAGTAGAGGTCCCCAGTAGGAAAGGTGAGGGAATGAGGTCCACCTGACACGTCAGGCGAAGGTCAGGAGGATGGAATGGTGGGTAAAGGATCAAGAACTTACGCAAACCAGAAAAACGAGGTTGCAAAAAGTGGACCGGCAATGAAGACCATCTCTAGTCGGAATTCTGGTGGGACAGGCCGAGGCTCGCATCGTCTTGCTTCCTCTTCATACTTTGGGTTGTAGTAGAGTACGTACTATATGCAACTTTGTCGAATCATAAGAATCAGGTTAAGAAAAGGAAAAGACGTACTAGGACCACGGCGATAGCACCTCCAATTGGGATAGGAAGAAACATCAAGCCGGAGATACCAGCATTAAACCCATGGGCTTGCGTGAAGACGATGGGATACGCAGTGAAGAGAAGGTAGAGACATCCATAGACGAACTAGTTGGTCCAAATCAATACAAGCCAAACCCTAACTCGCTCAAAACTCACACTCATGTACAGCGTCAGTGCAATCAGCATAGGCTCGTGGAAGAGGATCACAAATGGCCTTATGACGACGTATTCAAGCCTTTCCACGAGGTTTGTTTGCTCCCTCTCGATTGGCGCATAGTATCGGTCGTCTCGAGTTTCGAGGCGTCTTTCCTTCGCCTTCTTGGCTAATAGGACGGGCCTAAATGGCTGTAAGGAAACAGGGTAGTAATGAATGGGTCCCTCAACGTACTTATAGGTTTCCGGGATGGTGAATATTATCAAAATCTCGCAAACCGCAGCCTAAACTCTAATCAGTTCTATTGCATCCCAAGGATTGCTTGAAACCTCACGAAAGCGGCCAATATCCAGAATAGCCATCTCCAAGAGATATGATCACCAATAAACCCGGCTGCCGTGGGACCGAGAGCCGGTCCTGCGAAAGGAGCTACTGTGAAAACAGCAAGAGCTTTTCCCCGCATCCCCGCGTCCCATATGTCGGCTATCAGAGCTCTAGTCTAGGTAAGAAGGTGTTGGGCCGGAGGAGGATGACGACCGACAGACCCAGAATTCGTTAATGGAGCCGCAGCGAAGGTTCCCCCAAGAAACCGGAATATTAGAACAGACGCTGTGTTCTGTGCTAGAGCTCCTCCGACCATGAACCACTGTTGCTAGATGAGCAGGGTTGGTGGTGAGGAAAAGGGCAAACTGACCGCATAGACGAAGAAAGGATAGATGAAAAGAGGTCTTCGACCATATTGTTCTGACAGAGGACCCCATAGTATTGGGCTATCAATGAAGATTCAGTGAAAACGATTTAATGAAGAAGGGCAGCCGTACCCAACGCAGTAGCCGCACACGAAAAGTGATAATGTCAGAATTCCCATCTTTTCCGACATATGGAATTCATTTCTCAAGTTCGTGAAAATCCCCGAGGCTGTCGAAAGGTCAGTACAGGTTGGCTGTGGCTGAAGAATTGAACTTCAAAAACATACGCGAGGAACTTGCAAACGTTCTAAGGGTTCAATTGGCTCAGCTCTGGCAAGTTGTCGATGGTCTGGAGAATTAGGAAAACTCACGCGTTTAATACGAGCAACCCACTGAGCATTGTCAAATACCATCGTTTTGCGTTCGACCAATTCTACGGCAAAAATTAGATAAGTGGCGTCTGGGAATTCGCTGAACACGTACCTTGGGATTTGCGGGGTCGCCGGGTTCGAAGTCGTCGATCAAGTAGGGGTCATAGTCACTTTGGCTTTCGGGCTTGATGTCGGGATCGTCGGATGGATCGTCGCGAATCGTGGAGGATGAACACGAGGGCAGTGGGTTGGGCGTGGAAGTCATGTCCGGGCAATCGTGAGGATGGTGCACATGAGAAGGCGCTTTTCTGTGCAATCGAAGCGCGAGGGAAAACGGGAGGGCCGGCCCCGTTGCGGATCGGACAAGGCATGGTCGTCGGGCAAATCGTCATATGGACGTCCGGGTACCTGACGAACCGAGCTTTAAGCGGAAAAGACAAGCGCGTCCTTGTTTGCATTTGTTGACGCGTCTTTCTCCTCACACCAACTCTCGCGTTATGGACTTTACAGAGCTCTACAGGCACTCCGCAGCGCTCGTCGCATTCAGTCCAGGCGCACACTTTATCCTGACCGCCGTTCAGGACAGAGTTATTGTGCGCAGGACAGACACCTTTCAGATCACTCGCACTTGGCTTGTTGACCCCGCTCCGTCTCCAACTCAGGCCGCCCTTTTTCCCAGATCCGGATCCAAGCAGAAACCTCAGACCACCCATCTGCCCACTACTTCTTCCGACGCGTGGATTACTCATCTAGGATGGTCCTGTGACTCTGAATATATCCTCGCTGCCTGCGCAAAACGAGGCGTCGTTCACCTCCTGAAGCTACGAGACGAGGAATGGACAGGCCGAATCGACTCAGGAGCTGAAGGTGACCGGCTACTATAATTCGCTACCTAGTTTCGGCACGACGAGTTGACCCAAGTCGGTCTGATAAGGTCTGGTGAAGGCTGAATGGGCACCAGATGGACGCACAGTGGTCTGTTTCTCTGACTGGGGTGTAAGTCTTCCCTTCTCGTATCTTAGGGCTGTCGGAACAATATCTGCAGTTAAGGGTGACACTGTGGTCAATAGTGACCGGAACGGCGACTTATATCCAATTCCCTATCCATCCGGATAAAGGTCCATCAATTTAACCGCCTTGTCGTGTCTTGCTAATCACCTTCGTCGCGTAGGATATGCTTTTCGCTCTGATGGCCACTATTTTGTCCTTGCCGAGAGACACAAATCAAAGGACACCTTCGGTGTCTACAATGCGTCGGAGGGTTACCAACTTGTTCGAGTATGCCTACTGTTCCGTGATCGCTGCTCCCGCTCTAATGATATCATAGCACTTCCCTCTACCTACGTCATCATTAGCGTCTTTTTCTCTCTCTCCCACAGGAAGTCATGTTGCCGTCTGGGAAGGGGTTATGGAGGTATGTCAACCAAGACCACTCCTTACAACTTTGTCCTCATTGGTATTTTCAGTACAAGTTACATGTGTTAAGTCTCGCCGGGGATCATTTAACAACATACACCCCTCAGTTAGACCCAGGATTCGGCATTCGTCATGTGGCGTGGCATCCAGGTGGAATGTTTCTCGCTGTGGCTGGTTGGGATGACAAAGTCAGTCGGTTCCCTTTGAGCTCCGTTATGGTCCTCACACCGAGAAAGATTCACATCTTAGATAGTCTGAGTTGGTCAGAGGTCGCGACATTCGAGATGCCGACTCGTCTAACATCGCATGTCGTACGCCGTAGCCCCTCTTCTGCGATTGCTTCCAATGCTTATTATCAATTTAGAACATTTGGCGAGAGCCAGCGAAATGGTTAGAAGCTACAGAAGGTCGCGGATTTTTATCCTGTATGAGCAAATTCTCCTTTACATGCAGAAGACCTGGGTGCTTATCCGCACGTACAGATGATCGATTGCAACCTCCTCATATTCTGAGTCCAATTCGTGCCGACATAACGAAGCCAAATCCCAAAAGTGGAGTCTGCCAACTGGATTGGAACCTCACTGGCAGTTTCCTGCTGGTTCGCTTCGGTAAAACTCGATTCATTGATTCACTTCCTCGCGTAATGCTCATGACTCATTTTGCAGAGAATTTACCGACGGCAGTCTACATCTATAACTTCCCTTCACCTGGTGAAACTTCGATGCCGAAGTTAAGGACAGTCTTGCTGCACACGCAGCCAGTTCTGCGCGCGAAATGGAACCCTGCACGGAAAGGTCACTTAGCCCTCTGCTGTGGGTTGCAAAGTGTTTACACCTGGAGCGATGAATGGATCGGAGAGTTGGGAGAACCAGAGGAGATGGCTGAATGCATTGGCGTACCTGCGAGTGAGTATCCTCCAAGGATGCGTTTGAAGTACTAGCTAAACGCTCTCTCTCCATTCTTTGCAGAAAAATTCGAAACGAAGGACTTTTCCTGGGCTCCTGATGGAAAAGGTTTTATTCTTCTCAGTAAAGAACAATTTTGTTGTGCTTTCGAAGTTGTCGAGGAGGATGAGGAAATATGAATCTTACATTGTAATGCTTTTTTTTTTACTAATACCTTGTAACATGTAATAGCACACTTACCTCTTCAAGCCCCTGTATCACCTCTGCGCGCCTATTTTACATCACCCGAATACCAGTTCTCACCTTGTCAAGACCACTTCGATTTCTCTGAAAGCAGAAATAGACCCGGCGATCATCGATCATCAGCGGAACAAGGTCATTAGCCAGTCATTACGTACTAGTATCATAGAACTTTGTGGGCTGGAACAATCACAGCTGCACGGTCTTCAATTTGTCCTTCGCATCCATCATGGATCCAACGACGCTCACCAAAAGGTTCATGACCTCTCGCGGATTCGAGTACTCATACTACAGAGGTCCGCCTTCGCCAGAGTCGCTTGTTGAATTCGACCCCAACGACCCTCCGCTCCCCGCTCTGTTGTTCTTGCACGGCTTTCCCACAAGTTCTCATCTCTGGAGGCATCAATTCGCGTTTTTTCGTGAGCGCGGCTTTCTAGTGCTAGCGCCCGACTTGTTGGGTATGGGACACACATCGAAACCGACGGACACCCAAGCGTATCGGCCAAGCTCGATCTGCAAGGATATCGTCGAGCTCTTGGACGCTGAAGGGGCCACGCAGGTCATCGCGATAGGGCACGACATGTTGAGTGCAGTTTGCCTCCGCGTTAACGTCATGCCGAATGATGGCCCACCTTCAGGGGTTCGAAGATAGCCTCCCGTTTCGCAAACATCTATCCGGAACGATTTCTCGCGTTCGCGTTTCTTGCAGTGCCGTATAGCGCGCCACGGCCGAACACGCAGATCGAGTTCACCTCGCGGATCGTAAGTCTACGGATAGCAAACCGTTATCCTGCGTTCCCCTGACAATTTGGCTTTCACCCCCTTCACAAGACAAAAAAGATGGCCGGGTATGAGCTTATTGGCCACTCCCTATTTTATTCAGAAGACGATGCAGCAAAACTTATCGAAAGCCGAGTACGACGTCTTCCATTTCATGTGTCGCGCTTGTTTTTCTCAAATTTCCAGCTGGATTCTTTCTTTAGCGCGATATTCCCAAGGGATCCTAAACTCTGGGCTACGCATGTGTCTCCCATCGGCGCACTCAGGGCCTGGCTAGAGAAGGACAGTAGGGCAATGATGGCGCCGTACGTGCATCCAGACGTGAGTTACCCCATTCTTCTCGAATGCTTCCGCTCACCAGTGTCGACTCTTCAGGACATATCAGTGTGGCGCACTATAATATCCCAAGAAGGCATTGCAGCTGCATTGTGTTGGCACAAGGTTCGAGTCTCGCTTCATTTCCTGTAGAGTTAATTTTCACAGGTTCTATTCACGGGGAAGGCGTTTACCAGCGGCCTAAATGCGGAAGATGATAAGGGTCCGTTCTCCGAGTTTGCGCTACCAATAGAAAGGCACTCACTCGGGTTCGCAGATATCCCGCTGGATTCATATCCGATCCACAAACCCGTGTTCTTTGCCGCCGCAAACCACGACCGTATCTCTCAATCAGTTCTCGGCATTGCGGTTACCAGTTATCACTGCAAAAATACCTCTGTTCGCAAGTTCAATGATGGACATTGGTTGATGATGTCGTCTCCCTCGGAGGTCAATCAGGCGCTTTTCTCTTGGATCATGGACTGCCTGCCATGAAATTAGGTCCTGATAAGCTGTTAGCACGACAAATTTACGGTCACTTCTTCTGAGTACCACTCTGGAGTCCGCTAATATTGGCATAGAGTGCTAGGATTAATATGTAAATCTATTGAAGAAGTCTGAGAATCCAGCTGACGTGCGAGCGCTTAAAGAGTGCGACGCCGTTTTTGTAATACTATTTACCTCGTCTCCCACAACAGACAACGCACACCGTCGGGAACAGAATTTCTGTATCCTCGCTTTCGACGTTCATCAAGGCAATTAATGCAATGCTACTTTTTCTGCAAGCGCCAAAATGGAGGGGGGGATGTCCGCGGGTAAACTGAGGGTGGTTAACGTGAACATGTACTCGCAAGTATGAATGCAGCGGTTCAGTGGAGCAATGCTGAGATAGCGTCCCTTCTGAATTTCAAATTCGTCCCACCATCTCACGAAAGGAATAACAAAAGTCGAGTTTAGAAGAGAACTCCGGCGAACGGATTTCACGAGGCATTCTAGTACCGGAATGCCCCTGGGTTGTCCGTCCAAAAGTTAGAATTGAAAGACGCCGTTGCTGAAGAAGCACCTTGTCCTCGCGTTCTCGGTCTCCGAGTCCGCCGTGGGGGGCATATGGAATTAGAATTCATCACGTTAAGGGTCCGAAGAATGCGAAAGGGAGGGAGGTTGGAGTTGTCTTCGATGACTCCACGGCGGGAGAAGAAGCGCCAACGACCCAGGTACTCGTGACTGCGTAGCCCGATCTATTTTGGGCGTCAGGCGGCGGAAATTTCAACCCCGAAGCGATGCACGCAACGAACAGGTTGAGGATGAGGAATGGTCGCTGCCCGAGGAAGGGGAGGCGGAGAAGATGATACGCGGGGAACATTTTGCTCGGAGATTTGGATCTGTCGTATACCGAATTGGCAGCCTTGAATAAGCCTCAACGGAGACACTCCAAACAAATCAGTACGGCGGCAGGGTCACTGAATGTGGAAGCATTGAAGTTATTCTGCACAATCAGGCTATTGCCATCGGCGCCCGCACCAAACTCCTAAACTGGAAACGCGCCACTTGATAGCGGGCCGCCAATCGTACGACGGCGCGGAGTTAAGAATGTCAGGCCTCGACGCATCGGCTGGAGCGACGTGGGAAAGAGTACTCAAGTCCCCTGTTGGTCGTCCGTGTCTTCTGTGATTTATATTCCGTTTACTTTTTCGAGTTCTGAGACAGTTGCGGCCGACATGCATTTTTTAGGCGCCAAGATGAAGTTCAAATACACTTCGGCAGGTCCTGCCGTAGAGAAGTGATTTCCTCCTTGATCAAGAGTGCATATTGGAGGTTTTCATCTGCCAAGTTAGTCGATGTTTCTTCCCAGCCCATCCTAGGTGTCCGTTCGGACACAAGCTTCTTACGAGTAGCCAGGCTGCTGAAACCGTACGGGCGGAGACATTCGGTTAACTGAGAATTCTTTATCCTGGTTTCAAAAATGAGGTAGTTATGTAACTATGAATGGGCACTCAAAGAGCCTGAACCCATCCCTCTAGTTCAGCATTCAACTTGTCCTTGGCCTCCCAAAGTACCCAATGACCGGAGTCATAATCCTTGATGGTCGCATTGGAGCAGAATTTTTGAATTACGCCTTTTCCTAAGGCAGGAACACCGATAACTTCCTTGTCGCACGCACCATAGAAAACTGGCTTGGAGATGTTATACTTATCCTTTGGAATCGCTGCAAGAACAATTAAGATGAAATTAAGACGTGAAGAAGAATCACCTACTCTTCGAGTCCTCCAGATCTATGTCAGAAGTATTAATCTTGTACCAGTTTAGAGAGGCAGTTATCCCAGTATTGAAGAACCGTTCCTTCTGGATATCAAATTCCTGGTAAAGTGAAGTATGATCAAACATTTGAGCCCTAGTAATGATTCCGGCTAACCTCTTTGGTCAGAGAGTCTGGAATTGAAAGTGAATGAGGCTTCCCATCCGAAAGCCAGGCCCTCAGAGCACCGGTGCCAACGAAGTGGGCTTTAATCTCTTCTGGGCCGAATGAGACAATGGCAGTGTAAAATTTGTCATACTGGTGTTCTGTAAGAAGAGCGCAAGGTTGCACAAATAAGAGAGGCTTACATTCTCCTTGATTACTTGATCGGCGTCGTCGTCAGAGAAGAAGGCCCAATAACCAAACAACTCGTAGCCTGCTAGCTTGGTTGTCTATTTTTGGATGCGATGGGGCTGATAATCAGACACCGGGCAGCGTTTAGTAAGAGGAACGCACATAGGCCAACAGCTGAGCGTAAGACAACTCGGGGTTCGGCGCCATGTAGCTTATGGCGAGGAATGCGAAGCCCAAGAAGCGTTCTGTATGGAGATTTGCCAGCCGGCTGACAATTCTGCAACCCCTACAAGTAATTCTGAGTCAGTAAAAGGTCACCGAGGGAGATCCCTGTGAGACTGACCAGTCATGGCCGATGGCGACGACAGGTCCAGTGCCTGCTGTAGCATTCACGACCTCGACGACGTCTTGTGCAATGGCGGTTGAGGCGTACAGAGCAGTGTCAAGCGGTTTAGTGGTGCGGCCGTAGCCAAGCATATCGGGAGCTAGGATGCCGTATCCGCGGAGCTTGAAATAGTCCACCTGATGGCGCCAATCGTACGAGGAACTGGGAAAGCCATGGACGAGGAGAGCGGTAGGCTTCGACGCATCTGTGGGCTCTACGTGGTAAACGGAGTACTCGAGTCCTCTGCTGGTCTTGATGGTCTTGTACAAGGAGGAATCCATGGTGCGCTTGAGTCTTGCTTCCAAGGACTGACCTATATAGCGAGGGTGGAGGAAATGAAACTCCGACAGACTCAGCAGTGATTGACGGCGGACGCGTTCCTCCGGCGACGCGTGATCCAATGACTGTGTCAGTCACGGCTCGATTACATACTTACGCGGATGTACCAGGATTTTGTGCCGGTCCACCTTGCTCTCTTCCCTCAACATGCTCTCCCGTTCTCTCAAGGCAGCTGTGCTGCTCAGGCCGCGCAGGGTGCCCATCGCGGCACTTAGGTTCTTTTCAACTCCTTCAAATAATATCCCACCTCAAGAACACAAGGAGAAGGAGAAGGAAAACGATGTGGGGAAGACCGAAGAGAAACCCAAACGGCCAGAGCTACCAAAGGCTCTAGAGGGGTTCTTCCAGCAATACCAACAACAACAACGGAAGCAGGGGCAGCACCTTGACGAGAAAACATCTCAGGAGAGGGAACCCGAGCGACCCCGCAATCGACGTAACAGCAATGAACCCCCACCTCCCAATAATAACGGCTTCACCAATACTCAGCTCGTTTGGATTATCGCTTCTGCAACCGCATATCTTGCCTGGTCAAACTCAAGCTCAGCACAGTCGAAGGAGATTACATGGCAGGAGTTTAGGACAGCGTTCCTTGACAAGGGTCTTGTGGACACCCTCACCGTCATCAACAAGCATCAAGTCCGCGTCAAACTTCATTCAAATGCAACAGGGACCATGCACCCAATGAATGTCGGTGGAGACTTCTATTTCTCTATCGGAAGCGTTGAAGCATTCGAGCGCAAGCTTGACGAGGCTCAGGCGGAGCTCGGCATCCCGAGCGCGGAACGGATACCAGTATCCTACCAGGACGAAATCTCCTCCGTCGGTGCTCTCCTTAACTTCGCCCCTACCCTCCTTCTCATCGGTGTCCTCTATTGGATTTCAAGACGTGGTTCGGCAAGCCCAGGTGGCGGTATTTTCAGCATAGGGAAGAGCCGTGCCAAGCTTTTCAACAAGGACACGGACGTCAAGGTCAAATTCAAAGACGTTGCGGGGATGGACGAGGCGAAGGAGGAGATTATGGAGTTCGTCAAATTCTTGAAGGAGCCTGCGAAATACGAGAAACTCGGCGCCAAGATTCCTCGCGGTGCTATCCTGTCTGGCCCTCCGGGTACGGGTAAGACACTTCTTGCGAAGGCAACAGCCGGGGAGGCGTCCGTTCCCTTCCTGTCGGTTTCGGGATCCGAGTTCGTGGAGATGTTCGTGGGTGTTGGTTCATCTCGTGTCCGTGACCTCTTCGCGTCGGCCAAAAAGAATGCCCCCTGCATCATCTTCGTCGACGAGATAGACGCCATTGGGAAGTCACGAGGCAAGGGAGGATCGTTTGGGGGTAACGATGAACGGGAATCGACCTTGAACCAGCTTTTGGTGGAAATGGACGGCTTCGGCACCAATGAGCACATCGTCGTTCTCGCAGGCACGAATCGACCGGACGTCCTCGATCCCGCTCTCATGCGGCCAGGCCGATTCGATAGGCATATTACCATTGATCGTCCTGACGTTTCTGGCAGGAAGGGTATTTACCTCGTTCACCTTGGGCCGCTGCGTCTCGATGAGAAGCTGAAAGTGGACATTTCCGCCTTCGCTCAGAAGTTGGCGGTACTCACACCTGGGTTCTCGGGCGCTGATATTGCGAATGTCTGCAACGAAGCTGCTCTTCGTGCTGCTCGTAGAGGGTCTGATTACGTCGAGAACGTGGACTTTGAAACAGCCATCGAACGGGTTATCGTTGGCTTAGAGAAGAAGAGCCGAGTCCTCAGCCCGGATGAGAAGAAGACCGTCGCGTACCACGAAGCTGGTCACGCCATCTGCGGATGGTTCTTAGAGCATGCTGATCCACTCCTCAAAGTCAGCATCATTCCCCGAGGTGCTGGCGCGCTAGGCTATGCTCAGGTAGGCTCTCATATCTGCATTCCATCTCCAATCTGACCCCTCGTTCCTCAGTATTTACCTCCTGACCGTTATCTCCTCTCAACACCCCAAATGGCAGATCGGATATGCATGACCCTGGGAGGTCGTGTCTCTGAAGAGATCTTCTTTGGAGCGGAGAACATCACCACTGGTGCCCAAGATGACCTGCAGAAGATCACGCGTATGGCGTTCGAGGCCTGTGCTAACTACGGCATGAACGACGTTATCGGACCAGTCAGCTATGGTGGAGATCGTGCCGCCAAAGAAAGTTGGACGAAGCCCTTCAGTGAGAAAACAGCGGAAATGCTCGATTACGAGGTCCGCAAAATGATTACGACTGCATACGAGCGGACACGAAACCTGCTTACCGCGCATCGGGACGATATCGACAAGGTAGCTCGCCTTCTTCTTGAGAAGGAGGTGATCACTCGGTGCGTCTTTCATTTGTGTTGATGTAAGGCTGTCCGTTGAATGGCGTGTTTAGTGAGGACATGATCGACCTGCTCGGTAAACGACCATTCGCAAGCCGGGATGACATGGACAAATGGCTTGATGAGCACCGTGGGGAGAAGAGTGCGCCGCCGCCTATAGAAACTCCTCCTGCTGGAGATGTCGAGGACGGCCCTCTGGGACCTGCTCCTATCCCTATCAGCAAAAGCCTCGACGATAAGCTGATGCTATGAGTTATTTTCATTCAGGGACAAGGTTGACCATGCACATCACCGTACCATTTGTGTTCTATCTAATCCACTAGTTTCAACTCAGCAACACGCCCACTCATTCACCTGAAATTCAATCATAATGTATATCGGAACCCGCTCCAATCGTCGCCTTTGACGGTCTTTGCTTCTTCTACTGACTTGAAAATGCCATTGCGTTCGTGACCGTGATCATTATCAATTCCTTCAATGATCTCATCGCGTTCTCCGCGGTCGCGCCTAGCATTTTCTTGCTTCAGAAGCACCGCATACAGAAGGGAGCAAATGAGGCCAAAGCCAATGTACGCAAGGACGATACCATGGCCCAGGCGATACCATGGTATATCTTGGGCGCGATACTGCGAGTGAGTGTGTGCGTTCAATGGCGTAAAGGTTCACATGTACGCAAGAATAGAGCTCACAATGTTGGCCGTAACTGCTCCATTGATGTTTCCGAACCCAATGGCCATGCCAAGGGTGACGCTGCGTTTGTAAGCTCCCTCGACGTTACTGGCGATCCACGCGACTGAGTTCGCTTTTTTAAACCATCATGGAATGAACTTTCAAAGGCAGCGGCGATGCGAGTAGAACACTCACGAATGATCGGGTAGATGGCGCTACCGTGGAGATATGTGAGCAGGATAAGAATTGGAAAAGTCCGACTTACGAGACAGCTAAATATACTGCGAAGTACGATAGTGCTGGTGACTTCGAAGCAATCAAAATTGCATACGCGATCAGTCCAACGGTGAACAATGTACTATGACGAAAAAGGGTTCGTTAAAAATAGGCCTGCTTTATGGCGTTCAACAACTTACAAGTTAATGTAACTTCGAGAGCCGATGCGGTCTCCTAGGACGCCTATGACACATGTTAGGATGCAACCCCACGCGTAGACAGGGACAGAGAGAAGGTTGGCTTGTGTGGCATGAAACCCTGACGAAGAATAAGCACATGGCTGGTTTCGTGTTTACGCGGGACGTTTACCAAGCTGTTGGGGAGAATACGTGAAGTGCGTTTGAACGGACCAAAAAACTATCTTACCTGGCTGATGATTGAAGGGGTGAACAGTGAAAACGCATACAAGGGCCCGTCACTGAAGGGGGGTGAGCGTTGAAGAGAGGTCAGAAACCAGAGCCTACAATCCCATGTAAATTCCCACTGTAGATGTGCATCAGCAGCCGGGGAGACATGGTAGAAGAGACGCATACTTGCGATCCAGGTTTTCCAGTCCTTCAGGCTTTGCCAGATATAGTCCTTCTTGAAGGCCTCCCCACCCGCACTTAGTTTCATGTCATCTTGGAGACGGCGGATAACAAAGACACCTGTCAATTATTGGAACCAGCTACCAAGGAGAGCTGCGACGACATACGCTCTTGCTCCGTCAGGAATTTGGCTGTGTCGGGAAAATCCTGAATGATCCAGTACGACATAAGGCCTACGACGACTGTGGCTAATCCTTCCAGAATAAATATCCATTCCCATCCTGCCGTTGATTTAGCGGTTTGGATGGTGGGAAGTAAAAAGTGAAGTACCTGTTTTACCCCCAACACCATCCATATTCGCAATAGCAGCGGCAAGAAGGCCACCTGGGATCGTCAGACATAACTCGTTAGTTAGGAATGCAATCCATCTTACTAAATGCCCCAGCGACTGTAGCAGAAGAGAAGAAAAAAGCGACGCGAGAGCCCATTTCAGATCGCTTATACCAACTTCGAGCCGTTTTTAGAAGTCAGATTGCATTCAAAAACAGTAGACCGACCTGGAGATATAGAACACTATTCCCGGATATAGTCCAGCCTCTGTGACACCTAGCAGGACTCTAACAGCTGCACCAAATATTCAGTCCTATGACCGAATCGAAAGGCAAGTGTGTAGAGCACTCACTGACGAGCCCCCCGTAATCCTTGATTAAGCCATGGCACGTCTGTGGAGGACTCAGTATTCACAACTAATAGAGGGAACTAGGGTTCACCATCACAATACCCCAAGCCAGCATCATGCTTGAAAGCCAGATAGATGGTTTGAGGCGACGCAAGATGACGTTACTGGCTGGCTGGAGCCTGGTCAGCAGGAACGGTAGAGGTATGGGTTTTACTAACCTCGAGAAGAGCGTAAGGAAAGAAGAATACAGTCAACGCAGTTAGATATTGTCTGTCATCTATTCCTATATCTTTTTCGAGGCCATAAAGCTGATAATGAAGTGTCAGGAAGCTTCGTGCGGGGGGAATCGCCGACTGACTTTTGCGTTCCCAATGCTGCCCCGATCTAAGAAGTTGAGCAAGTACAGCAGCGCCAACCAGGGTATGACGTGCAGGTCGATCTTTCGAAGGATGGCCCTTTCATGTGCGACGGAAATGTCTGTGCCACTGGAGATCGTGGAGGCCTTCGAGCCTTGCATCGTATTTCCAGAAGGATCGGCCGAGGAGAAATCTGCAACGGCCATGCGAAGGGGCCATGACTGCTTTTAAAGGCGCAGGGGGAGGGATTACTTCATATGCTCGCTCCGTGTGCCGTTTATTTTCCACGTCACCTGTGATAAGAAGTCCATCGTTTTGGGTAGCTTTTAGACAGCCGGATGAGAAGCATATTTAAGTTAGGCCGGGCAAGGTATGGGGTCACGATTCAGAACTGGCGCTTCATAAACCCATAAGTCAAATGTATTTATTGTGACTGGTCCGATTCAGAGACACAGGGCAAGCGACATGGCGGAAATTCGCGATGGTGAAACACAGAAGCAACACAGAAGCAAGGGAAAGAATCTGGGTCACATCAGATCTATTGGGCCGAGTTATCAGCAAATGTCAAGGGCCTTGTCAGCAAATCCATGCCTCAGGGGAATCCGATTTTCCCACCGCTAATCACTCCTTGCCGGTAGAGTTGGGTTTCCTTGACGTAAATCGTAAAAGTGCGAGATGAAGAATGCATGCCCACATTCCGAAACGACATTCTGCTGGAGATACTGGGAAACGGTCGGATAGACGCCTAAGAATCTTGCTGCCAGGAAGTATTCTCGTGATTAAACAAAAACAATTAGAGGATAGTTAAATAGTTAAAATGGAGGGAACGTACGACACGGCCATAGATAACATGTCAGGCCGCATCCCGAGGCCTGTTACACAAAGGCTCTCCGATACAAGTCTCGTCCAACGGCTTCTTCCAAATGCGATAGGGAGTCCTTCAGCCAATTCTTCACGATCTCAGTTTCAAGACCCGCCACTCGGACTACTGCACCCTGGTCTTCTGCTTCGATGGGGCTGAGGGACCAAATAAGTTGGGCAGGTGTCTTCTCCTTGAAGATCGTAATCTGATCATATCGACTGGCAAGGTCCGTCAAAATAGGCCGAGTTTGTGGGCCATAGAAGATGACCATGGCGTAACAGGAATAAGGCTTTAGCCGTTCTCGAAGCGGCCGCTCTGGAATGTGAGGTCCTAATTCCTGGTTTTCGAGGAGCATGATGTCCTTTGCTACCCTTTTTCCGTCATGGAAGACTTCGTTCGTGCTGTGATAACGAGAGAAGACCCATTCCTCGCCTCGGGAGATGCGTCCAGAGGTTATCCAGTCAAGGATAACGAGAGAACCATTCCCCTCGACGTGGAATGTCTGCCTCTGGTGATATGACGCATCCCGGAAGCAGGTCACAGGCTCCGGCAGCAGAAGGAGCAGGCTGTCTGGAGCAATACGAAAGGCGATAGTTTGCTGGGTCAAAGAAGCCGTTGTATCGTGTTGGCTTGAAGGGAGCCCGGATGCCAACCCTTTCGCATGCACGGAAGCTTGTCTTCGTCCTATTCGCGTTTTGAATACCTTCGTGGTTCCCTAGAACAAAATGAAAACCGAAGACTCTTGGTACCGAGAAGTCCAGATGCTCACCTGTGACAGTATTAGCAGCCTTGCTCCTCGCTGAACGTTTACATTGAGATCAACTTCGTCGCCACCCACGAGACCTCCTCCGTAAGATAGAAGGTAGACGAGTGCGGTTTTGTCGTGAATATAAGGGGCAAGGAGCTTTAGCGGATAGGTTGAGGCAAGTTCTGAGAAGACAGCCTTTTCACCATGCAGCGATACGGAGATCGAGCCACCGCCAGAGTACAACTTCGTCAAAGGGGGAGACTGCCATTGCATGGTAATGGTGCCGATCTAACCTTCACGGTGGGAAACGGAGTGTTCGACCATCGCTCCAGCGATGATGACGGGGGAGCTCAAGATAACTAGACTTCTGATGTTCCTCATTGGGACGGTAATCAAATGCAGTGAAGATTCCATTGTGAGTATAGAGAATGATGTAGAGACCATTACAAAGGAGTGTGCGTGTGTGACAATTATACCAATATGAGGCATACCAATAATCAAAGAAAGTAATAAAAACAACATATCTGCTGGCAAAGGACGAAGGCAAAAGGAATATGCATAGAAGAAGGTCCAGGAATCAGTACTTGCGTGTGGCAAGTGCCCTGATCTCATAGAGATATGAACGATCTGCCGCTAGTGAGGCGTCCCGTCTGGCGAGACTCGATTTCCAACCTTTCATTTCCGCGCGATGGCGCTCTTCAGCTTTGCGACAGCTCTCGATGAAGGCATCATCAACATCGCATACGACCATTGATGCCCTTGATCCTCGATCACTGCCAGACTCTGATATTGACCGTGAATGGCTGCGAGTAGGGCTTGAGGTTTGGGACCGAGGGTTTGATGAGGACGCCGTGCTGGCGTCTGAAATACGGGGGACATTGGCACGAATAGTAGCACCTTTGCCGTCTGAAATATCACCATCCTCCTCATCGTCGGCGAGATTTGCAAACACATCAGGCTCATCCTGGTCTGGCGGCAATGTCGATATCCAACACATACGAGTTGGATCAAAGACCATGTTTCCAACTATCCGTGCGCCAGAGGCGAATGAACCCAAAGGCGAGCCAATGGATGAACCCGTTAGATGTGTGATGAGGGCAGGTCGAGTTGAAGTCCCAACAGCGGCATCAAAATCGCGGAGGACTTGATCATTGCCTTCCCATCGAAGAGTTTGAGGATTCCACTTCATGTCTCCGACAACTGGACGGTATAAATGTCATTAGCAGCTAGCATCTGGAATGCATGGATGCTACGAACCTTTGGGAGCATTTGATCCGCCAAGATTACGAATTAGCGTAGGTTTTCGCCGCGTCGTTGAACTGCTGGGAGAGAAAACATTCTTCTTCTTTTTTGGGAGGGGCTCTGCTGCCACAGACGCCGACTGCGAAGAATCGATGCGTGTTGTAGTCCGCCGTAGGGCGTTTGTTGAGGGTTGTGGAGCAATCGCATGTTCTATGAAATAATGAGAAACTATATCTATCGAGAAATCCGGCGTGGCGTACCATTGGTCGTTGATCCTGAGCGCTTAGTTCTCCTCCTGACCGTACCTTTGTCTTTGTCCTTCTCTGCAGGCTTCGAGGGAAAGGTGGCTCCGGGTATCCGATTGCCATAACCTTTGGGCTGGACCCGGTAGCGAACCTCTTTCTCACGATCAGTAGGTAGGTCATCAATGCCATCGAGTTCTGTGCCATCGCCGTATGTCCGTGGACGCTTCGGACGTCGGAGGAGTCTTGGAGCGGCAGGAGGAGGGGAAGCGAACGAAGAACTACGTGATGGTGCCGACGCACGTAGTGAGGAGCTTGAAGGAGGTCGAGGTGGAAGAGGCGACGTTGCCCGTGCGCCGAGCACCTCCTGACCTGCTGCTGACGATCCGCCGAAGACTTGCGAGAGGGCAGGTCGGGATTTCAGCCTCGATTGTGTTGGCATGGTCAACCGAAGGGCTGCAGGGTTTGAGGACGGAGTAGAGGGGCGTGTAGGAGGCACTTTGAAGTCGTGTATTCGACTTGTCGAGCTCTTGTGATTTCTCGCTCTTGAAGACGCCGTCGGTTCTTCATAGCGAGCAACTTTGATTGGTTCAATAGGCGTACTCGATCCCGATGCCTGGGCATGGCTCGATTCAATCAAAGAGGACATAGAGGCTTTCCGAGTGAGCTTCCGTGAGGATGACGGCGGGCTCGGTGGTTTCAATCCTGAATGGGACTTCTGACCACGGAGGCTGCCTGGTTTAGCGACCAGAAAATGGTTATTAGAGGATGGCGAGGGACCGGGAGTAGGAAGGCCAGAGGTGAGAGGTTGAAAAGTGTGCGAGCGAGAGGGTGGTCGAAGCGGCGGAGAGGGTGATAGGCGTATTTTCTGCAACTGTTTTGCAGATGAGGTTGGTGGGTTGGCAGGGGATTTCGAGCGTTCTGGTTTTGCTCTTGAAGGAGGGCGGAGAACGGAAGGTTTTGCAGGTGGCACGCTGTAGCTTCGACTGAAGTGACGTTGCGATTGCTGTTGCGAGTTGACTAGGCGGCTTGGGCTCAGGTCAACATCGTCGTTGATTACAAGACCCATCTCAAAGTCGTCCTCCGGGTCCGGTCTTGAAACCTTGACCGGTTGGCTGAGATGTTGAACGTTCTTCTTCATCTCGAGAATCTTGTTCAGCTGGCGAGCACTGTGACCTGTTTCAAACATAGCCGAGGGTAGTACGAGTCCATCGAGGTCGTCTTCGTCTTCCTCTGTTTCAGTGTCGGGGAGAGACGCCTCAGAGGTTGAATTTGAAGATGGAGAAGCTTCCGCGAAGCCGAGAGTGGAATAGGCATCGGAGGACTGAGAAGAGGATGAATTGTCCTTGTCGCCCCATTCGAGAGAGCTCTTGGAGGATCGGTGGGCGAGAGACAAGGGCGCGAGTGAAAGTTGTGTGAGATCTGAAGGTAGTGAGAAAGCGTCCTCAAAGTCCTCATCAATGGGCTCCACTACAGGCTTGTTGGTTGATTTGGCGTAGACAACGGTTGAAGGTGTGGTGGCCTTGATAGTGGACATGCCTTCTTCATCCTCCTCGGCGTCTGATGCGTGGATGGGTGGGCGGATGTTGATTACGGTGGAGGCGGATGACGACATCTCGAATCTGGCAGTCAGTCCTGCGACGACTGCCTCTGCCTTTGCACCGCCGGTTTGACCCAAATCCATGTCCATGTCCCAGTCCTCATCACCATCATCATCCTTGTCGGAGGGGGCGTGGAGTGGAACGCCGTCGGGGAGGTCGAAGTCGGCATCAGGCCATTCTTCTTGTGGCAGGATTAGTGTGGGTGCGGGAATGGTGGACATTGAAGTAAGGCCGTATTAAAGTGTTGTGAGCAGGGTTGGCGGCTGGGGATGGCGAAGAGAAGATGGTGGAGTTGTTATTGGAAATGGAGAAGGAGCGAAGATTGAAGATAACGAGGAAAGGATTAGGGGAAGAACGAAGAGAGAAAGGATTGACGGAATGTATGTGCGCCAAAAGAGGCCAAAGGGCCGACCAGGCGAGCTTAGGCGCTGGCGGGAGATTTGAGGCGGCAAGGATAGTGGGCAGGGACAGAAGAACACTCCCGCCTCGTGTCCATAAACAGAGTGTACAAAGTAACAGTCACGTCACAAACACATGTCACGCTTTCATTGAATCCATTTCAGTAGGGTAGCAACCGGCGGTACTCGCGGGCATTATACTCGATCTCATCTTCACTCCCTTCATTGTCCCCTCTGGGCCCATCCTCGACATTATCCACCAACTCCTCGAGACCCTGACATAATCGTATCCCCCTTTCCGCCATCGTGTCCGCAAGACCGTTCAATTCATGAGTGGTGAACACACCACGGAGCGGACCAAAGGCCAGGAGATATAGATCTGTACAGCCTTGGGTCAGTTGTTGGAGACGGCATTTACTCTGTGCCACTCACCTTTGGCCAGAGGGCATTCTCCGATGGCACGAAATACCAGCTTCTTCGCTCGTTGTAGGTCGTTTACCCGTATTTCAAATTCGATGTAGATTCGCCATATCACAGGACTTGATCTCGTCCTGCAAAAGTGCCGCAATAGTTGTGGATCCAGTTCCCAGATACGGAAGAACTTACCGTTCGTGTTCAACCGCAGTCGCCAATCCGTTTCGGGTGCGCTCTACCTCTCCAAGCCATCTGCTTTTATCCCACCCTGCGACCCACACTTCTTCAATCCGTCGAGCGACGTCCTTCGATTTCCCGTCGTTTCCACCTGATAGTGCACGCACTCTGCCCCAAACCCCTTGACCCTTTTCTGCTTCCAATAACAGTCCAAGGATAATCGAGTTGTTTGGATACATCTCGAAGGCAGCATGAGCACGTTCTCTGAGAAGCAGCGGAGGCATCGGCCGCTTGAGTATGAACCCGTAGTAGTAGAGCATGAGCAGCGAAGAAGTCGCAAGGCTCTCCTGAACTGCATGCTCATGGTTGACCGTTGCAAATTTGTCAAAAGTAGCGGAAATCGTCCCCGGTTGTCCGCCTGTCAATAGTTCGAGTAACGCAGCAAGCTTGATCCATGCTTCTCGCGCTTTCCAAGAATTCTCTGTTCCAGACGAATGTGCCAGATCCTCCAAAGCGCGTTTAGCTCGCAGGACAGTGACTCCAGAGCTTACTCCTTGCATACCGACCGACTTAAGAATGGCGTTCAGTGCCTGCTGGTCATCTCCAGCTAGCCACTCCATCTCCGCCCAGTTCCACCAGAGGACGCCGGTTTCGTGCTGGGAAGCATTAGGTTTGGATGCAACCAGTAACGTTTGGTAAATCTTCCGAGCTTCGTCTGGTCGCCCACGCAACTGCTCAAGTTGTGCATGGCACCTCCATAGAGGTAGAGAGGTTTGGTTGGATGATAGGAACGACTTCGACATCTTGACAGCACTATTTCACAATCAGCTTTCGGGGTGGAAAATAGAAAAGAGGCGGTGCTCGCTTTTTAGGATTGAGAGCTACCTCAAATGCCAACGTCAACGCGTGCCATTCCTCGTCATTCTGCCCAAATCCGAGGGAAGCGAAGATTCGGCGAACGACCGTTTCGTTAACACCCACGACGTCACCCGCTGTCCACAGTCCTCTCCGACTCGTTTTTCCAGGTTCTGCCGAAGTGAGGTCGAGGGGTCCAGAAACTCCGCGCGTCCAGCACTGCACTGGACCAAACGGGCTACTATACTCCCTTTCTCGACCAATCACAACACCAGCAACTGAGTCCGTCGCCAACTTGTTCCGGTTTGAATCAGCCGGGAAAATTGAGTTCAGGTAGTGTGTGTTCGTGAGGTAGTCCAAATTCCACCGGTCGTCCCAGTCGAGCTCGTGAGAGGTAGCTAGGGAAAATCCTGGGACGTGCAATCCGAGGACAGAAAGCCAGGCCAGCCGGAAAGCGTCCTTTGCACGTTCTGAGGTGAGGTTGAGAAGCAAGGGCCGAACATCCGAGAAGAGGATGGTGGAGTAAGGGTCTTGGGTGTCGGAATCCGAGCGGGTAGGTAGACGAAGTGTGCGGCATGAGGGCAGTTCCTGCTTGGCCCATTCACGATAAGGGTCCAGGTCTGGGATAGTGGGTTCCTCAACAAAATTCTGGCGGGTTGGGCTCTGTCGGCTCTGTTGGCTCTCCTTGGATGAATGCCAGGAGCTCCATCCGTTTGCCCCATCTTCACCAGCTCGAGGAACTTCTGAGTCCCAGAATTCTTCCAGTTCGTCGAGTTGCGTCTCAAGAGACATCTTTGATAGCTTCTTGGGTACATTGAACGTCCTGAATAGAGTAATATACGCAAATTAAAGAAGCTTGGCCAATCAGAGTTTAACACCACGTACAGTTCAGCCTGGGCTTGGAACATGGCCATTGCCCGTTCTGCGTATCCTAAAAATGAGGTGTGATAAGATGAACGTTCAGAGAGTACCGGGTCCAACTAGCCTGCATTCTTTATCACAGTGACAATCCGCCAGAATACTCTGACTCTCCCAATATCCCCTTCCTCGCCAGCCCCTAGGCTAGCTAACACCTTTCGTGCGGATTCGACCACTCCTTCAATGCCATTGTTTCCCTTTCGTATTCGCCATTCCAACCACTCCATCTGAATCTCGATCCCGCCAACTTTCAAGGCATCCTCCCATTCGAACCGGAGTTTACTTTCGTGCCATGTTTCTTCTCCAGCCTTCAGATACATGAGTCGTAGAATTTTGCTCTTCCCGTTCTGGGGATCTGCTGCAATGGCACGGGATAGGATAGCAATCGAAATTTCAGAGCGGGCCTTCGTGGCATTCTTGGAGATGACAGGAATCGTTGATAGTGTGTGGTCTAACAAGGACACCCATTTGTCGACGGATTTGCGGTTGGCGGTGAGATCTTGCTCAAGGGATTTCAGCAATTCTTGGTGGGCTGTCAGAGTGATGGCATAACCCTCATCCTCAGAGGTATCCATGTCCTCATCGCGGGATGATGAGGATGAATCGGAGTTGTTGCCGTCATCGCGAGTTATTGAACGATACGACTCCTCGGCGCGACGTTTCCCAGAGGGTAGGCGGATGAACCCATCGACTTCTTCGTATTTTGTATTCGAAGAGGGGAGAATACGTCGAGATGGGGGCTTGGCTAGCAAGGCGCGAGCGCCAGGATCCGTGAGGCCAGATATCTTCGAGGCAGTCAGTACACAGGCCGATGTGCGAACCAGGAGTCAATGAGTCAGATACCTTACGATAGTTAGACGGCCCTATCTCAATACCTTTCCCGGCCCTATGGTGTACCACCAAAGAGGCAGGCAGACCCAGTACATGCCTGCTTCCTGGAATATGATTAGAGGTCACCAAATTATCAAGGAACTTGCTTACGGCCCACGATGTGATACTTCGGTATATCACCAGCATGGAGGCCACCGAATTGTATATTTAAAGGGTCTCCCCTTCTGTCTGAGTAGAAACCATCCCTCAGCGACGCGCCCGTGTCGCGTCGGTAGGCCTCCTCATGCCGCTCTTCATCTCTCTTTCGGTATTCTCCATCCTTCGTGTGTTTGTATTTGCGGTGCTCCTTCTCGCGTTTCCGGTCACTGTCCTTCTTATGTCGACTCGGATGTTCCTTTGAGGATGAATGATCCTTTTTCTTCTTCCTCTTCTCGTGTTCGTGTTTACTGGAGGAATCTCCTTGACTTGGGCCAGCGAGTTCCTCGAGGTTAGGGAAGGACGAGAAGGAAGGAGGAAATGACAAGAATGAGGGAGGAGGGCCCGACATTGAGGTTTATTTACCCTGCGGTAAGAGCCAGAAGTAAATAGAAGGGAGAGAACGGATTGCAGTCAGTGGTTGAATTCCAACTTCAAGCGGCAGCTCGGCCCGCTCGCGTGCGTCATTGATATAAGTCGCGCAGTCGCGCCCAGCCCAGCGCCCAAGTTTCCCACAACCTCCACCTTATTCCGCTTTCTCTTGCCATTCGCCTTTCCCCCGTCCTTTCCCTCCCGCGTTTCCTTCCTATTTGAATCCAAAACAACCCGTTCGGCGCTATGGGTGTCGCCGAATACAAATCCCCGAGCTTTGGAATCGAGAAGAACTCGGAGTTGGCTACACAATTCGACAGAAGCATCTCCCTCGTGAAGGCTTATACGAGTCGGTGAATACGAATAAATTGATGCCTTTTGAAGTCCGACCAACATATTGTTCAGCTTTGAGCAGGATTATGCCCGGCCTGCTATCAAAACATCCGGAGTATTCTACGAAAGGCGGCCCATCTCCGCTGTATGTTTCTCTGCAAGAAACTGCCCCTCCTGCGCCGTTGAACAGAGTTCATATAGGTATTTTTGGGATTCTTCTTGTCCCTGAGCTTCTTGCCAGTCATTTCGTTCATGTAGGCAGCATACATTTTAACATGCTGAAAGCGATCTAACCCAGCGCTCTTCTAGCGGCATCTCGGTCTTCACGATTGTATCCTTCCTCACCGTCGCCTTCGGAGCCGCTCTTGTCTCGGCATTTATGGTAATTCTAGGCTGCTGTGTGTCTTTCCTTCTTGTATCAGACAGGTTGACACTGACGTCCCTGTGTGGTAGTTGCTGTGCTTGCCTCCGTCCTACTTGCGACCTTTTTCACATCAGGATTCTTGACAGCCGGGACCGTCTTCACATTCCTGTTTGCACGCTTTGCGATCTCGGTTCGCCGCTCAGGAGTGTCTGGCTTTTCTGAATGGGCGAACGAGACGAAGGGCCGCCTTGGTCGCACCCCAAAACCCGGCGAAGGCGAAAAGCAGATTCCCTCGGATTCAACAAGCAATGAATCCGTTGTCCTCGTAAATAAACCCATTGGTACGGAACCTGAAGATGCCACCTCAGTGCCACAAGACAAGCACGGTGCAGGAGAAGAGACAAAAAATCCAGAATCTTGATGCTCACTGTACAACTTTACTATACTCTTTCCTCGGTTATTAAAAAAATAAGACGCATCTGTATGCTTTTACATCTGGACGAAATAAATTGGCCCTATACTGGTGTTTGTGGCATGGAAATTACAAATAAAAGAAAAAGAAAAGAAAAATCAAAAAAGGAAAGAGGAGGAAAGGGGGAAGCTCGTGACCGCGTTGTGAAATGAGTGTAGGGACGCCTGTCCTGCCCCAGTCGATGCGGGAAATGACGATCTTGAGAGGCAAATTACCTTTGGCGGCCCTGCGGGGCCACGTTTGGAAATATCCAGTCATTTCGTCGTGTTTGGCAGGCTGAATACTCGCTTACATCAGCAATTCCTAATTTCGTTATGCGTGCTATACGAGGGTATGTAGCACTGCATAATTGGGGGGGGTATCCCAATAGATAAGGACATGCATTACAGTGCTATGCCGTGTTACGTAGCGCTACGTAACGCGCCATAACACGCTATACCACCGAAATCGAGGCCATTTTGACCTTCAAAATCACGATTTGCTGATGTAGGTCGCATCAGTGCGCCTTGCTCACCTTTTTCCTTGCATTTTCATGGGCCAGCGCACGAATACTCGCTTAGATGTCGCCCGCGTGCACCTTGATCATCACAAAATCAAGAAGATAAGATTTCGTCGAGGACAGACATCGCAATGGCTCGCCCGCGCAAATGGTGTCTCGGCATTTTCCGAGCTTGCGTCGACAACTCTCATAGCGCACGACGCACTGCGCTTCTGGGGTTAAATTTTTGAATTTATCTTCACATTACTCACACACTGATCATGAATAAAAAAAATTGGGCAAAAGGTGCCTTCATCAACCCAGAGGGGGCGATGTTGAAAAGAAGAAGATTTGGCATTTTGGGGGGGTCATTAGTGGAATAATTACAAAAAAAATGGACCCCGTTGTTCCGACTGTCTTCCCAATGGTATATAGCTATTCTTATGAGCTGACGTGTCCAAATAGCTCGCTGAGAGCATCGACGAGCTCGAGGAGACAAGTATGAGACTACTTACATAATTGCCGAGGTGCCGAGTGTCAGTATCAGTACTGTACGTAATCAGGAAGCTGGTCACCTCGCGTTTTCAACGTCCACGACCACTGCTTGTTGGATTTGGAGAGGCAAACACGCCCGAGCAGCGCACAGGTTTCACGTATGCAGCTCATGTCAGCACGGCCCATCTCATGCTTGGAGATAGGTATTTTGTCTTTATGTTAACTTTCATTTTACTTCCATCTACTCTACTTCACATCTAGAGTACATATAAACATTCTACGTTATCTCGTTGCTGTTCTTATCATGCATCAGCTGCTCTTTTGTTTTTTATCTTCACATGGCTCTCCTGGGCAGTCAAGCCCATTTATACTGCGCCGTTTTTGTTAGCGCTCCCTCAGCCGTTTTTCCAAACGCTGAGGTGAGCTTTCTAGTTTATGATCTAATATTCATATGCTTACATCCTGTACCTAGCTATTCTTAGGTACTGGTCAATGTTATGAGCCGTTTTTCCAAATGCTGAGCTATTCTTAGTTGGTTCACAGGTTATGGGCCCCGCTCCCTACGCTTAAACTCGACGATCAACCTCAGCATTTTATTTTTGCCTACACACCATGTCTACTGCCACGACTTCTCTCTCCGACACCCTTCCATCCTCTGTACCCAAGCTTGATGCGAGCGGCTTGAATTGGGCAATATTTGCTGTCCGATTCCAAGATGCCGTCGAGGCTAAATTCTGGGGTCACTTCATTGGTACCGACCCTTGCCCTGTTCCTGCAGCCACTCCTACCCCTGCCCCTACCCCCGTTACTGTTACTGCCAGTGCCGTGACTGCAGCTGTTGTGGGCGCTGTCCCTCCAACCATTGGTGCGACGGCGACCCCTACCACGGCTGAGATAGCTGCTATGGAGAAGTGGGACAAGGATGAGCGTGCGGCGAAGTCTTTACTCACCCAGAGGATTCCCGATTTGACGTTGATGCGTATCCACTCGAAGAAGACCATCTTCAAGAGGTGGTCCACCATCGTCAGCGAGTACACGGAGAAGGGCGCTTATGCACAAACCGAGATGCGTACGAAGTTCTTGGGGTCGAAGTGCCCTGACAAGGGCAATGTGCGTGAGTTCCTGGATTCCTTGGCCACCAAGAGGGAACAGCTTGCTTCAGTTGGTGTCAACATCGATGAGAAAGACTATCACTCGACCATCCTGCAGTCCCTTCCTATCCCACTCTCAAACTTTGCATCGGCGCAGCTTGCTGCTGCCCGAATGTTCTCCCCAACCAGTACCATTGCTCCTGACACCCTCATTCGGCTTATTGGCGAGGAGTATGACCACCAGAAGTCCCAACGTTCTGGGCACTTGGGAAAGGCGAGGGAGGACGACCGCGACGAGGTGATGGCAGTCTCATTGAACACTTTGAACAACACAGGTGGTGGACAGGCTGTGAATGGTGGAGGTGGCTCAAGCAGGGGGTGCTGGAAGTGTGGCGACCTTGGTCACTGCAAGAGTCAGTGCCTGAAAATGAGGAAGATTGTCGACAATTTGACTCAGAAGGCAGCTTCTTCAAAGGCGGGTGGGTCTGCGAATGTGGTTGAGGTTGAGGAGGGGGACAGTGACGGTGTTTTCGCGGTCATGGTCGAGTCTGATGATGAAACGTCAGTGCATGGTTCAATGCCAGGGCTCCAGTCAAATACCAACGCGGTGATGGGGAGCAACGATTATTCCGACGCCGACAGTGACTCCCTCCCGGTGCCTCACCAGTCTGATGCGCTGATGGACAGTGACTGGTTCTCAGATGTCGGAAGTGACGCTGGAGACTATGACGACCCATTCTGGAGCTCTGAGGATGGATCCGACGAGGAGGAGGAGAGGTTGATGGCCGAGTTCTACGCCATCATCAACACCGTCAAGGAGAAATTTGACGTCGAGAATGCCTTCCTCGAAACCCCTCGCGTCGAGATCTACGACTCGGGCTCAACTCGCCACATCTCCCCTTACCGCGAGGACTTTGTCAACCTCACGGAAATCCCACCGCAAACACTTCGCGCTGCCAACAAAAACAACTTCAGTGCTACTGGGGTTGGCGAGCTCATCATTGACGTACCTAGCGGTGTCAACATGAAGCAGCTCCACCTCACAGAGGTGCTCTACTCTCCCGAAGTTGGCTATACACTTGTCTCCATTGGGCGGCTTGATGAGAAGGGGTTCTCCACAACGTTTGCACATGGGAAGTGTGTTATTCGAGGACCAAAGGGTGAAGAGGTTGGCGAGGTGGCAAAGAATGCGAAGGGCTTGTACCGCGTTGAGCACGACGACGACACGGTCAATTCAGTGATCGAGACGATCACTTTGGACCAGTTCCACCGTCACATGGGCCACATATTGCCTGAGGTTGCTCGTCGACTTGTATCCAACAAGTTTGTGACAGGTGTTTGTCTCACAACAATGTCGACGTCTGGTGATCCTTTCTTCTGTGAATCGTGCGTTTATGCCAAGGCGACGAGGAAGTCGGTGCCGAAAGAGAGAGCTGGGGAGAGGGCGAGCGAGTTTGGTGGTGAGGTTCATTCGGATCTCTGGGGACCAGCGCCTGTTTCTACATGGGGCGGTCGGCGCTACTATGTCACCTTCATTGACGACAAGACGCGACTCACTCACCTCTACCTCATGCGCAATAAGTCTGACACTTTTGCCAAGTACAGGGAGTACGAGGTGTGGTGTGATGCACAGCTAGGTGCTCGAGTCAAGGTTTTGCACTCGGATCGAGGGGGAGAGTACACCGGGAAGGAGTTCGTTGTCCATCTCAAGGCTCGCGGCACGGCGAGGAAGCAAACCGTCCATGATACCCCTGCCCAAAATGGTGTTGCGGAACGTCGTAATCGCATCATCATGGAGTGCGTTCGAGCGCTATTGCACAGTTCTGGTCTGCCAAAGTTTCTTTGGGGCGAGGCTGCTCGCCACATCGTTTGGTTGTTAAATCGGACGTCGACGAAGGCGGTGGATGGCAAAACCCCCTACGAGGCAGCTTTTGGGAAGAAGCCTGACCTCCGCGAGGTACGTGAGTGGGGCGAGAAGGTGTGGGTGCGCATCGAGGGAGGGAACAAGTTGGGTGGGCGGGTGCGAGAGGGGCGTTGGATGGGTTTGGATGAGAAGTCAAAGGGTGTGAGGGTTTATTGGCCTGACAAGAGGACTGTGACGGTGGAGCGAAATGTCTATTTTGACAAGACAGCCTCATCAGTCAGCCGTCTCGAGGGGGAGGACTGGGAATTCATCGAAACGACGCCTGATTCAATGCCGGATGGACTTACCAGCACCCCATCTGTCAATACACAAGCTTCTACATCCGCACCAACTCCTCTCGAGACACCTGCAACCACTATCCCTGCTCCCACAGACCCCACGGACTCAAACACGTCAAATTCTAGCGACCACGAGACGCCCTTGGAGCCTGAAACTCGGTCGAAACGCACTCGGAAGCCTACACAACATCTCCGTGACATCCTTGAGGGACACGCCGTCTTGTCCAATCGTCCTGGGGCACCAAAGGTTACACCCGGGGTGCAGCTCCCTTCGGAGATCCTCTACGCTCTTTATAGCAAGGCTGGTTTTGAGGGGGAGAACGAGGATGGGTGGGTGATGGTGGCAGACTTCATTGATGAGTATGCAATGGCGGCAGAAATCAGTGAGAAAGAGGCTTTAGAGCCCCATTCTCTCGCCGAGGCAAGGACTCGACCTGATTGGCCGTTGTGGGAGAAGGCGATCCTGGAAGAACTCGCTGTTTTGAAAGCTGCGGGTACATGGGAACTTGTCGACGCACCTCCTGGAGCCAATATCATTGGTTCAAGGTGGGTTTTTCGGGCAAAGAAGGATGCTGCTGGCAACGTGGTGCGCTACAAGGCTCGTCTCATCGCGCAAGGTTTCTCCCAAGTCCCGGGGATCGATTACTTCGACACGTTCGCACTGGTCGCACGCCTTGCTTCTATTCGGGCCGTTCTCGTGATGGCGGCTGTCCATGACTACGAAATCCATCAAGTTGATGTCAAAGGTGCTTACCTAAATGGCATTCTCACCGCCGACGAGGTTATTTTTATGCGCCAACCCCCCGGATATAGGATTTCTGACAGCGCGGGAAAGGTGTGTCGTCTTCTCAAGACACTGTATGGACTGAAGCAGTTGGGGAGGTGATGGTATCAGAGGTTGGTGGAGATCATGGTGCTGCTTGGTTTTGAGCAGTGTGCGGTCGACCAGGCAGTTTTCTTTAAGCGCCGCGGCAAGGCGCTTGTGATCGTGCTTGTGCATGTCGACGACTGCACAATTGTGGCCACTGCACTGCCACTGATCGAAGCCTTTAAGGCTGAGGTCGCCAAGCACGTTGAAATCACCGATTTGGGCGAACTCCACTGGATCCTCGGCATTGAGGTTCAGCGCAATCGCGAATGCCGTATTATTTTCCTTTCCCAACGCTCGTACATCGACTCGATCCCGGTAAAACCTTCAAGACCTCAAGCCTCTTTCCATTCCCATGGACCCCAATGTTCACCTTTCGAGCACTCAGTCTCCCTCTACCACTGTCGAGATCGCGAAGATGGCAAATATCCCATACCACAAGGCCGTTGGTTCTCTCATGTACGCCTCACTTGGTACATGCCTGGACATCACCTTCGCTGTCCAAACCGTCTCGCGATATGCCTCAAAGCCTGGTCCCGAGCACTGGGAGGCCGTCAAGCGGATTTTTTGCTACCTGAGTGGTACGAAGGAGTTGTGGTTGAGTTTTGGTGGGGACACGAAGGGGCTGGTTGGATTTGCGGATGCGGATGGGAGTATGGCAGAGGAATGTCACGCGATCTCGGGGTATGCCTTTTTGCTTCACGGCGGTGCTGTTTCGTGGAGTGCTAAGTGCCAGGAGATCATCTCACTGTCCACCACGGAATCTGAGTATGTCGCAGCGATGCAGGCCATGAAGGAGGCTCTCTGGCTCCGCTCCTTGGTCTCGGAGCTTTTTGCCATCGACCTCGACACGACCACTTTATTTTTGGACAACCAATCGGCCATCGCGCTCACAAAAGACCATCAGTATCACGCCCGCACTAAACACATCGACATTCGGTTTCATTTCATTCGCTGGATCGTCGAAAAGGGGTCCATTCGACTCGTCTACTGTCCTACTGGCAAAATGGTTGCGGATACTCTCACCAAGGCCCTCCCTTCTGCAAAGGTGAAGCATTTCGCTTCGGAGCTCGGACTCGTGCTCATTTGAGGGGGAGTGTTGGATTTGGAGAGGCAAACGTGCCCGAGCAACGCACAGGTTTCACGTATGCAGCTCATGTCAGCATGGCCTGTCTCATGCTTGGAGATAGGTATTTTGTCTTTATGTTAACTTTCATTTTACTTCCGTCTACTCTACTTCACATCTAGAGTACATATAAACATTCTACGTTATCTCGTTGCCGTTCTTATCATGCATCGGCTGCTCTTTTGTGTTTTATCTTCACATGGCTCTCCTGGGCAGTCGAGCCCATTTATACTGTGCCGTTTTCGTTAGCGCTCCCTCAGCCATTTTTCCAAACGCTGAGGTGAGCTTTCTAGTTTATGATCTAATATTCATATGCTTACATCCTGTACCTAGCTATTCTTAGGTACTGGTCAATTTTATGAGCCGTTTTTCCAAATGCTGAGCTATTCTTAGTTGGTTCACACTGCTACCTCCATTTTTTTGCATAATTCAAATTTTTGAGGTCACAACATGGAGTGTATAACATTTTTGTGAGAATTAAGCAAGTTGTATGGATGAAAGAGCTGTATTTCTGGGTGTGTGAACATGTGACAGAGGAATTTCTTATTTTGGACCTACTTCCCTCAGATGAAATAGCGGCTCTCTCGTTGAAGAGACTAGCTACTCACAAAATTCTTTCTGAAATGTAATTCTGAGCTCCTTGCCTTTATTATTCAGCACAAATATTCCTTCTGTCCATCCCTTATTCTCTGTCATATGCCTGCCAACAAGATGTATCAAATTTGGGACCTCGTAGAAACAAAGTTGACTATGATCTCATAGATATCTTCTGTCACTCAACGGGGTGTTAAAGCGATGGAAGATTAGCTATGTAATGTATTCCAAGTATTAAACTAATTTTACGAATTTATCTTGGGCTTCAATTGACTCATAAGTTGAGTTTCTGCCTTTTTTGACCACTCCTGTTCTCGGTAAGAATTTCTCACTTATCAGTGGAAATATAAGTATATTAACTGTAGAAAGAGCTTTGGGGTACTATGCCATTCCAGGAGTTTTGAAAGTTCCAGGAGTTTGAAATTCCAGTCTTGAGCCTCCATTTTTTGCGCTCTTGACTTCTAATTTTTTAGGTATGCATCCGAGGCAATTTCTAATGGCTCTTCGAAATTTCGTAGGATGGCGTTCCCTCTGAGGGCCACCAGATTTAAAACAGTGGTTTTGATGTCATCAAAATGACCCATGTATGCGAATGTCAGCCCAGATCCTGCCCGATCCCAACGGCCAACGCTTCTGAAATTCTGTCAACACATTTAAGGCGTACACTGAATGTCTTTCATAAAGTTCTGGGAAGAATGAAGAGCGCGCCGTGGAGGAATGTGCAGAATACATGATCCCACCTCCGGGAGTGTGACAATTTTGGCAGGAGGATCGGTTGTCAACGCCGTCGATTTGGCTGTTGATGGGCGTGATGGATGTGTGACATACTTTTCAAACTCCCAGAATCCTGGACACCCCACCGTTGTGAGCCCTCCGGTGCACTTTCCTCTCTGCTTAAAAATTAAATAAAAATATATTCACGGAGCGAAGACGATTTATGACAATTGTGCCAGATTTGAGGTTGCATAAGCAAGTCGTTGTTGAGCAACATGTTCGTCATTCAAAAAGTTTCAAACTCCCGGGATGGCATAGTATGCCAAATATTGTGTATCATGCATTTTATCCGGAGCAAATTGGACAACTCGATGTCGAGAACAATTCTATGACAGTGACCAGGATCCTGGTCACCATTTATTTTATCTCCCGCTTAGGCAGCACTATTGAGTCCGGTCAGGGTCACTACAATTTGGGATAGTCTCGGGGCCTGACCAGCTTCCTGGTTCGGCATCGGTTCGGCACACTCTTCAGCAAAATATTCGTAGAATGTGAGGAAGGCCTCCTAACACAATGAAATTTCGTACATACATACCCAAGACGTTTATCTATAGGGCTGCATAACGAGAAAGTGTCTACTTCGAAGGCAATTCTAACTGCACCGTAAGGTGACCAGCTTCCCCATTACGTACAGTATTCTGCCAAGCACGAGTAACGAGCCGAAATTGGAAAATTCGAAATTAAAAATAAAAAAGGTTTACCTATGAAGAGCGGGTCCTCCGGGCCGCCGTCAATGACATAAGCCGTTGTTCCTCGATACTTTTTCCCACTGACTCTCGTCTCCCCTTGAATCCTTCCATTCATCATGCGGCCTCTTACAGAAGACGAATCGAAAATGGTGTTTACCAAGCTTGCCAATTACATCGTGAGCTCAGGTATTTGATTCGGAAGTTAGAACTAACACGGCTTTAGGGCAAAAACCTGGTCCATCTAATTGACCGCGCAGACGAGCCTTATTGCTTCAGGCTACACAGGGACCGAGTTTTTTATGTCTCCGAATCATCTGTGCGTCTCGGGACATCTATCGCAAGACCAAACCTCGTTAGTCTGGGAACTTGCTTCGGCAAATTCAGCAAAAGCGGCAAGTTCAAACTGCATATAACAGCCCTTGGCTATGTCGCCCAGTATGCAAAATATAAAGTTCGTCCGTTCAGGTGGTTTCGGGGAACATATTCGTTGACCTATCATTAGATATGGATAAAACCCAACGGGGAGATGCCTTTCCTATATGGAAACCATGTGGTGAAAGCACACCTAGGGCGGATAACGGAAGACACACCGGAGCATCAGGGAGTGGTTGTGTTTAGTATGAACGATATACCACTTGTGAGTTCTCCCGGCACTGTCCCGGTTGGAGATCCTCCTGGGCTCAACGACTTTTAATCTGGTAGGGTTTTGGAGTCACCGCTCGGTCAACTGTGGATACGCGAAAGCTAGACCCCACCGCGATAATTGTCTTTCACCAGGCGTATGTTCACGTCTCACTAGTATAGAGCGATACTAATTCTGCATCTACAGTGATGTTGGGGAATATTTGCGAGACGAGGTGAGTTATTTCTTCCCAGCATTCACTCCGGGTCTGACACGCGAACAGGATACCCTATTTTGAACTCATCCGCTTTATCTCTTGCTACATTTTTTGTCCGTGGGCATTGGAGCTTTGCAATCTATCTAGTCTCGTGTACATTGTCCCAGTTCGAAGTGCTCGACACGGGCTACTTAATATTTGTATCATCACTTTCCAAATTTGGATTGTGCCTGGCGGTGTCGCGTGGAAGTAAAGCTCTCTGACGACACTCATGGCTGCCCAATGGTCCACCCTCGCTGACGATGAACTCGCCGCAGAACGTGTCCACGAACTCCTTGGTCAAGTTCAGAACGACGTTTGGGTCGTCTCTGCGTGCGTTGACAGGGTGCTGGACGACGTAACTGCTCAGCGCACGCTCCTCACGTTTGGGATAGCCCGCACCGACCACATCATGGAGAAATGTGCCAACATAGCTTCCTTGTCCACACCCTCTCATGGACAGGCGTCGACCTCGAATGACGAAATCCTTACCTGCCACTTCCAAAGTGTGCCCGCTGATGCGCAATTGTGCCATTTACGTTCGGTGCTTCTTCGCCGTCTCGACCGCCTCAACACCTATGTGGAAATGCAGAAAATCCTGCCGGACGACCAGGAAATGGATGTGGAGGATGAAATTGACGAGTGGGAAGATGACCCATGGGGAGACGGAGATGCAGCAACACCTTCGAAGTCAACGGCGAAATGCAGTCTCCCAGAATCCTTTCCAGTGTCTCTGCCAGAGTTTCTCCAAAATGACCTCCTTTGGTCAGCTTGTGAACTCGCGACAACGGAAACACTCTCCTCACTCTCTGTCCTCTTCCAAAGGCATTCGCAAGAGTTATGGCCATCCCGTTTCAGGATACTTGAGTGCATCCCGGAACACGTTCACCCATCCACCTGGCGCTCATTGCTACCTACTCTCGACTCTTCAGCGGAACTTGAAGCGTTGCCAGTAGCAGATCCTTGGAGGATAGACCCAGATTTCTCGGAGTTGCCCAGCACACAAGACGCGCTCGACAATTGCATCGTCCCACTTGTAAAAGTAATCGACTCCAACAAGGAAGTCAGCTCGACAGCAGTTCCCGACCCTCTGTCAGATGAAGAGTTGTCGACATGGTACAAGAACCGCGTGAATGCCACGATTATTGCCACTGGCATGGTGGATATCGCGCTTGCATTGGTCCAGCATGGTGCTGCCCAGGGTATTCCGTCCCTTGACCAGTTAGGAGAGGAACTAAGCCTTCTCTCAAGATTGGTGTATGATGCACCTCGAGGGACTGATGCCGAAGAGGATTGGACCTTGACGCGTTGGTATTCAATGGAACCCTTAACCGTTGTACGCGCCTACCTCGCCCACTCAACCCCGGAATCATTGGCGCGCGACATCTCACATCTCGTCATGCCTTACCTCTTCGTTCTGGAGGCAAGAGCAGAACGTGCTGGTCAACCTGACCCTTCCTTATCGACTCGAATTCTCTATGATTATGTCCTTGCCACCTCTCTTGAAAACGTGTCGGCCATATACGAAGCATCTAAGCCCACCCTTCCAATGGCCCAAAGGATTATCAAGAACGACGAAGACATGGCTCGAATTGCACTTGCTTGTCTATATGGTAGTGACAGTCTTGACGAGTGGGCTACCATGAGCAGCATTTTTGAATGCTTGCCTGTCTGGGACGTCTCGAACGCCGAAAACGGCGACGGGGATGCGGCAAACACTACCGTCGCGTCATTAGGAGAGCTCGTCACCCCAAGCACAAACCAGCCTCAATGCACGGCCAAAGACCTCCTTATTTTTTTCGAGCCATTACCCTTCGCATCGCTCTCTCAGGCATTGGACATTCTCGATGTGCATCTTGAGTCAGGCGAGATCCTCGCACGATGGAGTGTGCCCGCCCCTCTGCGATGGTTCCTGCAAAGTAGCAATACTGTTGTTGAGCAGCGTGCCTGGGCAAACCGAATGGCGCGGCGAGCGGGTGGTACGGAAGACCGATTGAATGGCGTCGAGGATTGGGAATGGCTCTTGAAAGACATGCTCAAGTTAACGGGGGGAGACTCCTCAACCAAAGGTGCCTTTTGTTTACTCGGACGGGAAGAAGTCATGTCCATTTTTTTGAGTGGATTATTAAGCACTGGCAGTAAGTGGTCGACGAGTCCATCGTGTTATACCCCTCTAATATGTTTCTAGATCATGCCATTGCGAAGACCATGCTTTATGCGCCACGAACGAAACTTGCGCTCAGCCCTGCCACTATCGAGAGTGTTTGTCTTACGGCTTCAAGAGAACTGTACGACAATGCCAGCTCTGGCAATTACAAGTTCGGGGATATGAAGCTTGCCTGCGATTGGTATGTCCGCGCATGCTTTACAAGACGCTTGACTAAGTATCCCATTCTTGCAGTCTTGAAGTTTCACCACTTTCAGAAAACATCGTCAAAGAGAAGGAATTCATAGAGGCCACATCACGGATTTGTTCATTCCACGTTCCATCGTCTCCTGGCACTGTTATAAGCCCGATTGAGATTCGTCTGACCAAGGACAGACTGTCACTCGTTTCACGCGTCCTCTCGAGCAATAACGACGCATATAAACATACCGAAGTCGTCCTCGACCTCTGCTATAAGCTCGGATACAGAAACCAGCCAGTGGCCGAAGTTAAAGTGCTGGCTATGCTGGCCGATACTGCTCTTCAAGCGGAGGACTTCGTCCGTGCCTACGAGAACAGTGAACGCATGGTTCAGACCGTCTACGCCATGGGCAACTCTGGCTCGCTCGACGGGGACAGTGCGTTCAGGGAAGCTGCAGAAGTTTGCTGGATCGCGTGTTTCCAACTCGGGCGACAACCTGAATTTTCAGATTTGTCAAAGAAAATGACGCTTCTTGGGCATGCGCTTGACCTTTGCCCCCCGGACAAAATCCACGATGTTCTAATGGCGTGGCGCAAGCTGGAGCCAGAAGACATCGAGGCACGGGAAGAACATCTTCGTCAGCGACGTAGTGGCGAAGCTCCCTTGTCAACTGCTAGCAAAATGGATACTGTACCAAGGAATGTCGCATCCTCCTTGCGTGCACGATTGCAAGACTTTCATATGCCCTCTCCGCCTTTGCTCAATACACCCGACGCTGCTGCTCTTGCCAGCCGGACCTTCAAGAGTGTAGCTGCTAACTTCCCCTTCGGCCGTGGTCGGTCTCAGGCGTCTGATATGGATGAGAGAGGTTCTATGAGAAGTGAGAGCTCGAGAAGAACGGAAGGCGGTGATGTCTCTGCCCAGGCCTCCAGGGTCCTCTCCAAGGGCATTGGCTGGTTGATTGGTGCTGACGAGGATATTTAATTATCATGAAGCATGTTTATTCGTTACTGGACCATATTTAAAAACGCAGAAACAAAACGAGAGTGACTATGGTTAGATGCAAGCGAATGATCCCCTTTGGAGGCGAGAATAAGACTGGAAATGGTAAATGATAAATTCCGAATAGTAAAGAAAGATGACGATAGAAAACGGTATCATCTAATGGATGAATCTGGGGGGAATGAAGACGGGGAATAAAGACAGGACGAGAGTGGAGAGACACTACAACATGATCATAAATAAGACTAGTAAGGTAGGCATTGACGATTAGAAATAAAAAGAACGTAAAGGAAAGGCGTAATTAGGAAATAAAAAGGTGTAACAGCGCAGAGGAAGGGTATAAACAGGCTGCGTAGTAGTACAAAAAGTCCGGCTGTGGTGTACAGTCAAAAAGAGTGGAGGATGGAGGGTCCATCAAGGCAGAATGCTTCCGAACCGAGATGAAGTACCTGTGCGTGCCCTGGGTCTGTTAATGACGCTGCTCGCTGCTGGCGCAGAAATAGGGCCGTCCTTCGTGTCGCCCCTCCCACAACTCTCGCAATAATCCCCGCTATTGCGGCCCTTCCATTCCTCTACTTCAATCTTCAAGTCCCTAACCTGGCACTCGAGCTCTTGCACCTGCCTCAGCCACGCCTTCTTCGTCGATACAAATTGGTCTTGCAGCGCCCTGACGGCTGAACTGTCGTCAGAGCCACCCGTAACCGTAATCTGAGGCTGCTCGTTGCTCGAGCGCGAAAAGCCTGGAGTGACAGGCGACATTATACCGGTAGGACTCGGGGATCGAGGGGTGTCGAGGTCTGTCGTTTCGTCAGATGATCGTGATTCCGCTGATACAATATGATCGCCGAATTGGGCACTAAACACAGTCGAGACAGGTCGTAATTTCAGTGCTGGGAACTCGGATACATTGGCTGGGGCGCTTTGGGGTTGAAGGTCGTTTGACCAAGGCCTTTCTACTCGGAGGCCGCCCATGCTCATTCCTTGCTGGGCTCTGTCAGGGAAGACAGAGGCTGGTACACGGGCTGAAGGGCCTGGCGCTGTACTGATTGAAAGCGCAGGTGGAACGCGCCTTGGGCTGAACAAATTGGGTTTCCAAGAATCTCCCCCGTCATTAGTCGAAGGGTCGCTCCGTTGAATATCCGCAGCCTCTAGCAGAGAGGATGAAAGGCTTGGGACTGGCACACGCGTAACGTTGGACTTGGATGTTCTCTGAAGAGGCTGACTCTGATTGGGGTAATCAGGTAAAGAGGGCACGGGAGGCGGACTTTCCCTGCCATCCTTCTCTTGAGCTTTTCCCGCATTGAAAAGGCGCATGAAACCACTTTTCTTGTGCTTGAGAGTCTTGCCAGGTGGACCTTGTTGAGGCACGACAGACGGCTCTGAATCTCGCCGCTCCATTTTAGGTTGTCCAACGATGGTCTGAAACGCGTTTTTTGCCTTGGAACCAGCACTGATAGAACGTCCTCGAGCTCTTGCAGCCAAATTACCCAGAGGATATTCTGTCGTAGTGGTGGGAAATGAAGATTCAGCTTCGCCTGAACAAGAGGCGCTAGACGCATCGATCCCGCTCGAAGTCGATATTCTTGAGGAGTCGACTACTGTCGAACTTCGCATGCGCTGAGCTCTCGCTTCCTCAAGAGAAATTAAGGAGAAAGCTGGAGCAACCTGGCGTTCTGTCCAACCATGAAGGTGCGACACACCAGGCGGAGGCATGATTACCGTTTGCTCCTGCCGCACATCAGAAGCGGGACCATCGATGTGCTGTAGGCTTCTTACGACAGACACTGGAGAGGATATAGTTTTCGGATTGATGGATGATATGCGCTGCCGTGACGAAACGGAGTTTATAGACGTATCCGGCGTCAATGTGGCCGAGTTTGATCGTACGGTGGTCCTTGACATTGAATCGGCAGAAAAGGATTCTGTAACCGTGACGCTTGACTCGTTGCGGGTGGGGAGGTAGTTGGAGGTCCGAGAAGTGGGCGCCGGTGCTTGCTCCTCGGCATAGGATACAATTAGGTCCGGGTTGGCATATGGATGGAAAGCGTCTTCTGGTTGGACAGGATAACTGTTTTGTACATAAGGAGCGTTGGGGTTAGGTGAATCGAAAGGAGATGTTGGTAGATCACTGGCTCCGGCTGGGGATGGGAATCGGTGATTCACCGGTGTACGGACGGGAGAAGGGACTGGTGGGGGAGCAGTCGAAGTATCAGAACGAAGCCGACCAAGCGAGAACTTGTTGCGTAGAATTTCTCTCTGTGGAGGAGCAGACGGCCGCCCTAGAGAGTGGGTTGACATACTCTCTTGAGCCAGTGCGCTTAGAGAAAGAACGCGTCAGGGGGATCAACATAGAAAGGACGAGGACTACGGTCACTCACTACAAGGCGCCTCGTGGGTATGAGATCTGCGAGGTGATGGTTTCGAATGATCGCTTAGGAGGCACCTGAGAGCGAGCAGACTCTGCGCTGGGCCGACCAGCATAGCTAGGACGCGGACTGGAAGAGCTGGAGGTGCCATTCTTCGTGCTTGAGCCGCGAGAGAAGGGGAAACCAGCAGGAAAGCGGCGGGTCTCCGCTTCGGTTTCTTCATCCTCTTCGAGAACACCGCCGTCCATCTCCCACGGAGCACGGGAGTGGAATCGCATTTTCGGTCCAAGATAGCTCATGCGAGTTGTAGGAGAGGACTCGCCATCGTCCTCCGCGTCTTCGTAGGGAGTGCCGTGGTCGTATCCCGCTGAGGTTGCGATGGAAGACCGAGGGTCGTCGCCGAGGTCGAGCATACTGGTAGCCTGGTCATGATCAGGTCCACGGGGATATGTGGGCGAAATTGGGGAGGGGTAGTCGTAGTCAACGGCCTGAGATGACTTGGGCGAAAAATATGAGCGACTGTAGACAGACGGAGAGTCGGGATACTCTGAGGCGGCGGAAGAGAAATGGGCGTGGACGTCGGCGCGGGCGAAGCGCTGGTCTATGAGAACGCGGAGGTGGTCGTCGTCATTATCGTCCTGGTTGTGGTGGAGGGAGGAGAGCATATCGGGGGGACGGACGAGCAACGCCCCGCCTCGTCGAAAAAGCGTCTCTGGCTGAGAAGAGAGAAATGTCAAATCAGGCTCGGTCAGGGAATCCGCAAACACGCACAACCTTTGACCCTTCCTCGGCAGCCACCATGAATGTTCGCGCTCATCGTGCATAACGCTCTCCTCGTTATTTCCGCCCTGACGTACATACAACACCTCCACAGTCCCGCCCCGACGCCATGAGGCCGCCTTCACTCAGAACGGCGACGCCGATGGCAGTGTCCATCATATCAGTATGACCGTGCGACTTCTTTTTTGACCTCCTCCACCATGCCAGTTCCCCTCGCCGCCTCATCCAACGGCCGCGCCTCAGGGAAACCATGGAAGGCACAGAAGACCGCTACAGTGTATGGCGTCGTCCATTCATATCATAACAATCTAATTCCATCCAATCAGTCGCTCATATTTGCCAGAAGGCGTAAAGAATAAGAAATGGGAAGATCGCATGGCAAAAACGCAAAAGGCACTGGCCATTAAAAAACTGCAGACAGAGCTCAAAGACGAGAAGCAGGCGGAGCTGCAACGGTCAGTAGTTAACCAAATCCGTCGCTTTCTTAATCCGTGCCAAACTGCGTACTTCTTAGGCGGCGTGAAATCACGAAGGAACGTAAGGAGGCGGCAGAAGAAAGGAGGAGACTAGAGGAAGCAAAGGCCCAAGTGCATATTTCCTTTCCTACATCCCAGGCACCTTGCTGACTCGCCATAGATGGGAGCTCGTAAAGCTTCCAGGCTACGTCGCAAAGCTGGAAGGACAAAAAAAATCAACCACTGATTTCCTCCTTTTCGGCTCTCACACTTGGTATTACTTATTAGACTGTAAGTAGGATTAATAGGAAACTGTGCCAACCAGTGCTATAGCGTCCACGACGTATCTACTTCGCCGTCCATTACGAATGGCTTGTCTAACCCAGCCACTACACTCTCGCAAAGCGGGCAATTGCTAGAAAGCAGTTGTTCCAACTCAGTTCTCATGCTCTCGAGCCTCTTCTCCCCCATCGTCTGCTCGTAGCCCGTTGTGCGACTGTTACCACCCATCCCTGGTAGCCAGTTGGGGGTAGTCACTAGGGCAGCAAGGGCATCCGGGATGATAAGGTCGCGTAGGCGATCCCCAGCGGAAATGACACTACGTCCTAATAGGTTGGCAGCTTTAGCGCCGTTCTGCAATGGGTTCACAATGGGTCCAAAGTTTGATGAGAGCAATGTCCGTTGGGTTGTCGGGTGACGTCCACTAGGTGGACTAGAGATGACGAGTGTGGGTTTACTGACTTGTCCACGATTTCTCGCGTCTTTTAGCAACTCCGTCTGGAGGGTGACAATCCTACGTAACGAGTAGGGTGGAAGGTATTCTTTCGCCTATAGCAACGGCATTAGCACTTGAAGCTATAATTTCGGCTTAAATTGACGCACCAAACCAATCAAGCAGTCAGCATGGAACGTGTGGTGACATGGGAAAACGTAGAACTGTCTTGTCAGCAAGAGAGTAGAGCAATGAGAGCATTGCTCGTTGGCGTCGATCGTGATGAACCGATTCTTCAATGCAGCGATATCCTGTTTAATAGATTCAGCTGTCCTGGTCGCCTCGTCCATGTCCGCCTTGAGAGTGTCGATTTGTGCCGAATAACCTTCCAAAGCATGGGCAATTTCTTCCTTGAAATCGTCGATGACGACAAAGTCAGGGAAGAAAGGCAGGATGTCTTCAATCTTTAGCAGGTCCGCATTTTCCAAGAAACGCATTGCACTGCGAAAAAGTGAGGGCGGATATAAATTCAAGAATATAGCACATACGATTTGATGTCTTTCTTATCCTGAACGACATAGCGAGCGATCTTCAGCCACAGCTTCTTCCGCAACGGTTGATCATCCTCCGGCATGTCTGCATTGATCTTAGCCAGCTCCAAGTCCCCCTTCTCCAACGCAAGTTCAACGCTGTTCTCCCAAAGACCCATTTTAGAATAGATGTGGACACATGGTTGTGTTCGACCAGCGAGCTTGCATATTCGCAGGGCATAATCAAGATCATAATAAGGTCTGCCCGTGATTGGATCTGTTGGTGCAGTGGTGAGGAAGCGTAGCAGGGGTCCATCGTCATCGGAGGGAGTAGATGAAGGAGGCGATGTCGGCGAAACATAGAAGGTGATAAGCAGGTTGTGGATGGTTGGAGAGGTGTTATTTTGTTCGAAGATAACGTGGTTGAGATACCGAATAGCATGATTTGGAGACAAAGGATCGCGGACAGCATGTTGTAGTTGAAGAAGTGATGGAACTAGGCGAAGGGGGTTTATTGAGGGTTGTCGAAGCCAGGAGTCAACAGTGTCCTTTGGCGCTTGATGCATAAGGACTGGGCCGAAGCGATAGTAGAGTTCTATGTCAGACTAGAATTTACTTAGCCGCTGAGGTGAGAAATCTAAATTGTCAGGAAATATGATACCTGACGGCTGATCACTTCGATAGCCTTGGTCCACTGCTCTTCCAAAACCCAGTGCTCAACCACTCGCTCGAAGTCACCGATAGTCGTGGCATAGAAAAGGTACATGTCTGTGCGGCCATGACCTTGGATCAAGTCGTACACGGTCTCCTTATCCAAGTTAGCCTTGTAGAAGGAAGTCAGTGCTAGCTCGAACCATCAAGTCACAGCACAGACCCTGTATGTCTCGAAGAAATGACGAAGATCTTCTTCCACTATCGTTCGCTCAGCTCGAAGATTTTCAACATCTTGTGAGACAGATTCCGAGGCAACAATATCATCCAGCTCGTTGCATTTGCTGAGATAGAATTCAACGAGCCACGTTGCAAGCATCATCCGTTGTGTTAGGTCCTAAAGAAGGCTTTTACAACAGATTGATAAGGAGAATATACTTCCACACACCGTTTTCCGTGTCCTTTCCAACCTGGAGATCAGGTAAGATCTCAACGAATCTCTTTCAGCAACGTCAAGGAACTTCAATGAAACTTCCTCGAATGTCGCAGAGCAATGCGCGTAACATTGGGCAGCTTGGAAGAAATGCCTGTTGATGAAGAAGTTGTTTGCTTGTGCGATCAAAACCTGATCCCTTTGCAAGGCAGTCTACAGAGCAAGTGAGTATCACCACATTTAAATCCAGAAAAGACTCACTTTGGCATAGCGAAGAGCAACGTCGAACTGAGACTTGTCCAAGTATATTTTCCAAACGTCACGATCCTCATTGCCTACAACTATTTCGAACAGAGACTGATCTGTGAACACCCAGTACGTCTTCCGCACAGGATCAGCTGCAAGGCCAAGTACGGCTTCGTTGCTTTTCTGGTAACAGGCATGTAAGTAATGCACGAAGATAAGAACATGGCACATACGATGGGTAATGTTTCTTCGTACGTAGTCTTGTCATCCAAATTACAAATCCCTACTACGCGATCTTTGTAGAGCAGGATAAAGTGGAATTCTGTTAGGCTGAGTGACAGCGGCACTTCAGCAACATCACTTCCCGCAGAAGGAGGATAAGGGAGAAGAGCAGCACTGTCGATGTGATCTTCTGAATCAGAGTCCACGCTGACGGATCCATGGTAGATACCAGGTCCTAAATAAGAGTGAACGGAGGTCATCAGGTCAGTTAGATCATGCTACCTACCAGTCATCCAGGCCACTCGCTTTGGAAGCGACAGTGCCTGGCCGGGATTCGGTGTAAAGAACTGTAATTCAGAATGTTGCAGGTCCCCAGGGAGCTCCAAAATCTCTGTACGAAAGGGAAACATGAGAACACTACTCCTGTACCCAATCTCAATACCAAAAGTGCTTACTCGGTGCAGTTTCACGATAGGTCGCAAATAAAGCCGCGAAGACCCGTCCTATGTCGTCCGACTTTCTTTCGATGGGACCAGCGAATTGATATATTCGGGTAGGGGTGGTTACAAGTACAAGAGCCTTCTTTGGATCCGAGGGTGGAAAGTAGTCGAATTTGATTCCAGTAATAGGATGACGCTCGGGCAGCGAAAATACGGATTGGAGATACCTTTCTGAAGACTTGAAGAAGTCTTCCTCGGCATCGAGCACTGCTTCATAGATGGTCCCATTTCTCGCGCCAATAAGCAATTCCTTTGTAGACGTGGAGTGACTTGATGAGAGCAAGGCGGGCTTATTCCAAGCAATACTCTCGATGATCATCTTGAATCCCTTCAACGGCCGAGGCTTCTTCCATGTCCGATGTAGGTACCAATTCTCCCCTTGGACAGAAGTAATGATGATATGTCGCCCTGAAGGATCCATGAAGAGTTTATATATCGTCATGTCCTGGGGCTTGCGAGGTATTTGTATCTTGACTACCTGTACCGGGTGCGAATGCTCAATAACGACAGTCATGTCGCATAATAACCCATAGAAAGCATGCCAGGCTGACCTGTTCCGCGTGCGAGAGCTCAATCAGGACGATCGTGTTTGAAGATAATCCCATAGCGAGCATGTCGGAGCTGACGACGCAAGACACAAGAGGGGCTGGGAAGGCATATTGGACTCTGCCGAGTTCGAATATCGGCGCAGCTGGCACCTCAGAGGCAGTGTCCTGTCGTATGATGAGAACGCTCAACGCAACGCGTCATGACCAGAGCCATAGAGCATCGTACCATTGCTTCTTCTATGTCCGCTCGAACGTCGTTTGTGTCGTAGGGCGAAGGTTCGAAACCTTCGTATTGCAACTGGGGAACAGCCCCGGAGACTTGACTCTGCTTTCCGGCGTCCGTGGTAGCATGTTCAACATCTGTGCCGGGTCTATTTAGCCAAGGGCCTAAAGTAGTAGGAAAGGAGACATTACAATCATCGAACATCGTGAACCAAGCGGTAGAAAGAGTGAAGCATGAACGGAATCAAGAGCGCTCAATATTGCAATGCCCCATCAGAGAAAACGGGAAAACGGGCTTTCTCCTTATGGGGGTTAGACGCACGTGTCAAGGTGGCGTGTGGCTGTACTGCCTTGTCCTCAACTGACACTGTTTTCGAGGTAATACTGACATTCAGGATGTTGATCCCAAGCTTTTGGCCACCATGAAATCATGTAAGCTGAGCCTAATCATGACACCGGAGCTCTGATGAAGAGATCACAGCATTTTCTTGATTTTATTTCGATGATAAGCACAATGTTCAGGATCCTGCGCAATGGCATGGCTGCAAAATATTTCTATCTACGTTGCGGTAAGCTGCAGTACTCTTATTCTCACACATTTCCGGTGATAGGGCACCATCTTCCAGTCCGGGTCTTCACACCGACGACAGCCGTGGCATGATGGTACTGACTCTCGCAGCTCTTCGCGATTCACCCTGCTCGTCTCGCCGCTGTCACACATAGAGGATGGACTTCAAACTGCTGAAGCTCCTCGATCACGTATGACTAATACCCCTTTAACACAACGCCGACGCAGTGCATGGGTCGTTCGTCGAGACTCGCAAAGGATTGCTTCTAGACGCGGACCTCGCTGTCGACCGGAACTTGCGTAAAGAGGCTTACTCACTTTTGAACGAGACGCTCGGGCTGCGCACAGAACTTGGATCCGGAATGGGCGCCTAGGCGAACCGGCGACTTCGTGACAGTGGCCGCTGACGAATCCAGAGAATCCTCGAGACGGTTGATTCGAGACCTGGAGAGGTATATATAAAGCACGAAGGCTGAAGCCGCCCTTTGTCAGTTCTGCAGACTTCCTGTCTCTCCTGCCTTGAAGCACTTCCACTGTGATGATACCTTGGATATGGATTGTTGGTGTGCCTTCTTCTGCCTCTCGATGTCGTAAAGCAACTGACACGAAGTATCAGATGCTTCAAGGTGACCGTGAATTGTTGGTTGGCTACGGATGGATATATGGATGTACGGATGCCTGGTATGTCATTGTCCTTTTGTGTTGCAGTTCGTCGTCCTCATGTAATAGCTTCTTCACTCTTTAGACAGCAAATCTCCTGTGTTACGACCGTCGGTGCTTGGTGAGTACAACAGATTAAGCTCTCGCGAAGGATCCTTCGGATGACTACCTGTTCTACGTAGGTCTCGTTGCTTGGGGTCCCTGCTCCGGAAACTCGATGGTTGGAGATTCTCTTTCCACATAGAATACTACGTCTGTAATTTAAGTCTAATGCCAGTATTATTATTATTATCCTGAATCAGTGTGAGCTTTTATGGTCGAAATAAGCCAATTTAAGGAGGAACCCAAAAAATCAGGCTCACGTACGCCCGGACAGCGTAGTCATTTATACTCCTTTCCAAGAATTACTCCCGTGTTATAAGGTCGGATCCCGTCTGTGAGATGATATACCTTGATCCCACCATGATACCATCTTGCCAATACACACCAAATTGGTGCATAGGTGGGCCTGATTGTGGAAAGGGGCCTATCCCTATCTGGAAATGTAAGGGGTACTGTCCTCAGGATTCGAGATTATACCGAGGACGGGTGGGTACACCTCATGACAGGCGGTTGGAAGGCGCTAACCACATCTCCCGATTTCTCTGATGGCCCATCTCATCGACGCGTCTCCACGTGACATTGATGGAAGGCACCTGAGTGCTGACTAATCAAGTCACTACTAATGCCGGCGGTCTCCCACGAATCGTACAGTTCAATGACTTCATCGATATGGGCATCCCACTCGTAACGCTTAAGGTTACGACACTAGTACTGCCCTACCTTTATCTTTTTTATCATGGCGCGCTCTCGTCCGATGCCCCGATTATTTGTTGTGAGGCATGGTCAGTCTTTCCTTGTACCAGTATAACCTTTCACGCCGTGATTTGCGCCTTTCGTAGGGGAAACTGAGTGGTCCTTAAACGGGTAAGCTGGCTCTAGTGAATAAGGGAGTTCATCATTCATTCATTGGCTCTCACACCGATAATCTCCAGGCGACACGCAAGTTCTTCCTTTACTCCGCTTGTCATGACTGAACGCTGCTCAAACAGACTGGCCTGACGGATATACCGTTGACCGAGAGAGGAGAAGCCCAAGTCAGAGAAATAGCCCAACATGTCGTTGGCGAAGGCCGTGAGTGCCTAAACGAGGTTTTTTCTTTCTTGCCTGACGATTTCTACACAGTTGCCATCCAACCCAACAACCTCTGTACCGTACAGGTTTCTCCTCGCCTTCGTGCACACAGAACCTTCCATCTATTGTTCGAGCATGCTGAAAAATTGCCGGACCACGTTTTGACGGAAGAAGTCCGGGAGTGGAATTACGGTTCGTCAAATACGCATGTTAGATGCAAATTCTTGTGGGTTTCATACCGTAAGCTAGGAGACTACGAGGGCCTAACGAAGCAAGACATCAAGCAATTAAATCCGAATTGGAATATCTGGTTTGACGGGTATGCTCGTATGTTGCTACCTTCTCGATACTGAGAATAACTTTTTTTCAGTTGTCCAGGTGGAGAATCGGTCGAACAAATGCAAGCTCGAGTTGATGATGTCATCAGAAAGGCCACTACAGTTAAATAAAGCAACATACCCCCGGAAGTTCTAACTTTCTTTCAGGTCCGTGAATACCATAGGCAATATAAGGAGGAAGGCATTCACACTCGCGATGTCCTGATTGTGGCGCATGGCCATTTTAACCGTGTGCTCATCTCTCGATGGATAAACTTCCCTCTCTGCCTTGGTATTTATTTCCATTTATATATTTCCTCCTATGTATTGACGGTCCTTCAAGGAACTCATTTTAACGTTGAACCCGGATCTGTAAGTCTTCCGGGATTGATGGCCCGACTTAAAGTCAATTTCGCTTTCCAGGTGGCTGTCTTGAGCTACAATCACAACTCGTTGGATGAACCGGCACTGAACGCGCTGAACTTGTTCGCAACCATTGCATGACGTTTGGATCTGGACTGGGAATGGGCGTCGTCTTCTTTGTAGAAGCGGCACGACGCGACGCGTCTGTTGACCTCTGTGTACGAGAACTACGTAGACATTCCCACAATCATTTTCGTTAGCAATTGTCCCGACTTCTACTACTTACACGCCACCAGACGCCACCGCGACCAATCCAAAGCCTCGTCTCCTCAATTGTGTAGAATGGCTACAATCGAATCCTCGAATGGCTCCGTTCCTGTCTCCGCGGAAGAAACCCGTGTTATTTCGGAAATTGGCGACGCGCATGATGCCGAACATGAGGAACAAGGTCAGTGCACTGCATCCATCAACGCTCTCACTAAACATCCAGCAGGTGACCAACCTGCAGAGGCTGTTTGCGCCGACAACGAGGACCTGCATATTGAAGACTTAGGTCCACCTGCTTCCTTACAAAGGGAGGCTCCTGTCGAGTCCGCACCAACAATCACCACTTCTCCATCCAAGAAAGGCACAATGTCCGCCACGGCTAATAAAGCCAATGGTGGACCGCCAACTCCGACGGTGAAGAAGGTGTGTTCAAAGAAACGTGGAAGCCCTGCCTCATTGTGACATCCAACCCCTAGATCATCAATTCCGGCACGTTTGGTGCGGGTTCTGTAAAACCAACTGGACCCAAGGCCGCTTCTGCAACCTCAGCAGCACCAGCGAAGACAGCAGCCCCACCACTGAAAAAGCCAACTACCTCTGCTCCAGCACCAGCATCCAAACCAGCTTTGGCATCATCCATGTCCTCCAAGCCAACTACTGCCTCTTCGGCCGCAGCTGCCAACCGCAGAGCGTCTGTCGTGCCCACGAAGGCATCAGCTCCTCCGATAGGAAAACCTTCCTTATCCGCCTCTGCAAATGCAAGGCCAGCTCCAGACCCTGCCTCCACGCGCAAATCTGTGGTTTCTCCTAGTGGTTCGGTCGGGTCGGTGAAGGCTGCGTCTGCCACATCGGCAGCACGTCCACGCGCCTCGGTATCGGAAGCTGCGAAGAAGGCCCCTCTTGCCTCGAGACCCTCCTTAGCTGGTACCGCGAAACCTTCTGCAGGACCTGTTAGGACGACCACCGTCTCTCGATCTGCCGCCGCACCTGCACCCAAATCACGTACAACTGCTTCTATCTCGAGCATTAAAGAAGTTAAAGAGGATCTGGCGAAGGACGATGGAAAGGTTACGGAACTGCAGAACCAGGTGCGTGATTGGACGCTCCTCCATTTCCATGCTCAATATTGACTGGCGATGCTTGTCTTTAGCTGGAGGAGGCTACGAAGACTCTGGAATCTAAGACTGTCGCCGTCGTTGACCTCGAAGCTCAGGTCAAGACGCTTCAGGACTCTCTCGCGTCGGCGTTAGTGGAAGCGGAGTCAAAGGGAGCCTCAGTAACAACGGAGCTAGAAACGGCTAAAGCTGCCGCTGAAGCTCAGCTCTCTGAAGTGCAGGCAACTTTGAGCACCACGCAGGAGCAATTGACGACTGTCACCACAGCGCTGGGAACTGTGGAGCAAGAGGTACGGGCCTTTGTTCGCTATTTAGTGTTATGCCTCAGACGTGTTTGAAGCTCGCAAGCGCCAAAGCAGCGGCTGCCCAACAAATTGATCTCGTGCATTCGTTGCAAACACAAATTCATGGGCTTGAAGCCGACCTACAGTCCTCGAGGGAGAAACTTGAGGTCTTGGAGAGATCAAGTGCGGCTGATGCCGCCTCTGCCGCTGAAGCATCTTCTGCAGACCGCGACGCACTTCTCAAAGCTAAAGCTGACCTCGCAACCGCGTCTGAAGAAGTCAGCTCTTTGAATGCCGCCCGTGAAGCGGCTGTGAAGGAGTCGGAAGCTCGCATTGCGGAACTTCAAGAAAAAGCTGGTGCAACTGAGACTCTGGAAGCACAGATCGCTGCTCTCAAATCAGAGAAGGGAGAGAGTGCCAACAAACTCTCCGAGCTGGAAGTCGAGATTCTCGAGCTGAAGGAAACTCAGGAAGGACTCGAAGATGCGCAGGATAGCCTGAAGAAGCGGGTTGCGGACCTCGAAAGCGACTTGGCCAAGGCAGCCTCTGATGCCAGCGCCGCCGCCGAGGCAGCAACCAAGCGGGAGGCAGAACACGCCCAGAAGCTAGAAGAATTGGTTGCCCATCATTCGAAGGAACTCGAGGCTGCTTCTCTCCAGCAGGAAGAGTTAACAAACTCTCTTGAGGGCCTCAAAGCGCAGCATGCTGAAGCCCTCGCTGCCCATGAGCAGACCAAGCAAGATGGCCTCAAGAGAGAAGAGGAGCATACGTCTCAACTGCAAGAACTCGAGACAGAACATCTGGCAAAGCAGGCCGCCATTTCAGCTGAGCTAGAGAAGGTTTCCCAAGAACTTCTGGTTTGTCAAAACCCTCAATGTAGGTAATCTCCTTCCTGACCTCTATATAGGATCAAGAGTCCATATACAACTCCAAGGTCGACGGTGTGAAGGCCGAACATGCCCAACTCTTGCAAGAGGCATTTGAGCGAGCAAAGGTATTCTCCCACCATTCTCCTCTTCGGTCCTGTTTCTAAATCATTGACCCAGAAAGAAGCAGCGGAAGCACACACACAAGAACTACAGGCTCTTCGTTCAGGCTCAAATGACACAATGGAGCAAATTCAAGCGGCAAGCCAGATCGCAATTGCGGAATTGAAAGCCGAGCACGCTTCGCAGCTGGAGTCAGAACTCGGTGGACTGAATAAACAAATCAGCAAACTCAACATCGAGTTGAAAGCTACCCAAGATGATCTAATCAAGTGTAAAGCTGCTCTTGAAGCATCACGTGCTGAGGTGGAATCGTTGACCAAACAACGAGACGATGCCCGGGCCCAAGCTGAGGCTGTGCCTACTGTCTCTCCAGAGCACGCTGAGGAAATCGCTCGTTTGGCGAAGGAGCTCTCCAACACCAAGGATGATTTTGCAGCCACGAAAGACATGCTCGAGCTCACCAAATCTTCGATGCATGAGCTATCGGAGAAGCACTCGAAAGAGCTGGAAGAGGCAGCGAAGACCCGCGCCGATGAAGTCCTGAAAGTGCGGTCTGCTCATGATGCTGAAATTAGTAAACTGGCGACGCAGAAGTCGGAGCTACTCATCAGTCTGTCGGACCTGCAAGGTGAACTTGCGACAGCGAAGGCTGCCCTCGCTGCGCAGACGACTGCTTCTCCTAAGAGTAATGGCAGCTCGCACCCACCTACATCGCCAGGTGTCACCAAGGAGGAGCTTACCAAGCTGCACGAAGCCCATAATCTCAAGATTCACGACCTGCAAGCCGAGCACGAGAAGGCCTTGCGTCTTGCCAGAGAGGAATTGAATAAGGCGCTCGACAAGATTGGCGAGCTCAACCAAGATCTCTCGCGGAAGGCAATGGAGATCCAGTACCTTGAACAAGATCAAGATGAAAGTCAAGAGCAAATCACCCGGTACGTCAAGTTTTTTGGTTTCAAGAGTTTTCTCGGAAGCCTCGTAGCTCTTGCGATGATCCATGAATTCTTTTGACATTATTTTTATTGTCTTTATTTCTCCGTTAATTATCACCACGTTCAGCGAGGACATCGACTGACTATCTTACTTGGACGAGCAGATTGAAGGAAGATATCGACGCCTTGACAGCGAAGATCGGCAACTCGACATGACCGTTGGCGCTTACCGCATGGTTTCCTGCAGGACGATCGTGATTAACCGTCTTCGGTGGCACGCGAAGGCTGCACCTCTCCCCGGACTTTTCTGGCACTTCGGATTCGACAACCTATGCATGTCTTTTTCTTCTCACATTCCACTGTTTTCCGGCTTGCTTTCCTAGGACCACTCTTCGGATTTGTTTACCTCGATATCCCATTAGCTAAACTTTTATACCACTCAAATAATACATTAAACCCGCATCTGTCCTCGAAAGCTTGTGATAAGGCTGTGAAGGACCTCCGTCCCGGTCGCAGAGATTATTCGGTCGGAGGTAAGAGAGAGCAGGGCGTGGGTAAATGGAGAGCACGGGTAAGACCGATCACTGCCAAATAATGGTTGGGGAAATCAGACGAGCAGTGTACTCCGTCCCTGTCTCCCACCTCTTCCTCTTACCCCCACCTGCCTCTCACCCCCCCACTCGCCAGCCATGGGTGTTGCAGCCGAACCAGGTCAAAAGGGCGTCAATTGGTCCAACATCGCTATCGGTGAGCGCGTTCTCTGTCGCGTCTTCTGCCTCCGTGTACTGACCTACTGAACTAGGCGGCATTATGAACATGGTGCGTTTTCACTGCAAAAAAGCAAAATCTCCCTTGGATTCTAACACACCTATTGCATCTCAATAACAGTTCGTACGTATCTTCTTCCTTCTACTGTTTTGCCCATTTATTGACGTGGCTTCACCTTGCAGGAGGCAAGTCGTGTGTGAGCTCATCCGCCTAGAATTTGTCCTCAAAGTATTTCCAGGTTACCACTCTCGGCCAACCTCTCGAGGTGCTGAAGACTCAAATGGCTGCCAACCGGTCCCAAACCATGCTACAAGCGTGCAAGACCGTCTGGTCTCGTGGTGGTTTTGTTGGGTTCTACCAAGGTCTCATTCCCTGGGTAAATTTTCCACTCTGCGCCCGTCTCTCCGTGCTCACCGAACGGAATGACACAGGCATGGATAGAGGCATCCACGAAAGGCGCTGTGCTGATCTTCGCCGCTTCCGAGGTGGAGAGTGCTACCCTTGCTGCTGGCATCAACCCGGGTCTGGCTGGATTATTGGGCGGAATGACCGGAGGTGTTGCTCAGGCTTACGCGACTATGGGTGCGTATTTTCTAAACTCCGTCCTCGGTTCTCTTTTTGCATCTCGCGTCGCTCTGCCATCAAGATTGACGCCCGTGTTATTATTAGGTTTCACGACATGTATGAAAACTGCCGAGATCACTCGCGCGAAAACCGCTGCCACCGGCGTCAAGCCTCCTTCGACGTGGGCCGTCTTCGCTGACATCTATCGTCGTGAAGGTATTCGTGGTGTCAACAAGGGTGTCAACGCTGTCGCTGTTCGTCAATGCACAAACTGGGGTTCCCGGTATGTTGCATAGAACATTGTACGTTTGCCTCCATCACTTATTATCCGACAGTATGGGCTTCGCTCGTCTCGCCGAAGATTCCATCCGGAAGATCAGGGGCAAGGGCGAGGGTGAAAAACTTGGAGCCGCCGAAAAGATTCTCGCTTCGACTATCGGTGGTACTTTCGCCACTTGGAATCAGCCTATCGAGGTCATTCGTGTCGAGGTACGCTTTACTTGAGGACTTGTCAAGCTTCTTGGTCAACGTCAATGTGCACAGATGCAAAGTATGGCCAAGGGTGCTGCTGCAAATGTCAACCGACCTGCCAAGTTAACGATCCTGAACACGCTGGGATTCATTTACAAGGAGAACGGTCTGAAGGGTTTGTACCGGGGTGTAACACCCCGCATTGGCCTTGGTATCTGGCAGACAATATGTATGGTGTCGTTTGCGGACTACGTCAAAATTTGGTGAGTTGTTGCCCTGAGTCTGAGTCCTTACTTTGTCACTAACGATTTGACATCAGGGTTAAAGGAAAATAGATGCGTTTCTTAGTATTGAGTTTCTAGACAGGCTGGCGCCCTCTTTATACCGTAATATGATACATAGAGCTCTTATATATGCCTCGGATGCTGCCCGTGGCCGACGCCAGCGTCATCAAGGCTGCTTCGCCCTGCGACCCTGATGACAAGTCTTGTCAGGGACCGGCTACTAACGGCAGCAGTAGGCCGGTTCTGTACACTGTTACCCCACATCATCCGCATCGTCCCTTCCTCTCTACCCCTACCACCACCACCTACCATGAGCGCCGTCGCACCACCCAAGGGCACCCACCCGTTGCTTGTCAAATATCTCGCTCAGCTCACCCTTCACCCGCTCCGTACAAAGGCACTTACCACCGGTATGTCCCAGATATTCGTCCGTGGACCCCTCTGACAGCTTGGACCTGAAGCGACGTTATGCTTCTTGCAAGAGGTCCTTGGGAGTAACCTCTCTGGGTCCCCACCGAAGGTTTCGAAGGATGCTCCACCTTTGGTACGCGCCCTTGGGACCGTGCACGTCGACTTGAAGGCGCTCAAGATGGCCCTCTACGGCTTCCTCATCTCGGCCCCTTTGAGTCACTACCTCATTGGTCTCCTCCAAAAGGCGTTTGCAGGCAAGACTTCTACCGGTGCCAAGATCGGTCAAATTGTTGCTAGCAATCTTCTTATTGCCCCGATTCAAACCGCCGGTATAAAGTTTTGCTAGCGTTCGAGTGTTTGATGCTAACTGTGGTGTGTACAGCGTACCTTTCCTCCATTGCAGTCATCAACGGTGCGAGCTCAGTCGACGAAGTTATCAAGACCGTCAAAGCCGGATTCTTTTCGGTTATTAGGGTGCGCCGACTCTGGGCCGAGTTCTTGTGGAACCCTCTTTTATTCCTCTTCAACAGATTTCTTGGGTGGTTTCTCCGCTGTCCATGACAATTGCGCAGAAGTTTATCTCGGTCGAGGTACGTTGGCCTCCCGCAAATCCTGTCTGTATATTTATGTTTCCCGCAAAGCTTTGGGTGCCATTCTTCAATGCCATTCAATTTGTACTCGGGGTACGTGGCCCTTACATCCTCGCTGTCAAGTTGCTCTATTCACGATGTAACTCTAGACCTATTTCAACATGCGTGTCAAGCAACTCCGCCTTGCTGCCCTCAAAAAGGAGAAGCTCGAGCGAGAAAAACAAGAACGTAAAGATTAATGGGACATGGAACCAGCTACTTGAACGGCCAGTACAAGGATTATGTACCACCTTATTTACTCATGTACTACGTGGACGGCAGATTGCGTGTACAATAAGTACTACCAGTCTCATTCAGAGCGTCGGAGAATTGCATACAACTACGCAAGGTCCGTCAAGCGCCACTGGGTCTTGCAAATATCGGCGGATTCTTGTCCCCCGGGTTGGGCCGTCTGATACGACGGCAACTTCGCTTTCCAAGGACCAGCCTTCTAAGCTATACGATCCCGGCTGCGTGATCCAAAGCTTGGGATGGAGAATAGCAGTTCGCGAGGGTTCGATGGTTCCTCGGAAGGTCAGTCGTCCCAGATAACGCGGAGAGAGGAAGTCGCTGTCGAAAACTTTCAGGAGAAATAGCAATACGAGAAAGGACGACATACGTGGATAGTGGCTCCTTTGGTTGCAGTCGGAGAACGTATTTTGCTGGCAGTATTAGCGAATGATTCCGCAACAAGCACTCGACAGATACGGGACACGGCCTGATACCTAACTGTCAGAAGAGTATCCTTGTAGACTTGAAGAGACATACCCAGATGAGAAATCATGGTATTGGGTGTCCGTGTCTTTTATGAACAAGACAATTGGATTCATTTCGGCATTCCACTCGCTACTTCGAATGGCATCCAGTATCTGCACGTTCTCCCTCTGTGTTTCCGCATACATGTTCCGTTTCGTTTTCGCACCCTCTGCTTGCTCCACAATGTCATCCAACGCCCCATGTCCTGCCCCAAGGTGAATGCCATTGATGCTGATATGGCCTGAGATACCTTGAGAGGGGATTTCCCAGAACACAACGAAGTCAAGAGCTGCAGGGTTGTACATGGGGAAGATTGAAGAGTGAGACGACGCAGGAATGTATGAGTGAGCCTCCGCAATGTGCCGTGAGGAATACTTGCGGCGACCACTACGAATGAAGTTCATGACGGCGGCCCTGCGTACCGAGAGTTTCTTTGGGTCCTACGAACAGTATAAGCACATATACATGATGACGAACGTATGGAGTGGGTAGACCTTCGAAACATGACTGCACATTATATCGATTGGTGGAGGGGGAGAGGGGTCTGACTCCCCACCTTTCAAGAGATTGCTTAGTTTCCTCGAAACAAACTCTACGGTCTCTCTTGATCCGTGACCTCCGGGCCACTGTGACGCAGCTAAAACGAGTTTCGAGCACTGCGATGGGCCAACAGTATGTCTGCGAAAAGTTAGCTGTCAAGTACAAAAAAGCTAAGGGTGAAACATACAGGATATTCTCTGCTAGAGGACTGCATATCCATCGTGGACTCACGCAGACTATGTCGACGATATTAATAAAGACTGTCGACGAGGCGTTTGTTATGTCTATATCTACAGCATACGCATAATCTTGGGACTGCGACGGAACTGCGCTCGAGGAGATCTCGAAAACTGGCGTAACCTCATATGATCGTGCCAGTTTCGTCGAATAAAATGGCTGAGCCTCAGCCTAAGAATTGTTACGTCAGTTTCTTACAGAGGCGAGAAGGATGAGACGCACCTCTCGGTAGACAAAGAGAAGATAGAGCTCATGGCTGCCGGTCGACTCTGCGTGGAAGATGATTGGGACTTCAATGCTTTGCCCAGGTTGAAGAGTTTCTGAATCTAGACCCTCGAGAGGTATCCTGAGAGGTGGCTGAGGTTTCAATGAATTGCTTGATTGGAAGACCTCAGTTTCTGTTGTGCCTGTGGTCGTAAATGAGCTCCAAGTCACGGCACAGGCCGAATAGGGCCTACACTCGAGCAATTCATCTTCCCCACCCAGCAAGACCTCATCATCGGGACCGACAACCATCCACATTTCGCTAATCGGTGATGAACCCGCGTTTGTCAACCAGAGTCGAGTGGTCTTGTTTTCGCCTTGCAAGAGAACGAGGCGGCCATCGTCGACGAAGTTCACCGTCAACCTGTGGTCAGATGGAACCACCTCCACTTGCATAAGGACATCAGGAGCATATGTAGGCGTTCGACGCTGCTGGGGAGTATCGCGCAGTCTGCGACCACGAGTAAAGAGGCTCTCCTTGGTCGGCAACATAGAAAGGAAGTCATAGGTCGCATGAGTTATGCTCAATTTTGCGGGGCGGTTGCACTTGAGCGATATTGACACCTGTCCACGGTCATGCGTATCTGGAAGTTGTGCAAGGGTAAATTGACATACTGTTATTGATTCCCTCGGGCCCAAAGAGACCTCATCGATGACCTCCACTTCTACAAAGTCTAGCTGCGATACGTCATCCTTATCGCCAGTTTGTCGAACAAGAAGCGTGACATTTGTTAAGTTGATGTCAGCGTCTAAAGGATTCCGCAAAGCAAGGTCCACCCAGAAGAGTTCTGGAAAATTCAAAAGTAAGCCACTGTTCTTGGCATTGCATAATAAACATACCATCTGTGCTGACCTTTCCTGCCGGCACCACGCTTTCCTTCCCACCTTGAGACCTCCAAAATGTCTTCCAGTCCTCTTGCCTAGTAGCCCAGACATCTGCATCAGAATCCGCACCATCTTCAGAATGCCTCAGTCGGGACTGTTTGGCGATACAGAACTTGACGGGAACTTCTAGATTCGTGCTGGAGACGATTGCAGGCTCTGTGGACTTCCAATACTGAATAGATGAATGTCAGCCTCGCTGTACACATTACAAGTACTAGAATCTCAGCGCACACTATAGGCGACTCGGAAGTCGTCCAGATATAACTTGTCATTGCTTGGTAACTTTTGAGCGTCGTCAAGCATGGCGTTGAAGCTTAAGAAAGGGGGAGTTCCCCTTAATAGGCCGAGGAAAAGTCGGACGGCTCCAGCGACATCTCCAGTTGTGTACAGCAATCGCCCTGCACGAATATGAAGTAAATTCTACGATCTTGCTTCTAAAACACATACCCAGAGGGTGCTCAATGCCTGACAAGATATCCTCAAGACCCTGAGCGTCTGTGGACGATTTCCCTTCAGAGTCCCAAAACGACGGGGATAGCTCTTTTGGCGGCCGAACATGATACAGCTCTTGTGCTTTCCGCAAAAAGTACATGGTCAAAGGTCTCTAAAATAAGGTGTCAAATCTTCGGCCTGGCATTCTAAAGAATCATTCTTACTATTCCACACTTCTCGAGCCTGGTTGCAGCAGAAACGTACCAGAGCGCCGCTCTTCTCCATGACTGCTTCCTTGCGCTTAAGAGCGCTGCTTGGGCTAGTAGCAATGCTGATGGTGCCTCTTCTGCCTTGATAAATTTCAGACTGTAAGTAACTGCAGTTGGCAAGATCAGAAAGAAGACAGACGTTACTGGCAGCCCAGACTAACCACCTCTCTCCCTCGAGAGCACTGCTCAGAAAATCCTGTATTGCGATGCCGGCTTCCCAGCGAACAGCGCACAATAGGGCCCGTAATTGCAAGTGAGGAGGGAGATCTAGCATTTGTGGATGAATGCCAGTCAAGGCAGCGTGTGCATGCAAAGGAATTGTAGGAGAAGGCGATAGCAGCAGTGGCAATATGTCCTGTGTGGGAGTTTAGTGACTGCATGACTTTGGCGCAGAAAGTGACATACAGAGCCCCCTTTGCTCTCTTTCCGTAGAGCCTCCCACACGGTGATAGCCAATTTATAATCTCCTAGAATTGTGGCAAACTCGGCTAAACGGCGTTGCTGCGATGGCGGCGGGATGGGCCCATTGACGGTGGGAATAGATGATGATCGAATGGGAAGGGATCCAGCAGAAGAGGACGCGGGTGAAGGTGCAGGGGAGGGCGAGGGTGAGCCGAAGAGTCGTCGAGTTGAAGAGAATAGACGAGATGGTAGTCTACGCGTTGATGAGAACTTAATGCATGGCTCATTAGGATTACAGTATCAGGCCAGCTTTCACAGTTCAGACGTACATTTTCGTTCCACTCGACTACGCATTTCTCCATCCATGGCACCAGGCTCATGACAACGAATTCTCGTGTGAATCTGGCAGTCTGCTGAATATCCTTTTCTTCCATAGCCAGGGTATTCAGGATCGTAGGGGGCAAGGAATCACCTGGTGCGGCAAATCCGTTTACCACAGGAGTAAGGGGATATTGGCGGGGTGGTGAATCCGGAGACGGTGGAGGGGGTAAACGTGGTAGAGGCGCAGGGACAGGGACAGGAGGTGGGTTCTTTGGTAGATTCAGGGACAGAAGATAGCTATGCAATCCAAACTGCTTCTTGACCGCGTTGTAAAGTGCTCCTGCTCTAGAAATATGAAATATTATGATAAGAGAACACTTGATATGAGCAAAGCTTACTCTTCAGCTGAAAGAGGGGAATGTGAAGGGTGTATGATCAATGTATATCTCAGAACGTTGGTGTCTACCCAAGACGGAAGCTGCTGTGCCCGCGAATGCAGTGTCGTGATTGCTTGCAGAGGATTTGGTGCAGTTGTAGAGACTGCAAGGATGACTAAAACAGATAGGTTAGTCACCAAAGTGCACCACAAGACGCTGGGACGCACGAGCAGCAGGATGGTTCCAACCCTCTGTCTTTGAAGGTACGAAATCCCCTTCTGCGCACCGCCGAAGCTCATCCCACCACGGCGTCCTGACAGCATCCCTATCTCCTACTCTCTCCAGATCCTCAACCCACTTGGCGCATCGGTTGTTGATGCGAGCGGTCATCCAGTCGACAGTACGAACAGCACGCTGGTCTTCGGCTTCTCGACACGCTTCCTCGACATCGCGTAGGTCTGAGAATCGGAGGGCAAATGAAGTGTGTGGTACGGACACCAGAGATGTTGTGCGGGTAGTGACTGGCATGACGGAGTAAGAATCGTCTTGCGATACCTGCGAGTGCACGAATAGATCATACCTTGAGGTAGAGGCGAGAACGACTGGAGAACTTGGGGCAACAGAGGTAGTGAAGCAGCTTTAAGGGTGTCTTCTAGATCAGGAGAGCATATTGTGCATATATGTGGACTGAGAGAGGTCGGGATTGAGGGAGGCATGCGTGCGCCCTTGGTGACACCGACCGTATAAAGCGCATCTTGGGGTTATTCAATCAAGTTTCTCACGCTACTATGTCATTCATGTCTGTCATGTACAACCTAGAAGTCTCCAAAGTCTCCTCCATGGTCACTCCCTCCATCATGGCCATTCCCTAGCATGTCTCCCATCAGAAGACCACCTGCAAACCCGCCCGCCATTGGGAGTGCCATGCCGCCCATGTCGCCGCCTCGCCGCCTTTGGCCCATCATCTCTGGGAACATCCCAGGCGCCATGGAGGCCTGCGGGTATGCATGCTGTTGGGTATGGAACGGTGCGGTACTTGCCCCTGGACCATATAATCTCTGCATTTGTTGCTGCTGCAACCCCCTTTGCTGCCTCTTTCGCTCGTTGTGCTCTTCAAACGAGATTTTGGCTTTGTCCTTGACCTTTCGGAAGAAGCCCTTCTTCTCTGCGGCATTTGGTGCAGCTTCATGTCCATTATATGAATCGTGGCGATGTACGCAGGAAGGTGCCCGAGGAAGTGAACTTGGCGGAACCGCGAAGCTTGGTTCGTGCGTCTGGGTGTTCATTTAGAAATTGTCCATCCTCAAATGGGTGTGTCCAACTTGACCGAGGTGGGTTAGCTCTCGTATCAACCTAAAGTGACGTTAGCAATGATTAATGAATGAAGCCTAGAAGTAATCACGTAGAAGACATTCCCTGAGTTGTGATCAACTTGTTGAATCCATCCAGATGGCAGTGGTGCGTTATTCATGTCGTTGGAGTTCATCTCGGTTGGAATTACAGTAATACATATGGAACTTTGTCAGTTTGAGTACTTATAGTCCGTCGTAACTATGACGAATCTACCCCTCATTATGACCCACCAATGCGCCACAATCACTATTTATGCCGACCTTTTCTCCGGACCAAACAACGCCTCCGCCACTTCATTTCTCCACTGCTGGATGAGCGCATTCTTCAATTCGTATTGCTCAGTCGGCTTCTCCCACCCTAGTGCACGACTTTCTGACATGGGGTTTCCCGAGTTGAACTTGGACCAGTCGATGACGGGCAACTCCCAAGTCTGTTGTTTCTCCCACGCCCTCCGACGATGTGCCTCTTCTTTCGCGTGTTCCAGTTTCGCCCCCGAATCCATAAAGAACCCTTCATCAGGATGGTCGGAGCAGATCGCGCATTTAAATAACGCGGGCCGCTTTCGGACTTGTAAGAACTCGCCCTCAAGTATAAAGTTGCTGGGGTGCACTGGAGGCATTGGCCGAAACTGTGGTATGATCGTGTAGGAGTTCGTCGAGAGGGTCGTTTTGATATGATCAGCGAGCGATGCTCCCTGATAGTCGTGAGATGAAGGAGGCCTGCGAGCGCCTGAAGAACAGGAACCCTTTATATACCCTGCTCGATATGGGCAGGACGGCCCACCGGCCAGAACAACGCAACTAGTCACATCACCATATCTGATATGTTGTAGCGATTTGTACGTATTCTTCTTCAATTATGTACAGTGAAGATACCTGATCAAGTAAGAAAACCTTACGACGGGCCAGGAAGTGGATCCACCCAGGTCCCGTTGGGCCACAATGTGGCCGCCTTGGTGAAATCACCTGTGGCACCGTTGGATGTGTACTAATTTAACAGACAATGAATTTTAGGGCCACTTCCGAAACAAGGTCAACGTACCGCCAGCCGAAAGAAGTGGGGTATTGTGGCATTCAGCGATGCCAACGAGAAATTAAGTGCCTGGCCAGAATATCTCTGGACGTCGTCGACCAGAAGGTTGAAGCCGTCCCAGCCATCGATGAGGGCTTCCCAAAGAATAGTTTGATTAGCGAAGGGAATGTTAGGATTATAGTTCGTCGAGTTCGTTGCAAATACAGGGAGGTCGGAACCTAGAGGTGCATCTAGGCGAAGCTGCGAGGAAATGTCAGATCGAGATCTAGATGAACTGCCCAAAAAAGGAACTCACATCTTCAGGGGTCTGGAGAATGGAATCGAACCCGAAGGCAGCGACACCATTGAGGAACAGACCAAGGCAAAGCCCCTGATAAATGGCCGATAGGCGCGTTGGAAAAGCGGTTCCAGGTAATATAATCATGGGAAGGATGTAGTGGTGGAGCCGCAATGAAAGGCCGGGTAGTAAAGCAATGACCAGAGTGACGAGGCCGCCAGCGATGTACCAACCGAGATAGTGTGGCAGCCATCCTGTCTTTCGGACAACCCGAATCTGGTTAATGACCAGAATGACAACGATGACCAGAATGACAACCAGTGTCGCAACTGCACCACTACGCTTGCTGATGTCGGACGACGTGAGGCGGCTGAGAGGCAGCTTGTCAAAAGTAAGATTATTGAGTACACCGACCCAAAATCCGCTGAGATATAATACGCATGCTTCTAATGGAGCGCTGGAGAAAGCTGGAAGGACGAAACGGAATGCTAGTCGCCAGAAACCGTAGGCTATAAATAATAATGGAAGGAATGAACCGAAGGCGACATCTATCCTTGGAGGCGGACCTTGCGGTTGTGAGAACAGTGCCACATGCCAGAAGCCAATGCAGACAAGGCACCAGTAGAGAATGATTGGCTTGGGTCGGAGGACAATGAACAAAGCACAGGTGATAAGGATGTTGAATGCGAGAGCTGGATTTCTGAGGTCGGTGCAGTGGGATAAGCTTGAGGTGCCGGAGAAACGAAAGGATACAGGAAAGATTGTCGGGAAACCGATTGACGTGAGTCCGCGCGATGTGAAGGGTATGAAGTCTGTGAAATTGCCAGTCAGCTGAAGAGTCCCACATCCGCCTCTGCTACTTGAAATGACACCACTATCCGCGGAGAAACTTGTCAATGCACTTGGCAGCAACGAAGACAACGACGACGTACGCTTGTATAGCAGCAGCACAAATGAAGCTGTCTCCTCTGTATGTCCCATCAGGATCACCGCCTCCAACAACGAGGGGTTTGAACGCGATCTGGCCATCCCCAACCGTTCTAGGGTTTTGCAGAATGACATTATCGCATTGCGCCGGGCATCTGAAGTCGAAAGATGAATTGTCGAACGGTCCGCATGCTTCTCCGTCTTGTCCGCAGCCGTTGTTCGCTAACCAGTACGTCGACGTACATCCGATGAAGGATTGCTCAGGGGTCAAGAAAGACTGTTCGCGCGAGAAGAACGCGAAACCGATGATGTACGCGGCGACTAGGACCATAAATAGCCATGGTGAAGTAAAGATGCGGGTCGACTTGATGATGGTTGACTCTATGGGTACGACGACGCGTTTGCCAGCAATATAGACATCGACGTCAAGTAAAGGAGATGGCGCTTAAAATACGACGGTTCAAGGTACTTTGCTTGGGAGGAAAGAGGTTTTCGCGTACGCAATAGGTCGACCTTTGGCCGAGGCCCTCTCACATAGAGTACCACTTTCCGAACCAGTGCATAAGTGTGCGGGTGTTGAGTCGCAAGTCGACGAGATATCCGAGACGTCCATGGCTGCTGACGGCGGGTCGATACTGGCTCAGGGGAGAGAGGCGCCAACTCATATGTGGGATCTAAGGCTTGCTTTGAGGTATTTCGTCGGTCTAAGGATGCTGCTTTGCTTGTCGATGGCCGTGAAGATGAGGGGCTGGACTCGGCGTTGCTGCTTCCCTCCATCAACAAGGGAGGTTGAAGTGGGCGGGAAGAAAAAGGAAATTACAAAGAGCGACGAGAGGGCGGCGTGTGAGATGAACAACGGGTAAGCTGCAATACTAGTAGTAAGCAACAAGTCGTCAAGTCAAAGGTTTATCAGATAAGATAATTCTGATAATCTATTGCATACAGATTTAAGTACATAGTTCTCCTTCTTTGTTCAGTATATACAATCCATCCCACCGTGATAAAGCGTTAAAGAGGACCGACTGCGGGGTTTTGTAAGTTGAAGACGAAGATATGGTAAGAGGCACGACTTACGGTAGTCGTAAATAAGCTTCGCCTCGATGTCCTCGCCTCCTGGGCCGGTGAACTTGAGGTGTCGGGCGTACCGCCTCTCGCCATTGATCTCTTCAACGCCCCAGGACTGCAGAACTGTTAGCTGGAGATCCAATACGCTCATCTTATTGTGGCATACCTGGTTAGCAATCCAAGTAGTGCCACTCTTCGGGGTGTTGCTCTCGACATAGGACTGGATGACGCCGTGCTCAAGGGTGTCTGCTGTCCAGCCTTGCTGAAGGAACGGAACGTCGAGCTCCTCCGCCTTTATCCTCCTCGATTTGCCGATGATATGCCCGAAGATATGGTCCTCACTTTCTCTCTCCTTCCACCAAAGGGTCCTGATCTCGCTGGTTCCAGGAATACCACCAGTGATGGTTTGATCGATATCAACGTGCTCAACACCTTCGTCATCCTTGTAGTGCTTGATCGAAAGGGTGACGGTACCAACGCTGATAGCCTTTCTCTTGAACCAACCAACACCTTGGAGGGACAAGATGGTATCGGTGCGGGGGTCAGTAAGGGTCTTGTTCTGGTGATGGCGGTGTGAGTGAGATGTTTGAGGGCGTGATCGATGGAAAGCCTACCATGGTGAACTTGCCGGAGATGTTGAGGATGGAGAAATCAGCAGGGACGGCCATGGTGGTGGTTCTGGGTAGAGAGATGGGTTGAGGATGCCTGTCAGTGTCGCAGGACTTTTGGGCGTTTCTGACAATCACATGGGATAACGATGGACGTATCATATGGGAGGTACACACGCGGGGTCAGCAGGTCAAGAGTATACTTGGTATTCCTGCTCGCAACGAATATGAAATGCGACGTCAGAGGTTACTGTCCCCACATGTCGTGCTTGTATGGGTATCACCCTTTTGAGAAAACAGTGATTATCTTCCATATTGCATCCTTTCCCCGCTCCCAAGCTTGAGGGCCTTTCGCCTCATCGCCGCCGAATTCGACCATGATTCCATCCTTCGTCCATTCACACCAGATGCCTATCGACCCAGAAGAAGGTCCTGCACCTCCGCCTTTGCGATCAGGCTCTCCCAATGCGAGGACGAAATCCTTCCCGGACGTCTCTGCGTGCACATCTAACTTCGGAGGACGAGATATTGGTTTCTCCTCCTTGTCTTTCGCCTCAGCAGTGATGTTCAAAGCGAGCGGTAGGAGGGGATATGTGGAGAAAGCGAGCTCAGCAGCACGAGATGATGTGCCTTTGGTCTGCTTCTTGATTGGCACATTGTAGACGTATATGCTATCAAGGGATAACCTGTCGTGTTTTAGATCGTTGCATTTGAGTCCTGATGTTGGTCTATAGCCGCCTTTTGGTGCATAAAGCAGACTGAGGCCGATAGAGAAGTAGTTGAGGTAGATGGCATCAGGGTAGGACTTGACCTCCGGTGTAGGCGGCTGATTTAGGGAAGCTGCAGTCGCTAGACTTGTGATGCACTGGGAGAGCTCTGGTGACAGAGGATTAGAGCCAAGGAGCTGGTGGATGTCTGCGTCAGAGGAGGACATGGGTGTCGGTCTGCAAAGTGTTCGATATCACGTGTTCGCGATGCCCAGAGGAAACCAGGATGACGCTCGTCTTGCCTCACTTCCCGCCATGTCTGAACGCGTCGCTACTCGCCGTACCAAGAGCGCGGCTGCCGACGACGAACCTCCCAGTCTCTTGTTGAAGATCGCGAGTGTACCCCTGAATCTCTTGCTTGCGGTTCTATCAAGTGGTTTCTCAGCCCTCCGCCCATTTGCCCCGAGGCTCATACCGCTTCTTGTCTGCTCTTTCTTCATACCGTTGGTCGTCTTTCTGTCCGTATCTGCCGGGTGGTATGTCTGGAAAAGCCTATCTGTTAGTTGGGAAGCTCCTCTCTACCTGCAATATGGGTGCGTTCGCCGGTTATGCTTCATCACGCCCTTCAACTCAAGTTGTGTCTTAGAGATGGAATCTCACCTTATGCATTCGCCCAGCTTCCAAGGCTGGCGACCCAGCAAAAATATGACATATCTGCCGACCTTGTTCTTCCTTACATTGAATCGAACACCATGCTTGGAAACTTCATGACAAGTTTGACATTATCGACGACGACTAACAAAACTCTAGCATATGTCCGGCGAGCTGTCAGTACAAGTTCTTCAGGAATTCATATCCTTATTTCTTATCTCCCTCAAAGGCTATAGCATTGCCTGCTCGTTCAAGTTTTATATTTCCCAAGCCTATAACGGCGCGTGTCACGGTACCGTTATTGCATTCCTTCATTTCCAGTACGCCAAACGTCGTCGCACACATCGAGATTGGCCGACGCGATGGTTGGACTACCTTGGGGAACGGTCAAGGTCGTGAAGTGAGCATTGCGCAAGCCTCTTTACGAGGGTTAGCTGTCCCGCACGGTATTCGGTAAGTATTTATTTCGGCCTACAAGAAATCGAAGTCAATATCGTTCTTTCTCAGTGGAATCGCCATCCGCTTTCCGTTATTATCTTCTTTGGCTGCTGCAGGCATTTTCCTATTCATCCTGTCTCTCGTATTGGGGTCATGCATCCTTCCACTTGTGCTACCTTCCATTGCAGACGAAGAGAACGACGAACTGGATGAGAAGGAAACTAAGCCTAAGGTGGAGTCTAGGGACTCGAATGGAGTTTCAGCATCGCAGGGGGAGCGTGAAGGCCGCAGAAGGCGACGTTCAAGATCAAACAAAGGTCAAGGCGAGCGAACGGTACGAAAACTTTAATGGCAGTTTTGAAGACATGATTTCTCATGATTTCTCAGATTAAAACAGAACCGTCTGTACAGGCTATGCCTTCAGCTGCAGAGTCTTCCTCGCGAGGCCTTCGTCGACGCTCCTCAAAGCCTGCCATTCTTGCTGATGACGAAGACGCGTCATCTTCCTCGTAGTTTGATTGGAAACTCAATATCCATTCTCACCCCCTCCGAGAATAAATCTTTGCTTTGCATTCTGATCATTGCTAATCGCAAAATATGTTGTACACAGTGGTGTGCCGGTCAAGCAACCGTCAACAAAGTCAATGACGGTCAAAATGCCATCAGCGACGGTCAAAATGTTTGACCATTGTTCGACCGATTGCCATAACGAGAAGGGATGACATCACTAACGTTGACCATGACATTCCAAAGAACAGAGATAGCGAGTACAAGGATACATACGTCGATAAAGAATGTAATTAGTTTGCGAGAACCTCCTCTGCGACCCCATCAAGCTCAGGATCCTCCTCGCCATCTGCGTCCAGCTCCAGAAACTCGTAAAGGGCAAGTTCTTCGTCGTAGTTAATAGTTGCATGGCGGCGGAAGCGGTCTTGCCAATGCTTCGAAGCAAAATCAAATAGCGAGGCAAGCGAGCGACTCACATATTTGCTTGCCGAGCTCATCCTTCATACGGGCTGCTGCAACAAATCCCAGACGAAGTTGTTCTGCTTCTGCCTGGCAGCACTGCTCGATTTCAACTTCATAGCAGGCTTTGCAATAGCATTTCGTTTGCCGGACTTTGTCGATTTTGCGCCAGATTTGCCGAACAAATGGAAAATTGGGTCAGCCTGAGACAACGGACAATCAATGAAGTAGGCGCGCCACCATCCCCGTCGGGCATTACTACGTGTGGCGGATGGCCTCGACATAGCAGAAAGAGACAAATGCAGGAGTAGGAGGCGAAACGCAAAGACGAAGCTGCCTGGTCTGTGTCAGTGATTCTCCCAGCTTTTTAAGCCTCTCAGTTATCGGTTTGAAATAAAAATATGTAGATAGTGTGTAATTTACAACGAGCTTCCACATGCTAATCTGTCAATACTGAAATAATTATACTTCTGAGAAAGATAAAGAGTGAAAAAGGACCTGGAGAAGGAAGGATCCTTGAGGTTGTAAACCTTGTCATCTACCAGAAATGGGGCCTGTGTCACACTGCGGAGTGAAATCAAAGGACTATATTTATTCTGTTCACACAAAAGAGCAAGCCTGTATCACACCGGGGTAAAATTAAAGGATTATATCTATTCTGTACGCACGAAAGAGCAATCTGTCTGAACAAAGAGCAACTGAACGCATAGCGCACTTGATGTTTGATGCGCTGATGGGAGCTGTCTAAATTAGGCTTCGACCCTCGGCAAAGCAGTGGGAAAGTCCATCAAATATTGACCGTCGTTGACCGTCAATTGACCGTCAAGGTGGTCAACGGTCAACGTTCGACCATCAGTCATCAACCGGCCAACACTGGTTGTACATCACCATTAAATATTCCGTATAGATATCCAATTATATCCCCAATTAGTTCCATCCATGCCCAAAACAAGATCACTCCTTCAAGGTGCCCTCTTCTTTCTTCTCTGTGTCCTCCTTACCTGGTGCACATCCATCTTCTCCGGTGCTTCAGTCTTGCCCTCCTTGGAGTCCTCCTTGCTTTCCTCCTTGCTTTCCTTCGCGTCCAGCCTTCCCGATGCTTTCGTTTCTGTTGGTGTGGTTTCTGGAAGGGGATCGCTTCCTTCACCCTTAGTGCTGGATGTAGTTGTGAACCAACTAAGAATAGCTCAGCGTTTGGAAAAACGGCTGATAACATTGACCAGTACCTAAGAATAGCTAGGTACAGGATGTAAGCATATGAATATTAGATCATAAACTAGAAAGCTCACCTCAGCGTTTGGAAAAACGGCTGAGGGAGCGCTAACGAAAACGGCGCAGTATAAATGGGCTCGACTGCCCAGGAGAGCCATGTGAAGATAAAAAACAAAAGAGCAGCCGATGCATGATAAGAACGGCAATGAGATAACGTAGAATGTTTATATGTACTCTAGATGTGAAGTAGAGTAGACGGAAGTAAAATGAAAGTTAACATAAAGACAAAATACCTATCTCCAAGCATGAGACAGGCCGTGCTGACATGAGCTGCATACGTGAAACCTGTGCGCTGCTCAGGCACGTTTGCCTCTCCAAATCCAACACTCCCCCTCAAATGAGCACGAGTCCGAGCTCCGAAGCGAAATGCTTCACCTTTGCAGAAGGGAGGGCCTTGGTGAGAGTATCCGCAACCATTTCGCCAGTAGGACAGTAGACGAGTCGAATGGACCCCTTTTCGACGATCCAGCAAATGAAATGAAACCGAATGTCGATGTGTTTAGTGCGGGTGTGATACTGATGGTCTTTTGTGAGCGCGATGGCCAATTGGTTGTCCGAAAATAAAGTGGTCGTGTCGAGGTCGATGGCGAAAAGCTCCGAGACCAAGGAGCGGAGCCAGAGAGCCTCCTTCGTGGCCTGCATCGCTGCGACATACTCAGATTCCATGGTGGACAGTGAGATGATCTCCTGGCACTTAGCACTCCACGAAACAGCACCGCCGTGAAGCAAAAAGGCATACCCCGAGATCGCGTGACATTTCTGCCATACTCCACCAGCCCCTTCGTGTCCCCACCAAAACTCAACTACAACTCCTTCGTACCACTCAGGTAGCGAAAAATCCGCTTGACGGCCTCCCAGTGCTCGGGACCAGGCTTTGAGGCGTATCGCGAGACGGTTTGGACAGCGAAGGTGATGTCCGGGCGTGTACCGAGCGAGGCGTACATGAGAGAACCAACGGCCTCGTGGTATGGGATATTTGCCATCTTCGCGATCTCGACAGTGGTAGAGGGAGACTGAGCGCTCGAAAGGCGAACATTGGGGTCCATGGGAATGGAAAGAGGCTTGAGGTCTTGAAGGTTGTACCAGCAAATGATCGAGTCGATGTACGAGCGTTGGGAAAGGAAAATAATACAGCGTTCGCGATCGCGCCGAACCTCAATGCCAAGGATCCAGTGGAGTTCGCCCAAATCGGTGATTTCAACGTGCTTGGCGACCTCGGCCTTAAAGGCTTCGATCAGTGGCAGTGCAGTGGCCACAATTGTGCAGTCGTCGACATGCACAAGCACGATCACAAGCGCCTCACCGCGGCGCTTAAAGAAAACTGCCTGGTCGACCGCACACTGCTCAAAACCAAGCAGCACCATGATCTCCACCAACCTCTGATACCATCACCTCCCCAACTGCTTCAGTCCATACAGTGTCTTGAGAAGACGACACACCTTTCCCGCGCTGTCAGAAATCCTATATCCGGGGGGTTGGCGCATAAAAATAACCTCGTCGGCGGTGAGAATGCCATTTAGGTAATCAACTTGATGGATTTCGTAGTCATGGACAGCCGCCATCACGAGAACGGCCCGAATAGAAGCAAGGCGTGCGACCAGTGCGAACGTGTCGAAGTAATCGATCCCCGGGACTTGGGAGAAACCTTGCGCGATGAGACGAGCCTTGTAGCGCACCACGTTGCCAGCAGCATCCTTCTTTGCCCGAAAAACCCACTTTGAACTCCAGGAGGTGCGTCGACAAGTTCCCATGTACCCGCAGCTTTCAAAACAGTGAGTTCTTCCAGGATCGCCTTCTCCCACAACGGCCAATCAGGTCGAGTCCTTGCCTCGGCGAGAGAATGGGGCTCTAAAGCCTCTTTCTCACTGATTTCTGCCGCCATTGCATACTCATCAATGAAGTCTGCCACCATCACCCACCCGTCCTCGTTCTCCCCCTCAAAACCAGCCTTGCTATAAAGAGCGTAGAGGATCTCCGAAGGGAGCTGCACCCCGGGTGTAACCTTTGGTGCCCCAGGACGATTGGACGAGACGGCGTGTCCCTCGAGGATGTCACGGAGACGTTGTGTAGGCTTCCGAGTGCGTTTCGACCGAGTTTCAGGCTCCGAGGGCGTCTCGTGGTCGCTAGAATTTGACGTGTTTGAGTCCGTGGGGTCTGTGGGAGCAGGGATAGTGGTTGCAGGTGTCTCGAGAGGAGTTGGTGCGGATGTAGAAGCTTGTGTATTGACAGATGGGGTGCTGGTAAGTCCATCCGGCATCGAATCAGGTGTCGTTTCAATGAATTCCCAGTCCTCCCCCTCGAGACGGCTGACTGATGAGGCTGTCTTGTCAAAATAGACATTTCGCTCCACCGTCACGGTCCTCTTGTCAGGCCAATAAACCCTCACACCCTTTGACTTCTCATCCAAACCCATCCAACGCCCCTCTCGCACCCGCCCACCCAACTCATAGTAGTACATGAGNNNACCTTCTCGCCCCACTCACGTACCTCACGGAGGTCAGGCTTCTTCCCAAAAGCTGCCTCGTAGGGGGTTTTGCCATCCACCGCCTTCGTCGACGTCCGATTTAACAACCAAACGATGTGGCGAGCAGCCTCGCCCCAAAGAAACTTTGGCAGACCAGAACTGTGCAATAGCGCTCGAACTTGCTCCATGATGATGCGATTACGACGTTCCGCAA